AGAAAAAAGTTACTCACCGCTAAAATAAAAGGATGCAAATTAAAAAAAGCCACAATGGAAGTGAGCAGCCGGGGACCAATAATGATGATGCGCCAGTGTTTTACGATCTAGGCACAGAAGATGACAGCGAGAAGACGAGCAAAGAAGTAAGTGAAAAGGTTACTGTTTAATTTCGCTTCGTTAACTTTTCAATGTGTCATCCTCCAGTTCAACTTCATATCGACTCAGGCACTACAAGGCCTTACTGGCTTAACCCACAGAATCTGGAACGGCTCCGCTCCGGACCGGCAGGCTGATCAGATCCGCAAGCATACAGCGCCCGGAGGAGGAGCACTCGCCAGGTTACCGATGTATCTCGCGAGACTGGACGAGATCACACGAGCTCTCGCGTGTTTCCCCGGGAGTCATAGAATGAGATCTGCCGATCGGTGTATACAAACGGCGTCGTATATAAACACCCATATCCCACAACCCTGGCCTCTCCTATTGTCAAGTGAAGAGAATTCAACTCATCGACTTTATTTTATTTTGAAAATTAACCAGATATTTTATTCTGTAGCCGCATACAACTTCTGCTGCTGCTCGTGCTGCGCTGCACTGACTTGATTCTCCAGCGTCAAAAATAGAAGCCTAGCGTATCTGATCTAGCCGTCGGACACCGAACGGATTTTGTGGACTGACACATGTTTGTGTTTTTGATCCGCCGGCCAGGCCAGAGCAGAGCAGAGCCGTTCCAGATCCCGTGGGTTTTGCCCGTAACCACATGACACATTGGAAAGTCTACGAATTGAAATCAAACATTAACCTTTCCACTAACTTCTTTGCTCGTCTTCTGTGCCTCGACCGTAAAACAGCGGTGCATCATTATTATTGGTCCCCGGCAGCTCACTTCTGTTGTGGCTTTTTTTTATTTGCATTCTTTTCATGTCGCAGTAAGTGACTTTTGTTTTCTGTTTTTTTCCCATCATCACTTTTTTTTCACACCGTTAACTTCCGTTGTTGTTGTTTTTTGTTTTTGTTTTTTTGCTGTTTTTTTTTTATCTGCATGTTTCTATTTTTATTTGCAGTGGGCTTCGGTTTCTTTCTTTTTTTTTTGCATCAGTAACTTGCGTCGTAGCTTCTTTTTTTTCTGTATCCTTTTTTTTTTTTTTTTGCATCCTTTTTTTTTTTTTGCAGCAGTGGCGGTTCTCGGCCACCATATCTTTGTAATGCCGGAAGCTGCACAGGAAAAGGTCCATTTCAGCAGCAAACACCGCTCACACTCTCCACGTATTGAGATGCATGTAGTGGCTATTTTTACGCACCAAGCAGGTCCACACACAGGAGGGGGGCTGCACACGGACTCAGATGCTGTATTTTGTGCATGGCTGAGCATGAACTATTGAGACGTGAGGGTCACAGTAAGGGTGCCACCAACCGTATGCTGCCGGTAGTTACTTGTCGGCTGTTGACAAGGGAATCCGTGATGGCCTGTAGAGGAAGGCCGAGTGTGTTAACAAGCCCGTATAGACCACAGAAGACTGGCTCTCTGAGGTGGCGTCCGAAATAACATGACATCTGCTCACACAGTGAAATATACAGTATGCTATGGTAACCTCTTTTTCCAAAGGCATGAAAAGATTCATCCAGACGGGATGGTGATGGTGGTGATGGTGGTTTCTTGCAAGAAGGAACTCATAACAAATCTGGCCTGTTCTTATCGAAAATACACGTCGTTAGCGTCCAGAATTACGCATCTGATGAGATGATCTGTATGAGACATGAGGCATTTATGATCAAATATAGCACACTACAGTCATAGTAGCATGTAGCCCCCCTGAAGCAAAGCTGTAGCATGTGTACTTACTATCAGTGTCGATGAGCTCAGTCGGGATAACAGTGAGTCCTCCGGATGGGAAAGCCCGGTGTCGGTTTATTTGGTAGAAATATGCATCTTTGCAACGATTTTTATGGCTGTAATTTTATGGCTATAAATGTGCAAGCTGCTCCGCTCGTAAACAGACTGTTAGAGGAAGAAAAATAACAAACGTATCTCACTCGGGTTTCCTCCGCGTATTGCAGTTGCGCATGGCAAAGGTAAGAAATGGCAAGAATCCATACAAAAAACATACATGCACTATATACAAACGCATCCCCATACACGACGAAACACCGATTCACCACACTCCCCTCCTTTTTTTTCCTCCTCCTCCTCTCCCCCTCTACGATCTTGAGCTAATTCACGACGTCATGATGGAGACGCACCGTGCGTAACAGTCCCTCTCTCACGCATTATCAGCCTTTTTTTTTTCCTCCTCTCCTCTCCTTCAACCCCTCCTATCTGAGATGAAACACGCCAAGATTCAGGCCCACAGAAAGCAAAATATCATAATGAATCTCACGAGGAGGATTTGGCTTGCTGTTTTATCCCGCCTTGTATGATTATATCACAGCGTAAGGACTAGACACGGATGGTGGTGCAGATATGGCGCTGTGGCATTAACAGAGACTACTTTGTTAAGCCCTTGTCTCCTAAGCTCTTTGGATAAGTCAACGAAGCAGCAGTCTGTGATTTCTACAACACTGGTCATCTATTAAATCAGAGCCAGTTGACTCCTCTCCTTCTCTTCCTTCTGAGAGTTTCCCACCATCCCTGCTCCTCTTCTGCCATCTATTCTGAGATCAGCATCCTCCTTCATATTTATACATCTGCTGAATAATTAAAGGAGGGCTGAGGAAGACAGAACCTCTTCCTCTGTCGCTCATCTTTTACTTCACTTCATCTGGATCTTCTCAGATAACTCCAAATAATGAAAATCTAAAAGCTAGATAAGTCACAAGAAACAGAAGACTATTTCATTACTGTTGTGGAGAACCATTTAACATAAAAAACACATATATCTAATATATATAAAGGGTTGACAACAGACATTTTACACAATACAGATTATATTAACCCTTAGTCTAGGGCAGAGGTGGGCAAACTAAGGCCCGGGGTCCACATGTGGCCCGATTAACAATTTCATCGGGCCCGCAGAACCGTCACAAAAAAAGGAACATTACTCCATGAGCCAAATATTGTAAGCTTGATTTGTTAGAACAAGTGTCCCTCCCCGCCTTTCATCCAGCTTGCTAACATGTCCTCTCAAGAAAGTGGGACCAAAGATTTTAGAGCGTCATCAACCATCTCTGGTGGGGCTAATTTACAGGCTCTTCAAAATATTTTCCCTGTCATCAAGGAGGATTATAACTCAACCCCCAATCCGCATTTAGGGGGTTTGTTTCGTGCACCACCTGGCCGGCCTGTCCATTGATATCTAAAACCCAACGTGGCCCCTCAGACAAAATAATTTCCCACCCCTGGTCACCTGTGTGAATTTACAGTTATTTTATCATTTTGACATATTGATTTAACACAGAGGACCTAAATTCGCACACAAAACACAAAATCCGAGTGGGAAAAAAGTCACATTTTTTTACTGTGAAAACCACAAATATGTTTAACGAACCATTTTCATAACTTAGACTGCAAATATAAACTGTAAACTCCAAAACATATATACAATTTTAGCAAATATTACAGTAATTTACCACTATTTACATTAAAATGCACCGAACATGACAAAAATAATAACATAATTTATCGTAACTCTGGTTTTGTTTGGTCCAACAACACAATTTAAAAAACTGGTATATAGTTTGAGGTACTCACTTTGGAGACAAGTTGAAACGTGATTTTGACGCTCAGGAGCATCAATCAACTCCAAAGGGTTAAGGAAAAATGGGAATTAGAATTAAATGTCATAGGTGAAGATACTGAATGGGTGGATATATGGGCTGGGCGCCATATAGGGATGAATAACTAGTTGTGGAAAGAGTTTGATTGGATAAGAAATTTTAATACTCTGTTTATGTTAGGAGAATTTTCTTTAGCCAATCCCATCAGCCTTTAGGGCAGTGGAGCCATGCAACTTAGATACCATGGATATGTTGGTGTTAGATCCTCCACAAAAAACCTTGTTCACATTTTTGACACCACTCAGGTTCCCAAAATATGTGACGCTATGGTATTCTCCTACATGGGCTCTCCATATGTTCAACTAAGGCTCCTTAAAATATGTTGTTCTTTGTTCTTACTCTACAAGGACTCTTCTTCAGGTCGACTAAATGCCAGCAGAATGCTTAGAAACGTGGACAACTATATAAACTTGAACAGTCCTAGACCAGTCTTTGTTACAGTTGTGGCATGATGAAGCTGTAACCCAGATCTGCAATCTGTAAAGTTTGTCAAACTGACCATTCATGTGAACCTGGGCTAAGCATCCTTACAGTTTATTATTTCCACATTAGTAAAAGATCCTACAGTGGCACTATGCTGGCGAAATTGTGGAAAAGATACCACACATATTTTTAGGGATGGTCCAGTTATTAAAGGGTATTGAAAGAATGTCAAAATAGAAATGGAAAATATTCTGAATGTTGATGTCCCAGTGGAACTAGTGTTACATCGAAGGAAAAATATAACCCGAGACGAGCGATAAATATTAAGAATTCTTTCCATGATTGTGAAGAAAATGATGACAGTCAACTGAAGGACAGCAAAGGCAGAAACTGAAGAGTGCAACTTTGCAGATGACTACGGAGACTTTTGGGAGGAGATGGAGCGAAGTTTCACAGTATTTGGGAGTCGAGTGAGGGGTTGGAGGACTGAGGATGAGATGATGTTAAGGGTTTTTCTTTCATTTTAATTTATCTCTCTAAGACTGTACCTGATTAACCCCCTTCCCGTTATTTTTTTTTTTTTTGGTTTGTTTCTGTCTGTTCTGCTACTTTTTTTTCGATGGCGGCGTTTGTTTGTTTGTTTCAATGTTTGTTTAACGTATGTATTTATTTAGTTTTGATGTAGATTTGTTGTGTGTATTCTTGTTTGTTCTGTTTTTGCGATGTTTGTGTGGTTGTGTAAATGTGAATTGTGGTGCAAACTTAATGAAATGCTTCAATAAAAAGTTTTGAAAAAAAGCTAGATAAGTACGATCTGGTTTATTGATTATAGATATGACAATACAGAATTTGGGAACAGTGAGGAGTAACCCACACAGGCATTTAAAAGATTGAAGCGATACTGATAAGACAGGAGTGAAATGGAAGTGTTTCAGGTAAACAGCGACAATAAGAATGATTTAAATACGCAACGATAACCTGTGGGTTTACAGAACATCTGTACAACAAACAAGTCAAATATTCAAATCAGCAAAACACATGTAACTGTACATGTCAATATTTTCCAGCTTTGTAATAATTACATACATTTACAAGTCATTTCTTGACTTTTTCATCTCACACTTTGACAATCAAAGTACACTATCATAGAAGCAAGTACAGGAATCACGAGAAAAATAAATTCAAGTCTCATTTGGAAATGGTGCCTAGGCGATTAGATTCATCAGATACTTTAAAAAAAATCATAAAAAGGGCGCACAGTTGGTCTTTAAATGGTTCAGAAGTACAAATGAGTCTACAGTGAATACTACTCATGCTAAATGTGTTGCTTGTTTGGTGTCAAGGCACGCTTCAAATAACAAGGGTGGGTTTTTGTAAAGGCAAACAAAGGAAGAAACGCTGCCAACGAAATACACTTGTTACAAATGTTTAAGAATATCCATCTCAAAGAAATTTGGGAAAGGCTTTTTCACCGTAAGACTACAGCATGATGACATAAATAAAGAAAGCATAGCTGAGCTTATTTTTGCTTTTAGAGTGTCAGTGTTTCTATCAGCGTTTTACCCTGAATACATCGTTTAAATGTCAGTTTAATAGCCAACGAGGAGTGCATGCTGTCTGAGCCAAACTGAGTCTCCATCATCTTCAGACTCTGCTCGCTCTTTTCATCATTCCAGGAATTTTCAAAAAACGCATTCCCTCTCGTGCCGAAAACGATAAAAGCACCACTTGCAGCATGTTACTGGAAATAAATACATGAAATGTGAATTCAAACATGCTCTTAACTCCGCGCACGGGCAGAGAGACGTTTTTGTCATTCTTCCCTTCAAACTCCCTGAATGGAGGGTTGATTTACTGGAGTGTGATCTCAGAGTTCTTCTCTACCTTGAAGGAGTCGCTGATAACTCAATACGACTGGAAACAATGGAAGGGTTTCTTTTCACCAGTCTCGCCAAATTAGATCAAAAATTAGCCTGGGAAAGAAAGAAAAAAAAAAAAAGGAAAGAAAGACAGATATGGTGCCTTTTATAAATATTTCTGTTCGTGCAGGGCTTTTGATCTTTCTTCGCTGTTTCTTCATGCTCTGGGAATGTTTTCTACCCAGAAGGCCTCACAGGGGAGTGAATACACAGTTTACTTGTCCTGGGGGGCTGAAAGCTGTTTAGATGCTAGGAGTAGTGTTCAAACTAAGCTGCAACGTTAAATACAATTGATCGGCTTTATGTCAGTCACTCTACATGAGCTTCTCTACTCTAAGTATCATACACCTACATCTGCAGCATAACTTTTAATCTTGCAGCTAATTTATCCTTCTATGCTTTGGTTTGCACCTAAAACGCAGGATGTTTACCCTAATTTGTACTTTTTTTTTTAAGCGTTTCTAGCTGTTCTATCTCTCACCGCTTCACAAACTGAAGCTTCGGTGGTGCTGTTTGTGGAACTGCTGCTGGCGCTCTTTGGCCGACGTCTCCATCAGCTTGTCTCTTCTATCAATCACGCCGCCGCCGCCTCTCTCCCTCTCCCCCTCATCCCCAGTCACGCTCCCTACATCGCTGAGATCCCCGAGGTGCTCTATGGAGTCATATTTCTCCAAGTCGGAAGCGATGGTCTGGAGGCTGAACACCGAGAGGGAATCCGACCCTGCCCGCTCCCTCTCCTTTTCATTCTCCTTCTCCTTGTATTTCTCCACCAGGTTGGCAGCTGCATCCGCTCGGTCCGTCCCGGTCGCACCACCGCTGCAGGCCCCGCCCTCCAGCTTGACTTTGACATCGGACTCGGCTCCGACGGGAGGACTCCGCCCGCCGCACACAGTGGGGCGGCCTCCCTCGGCCTGGTCCCTCCCCCTCTGGGCGTGGATCTGCTCGCTGATTTGTTCCAGGTTTCTCAGAGCGATGGAGTAGCGGGTCTTGACTTTAGCGACGTGTTGCTCCAGCTGCAGCACCTTGGTCTTGTTCTCCTGGAGTTACAGAGGACACACAAACTTTCCTCATCAGGGATTTTACTCCATAACCTACCGATGAGCTCTAATAAATCCATTAGTTAGAGAAAATATTACATTTTTTTACAAACTCAACACATTTGCTACCTCACAAAAGAGCCAATGTTGCTCTTTCGAGGTTAAGAGTGATTCTTATCTGTATCCTAACTGAGCTCTGGTTGTCTACATTACCTCCAGTATGTGGTTGAACTGGGCCTTGAGCTCAAAGTAAGGTTTGGATTTCACAATGACTCTTTTCAGGGACTTTTGCAGCATCTGAACTCGAGCCTCGGCCTCCTGACAGGCTTTTGTGACGCGCATGTGTTCCCTCTCACTGCGGAGCCGCTCCTCCTCTGCTTCGTTCACCTACGAGATACACACAGCAGGACGGCTTCAACAAAACGTAAACATGCACTCACACAGCTGATGGTGTGCTTGAGGACTGCAACTCTACTCCCCCTAAACAAAGTTGAGTGTTTAGGTTTTTACACATCGCTTAGTTTATGTACAAATATTTGGGAGTTTCACTGCGCGTGTGAAGTTACAGCAGCCAGGATGAGAAAACAAACTCAAATCTCTGACGATACTTGAGAAGGAAGGAGATTTGAAACAGGAAGAATCCGATTTAGAAAAAAAAAATGCAAATTGATTATGTTGAGATTCTTTACAGCCAGTCAAAAGACGACGATTACAAACAGGAAATGAGAAATAAAACAGAGAGCAAAAGCTGCTTTTACAAAAGGACTTATTGTTTGTATCATATTGAAGATTGCTGAACATAATAAAAGTGTTTAAAGTCCAGTGTGGAGTTTTGATCATCTGTGATGATTTAGGGTGCCCGGTTAGATCTGCTGATGTTGGTCTACTGTGTTTCATCAAGTCAAGAGTCGATGCAGCCTGAAGGAGATTGTAGAGTTTCACAGAGATCTGGTTTCCTTTTCCAGCAGGACTTAGCACCTGCCTGCAGCACCAAAACTACTGCTAAAACCGAGACTCTCACCCCTTCAACACACACTCACTGCACTGAGGAACTCCTTCAGGGACAGGATGCTCCACTCGAAGTGTGTGACGGAGAGGTATCACAGGTTGTTCCTTCCTGCAGCTGAGTGATTTAGCACCAATGTTTTGAAATACATTCACCTCATCTTCAGTTTTACCTTGGCGGTGGCGTGGTTGAGCATCTCCTGCCAGGTTGGGTCCAGAGTGTTTTTGCCGTCAGCCATCAGGCCCTGCTCTGCCACATAGACCATCTCCCTGGCAGCTGTGTGCATAGAAACGGCCCTCTCGTAGCTCAGGGCGGCCTTCTGGGTCTCCTGCTGAGCCTGTAGAGAAAAGGAAATCTTAATCCCTGACAAAGACGGGAAACTCTCTTGAATCGTTGAAGTTTTAACATAAACGCAAATGTAAAAACTGATGAGATAAGTAAAGGGAAATAAGAGAACTACTATGACGTTATATTTAGTTACAACATTCAACAGCCAAAGCCTCCCCAAATAGAAAATCAACCGTAACTCATTAAGGAACTGGAGTGGATGGATTTCAGTTTGTGGTTGTGATTAGAGTCCTAATCCCTGCTAAGACTTACTTTTGTTTGTTGAAAAAAAACTTAACTCCCTGCAACAATAAGAAGATTCAATCATCTTATTCGTGAGAATGCTGTTTGCCCGGGGTAATTCCAGTGTGTGCAGACTTTGTTTGGATCAATGTTCATTCAAAACAACAGCTGAGTGATCATTCAGTTTCATAGGAGGGAGACTTTTCAGGCAACACTCAGGCTGACGGTTAACAGAGAAAGGGCTTATGGGGTGACTCATCAGACGGCTTGCATCAATGTTCAGGCAATTTAGACTAAGATGTTAAAGACAAGTCCCTTACATGCACTTGGACTAATGTAAGGAGGATCAGCATGTGCGTTTCTGAGCCCAGTGCATAGGCAGAAGTGCTCTCTAATTGCTCCATTTCTCTATCACTCTCTGAATCTTCTCTACACTCCTCAAGAGTAGTTATAATTATTGATATAGTTTGAATTGGACGCCAAAAACTTCACACTTCTTTCTATCAAGGCCTGCAGTTCACTGACTTCATTTCTTTACAGAAGATTGCAGAAAATAAAACAAGCAGTTAGTAACTCATTATCTGGGACAGGATGTGTGCTGTGTCCACTTCAAACCAGTTAAAGCGCAATGACCCAGTTTTATTCCATGAATCATAAAAACCTGGAGGACTTTGTACAACACCTAAATTTCTCCACCTGCTGTCTCGATTTTCTGCCTCCAGGTTTTTTTTTTTTTAAGTTTCACTCGTCATGTCAGACATCACAGGCCCTGAGAAGTGCTGTCATCGGGCCATTGTTAGGGAAGAACAATCTAGACAAGACACTGATGAACAATTATAGGCAAATAATAGAATAACCATTTTAAGACTTATAATTTTCTGATACTAAGCGACTGCTTTGGTGTTTACAGGTCAGGTTTTAAACCCCATCACACCACTAAGATTACTCGGGTTTGGCTGCTTCTGCCACAGAGGGAGGACTCTCTGGTTTAGTGCTACACTGGTTTCAGTGTTACCTAAAGGACAGAGACTATCTGAGCAGACAAAAGTTTCATGTGGAGTTCCCTAAGGCTCTTTCCTGGGGCCACTTCTGCAAAACATTTATATGTCACCACTGGCTCAGATTATAGAATATAAGTATGTTACTAGACGATGAAAACAGCATGAAGATCTACAAATCAATGTCACCAAGAAGGCAACAGCCTCATACAGCCCCCTGTAAGTGGATCTGCCTTCATTTCCTGCGGTTGAATTACGATAAAAGAGTTGTTGTTGTTTGGAGACAAAGACGGGGAGATTAAAACTGTGACTAGCTTCAAATGTTACCGATGAAAACCACTGACCAAGCAAGAAATCTGGGTATAGACATCAGCTCAGACATAAATCTTAGAAATCACATTAATACAATTACACAAAGTCGGCCTGCCGTTGCTTAAGGGATATACTGAGGATTAAATGACTTGTATGTCAGTGCGACCTGGAAAAACTGGTCCATGTATTTATCTTTAGTCGACTTGATGACTGTAACAGTGTCTTTGCAGGTATCCCTATAAGAATCAGAGAACTGCAGCTGATTCAAAACATAAATCCTCATCTGTCAGAGGATAGATTTAGAAAAATACTAATGCTGGTTTATAAAGTCCTGAATGGTTTAGGGCAGTGGATCTCAAGTCCAGTCCTTGAGGCCCACTGTCCTGCATGTTTGGATGTTTCCCTGCTCCAACACACCTGATTCAAATGATCAGCTCGTTATCAAGCTCTGCAATGGCTTAATAACAAGCTAATCATTTGAATCAGGTGTGTTGGAGCAGGGAAACATCCAAACATGCAGGACAGTGGGCCTCGAGGACTGGACTTGAGAACCACTGGTTTAGGGCTAAAACAAGAGGTCTTCTTAAAGCAGGGGTGGGCAATCATGTGCCATGGAGGGCCAAGAGGCTGCAGGTTTTCATCCCAACCCAAAACTCCAACAGGTGATTTCACTGATTACCTCACCTCCAAGCAGAGAGCAGGGACTAATTAGTGAAATCACCTGGTGGAGTTTTGGGTTGAGAAGAAAACCTGCAGCCTCTCGGCCCTCCATGGCACATGATTGCCCACCCCCGTCTTAAAGCTACAAACTGCCCAGAACACTGGTGTGTACTGGGACAGGTCTAGAGAAGCAGCGTTCACATTATACACTTTATATATCTGGAATAAACTCCCACAAAATTTCAGATCCACTGAAACTCTAAGTTCTTTTAACTCAAGGTTGTAGACGCTCCTGTTTACAGCTGCCTTCTATTAAATCATACAGAAAAACATCTTTCAATGTGTTTTCCTGACCTTTGCCATGACTCCTTGTCAAATGTGCTTTATACATAAACTGTCTTGCCTCTATTTAGAGTCTCTACTTTAAAAGTCAAATTTTTAAATAAACAGCACACATGTTAACACATTTCAGAGCACGTATTGTGAGTATTGTGTGTGAATACCTCTTTAGCAAGGCGACGAGCTTCATAATAGGGTCTTGCTTTCTCGATGCAACCACCAAGCTGAGAGCTCTGAGCGTTAAGCTTCCTGGCAGACTCTGTAAGAATCTTCCGGTACCCTGATCTGGCATCCTGGATGGTTAATGCATGAAAATGAGAAGATTAGATTTACCAGTTATAGATTGACCGAACTATTACATTTCACACAAGACTAAGGCTTCAAGTGAGAGTCAAAGTAAGGATAAAACACATGTCCCTCATAAGAGTTCAGACTTACTATATGTTTTGGTTTCAGATAAGGGAAACATTAAACTACTGATTAGAGCCTTCTGGGTAGACCGCTAAATTATTTACTACAGGAAAGACTCTCAAAAGATTCCCAGAGAAGTTGTAAATGTTCTATTCATATTTCCCATGAGTATAGTTTTATCAAAATGGAATAATATTCTCTGTGTTTTATCCTCATTTTACAATAATGTGCAGAGAGAATGATCAGCTACTAAAGTGAAGTGTTTTCTTTTCCCACTTACATCCAACTGCAGCTCCAGTCTGTTAATTTCTGCACTCGCTTCATTTAGATGCTCCAACTCTTCCTGTGTGAATGAAAGGATAAGTAACACACTGAAGGCTGTGTTTCACCACAAGACAAATTCATTTTTACACATACAATCTTTACAAAATCGCTTTCAGATATTACATTACATTTTTTTATTCCATTATTATATTACTTCCTTAATACTTTTGAGATTTGGCAGCAGATATATACACCAACTAGTCATAAAATTATGAACACGAGCTCAGTCCAATGCAACTCTACGGTGGCCGAGAACCGCCGCTGCTGCAAATAAAAAGAGAATGCAAAAAAAAAGAATGCAGAATAAAGAAGTCACAACGAGAGAAACTGATGCAAAAAAAGAAATGGTGCAGATAAAAAAGCCACAACGGAAGTTAACAACGCAAAAAAAGTTACTTACTGCGAAAATAAAAGGATGCAAATAAAAAAAGCCACAATGGAAGTGAGCTACCGGGGACCAATAATGATGGTGCACCAGCGTTTTATGATCTAGGCACAGAAGACGAGCAAAGAAGTAAATGGAAAGGTTATTGTATAATTTCGCTTTGTGTGCTTTTCAATGCGTCATTTGGTTAGACCATGTAGCACCTGAGTCAATATGAAGTTGAACCGTAGCTAACACTAAACCAGCATCCTCCAGATCAACTTCATATTGACTCAGGTGCTACACGGTCTAACCAAATGACACACTGAAAAGCACACGATGTGAAATTAAACAATAACCTTTCCACTTACTTCTATGCTCGTCTTCTGTGCCGAGATCATAAAACGCCGGTGCATCATCATTATTGGTCCCCGGCAGCTCACTTCCATTGTGGCTTTTTTTTTATCTGCATCCTTTTATTTTCGCAATAACTTTTGCATCACCACTTTTTAACTTCCATTGCGGCTTTTCTTTTCTTTCTTTCTTTTTTTTTGCCATGGTAACTTCCATACCTATACATTTAACTTTTACCTATATTTTCGTTTTTTGTTAACATGATCAGACAAGCAAAAAAAAAACACTGAAAATTAGTGTTAATGATGTAATAGAGTGCACTGCATCCCTAATGTTTCATCCTTCAATATAGTGCACCTCTAATCAACCATCCCTCAGTAATAACTTTAAGTTCGATATACCTACAATAATCACCTCTGTTTGTATTACAAATTGAAAACTCTTTGGCTTACTTAAAGGACAATTTCCAGTTAAAATTGTCGTATATGATTGCATAACATTGCCCAGGTTTTACGGTTATTGCTGGTTTATGTATATCAGGAAAATATTCTGGCTGAAATAAAATGTGTTTTAAAGGTATGTTGCAATGGTGCAGTAGGAACAGCATTAACACTCATTCTCAGGTAGACCCTTTGTCCTTCAAACTGGATTTGCATAGATTATAAAAACACAATAGGGCGGATTATCTAAATGACTCATGATGACACACTGCTACCTTTCCATTAGGCGTTTCCCAGAGCTGTCCAGTCTTTCCTACCCCGGTACCGTTAACAATAACAGCAGTCTGGATCATTTATTTCTGACCTATTTTAACGGGAGGTTGAATTGTGAAACATAAATCACAGATCTGAGTCTCGTACCTGGATCCTGGGGTCCAGTTCTTCCTCGTAGGGACTGTGTAGTTGCTCTCCCACGCATTTTTGTTTCTCACTTTCCCCATCCTCACATGTGTCCATGTGTGCCGACTCTTGTGGGTTTCCATTAGTTTCTGTACCTTTGACCTCGTCCTCCTCCCCGGGGATAACCTCCCTCCAATCCCCCGCATCTGACTCCCCTGATCCGGCGGGGCTCTCACGCAGGTCGCCTGGCTCCATTCCAGGCCTGACAGTTTATCAGCGGCACCGTTAGCTACTGTTATGATGATGACAGCTTATTCACCTGCACTCACAGGACTAGCAGCAGCAATATTATATCACCCAACGTGATTAAATAAGAAATTAAATAATGTAGTTACGGTGGTTGTAGGATTTGTAATAAGCCATATCAGATGGCACCGAAACACGAAACCAGCGCAGCTAGCCTCGCTGCAGCCTAGCCTAGCGGTACACACGGCTAACGTCGACGGTGGGAATTTAACGTTTTGTTCGCAGCAGACAAGTGAGAACAAACGGCCAGCATGAGATGAAAAGTTAAAGGAGGAACATCGCAATGTCCCTCCATCCCATATGTTCTTCCTCCACCTCTTACCGCCCGATTCTCCATTACTTTAGCTAGGCTAGCTAGCTAGCGTCCTCGGTCTCACATCATCATTGCCACTGAAGTAAACAGAGGAAGAGCTTTGGAGGGGCGCTTCCTCACGTTTGGACATGGACGGCTTCCGTAGACTCAAGGAAAAATCATCGAGAAATACATTTAGTTTTGCACTCAAGGCTCGAAAAATCATGGAGACATAAACCCAAGCCCTTACTCATAGTGAGTCTTTTTTTAACGAAATGCTTAAAGTTGTAGAAAATAAAAATTCAAAGAAACACCTTTGTGGGGGAGACTGGGGTAAGTTGATTCACCCCCTGTTGCTTGGAAATGGTAAAAGAAATTGATCATGTGATCAAATATTTAGGAGATGGCCATCGATTCATGGAGTCTGTGAAGGTTAGAAGCACATGGGTGAAGGGGTTAGACATTTATTTACACAAAAAAAACATTTTTTACTCTTGAAAGTGAATTTAGTCTGTCATAAGTTTTATTAGAATTGTGTTCAGACCACTTTTATTTGGCATGCTATATTATCAGGATTACAGTTCTGTTTACACTCATTCTGTTGGTTTGCAGGGATGCACAACATCCTGAAATATATGCAGATACACTAGTTAGAGACAAAACTATGATTGACTTGATGTAGTGATTCGAAATATGAAAAAAAGTTCATCTTACCCCACTCTCCCCTATTGTTAGAGACTTAAGTGTATGAAAAAAGGCCCAGATTTTTTTTTTAGATTTGCCTCAAAGAAGTACATCATATATTTAAAAAATTCAGATTTTTAAGTCTATCTGACACTTGTGAAAGCCTTTGTTAAAATGTCAGAAATTAAATCCATTTGATTCTTGGGTATTTCAGTTAATCTAGGTAAGCAAACATCAAAGCTTTGTTTTTATTGTTATAAAATACTTTCCAACATTTTAAAGTTGTATGACATTTACATTTACTATGTTATCAAGGTATCACAGTCGTTTTATCTTAACTCTTTTTAAAGCCGTAGTTAATACCAACTTTATGACTGAATTTCTCCACAGTTTTTATAGCTGCATCATATTCGAAATTTAACTGTATTTCTATGGCACTTTTCAGACAAAAAATGCAGTTCAAAGTGCTTCACAGAGGCTAAAAACATCAATTAACAACAATAAAACCTGAACCTCTCAACCACACACCCACCCATGGACCCACACACACAAAGACACACACCCACCCTCACAAGCGCACACAGTGTGAGAATTTATGTTATATTGTTAAAGAGACATGACCTGACATTGAGACATTACATGAGGAAAGAGTTACCTTTGAGAAACACTGGAGATAAAAGGATAAAAATGGTAAAACGAAAGACTAAAACAATAATATTACATGAACAGGTAAGTAAGAGCTCTTTACCATGTAAAAGGGGTAAAAGAAGTAAAAACCTCTTTGACATGAATTAAATATCGAAGCTCTATGATCAAAACTAGAAGTTATAATGTGCGGTATGTAAAAATAAAGTTGCACCCCTGTAAATTGAGGTTCTGGGAGAATTTAATAAGAGAGTGGGAATCGAACGATATATTGTTTGAATATAGCCAAGAAGCAACTCGATATGAAGATAACTTGTGTATTGTCTTTTTATTCCAAAAATATACAAACACACAAATTTTATAGCTTGCAAGGTAACAAACCTTTAAGCAGTACTGCCATTGAAGAATCATCGAACAAAACTATTGACATTAAAAATGTAAGCAGGAAGAACTGATTCTCATAGTACACACTGACACCAACAATCAAATGAGTGATTATACTGCAGTTATGACCAGTCACCACTGCCATGAGCAACCATACCACAGATTGTTTTTCATATTTGTATAGGACACGGACAGTTCACACAGGCTACCAGAAATTTAAAATAATTTAAACAATAATGGCAAACTAATTCATCGCATTGAATGCAGTGATGAACATCATGTGCACAATTAGCATATTATAAAAAATAGAGATCTCTGATGAATAACAGCAGTTTGTCTCACAAACCATTTAGGCAGTATCCTACTCGGTAAGAAATGTTTTGGAATAATGAGAAAACACCTGAGTGGCACTGGCAATAGCCCCAACACCAGAAAGAGAGACAATCCACTCTGTATTATCCAGCACAATTAACCAGAGAACATACCACTCGATCAAGAGTAAGTTTGAGGATATCAGTCTTTGGTCTGGATGCTCTCCCTAATCGTCAGTTACAAAAAGGCTACGATACATTGGCTTTACTCTGGATTATCAGCTCCAGCTGGTATCATACTTGATCCATCCAGGAGGAGGAGCTAAATAGATCCTCCGTCCTCTTGACATGAAGCTGACAACCCCCATGTATCCTGCTCTTGGTACCCCAGACTTCAAGTCATCCATGATTCCCAGGTTTTTGGCCATTATTTTGAAGCTGTCTTTACTTGAGTATAGGAGGCGGTAGGGCCCTTGTCCTTTCAGCTGGCCCTGCTTAACATCTTCATATGTGACCACAGGGGCACTGTAAACGTCCTTCTGAAAAGTTTCTCTGTAGGTCTCCTCCTTCAAGTAACTCAGGTCTATCTTGGTGAAAGGCACAAATTCGGTATTCAGTTTAATGTAGCGCAGGTATTTGTCATAAAACTGACCCAGACTTACACCCTGCCGGCCAAAGGTCAGAGTTCGGGATATCTCTGGACGTATACAGGCACGGTTGCGCCGCTGCTCTGGCTGACGCATCCAATCGTCCCAGAATGAAGCGGGCCACTTAGGCTCCAGCTCCTCCCACACATCCTTGAGGACCATCCACCCGAGACCAGGAAAGAAGTCTGTCCTGTAGAGCAGGTTAGCCTTCCCTGGATCCACATAGCCATCTCTGCCATTGTCATTCCAGGCTGATACACACCACAGGCTGGGGTCAGATTGCAGCAGTGGCAGCAGGGCTCGGAAGTACTCAAAGAAGTCTGGCGCCACCTAGAGTGGGAAATAAATAACCTGAATTAGACTGAAAAATGTAAAACCAAATGTTTCCAGGGCATGGAAATGTAACAGCCATGAAATACAAGGCCTCTGGATACGTTTTTAGTATGTTGAAATAAATGTACATTTAAATAAGACTAATAAGATGCTTATTAGTAAAATGATTACCTCCAGATCATCCTCTACAATCACAACAGAGGAATGGGAGAGAGTCTTGAACACTTGGTTAAGAGCCCAGCGATAATGCCTGGAGATCTTGTAGTACCCCTGAAACTTCTTGTGCCCTGGTTGCACAGCAATATCCGACAAGTCCGGCTGTTTCAGATGAGTTACTTTATCTCCATAAGATCGAATCACCTCAGCGGTCTCAGCATGTCCACAGTCCTGACTGACAATGATTGGATAGAGCTCTGCTGAGGGCCGGTACTCCAGGAGTTTGTCCAAGCAGCGCCTAACAGTGACCCTGTTGCAGGCGATCACCAGGATAGGAATTACGGGCTGACTTTGAGGGCCAACCTTTGGTCCGTCTTTGTTTGGTGAATCCCACAGGGACTGGTGATTCTGGATCTGCAGCAGGATTTCCTTCTGCCTTTCCAACTCGGCTTCGAATGTGTCTGCCATTCGGAGCACATCTCCCACCACATCGTTGGTTGGCCTTTCAGCCACCTCTCTCTGATCTCGGCCAGACTCATCTGGCTGCCCGGTCGGGGGTCTGCCCCACAGCAGGAGCACGAGTATGGCATTCCAGGTAATAAACAGGAAGGTACCACAAAGAATGACAGAGCCTCTCTTGCGGAGCATGGCCCAGAAACTTAAAGGGAGGGAGGTCGGATCAGGGGGACAGGATCTGAATAGAAAGACGTGTCCTTTTCACAGACAATAGGAATGGGATATGGGAAGGGCAGCTTGTGTACCATCACAAGGGCATATTTTGAGATCTGTACACACACCTCGTAGCTGGAAAGGTACACAATTGAGAAAGACACAGAGCAGTGTCACTGAAGGCGGAGGTGGTTAAAGTAAAATGGAGAAAAAAACACATCTTGAAGCAAAGTTGTGAGAGTGGCATCTCCTCCACTTTCACTGCCGTCTTCTGTCTGAAAATATGAGAACATAATGTACTATTAGGGGACAAGGTAGCAACAACAGTGACAGGAGATAAGATTTGATGAAGAGAAAAACGAAAAAGCAGCGTGAACAGGAAATGGAGCCGGGCTTTAGTGAACATCTGGTTGGTGATTTGCTGTGAAGTGAAGTGATGATTCACTAAACTGTGCCGTATCGATTTCTTCTTATCACCTGTGGCTGCCCCCTCGTCAAACCAGCGAAAGTGAACATTATAGAGGCAGAAATACGACCACAGAGACTGACTTTCGACTTAGCTGAACTCCCTGCTTCTTGACGGATAGGTTTTACTCCACAGACTGTAAATACTGTCGCTGCAGGAGGAGCGTGTTGAAATTAGCTCTTACCCTGACACTGTCCGGACTTTTCCGTCATTTCTCCGCCGTTTCTTCGATGACAACCGGTGAAGTTAATCGACACGAGCCGCGAAGCCCGACAGAACCGGAGCGAGACTGTTCTCCGGCGAGTTTCCCGGCTAATAACGTAACTTAACGCCCCTTAGTTGATCTGGTTTCTCGCAAGACTGGAAAAGGAGGAGGAGGACAGAGAAAAGTAACACGACGACTTCCTGGGTAGCGCGCAGTCACAGGAAGTCCCGCCCTAACTGTCACCTTGAGAAATTACGCAACACTTTGACGTCTGAGGGGCAGAGTTTGGGTTCAAGACTTGACTTAGTGCTCAGGTGTGATTTTGAGAAAGAAAAGCTGATATAATTCTGGGACATAAACATATTCACCCACATTTCTTAATTACTGTCCTCAGTTCATCTGGTCTGATGTCCTCACCTGAACACTTCTACAAAACTCATACAGGGGAGGGTGGGGTAAGTTGAGCCACTCCTTGTTGCTTGGAAATGGTAAAAGAAGTACATACTGATGAACATTTACATATAAATATGTGGGATTAGAGCCAAATGGATAATTTCCATCCCCAGTCCCATTGGCAGGTTGATGTTAAACATAAATCAGGATCAGAAGGGGTTTTATTGCCAGTGTCAATGAACAGGATTCACAGACTAGGAATTTTTTACGGCGTGATGGTAAAACATTAAACAGAGAATAATATACAAAATACTAGAATAAAAAATTAATAAGAGCATGCTGGACATATATAAAGTATAAAAGTATAAACGGCTCAACTTACCCCACTCCTATGGTCAACTTACCCCATACACGGGGTAAGTTGACCATAAGAGACCACTTTTTTTGGCATGCTATATTATCAAGACTGTTATGTTTACACTCATTCTGTTGGTTTGCAGGGATGAACAACATCTTGAAATATATGCAGATATACGAGTTAGAGACAAAACGATGATCGCCTTGATGTAGTGATCGGAAATATGAAAAATGGCTCATCTTACCCCACTCTCTCCTATACCTCATTTACATGCAACAATACAATCTGCTACACCGACCATTCAAATTCAAATACCAGTGAACTGAGTTATCTAATATTAATGTTGGGTAAAGATCACATTCATACTTGTGTGTCTAAAAGCTGTGACCCTTCTTCTCTGTATGTATTAATAATTATTTTAACTATAATGAATCATTGGTACGTGTATTAGAATGTACAAAAGACTGTGAAACTCAATAATACTTGATCATATCTGTGATGTTTTAACTTTTCATATTTTGGCTCTTGTGCGCTCCCATCTATTCACTTGGTATCTTTTTATTAGTCTTTTTACCCTGGTTTTATATCATCCATCGCCAATGCTCATACAATTCAAGTATCTATTTCTGAAGTGTTTTCCCTTGCTTTGAAAATATCTGTATGTTTAATTAGACTCAGTGCAACACTAACACCTTGTTATCATATCAAAGGAATTCAACTCAACAATATTTTTCAAATTATGACAATTTTAGACTGCTTGTCAGCAGTTAAGTGATGCATTTTGAAGACACAGTCGAACTGAGATGAAACAAAATCATGAATAATGATCTTCAGCTCAGCCTGAATACACGAAGTCTGTGTTTGGCTTTACAGTATATCCTATAAAAAAAAGAAATAAGCCAAACAGTTAACGTGCCGGTCCAGGCCCTGAGCATTGACCATTTGGACTCCTGGATTAGGCAGAGCAGGTTTACAGTTCGAATAAAGTTTGACTTTAAAAAAAAAGATCCTCTGACGTCTGAGATCTCTCAGAGGAGCTAATTAGCTGCATGTGATGTCTTTGTAAAGATCCATCAGAAATTTATTATCTACGTCCAAACACTGTGGCTTTGAATCTTGCTAATGAAAAACAGGAGAGATAAAAATGAGGGACCTGGTTGAAGAAACAAGTTATTTTTCAGCCTCAGCTGCAGAGAAGTGAATGTAGGCCGAGTCTGTATTTGTCTCAGAGGACTAAAGGCAAATGTGTTGTTAATCAGCGGGTAAATATGCCTTTCCTTCAGTCCACCGACAGAAAAAAACCCTCAAATGCAGAGACACATCCCGGGGAGCTTTATTTGTGGTACTTTTCAGCACCAAAGTACATTTTGCTCTGTCATAAAGTACTTAAAGCTCCTGTGAGGAATGCTTGGTGCCAAATTTGACACCTCCTGGGGACAAAGCAGTCTTTGCTCTTGTCCTCCTCAAGCTTAAGTAGAGACTTTTTACAGTCAAATGTATCATTTAGTTTATTTGGCTTCTTGGCTGACCCATAACCCCTCCCACAGGTTTGGAGGATTAAAAATTAAGATGTTTTCTTCATCTTCAATCTTAATGCTCAGTTCATTTGATTGTCTCATCTTACTCTTAGTAAAAAGCCACACAATATTTGGATAATGTACTTTTTAATGACCATGGTTCATGTATTCTCATTATCGTGCATTATACCGAGTGGCTGTTGTGGTTTACTTGCATTCATGTTTCAGTGCAAAATAAATCCCCATGGGGCAGGAACAGTTTCTTCACCCTGCCCTGTTGTGCAACAATAGTAGTAAAAACCACATTATATGATTTATCTAAACAAAATGGTACCAAGCTACATAGAACAATATCTTTCACATACTTAAATTGACGCTAAAATACAAGAAATATAAAAAGCATGATTGGCCAAGGTTTTACAGATAAACATGTCATCCTTTTAAGAAGAAGAAACTAGATTGAACCTCAACCAAAATTCGACTTGCTGCATAATTTTGATACCCTTTGTTTCCAACCATAAAAGCGTGTGAAGCAGTCGTGGATGACTGTGGCCCAGAGATAAAGCACGTCTTCTTTGAATCAGTAGATTGACAGTTTGATCCTTGCTTCTTGCTGTTCACACGTCAAAGTCAAAAGGTGAAGCCATCTGTGTGTGAGAGTGAATTCAGATCCCGTGCAGCTCTACGCACTGCACAGCAGCCTCTGCCACCAGTGGGTGAATATGACGTGGTTTAAAGCACTTTGAGTGGTATTAACTCTGAGGAAGTGCTAAAATAGTGTTATTCATTTCCCCTTTCTAGTAGGCAAAACCACTGTGAAGGATACTCCCTGCAGTTTCAAATCATGTATTCAAAAAATAAAGAGAACTGAAACTTTTAACAGAAAAACATTGTTCAGATATGATGCAGAAAACATTCCTTTTAACACGGATGGTTTATCGTTTTTGATGCGTTCACGAGCAGGTTAAAGGGATATACCAGCGTAAAATTAATTTAGGGTCAAACACACCATAACGCAGAGTTAGACACCCTGTCGAGAGTAGAACGTTGCAGACCGTTTGCTTCTCTAGTTATACCAACTTTAGTAACGGCCGCACGATAGCAATACACAGTGGTCTGAGGAGCCATAAACAAAGTTCAACCAAAACGCCACTCTACAGCCACAAATAATGCTCAGAACAGCACCTAACTTCATCAACAGTACATAGAGGGTCCCAGCCAAAGTACTAGCCACCAAACATCTTTTTAACTTTGACTAATTTCTTCAGCAATGAGACTTAACACAACTCACCTACTCTCTCCCAGCAGCCGCTTGTTTGTAGCGAGACCTCAGGCCAGTCAATCAAACGCTACAGCGGGGTGGCGCAGCTCAAGGGAGAACATTTATGATCATGTGAAGATGTTTGGTGGCTAGTACTATGGCTGGGACCCTATATGTCCTGTTGATGAAGTTAGGTGCTGTTCTGAGCATTATTTGTGGCTATAGAGTGGCGTTTTGGTTGAGGTTTGTTTATGGCTCCTCAGACAGCTGTGTATTGTTATCCTGCGGTTGTTACTAAAGTTGGTATAACTAGAGAAGCAAGCGGTCGGCAACATTTATCTCTTGATGGGGTGTCTACCTTGGTGTTACTGTGTGTTTGACCCTAATTGATGTGGTTTTGTGAGAAACTGTCTGTTACAGTCTTAGAAAGTCAGCCTGCACTAGATCATTTGCAATCCTTTAAGTTCATTTAACGTCTTTCATTAGTCTATTTTAGGATGCAAGACAGAATTATTTATCTATTTATGAGTCACAGCGTCACTATTTCAGTCATGCCTCCTTGTATTATTTCAGTGGTAATCAAGACCGTGATATTTATAGTAAATCTCCAAACCAGATGGGCATCATTAAAGTAGATGTACACTATCTAAATGCCATTGAGTAATTGTCAGCTCACATAGTTTTTGTATATTCTCCACTGAAAATAAAGTAACATCTTTAAAGCACATGTGGAAACAATACTTTTCTTTACAAGTCTATCAAGTTTATACAGTCCACTTACTCTGAAGAGGTTTTGGTGCAATTTTGTGCCAACGCTCTTGTCGATTTTGAAATGTAATCCTGCAAAGTTTTAGTGCTAAACATACAAGATATGCCAAGAAATGCATTTTTCTGTAATTATTTAATCATCCACCAGGAGGCTGTGAAAACTTCAAGTACAACATTTAAGGCTTCAAACAGTGCATGTGTGTTAAGTATCGGTATCACAGATTTTCATTCTTACAGTTTTGTTGGCTTTTCCTTCAGCAGTGGATCAAAACAAAAGTGCTCTAAGACGTTCATTTGTTGTTCTTGTTTTACTGCGGGGGACTGAAGTCCAAATGCAGCATGTGTGTTTGGCAAAAGTCAATAAATAAGGTCAGAACACAGTGTGTGTTTTTGGTGCTGAGGCCTTGGACTCTCAGCCAGGTCTATCCTCTGTGATCCTCTGTCCTGAGCCGCTGTTGTTCTTGGTGGGGGCGAGTTCGGTGGGACTGGGGGTTTGACCATTTGCCTGGAAAAGAATGAGTAAAAGACAGAAATGACCGAGTGTCTCATAAAGCAACACAAATGTTGTGCTGTCATTGTAAAGGTGAGTTAATGAAACAAATTAACTCACCCAGCAGATCTTAAAACAATAATCCATGCTTTCATTTTCTCAGATTGGACTACTGTAACTCCCCCCTCCCTGGTCTAAATAAGAAATCAATATCCCGCCTCCAACTAGTTCAGAATGCAGCAGCTCGGCTTTTAACTGGTTTTAGTAGACGCCATCACATCACTCCAATTTTAGCCTCCCTTCACTGGCTTCCTGTCAATTTTAGAATTGATTTTAAGATTTTATTGATTACTTTTAAAGCACTCAAAGGACTTGCAGCATAGATGTATTGAACACATGCAGTCAAATAAACAATACTATAATTGATGATTTGCTTATTTAAGATCTTCATTTGCATCTCTTTGACTGCTTTGGGATCCCTCTGAGGTTGCTAAGTTTGAAGCTCTGTCTGTTGTTACCTCGGTGTTTATTGTATCCAAAGAAATTAAGATTACTGGTTAATAGCTGGTTTGTGACCTGTCCATCTTAAAATCCTCGATTCTGATTGGCCAAAGCCTCATAAAAACAGTATTTAAGGAAAGTAGTGGGAGTCTAGGCTAACTTATGGCCTAACATGACCCGAGAACACCAAATGCCAAACATACCTTAGCGACAACATCATGTTCAGTCTGAAGCTATGACGTGTTTTAGTTCAGGGAGAACCACTTTTTAAGGAAGCATAATTAAACTAGAACTTTAGTAGACAAAAACTCTTGATTTTAAAATTTTGTTATTAACTTATAAATCTTTAAACAGGCTTGCTCCTTTTTTTATCTCTGGTATATCCAACATGGCCGACCGGCTGATTGTTTACGTGTCGGAGAACAGAGTGCTTTTTCATAAAAAACACAAATATTACATAGATAACGACCTGAAGGACAACTTGTGGAGAGTCATAGCGTCGGATCGCTCATATGACGATGGTTTGTGTGCTTTAACAGTTTGCTATACGTCTTTGTTTTAAATTTCATCTGTGCTAAGTAACTTTAGCTCGAAAGCTAACCTGTTCAGATACAACATACAATATGTATTTTCACTGTCTCAAACTCATTCACAGCGTTGCTGTCACAGCACCATTAGGTCTCAGTTGTTACCTTACGTTTATGGATTACAGTTTAATGTTCTTATCTGGTACTGGCCCCGACTCAGGACATGCTATCATGACAGACAGACATCTCAACACTAGAGTCTAATCAGAACTGAAAACACTCAGTCTGCTGTTGTGTCTGTCTTCTCGCTTCCACTCGGGACGCATCTTTTTTCCCCCTGGAAAGGTGCAAAATCGCATTGCGCTTGACATGTACAGTCAGGCGCGTCAAAATTTGCCTCAGAATAGTTCATAATTTCGCGTCGTATATTTGCGTCATTCCCAGTGTGTAAGGACCTTAAAGGTGACAGATCTTTCTCCACCAGAGCTCCTCGACTTTGGAACGACCTGCCAGAGGAGATCAGGCGTACAGCAGAGACAGTCGCTTCTTTTAAGTCAAATTAAAAAACTCACTTTTACAGACTTGCTTTTATGTGATGCTGTCTTTTCTCTTTTATCTTTTTGACCTCTATCTTATTTCGACTTTAGCCTTTGTTTTACTTATAATCTTTTCTTAGTTAACCTTTTGGGCCTTTTATTGATTTTGTTTTTTCCTGCTCATTTTTGTTATCAATATGATTTTATTATCATTATTAATATCGTCTTTTTATATTTGCTATCTTGTTTCCTGCCTTCTACCTCCCTTTTTTTTACTACATTTCTTTTTCTTACCTATTTTATGTTTTCATTTTGGTCCTCATGGTCTCATTTTATGTTGTAGGGTTCTTGTATTGTCTGGGTTTCTTTTGACAAGTGAATTTGGCCTTCAGTGCGGAGGCCTTGGTTTTAACTGAGCTTTTGTTTTTATTTCCATGTGCTGATGCTTTACAGCTGTTTGTCAAAGCACTTTGTAAACTTCTGTTTTAAAAGTGCCATAAAAATAAAGATATTATATGAAGTCTCATCAGGCTCACCTGCAGGTCTTCGTTTCTGCTGGTTTTGACCTCTTGTTGGTTCAGGAGAGGCCCAGAAGCATCCTCGTGATTGCTGCTTAACCTACAAACCAGCTTCATAGACATGAAATGAGACACCAGAGCAGTCAGAGACAGACACGTGCTCTTCAGTGTTGACCACCCAGTTACCAGGAAAGATGGTACTTGTCCTGTATTTTCCACTAAACACGGAGGTGTTATGGACACTTTCAAAACTCCAACCTGGGATTTACTGCAACCTTCAACAAAAACTACCTTACAGAGATGTTCAGCAGTGGTTTTATACTTGACTCTTTGAATAATCTTGGAGCATTTATCTATCCTAGGCAGGTTGGGTGCCAGTGTGCGTGTCAGTTGACGCACCAGCGCGTTTTGGACGGCAGGCACAGCTGAGAACGCGCGCCCTGAGGATTGCGAAACTCTTGGGTGACTTGGTGAATTCATGTCCTTTAAATCTTTACCATCAACCCGAGAGAACTCGTAAGCCACCGCCGCTCTTCTTCCTACAATAACACGCTCTCCACGGAGAAAAGACCCCCACGTTGACTCCTCAGCTGGAGAGTCGCGCACCACGCCGCCGGCCAGTCCAAGGCTGTACGCCGAGGTCGAAGGCCGCTTGGTCTGCGGACTCCTGGCCCAGATATTCCCGCGACACCGGAGAACAGCAGACAAGGCAGACGCGGAGGGGGTGGAAGCCATAGCGGCCGTAAATGTCCACAACAGACCAGCGACCCCGTTTTCCTCCTGTCAGGTTTTGCAGCGTCCCACCTCTGTCCCAGCAGTCACATAACGGAGAAAGGTTAATCCGCGTAAGAAGTGGATTAGAGGAGGGGGGCTCCTCTCTGCTCCGGTCCAGCTGACCATATTTGCCTCGATGGTCCATGAAAGGGGCTCAGGAGGGAGTGTCTTCAGGCAATGGGGAGAAAGTTCAAGTCCTCCATTCAAGTAAAGGAGAAACATCAGACAAATGTTCTCAAGTGTCAAACAGTGCTCAACTTTAAAAAGCTCATTTAAAAGAGGGTTTAGACCAAAAAATAAAAGGTTAACTCACCTGTTTTAGATTATAGTTCGGTTGTTTGAAGAGCTGAGTACTGGGTTTGTTTAGACCTGGTTACCTGTTTCTCTTGCAAAATCTAAAGCAACACTGCTAGAACTGCTGCAGGGGGCAGGTGAAGTCTGTTACAGCACACTGAATAATGAGTCCTGTTTTGTTTCCTATGGGTAAAAAATCTCCATAAGTGATACTTTAACTGCTGAAAGACAAAAGGCTGAGATGTTATAGAAAAGACTATCTACACATGTTGAGAAAATCAGCAAAGGTGAGGGGTATGGTCCACAAAGGGCGCCAGAAATGACAGAAAGTCCAAGTTCCTCCTATCAGAAAATTGTAGTGATGGGAAATCCAGCTCATTTTAAGTGATCAGATTATTTGGCTCAGTTCAGCAAGAAGGGCTTTTCATAGGACTGTTTGAATCTTGTTTAATCTCCTATTTGCGGCAACATATTTAAATCGTGACTGGCGTGTGTGCATTTAACTTAAATGATTAATTTCAATAAACCATAACAAGGTCAAGTTCTTCGCAACCAACACATCATTACAGAGGAGTTAAGAGGAAGTCCAAGTTCCTCCTATCAGAGTATTAGTGATCAGATTTTTTAGCTCAGCAAGAAGAGCTTTTCATAGTACTATATTTAATCTCCCATTCGCAGCAACATTTTTATTCATGACTGACATATGTGTGTGCATTTGAATTAATAATTTTAATAAACCATAACGAGGCCAAGTTCATTGCAACCAACACATCACCACAGAGGAGTTGATCTGTTTCCATTGTGTCACATTAATGCGGCATTATTGATGTTTTAAAATGTTGCAAGCATCACTTCAATGCATCAGCTGATCATGAGTTTTTTGGTCAAAGTTATTTCATAGATTGCATTTATTTTTTAAAGCAATATTTACCCAATACTGTAATTTCAAACAGTCAAACTTTCAATTAATCCTACTCTCTTCACCTGACTTAAACGCTTAGGATATCCCCCCCTTAAAAAAAAAAGCCCCTGACATCATAAATAGGGTATTTTTAGGGTGACCATATTCTGAATCCCAAAAAGTGGACACTGTGGAGTTGCGCGCAAAAGATTTGAGCTTCTAACTCAGTTAGTCCACGATACACAAACTCAAAACTTCCATACAAAATCGGACATTTGAAGGGTTTCATAAACTCCTCCCGGACAGCCCCCAAAAAGAGGACATGTCTGGGTAAAAGAGGACGTATGGTCACTCTATATTTCTATATAAAAATACTGAGACAAAAGACCAGGTCTATGACAGTTTTTTTAAATGTGCTTAAAAAAGTATTATTTTGCTAAAACAGGGTCCATTTTTTAACAACTCCTTTTTTTTAGTTATTTACACCGATGGAGCCATGTGAGTTTATTTGTCTATGATAAGGAGTTAAGCTGGTACTGAAAGGGGGCACCATTTGGAGGTGTCTCCGAGGCTCTAAAATTACCTGCGTGTTCACATAAGCAGTGCCAATAACCACGACAGAGCATTTTTACACTGAGGTATAAGGGTAACAATACGCCTCAGCTGACAATGAGCGTCTTATTCCAGCTTTATGCCCCATGACCAACTCTGTAAGGTAATAAATATACTGGGATCTAAAGGAAAACATCCCCTTGAAAGGTCGGTGAAGGTCAAAGTCAAAATTTGAATAAAACAGAAACCTTTCAGTTTTCTATATCTAAAAATTATACATAAGAAAACACACAAAGGAGTACACAGCTCTGTTACCGTGAACTACACAATATTTATCCTGATACTCGAAGTTAAGAAAGTGTTCAAACTTTAAGAGGAAGAAAAATGGGCTCAAACTTTGACGGCCTTGTCTCTGGTGTCACAGTGTTGGGAACGATAAGATATGTTATTGTCAGAACTGAGAGCTGAACTCTTATCTAAGTGAGCTGGAAAATACCACCGAACAGAAAACACTCATGCCGTCAAACAGGTTTGTCTGCATAAAGAGCTAAGGACACATCCCAGTATACGAGCCCCCCCCTGTAAACTGGTGTGTTTACACCACTAGAGGGTATCAGGTGTCTGAAGAAGACATGCAGGTTTCTGAAAGGACACAGAGCGGATTTGGGCTCAGTAGAAGACACGCGTCAGGAAAAAAGTCAAGGAAGTAGGAAGCAGTAGAAAACCAAGAGGACGAGTGTCTCATGTTAAAAGTATCACATGTTTTCTACACAGAGATTAATGTGTAAAAAAAGCGCTTTATTTGGGAAAGAGAATATATATATTTATATATAAATCATCTCTGGATATGTACAAGAAGTTGGTCTCTAAACACAATTGCTAAGACCTACAAACCCTGAATTTGTTTTGGGAAAAAGCCTAAAGATTTAATTCTTCATATCAAAGTATGTATAGTGCATTTAAAAATGTACAGCTTATTAGTCAGTGGAAATAAAGTGTTTCGGCGTTCACAGTAATCTCAACATGTTTACAAAAATAATGCACGTCAGCCCGGCCGCTTTCCTTCAAGTGCGGCTTTGAGTCTGTGCGTCCTTTGTTTGAAAAAATGTCGCCATCCTTGTTTTCCGTCATTTCGAACAAGTTCATGTGAGTCTCAGTGCTTTATTTCTGCTTCATCATGACTCATCAGGCATCGCTGAGAATCAAAACATTAGAGTCATAAATCCTTCGTCTGCTTTAATGCCCTACTTTTCTGCAGCGTGTGCACTTGTGTAGGGGGTTCAAGGACGTTCCTGGATTCCTGGATTAAACTCAGTTCCTGTTTGGTTCCCTGCCGGGCCCACAGGCCTACGGTGAATGATCACATTAGGTATGACCACAAAGGCTATAATCCCCACCAGCATGAGCGCCACAGTGATGGTGATGACGGTGGCGATCACGGCGTAGTAGCACTGGTCTGAGCGGAACAACCTGCGCAGGCGACCTCTGACCCTGTTTGGAGGCCTGCCCACGTCCACCACTGTAGTCGGGACTATCCCCTGCTCCATCGCATTCAAGCCGAGGTCCCCACCTGCTGTCACCGGACCGTCCTGGCTCTTTTTAGGCAGGCTGAGGATGCTGGGCTTGGTGGGGCTGCTGGGAGGGGGGTTCTTCAGGAGGAGTTTCCCCTTGCTGCGCTTGAATCTGATCGATAACGCCCTCTGCATGTCAGGAGGCAGTTTCCCGATGATGTCCTGGTTGTTTCCCAGACGAGGCAGATCCTGGCCGTGGGGGAGCTCGGTCAGCTCTCGACAAACGGGACAGGAGAGGGTCTTGAGCTCGGGGGAGGTGACGTTGATGCGAGCCAGGCACTCCAAGCAGAAGGTGTGCCCACACGCCAGCAGCTTTGGGGTCTTGAAGACGTTATCGTACGAGCAGAAACACACCGCACACTCAGTCTCCTCCACGTCATTTTCAGGGGGCTTCACTTTTCTTCTGTCGCTCTCCCCCTCTTTCCTGTCTCTCCTCCGGGTTTCCTCACTCCTCCCCCTCTGCCTCCTCTCTCCGTGGTGCCGGTCTCTCTCTCTCCTCCGGCCTCTTTCTCCCCTCTCTGAGTCAGTGCTCCTGGATCTCCTCACTTTGGAGGGCCTCTCCTTCCTCCAGTAGTCCTCTTTGCTGTTCCTCTCATTCTGGTTGGGTTTGGGTTTGACATTTTGGGCCTGTCTGGGTCCTTGGCTTTGGCTGCGGCTCCTTTCGGGCCTGTATCTGTCCCTGTCATCACTCATGTTGGAGGTTTAATCTCACAGATCCCAAAGAGGAGCTGAAGAGAAGAAAACACTTGATGAGTCAAACTTTCCCGGATATCTAACAGTTCATGACATGCAGAAAAAAAAAAGAGTTGAGTATTTGCAGCAGAGGGTAGACTATTTAAATGCAGAGCTGCAGGTGTGCTCTCAAGAACTGGAATCTTTAAGTTTACCGACGCTCTTTAAAACTAGCAGAGCAGGAAACTGTCTCGAGGAAATCTACCCGCACAGCTGTCATCGATGCAGCATCTCATGACAGTTTCCCCCATTCTTTCACCAAGCATGCTGTCTTATTGTCTTGGTGACACTGTGCTGTATTTATGTAAAAAGCTTTCCTGCATGTTTGTAGTGAGAATTAGACGAGCTGCAGAAAAGGTTAAAGTTGACGGAAACTTCATGATCCTGAACCCTGCAAAGAAAAACTGAAGCGGTGAGTGACAGGGCGTCATTGTTTTTAAAATGTCACCGCAGACATTCCGCCTCACAGAGTCAGTCATTAACTCATTTTAACCTGCGACTTAGCGTAACGTACGACTTACGTATGAGCGGCTGGTTCTTTATCAGATTTAGGAGAATGCACTCTTGGATTTTATCAGTTTTCTGCTCATGACAGATCCAGCGGTATTAAAAGAAGAGACGTTGTGAGTTTGCAAAATGAAAGTAACATTAAAAAAAAGCGTTTTGAGACCAAGAACAAAAGTAAATAATTATACAGAGTTTGTAGAATCACTGACCTGTGGAGGTAGATGAATGTCTGATCACGTTGTCAGCAATGATCTGACCGGCGAAATAATAATCCTGGAGTGTGTTAGAGCTCCAACATCGCCTGACTTCATTCCTAAATAACAAAACTAAAACTCTACTCTTGGAGTGTTTTTGTGCGTCTACACTCCCTGTTTCTCCTCTTCTGTGCGGATCTCTCCTCATATCTTGTTTTTTTTATTGTTACACAGCACTGCCTCCTCGTAACCCTCCTCCTTACCCTCCCCTTTTTTTTTTTTTCCTCTTCTTGTCCGACCAGTTGGACCAGCTGTGGTTAGCCAGCGTTTTTCTCCCGCGTCTGAGTGTGAAATATGTAGACAATCAGGTCATTTATGGAGATAACTCTTGTGCAGGTTTACTCGTACAGTTCAGTCGAATCTGAGGTGATAGCGGCTGAATCCCCAACTTAGAAATGGACAGATCTCTATAATTTGAATATTAGCAGCAGTGTCAGACGCATGAAGGAGGAGTAGTGAAAAAGCAGTTTATGTGATATGAATCAAGAAAAACAAAAGTGACCGATGGGGAAATTCCACTACACACAGGTAGAGCCGACTGTCAACACCACACATATCAGCACCTCATACCTGTCATACCTCCACTGCTCTCCTGCCACTGTTTGTTTGTTGGCTTACCGCCCGAACTAGAGCAGCACAGTTTTGGTGGCTCCTTTTTCACCTTGTTGAATAATCGACATTATAACCAAAAGTGAGAACTAACATCTCTGGTTTATATCAGAGGGAACTTGTCCTCTGTAAAAAAAACAAACCTCTTCCTCATACCGAGAGTCATTCTTTCTACAACAATAACACATGCTGCTGGATGAGGGCCCCTAAAGGACCTGCTATTGTCACAAAGGATGCATGTGGGATCAAATATTTTGCACTAACAGACAATTTGATACGAGCATACTGGTATTGAAACTAGAAAAACTCGAACAGTCATGTGATCAAAACGTCTGGTCTGCATTTTGTAAGAAATGTTTATTTTTTATGTAGAAAAAGGTTTTTTTTTTGTATTTGACAAAGAGAATCGATCAACATTTTGTAAAACGATTGAGCCTGACAGGAGGGCGTAGAAAGTTATCCAAATATTGTGTCAAGATTTATCCTGCGGGACTTCCTGGTGCAATCAAAACAAAATAAACTTGATCCCGTAAGGTAGGAAACACCAAGACAAATTAACCGGTATAAACAAATGACTGTAAAACTTTATTGATCTGAAAAATAATTCGAGGGAAGATAGGGAGCCTCTCACGTGAGTGAAACTCATCTTTTAAGAATTAGTCATTTCCATCTGGGTGGAGGCGCCTCGGTGATGGCTCATTTACAAACTCCGACCGTGCTTTTCTTTCATAGTTTTGTGAAGTGTCATGATTAAGCACCTGTATTCAGGAAAAGTCAACATCAAGTCCAGTGGGTGTTGAGCAGCAGGTCAGAGACAAACACAGAGTCTCACGTTTATAATGAGCTGTAAAAAAAAAATGCCGTTAGCCCCGGCTCCAAGAGCGTGATTGCTTCCTCGTTGTAGTCGGGCTGATGAAGCGGGTTAATCATTAAAGCAGCTGGTGAGTTATTGACCCACTTCCCTGCATTCACCTCTCCGCTCCAGGTGTTTTTGTTTAGGATATTTTCCACAGAAACATTTGGATCCAGATTTTGACTCAGTGTGGGGTTACGTCAAAACGCCTCATCAGGCTTCATTTTCACACATGAAGAATGAATCAGCTGTTTATGTACCGACTTAACGCCGAACAGCTTCACTTCTCACAGGGTTCCTCTGTATTTTTATTCAGTTTCCAACCTGTCAGTCATTTTTCGGTCCCTCCCCTGCCCTGAGAGAGGTGAGGCTGGTATGTTTTTGCCATGTGTTGCAGAGGACCTGATTGTTGTTGTTGTTGTTGTTTTTCCCTTCACCCCAGCTCCTCTTTCGTCTTCCCTTGCTTGCGGGGCATCTTTTTGCTGCTGCTGTCCTCCAGCTCTTTGCTCTTATAGTAGTGGGGAGCCACTTCTAGTAGCCAGCTGCTCTCGATCTCGATCACCTGCGAACAGGAAGAGATGAATTAATCAATGTGGTTAATCGGATACTGTCGGCAGTTCAACTTCTTACAGGAAAACCGATCGCACTTCCTTGTTATTGTGCTCTCTAATTCCCCCAAACAGATCATGTGAAGGAGTTTTATAGTGAAAATGTAAAACCAGAATGTGCTTAAGATTTTAAACAACACCTTTTAACATTAGCACACAGGCCTCTGAGGAACAAACTACAAATACCAATCTGCAAATATTTGAGCGGGGTTTAGAGGACTCTCTGAAGGTAAACACTGCGAGCAGGCGGACCTGTCTCATGAACTCCTTGGTGGTGAAGACGAGCTCGTGGTAGATGAGCCAGCGGGGCTGCTCCTCAAACAGAGAGCTGTTGGGGTGAACGTAGACCGTCTGCTGGTGCTTCACCGTCTTGTAGCCGCCTTTGCTCAGCCGCGCTGTGTGATAGAAATAACCCGCTGTCACCGCCTGAGAGAGAGAGCGAGAGAGAGAGAGAGGGGTGTATGAATATTTGAATACAGGGGGAGACAGAAAGAAATGGAACAAGGACGCACAACACAAAAGAGAAAGGAGTTAGATAATACTTCATTACGTCATTAAAAATAAGAGTTTAAAAAGTATAAATGGCTTTCTACATTCGTTTAAACAATAATAAGGAGTGCAATTAATATAATATGACATGTACTCATAGGGAGAGACAGGGTTTCTACAGGTTTCAACAAGTCAAATTTAAGACTTTTTTAAGACCATAATGAACAGAATTTAAGATCCATTTTACATCCATACTGGCAAAAAAAGTACATAAGACATGAAGGGAAATCAGAACATTTTTAACTAACTTCAAATCAATCTTTATTTGTAAGTAACATCAATACATTTTTAAGAGCTTTCAAATCTGTATTTAAGACATTTTATGGGGCTTTAAGAGAATTTTAGACATTTTAAGGCCTTAAATTCAAATGATGGGATTTTAGATGTTTTAAGACTTTTTCAGACCCAGCAGAAACCTCGGAGAGGAACATGGGGTGCAGTAAATATAAAATGTTGACGGTGATATCGCTTCCTCTTAGTTCTGTATTCTTCCTCGTCATATGCCACACTTCTCGATATTTCATTATCTACTCAAGTTCAAACATTTATTGCTGTCGTGAGGTAATATATTGAATTTCCCCTCAGGGATCAATAAAGTTCTTCTCATCTCATCTTTTCTTATCTTATCTGGCACCAAACACAGAGTGTAAGTTGATGCTGTCAAATAGACATCTCAATGAAGTTACTACATAAGATATAAGATGACACCTTAGGGAGTATGGGGTTGAATTTACAGAGATCAATAACGACTTTTTTCTGCACTAAACCTTATTTTTATTCTCTGCGCTTCAATATCAGCTGGGAAAGCTTTTCATCATATAAATGAACATTAAAATACTCCACATTTATAAGACTTAATTTTCGCTTTTTTTCACACATACCAAGAAAACATAGTCATGGTGTGCAGCCCTGCAGCACACACTGCAGTGTTCGCTGTAAGCTTAAAGTAGTTTTATCCCCAGACCAGAAACCAAGTCACACAAACTCCAGCGTCCAGATTAACAGAACTGACACTGCTTTGTTTTTATACCCTGGGGTTACACAAAAATCCCATCCCTGCACTGTCTCCAATCCTCTGGGCTTTGTATAGAAGCAACCAGTCCCTCAAAGTAAATATCAGGCTCTGAGAGTCTGGTATTATGGTCATTCATAATGTATAGTTGAACAAAGAACAAGGTATGAGCACTGAAGGAATGCTTGTCTAACACTTAAAGATGAAACTGCTCAAAGACAAACAAGCTGAGACAAACTTTGTCATCCTCATCGGTGGTCTGAATCTACCTGGCTTCACTCTCATTAGGTCAGACAGAGATGCTAAAGCTAGCGGCAAGAAGAAAAGAGGGAGTTTAAGTTTATTAACCTGAGATGGCGTAACTCTTCACACATAACTGTCAAGGTACTGAACTGTTGGCAATTGCTCTTTTACGATTTATCGTCAGAAAAATCCTCCATGACAAATACGATAAATGCAAGTTGATGATGTAAGCGCGAGCGATGGACTCGCAGCCATAGCCCACACAGAGCAGAATAACAAACAATAATTATAGTTATAGTTTAGACGAGTGCAATCAGGTATGCCTGACACTGGACAGTGGATCTGCTGCTGTTCACTCTGTGCAATAAGAGTTTTCACATTTGAGACTTGTTTGATGTCATTAGTTTTCTCCATAACCTACCACTCAAACTTGTGGTTCAGTATCTTATTTGACTCTTCCAACAGGTGTTCTCAAGACAAACTGAGGCAAAAATATAGATTGGAATTATAATATTAATTGAGACTTTTATTGTTATCATCAGAATGGCTAACCTTACGGTGATACAATTTTTGGCCGATATCGCCCATCTTTAGTTCAGTCATATCATAACAATCTCTAGTATACATCCCACCCAAGGCAACGGCTGAAGTTCCATGTGATGTCCTCCATGAAACAATCTCTAGGATACAGACTCATCATCCTGTTTAAAAATAAATAAATAAATAACAGCGGTGGACGGCTCCTCTTTTCTTTTGTTTTCATTCTGCTCCGTTTCCAAGGAGATTGTTTATAAATGTCAATACAGAGAGTTTTCTGTCACTGCTACTTTCTTTTCCCCCCTTTTTTGTTATTTTTAATGTACCAGAGGTAAAGAACACTAAACTGAACTGAAACGTGACCAAAAATAAAAACTACAACATAAGAACAAAACATTCATTATCCCCATGGTTGCCCGGTCATTAGCATTCACTCATTAAAATGACAAATGACTCAACTGAACTCCACCTCAGACCTACTTTTCCAATTGTTTTTACTGATACACTCACGCTGTTCACACCTGCTGTAAACTAGGCCAGGCGCTAATCAAAGTGTCCGAATGTGGCGCTGAAAAGGACAAAAGACGGTGAAACTCATCTGTCACACGGAAGTCATGGAGATAAAAAGGGAAGATCTTCATTTGTCAGCGGATCTTAAAACAGAATAAACCTTTTCAAATGACTCAGGGTGTTTCCCAGAGACATCAGCACCCCCTGGCTTTAAACAGAGCACACATGATGCTGCTGGAGTCACACACGAGGATTTAATTACAAACCTAAAACATCCTTGCCGGAGAAAACAAAATGTTTCAGAAAGACCTGTTATAAGATGATTAACATAAACACTAGTTTTTATATTTCAAGTAGGTCAAGTGGGTTATTTTTGCGCCTTCACTGCACGATTTTTGACCCAGATGAAGGCGGTGAGTGATGAAAAAAGGTGCAACCTGACTAGTTAAACAAACGCTCTAGCTTATCTCACATAGTTAAGGGGTGCGTTCAGAGCACACACACACGCACACACTGACCTTAATAGGAGGGTCTAGTCACACAGTTTCCATTCAGTGATAATTTACAGCTCACATTTTTAAACCCATACTTGTCAATTTTCATTATTTTATAGTTTTTCTTCAGCCTGATATTCTGATGTAAGAATCTCATGATGAGACGCTTTACTTGTTCATGATTCTTGTGGGCTTAATCTGAAAAAAAAACTTTTAAATCTGAACTTTGTGAGGATTTTTATTCCCAGAAGACGAGGTATAATGCTGCGTTCGAGTTACCTCGGACGTCAGAAGTCCGAGCTGAAAATGACGTCACAACCGATTTACCAGCGTTTCAGTTACCAAGTCGGAAAAAAGCAAAATCGGTGGAAACAAGATGGCTACATCTACAGAAGTTATTTTAGCGCTAGCCATGTCCAAATATAAGGAAACCACTAAAATAACTTTCGGAGATGTAGCCATCTTGTTTCCATCTGTTAAGCATTGCTATGACAACGGTATCACTGACCTTGCGAATTGGTATGCTGTCCTCCTTGGAGCTCACCACCTCCACCTCAATCCGATCCATCAGACCCTCCAGCTGGTCCCGGACGTCCCGGGCTCGTCTCATGGAGCGGAACTGGATGAAGTTCTCGTAGCACCACTGAGTGGAGTAACCGCTCTCCATCCACTGAGAGGCAAACAGCAGGACAGCAGTCAGCACAACATCTGGGTTTTAACAGTGAGTATATGAGGGCTCATGGGTATTTGCAGGCCAGAGCAGTGAAACTGTGGTTCTCAACCTGTGGGTTTAGCCCCCAAAAGGGTCACATGATAAAATTAAGGGACTGGGAGTGCCACCTTGATGGGATGAGATCAGGCTTGGACACTCAATTATGGTCACAAGTGGGGAAAAGCTACCTACTGTAGTTATGACGTCTCCAAACTAAGTAAAGGTCAAAGTGACATTAATGAATTCATGCTGGAGTAAGTGAGCTGCTGTATGTTGAGGAGTTTGCTGCTGCTGCTGTGTGGTTATGAAAGCGTCACAAACAGGTAACAGACAGATGTAAGCACACCTACTTTAACTGTGCATACATTAAATATTTGCTTTTAAGGTTACAGAAAAAACAGGACTTTGTCTCTAACTATGACTCAGTGATTTACTCAGACTTCGGAGAAAACTCCTCAGACATCTTTGTTCATTATCAGCTTCATAAAAAGACTTTTAACTCAAGATTACCCTTAATCTTATCATCCTCAACTCTCACTGAAGCGAACCAGCTGTGTTTATACCTGTGTGTAGACGTTGAGCAACACTAGGTGATCTCCACCTGGAACCACAAAGTTCATCCTGGCGTTGTCGGCATGCACCACCTTGTCTTTGGGCCGGTAGAAGATCGAGTTGTTTACTGACAACATGGCTGCTATTGTCAAAACTTCCTCTGAGCACTTGTACCTCAAAGAAGACAAAAAAATCAAGAATCAGATCAGATTGAGTGTTTAAGAGAGAGGGCACAAATAAGAAGATCCTGTTTATACAATAGGGTGCAAGTGACACTCATTAATGCATGCTGAGATCTGATCAGAAAGTCCACTTGGTCTAGGAGGCATTTGTCAGCACTGGTCTGGTCCGGTGTACACTAACATACACTTGACCGCCCACTCTCCCGTATCCACAGCTCAGAGCCTTGTTTATACTCACAGATGGAGCTTGTAAATAGTGTTTACTTCCATCAGAAGTGGGAGAGTGAGACCAAATGACTGGAGGCCCACGGTTGATTCAAGGCGTGAACGCTTGCACTTAAAGCTGTCAGTTGTGTCACGTTTATTAAAAATCACAAACAGCCTCCAACAGTGTTTATTTATCCAGCCCTCACTTAACCCAGCTCTCCTTTCTGAACTCCTGCGTTCACTTCGTAAGTCTAAAGTTCATTTATAGTGAAACTGTGGCGAGATTTTTGCAGTAACTGTTGGAGAGAATATCACTGATGTGGAAAAACAACATCATAATCATAACACAACATGACCGGTTATAATGATCTTTAACTGAAAAACAAGAACTTTCTGGTAACACTTTACTTGAAGCTTATCTCTATAACACATGATAAATATATGTATAATGCATTATAACCATGTTATAGCACTGTATAACTATAGTTATAAACACTCATAAATGATCATAATGCTTTATAGCAATAATTATAACACATTATAAAGCATTTTATCATGACTTACAGGTATTATAATGTGTTATAACTGACAATGCCCACATAGATAATGCAGTGCAACTGTTGGTAACAGTTATGACACATTATAATACCTGACCTTGTAAGTCATAATAAAATGCTTTATAATGTATTATTGCTATAAAGCATTATGAGAATTTATGAGTGTTTATAACTATAGTTATACAGTGCTATAACATGATTATAACACATTTATTCATATATTTATAATACCTTATAGAGGTAGGCGTCAATTAAAGTGTTACCCCAGTTAACAAACTTAACATCTAAAAAAATTGTAAAATGCAACTGTTTTAGCTTTTGGCTTGATAGTTTCTTTTCATCTTTTTTGACTAATTCTATAACCAGGTGATAAAAATATCTTCTAAAAATCGGCCCAATTAAAGAATCTTCATAAACACAAACCTGGGAGGGTAATACCTCTAACTGTTACATTTTTTACAGTATTTCACCAGGGTGAGCGTCATAAAAATATACTTTATGGAGGCCAACGTTTGCATCAGAGTGGAGACTTACTGCTCAGAGGCCAGGATCATCTTGCTCAGCATGGGGTCCACTGGGAGCTCGGCCATCCTGCGACCCAGCTGAACCAAGACAAACAAAAAACAGTGTAAGAGAAAAATAAAAGACTCAGTTTTAGGTTTTTTAAGCTACTACCAAAGCTCATCCTTCACGTCTTTGTCATTGTGTCTAAGTTAGATACCGTGTGCACACGACACTGTCTCTACCCATGGGTTTCACTCACTAGCAGATTATCATCAAGCAGAAAAGCATGGGTCTGTTAGAGTCACATTGCTGAATGGCAAAGGAATAATAAATCTGCACCTGTCAGAACTCTGTGCTGATACCGAGAGCTGCTACAAATGAACCCTGCACTATAAAAACATCCTCATATTATCATCACCACTGATAAATAGTATCAGCAGAATCAACAGTGAGTCATTCCTCTCATTTTTAGCACTGTGCATTAAGGAATTGAATCCTTAGGCTACGACAAAGCATGTAAAGCTTCAGGTTTGTGCAACGTGCCATGTGAAAACGCACACACTCGCAGAGCAGATGCACACAGATAATACATTTCAACGCAGAAGGTTATGCACCTGTTATGTAAGTGGAGAATGCATAGGAGAGTTTCCTCAGCACTAATGATGGCCCTTATTCTATAAACATTATAATCTAATATACATGCTCATCTTTGCCACACAGATACTGGGTTTTTCTTCAGGCTTACTGTGAACATCTATGTCTAATTTGTTTTTAGTTTTATGGATTTATGAGCACACGCCTCTCATTGTTACCTTCGTGAGCTCTCCAAGGTGATTGAGTGCTCCTAAAGCATACAGCTGCTCCAGTGCTAAGACCAGGGTCTCATGAGGAGGGGGGTCCATGAAGTCAAAGTGAATGAGGTCATTGATCCCTGCAAACACAATGTTTTTAGCTTGTTGCCCAATCACAGCCAACAAAAAATGCACAATATCATGACTTCAATGATGATTTTATCTCACTCAAACCTCCTTTCTTTTTTAACTCACCTAGACTCTTCAGCAGCAGGACTACATTTCCCAGGTTGGTCCTCTGAATCTCAGGCACGGTTGTTTCCTCCATCTCATGCTTGAAGGCCCAGGCGGTGTACAGCCTGAAACATTTCCCTGCAGCCACTCGGCCCGCACGGCCGGCTCGCTGGTTGGCTGAAGCCTGAGAGAGAGAGAAACAGAAACAGACAGCAGGAGTTGACGGAATGCTAAGAAAAGACACACACACACACACACACACATATACACACACGGCCAGCTGCCTCATTAAAGGAGGAATAAGCAGGAATCTGTTAAAGAAGCATCTTTTTTTGTGGTGTATAAACAAAAATCTTTTAATATCAGTCATAGTTATTAGTAATTGATAACATTTGGTAATATCACAATATCTCTGTGTTCTCTTATGTCTGTCTAGTCAACATTTTAAAATTTTGAGCGGTCCGCTCTTTCTGATTGTAAACAAAGCCGTTCTCCGCCTCCTCTAACCTGATTGGTTGTGAGGCAGACGCTGCTCCCTGTGTCGTTCAAGAGCCCAAATAAAAGTTAGCGTGCTACAATATCAGACAGTAGAAACCAACCAGAAAGTACGGAAAATTGTCTGAATCCTCCTTTGGCCACGACTGCCGACACAAGCAAGAAAACTAAGTAAATACCGGAGACTCTGGCGGGATAACGGGCGCTTAATACGGAGGTAGACCGGACAAGAGCTTAAAAAAGCCGGGTCAACAATGATGGGGGACGCTTCGGGATCTTACGGACCCTGTAACCTTTCTGCTGGACAGGTAAACCGCTTTAACAAAGTAAGACAAGTGTCTGTAACAGAAGTGTTTCTTGTCAAACAGACCTGCTGCGTGTTGTAGCGCCATCGCTAAACTGTTGACCTCGGGTCCTGGACTATGTCACTTTATCCTAGTTGTAGAAGTCCTGCAAACATTGTGTTTGCTGGTAGTCTGTTGGCATCTACAGTAGCACCAATGCTTTTAACTTTCACGTTGACTGGACCCCATTTGTAATGATCTGAAGTATTTATCTGCATTATATCTGAATTTAATTGGAACGATACGAGCGAGCAGGAGCGTCTGTTTGTGGGCGGGGCTTGCTGGAGCAGAGACGAAGGGGAGAGGAGGAGCTGAGGGGAAAACTGGTTGGGAGGGGTAGAGTTTACATTCAAGATTTCTCCTAAAAACTGGCACTTCCTCAGATCCTGCCTACCCCACCTTTCACTGAGACTTAAACGTTAATGTTTTTATACTTAAATCCCAACATGTAACCTGCTCCTGAGAGATATCATGCTAAAACTGCTGTTCACGTCTCCCCTGGCTGAAATTTAACATCACAGGACTTCAACACTGACGCCCTCCTTATTAAAGTTTAAAAGAAGACGGAGCAGTCACCCGTGAGCAGGGCGTGACGATGAGTGACTCCATGCCAGTGCGGGCATTATAACTCTTCTGTTTGCAGAAGCCCGGGTCGATGACGTAGATGATGCCGTCTATGGTTAGTGAGGTTTCTGCTATGTTGGTCGCCACCACCACCTGGACAGAGAGAACACAGAGATACAGATAAGAAAAGAGGGAGAGCACTGCTGAAACAAAGGAGGATGAAGATTTAATCTCGCTGTTACGTAACAGGAACAAAGCCCTGATAACTCCGCCAAAACAAACTTCCAATAAAAACAAGAGCGTCTTAAAAAAGCACCTATGGCTGCTTCTATTGGTGGATAAGAGCACAGTTAAAAGCACTCTGGGTAATTATGAAGAGCTTGTTGCTTATTACATAACTAAAGGAGCAAACAGACAGCACACAGCTCTATATTTAAACCCCTGGAAGAACAAACTTTTTCACTAAGTCCACTAATCATTTTATGTCTGCTTTATTGAAATATAATCCTAAAGTTATCCATAATATTTACAGCAATAGGCTCATCTCATTTGACCACATATTCTTGCAGAAATGAGAGGATTTCTCACCTTCCGGGCTCCAGGAGGAGTCGGGTTGAAGATCTTCGCCTGCATGTCTGATGGCAGGTTGGCATAAATAGGAAGCACCAGCAGCTCTGCTATCTTGGAGCCGAGCCGCCTGCATCTCTCCTGAAGCATCTCACAGCACGCTTCAATCTCCTCCTGCAAGAGCAGCAACATGAGAGAGGAGAGTGAAGAGTGGAGAGAAAAAGCAGAAATAGAAAATAATTCACTATTTGAAGCACCATCTTTCAGGAAACGCTAAAGATGTGAACAAGATTATCAGTTTGTTTCGGTATTATTGCTGCTTTAGCACATCAAGAAAATACTCATTCACCCAGTTAACACATGTCCTTCCTCTTAACTTCACTTCTTCTGTACTTGTTTATAATCGACGGAAACAAAACAAGCAGTAAACTATGCAGGTGTTACACATTAAATAAATTTAAGTATTGTTTTTGGCCTGCTTTTATGAATAAAACTGCATAATGTTTAGATTAATATTTCTTTTTCTAGCTTTGTTAACCTTGTTTTTGGACAAATGTTCTTAAAAATCTAATTTCTTGCACTAAGCTGATTCTGACACTTGTTTTTGGCTACATGTCTAAAAAAGCGTTCAAAAACATGATGATTATAAAGTACAACGAAGGTGAAGAATCACTTTAGACCCACCTGACAAACTTCAGAGGGTGTCTGTATCTCTTGATGGGTTTTGAAAAGTATTTTGTTCTTGTTTATTATGTATTTGTTTAGTTTAAAAATCTTTCTTCTCTGTATAGAAGAAAAAACATTTGTATAAAAATGTCATGAAAACTCTGTATGTGGAAGGGGTAGGCGCAATAAGCCAATAGCTTCAGCCTATACCCTTTTTGGTCAAACCAAGTAATTAACAGTATTTATTATTTCTAACTCCCATGTATTATGTATGTAATATAACAGTTTACATGAACGGATGACCAAAATAAACTAAACTATGAACTATTAAACTATGACTATGGTTCTGGTGCCGTTCATATCAACTCCTGATTTTAACTGCTGGGGTACACCACACACCCAGAACCACAAAGAACCACAAGGCCAAAGGCGCCTCTAAATTATTTTAAACACATCCAATGTTACAGGCAACATGAGGAGTAGAAATTTTCCAACTTTACATTTCAAACTGTCCCAAATTCTTCACTCTCTACAAAAAAATAAACGACAAAAATTAAACTTTTTACACAAACAGTACCTGACCAGTGAGGAACACGAGGATGTCTCCAGGAGACTGAGTGACGTGGATCTGCAGCACTGATACCACACAAGCCTCCAGGTAGTCTGCCTCGGGAGCCTTGACAGAAACAAAGAATATATATATGTCAAAGAAAGAATTCAGACCACGCAGAATAAAACACATGCAACTTCAAATTGTGGCTGAACCTGTTTGAAAAATGAATATGTTATTTCTGAGTGACACATGGGTTTTAACTAGTAAATGATGAGTTTAGGGAAAAGAATACTTGACAATGGTTTAGTAAGTTAGCATACAGTCTACACAAACTGAGAGATAAACAGTCGGTACTTCCAGTTATTTCCACTGGACTCTGGAGTGACTCGTCAAAACTAATTTTCATCCAGGAGCTTTGAATTTTTGCATCTCCATCCAACTCTGAAGCTCAAAGATAGTGAGCTGAACTCACATCAGATATTTTATCAACTAGTTTGTTTGTTTAGCAAACGTAAAAATGTTATCAGTGAATGTAGAAACAGAGGGGACGTTGTTTTTTGAAGAAGAAGAGGAAGTGGGGGAAAACACCCAGAAAGAATATAGAGTAAAAGCTCGTTCTCACTTTAGTGTAGAAGATATCGACAGGGAACCTTCTGCCGGGGATCCTGAAGACCGGGGCGTCGTCAAAGAAGCAGGAGAAGCGCTCCGTGTCCAGAGTGGCGCTGGCCACCAGCACCTTCAGGTCTGATCTGAACCTGGCGATGTCTTTAATCAGACCGAACAGGATGTCTGTGTGCAGCGTGCGCTCATGAGCCTCATCTATGATGATCACACTGGAGGAAGAGAGAAAGACGGAGTGTGGGGAGATTATTTAACACGACATATACAGACACAATTACGTCAAGCAGCAAATATAACCTGAGAACATGTGTATTTAAAATTTAACAGCACAGAGAGGAAGTGTTGGAGGTTTACAGGAACTAGGAACTTAGGAGATTAGGAACTTTGTATTTCTAAAAAACAAAAACAAGCAGGATTTGATAAAATAAAGACACTTTAAGTTTGTACAATGTGAACTATGTGAGTGATTTTACAAGAAAACTTGACTCATTCGTTACAACAACATATGAAGCAGTGTTAAACCTGAAAATGTACTGCACAGGAATTTTATTTTCTGAACAGGTTAGTGAGATTCATGTCTTTGTATCACCTGTAACTGGCCAGGTCAGGCTCAGTGAGAAACTCTCTCAGCAGCATGCCGTCCGTCATGTACTTGAGCACCGTTCTCTCTGACGTGCAGTCCTCAAAACGGATGCTGTAACCCACCTGGATGAAACAACAACATCAGAGTAAAAACACAGACTCTGGATTGTGTCTGCCTCTTAAAGCTGCGTTATGAAACAGTCAGCAGTGCTTCTCTTACTTATTAAAGAGTGTCAGGAAAAAGTTTAACATATAAACAGCAGTAGACAAAAACATGTTTCGGTATGACACAGAATTAACCACTGTGTATATGTAATGTCTTTTTTTTGGGGTTAAATTGTGTAAAAAAAAAAAACATGCACACCTCATTCCCAAGCTTGACGCTCATTTCCTGCGCCACTCTGGATGCCACTGACATAGCTGCCACTCTGCGAGGCTGCGTACAGCCGATCTTCATGCCTCCTTTGGTGTAGCCCTGAAAGAGACATAAGAGGTTGTTTTTCTCCTGATATATATAACCGGTCTTTCCTTGTAGTCTAGATCACTCTAGAAACTATCCGATAAGATGTCATGATGAAGAGAAAATCAATAGTTTATGATGCTTCTTTAACAGTCTGCACCTACATCTTCCAGGAGGTACTGCGGGATCTGGGTGGTCTTTCCGGACCCTGTCTCCCCCTCGATGACCAGGATCTGGTGCTCGTTGATGGCAGCCAGCAGGTCCTCTCTGTAGGGGAAGATGGGCAGGCTGCGTCTAACCTCCTGCATGGACTGTTTGTTCAGCTCTGCCTGCGATAGAGCGGGAGCCTCCTGATCCTGGGGGAAAGTGACAGCTGTTTTAGTCCAACCGTATATATATTTATTTTCATGTCATCAGTTTTTTCACAATCATATGTGACGAGAAAGCGGGAGCTGTTTCTGCATTTCTGCAGATCTTGAGCTCAATCTAAATTATACTCCTTTTTATTGTGTCAGTTTCTGATGTTAATCTTATTCTGCATGTTATTTCATTCTTGTTTCAAAGTTTTGGGTTTTTGCTTCAGTTCCCATGAATTCATAAAGTAATTCTGGGAGCACTTGGCTGCTCTTGTGTCTTTACTAAATGACTTGAGCTGTAGTATGTGTTACAAAGCTTCAAGTTTGTTAACCTTTCCATATAAAAATACTCCAAATCATGGTTGGGAAGATGAATTGGGTTTTATATCTTTTATTCTGTATCCCCTAACACAATGGACAGAACTTTGGGCTACATTCATTGTACGAGAAGTGCTTTATAAATAAAGTTTGATTGATTAATTGATTGATTGCTATGCAAGACAGACTCAGATTTTATCAGAAGACACTCTGCACAACAAATAGTGGTTGACTGCTGAGTGACAAACTGTAGCAGCATTTTTAATTATTGGAAAAGTTGAGAATATTTATTGATACCTTCTCTGATCGAGTCCCCTTCATGGTCATGGCGGTGCTGACGAAGTCGATCATCTCATCCTCCTCCAGGATCAGCTGGTACCTCTCCTGCTCCTGCCTCATCCCCTGCTCTCTCTCCCTCTTAGCCCCGAAGCTGAGGGAGGCCGTCTTTAGCCTCTCCTCCTCCCACCGGCCTTGCTCTCCCCCCAGCTCCATAGGAGTCTCCTCCAACTCCAGGTCCCTCTGAGGCACCTCCTGGTCAGCAGGCAAAGACAGAATAGATCAGTTCAATCTAAACATGCTTAAGGTGGTTGCTGAATACCTGACATCCATGCTTCATACTTTGCTCCTTTTCTCTTCGGGCATGTAGTATCTGTTCTTCCTCTCCTCCTGCTCTTTTGCACCGGCCTTTTTGTAATCTTTGGCCAAGTCACGGAGGGTGCGTTTGTATTCCAGCTCCTTCCTCTCTCTCTCGGTCAGCTCGTCCGTAGAGAACAGATACTCATCGTCTCTGATCTCAGCCTCCAGGTCCTCCAGCTTCTCTTCTTCTCTCTTCTTCAGATAATCCCGACGAGAGCGCTTCCTCAACTCAGGCAACTAAAGAGAGGAAGAAGAGTCTTTATTACACTGTCACAACTTTATCTCCAAAAACAACAAACTCCACCAAGAGCAGAAGATTTAATTCTTTGGAAATCTACCATATTCTTCTGATCCTCCTCGGCCATCTTCAGCCTCTTCTGAGCTTCTTCATAGGCCTGAGGGAGAACAAACAGGAGGTGAGCGTGTTCAACAACATGATGGATTGAGTTATCTTGACAACACGATTACATTTCATCGTTCCCACCTTTTTGTCCGTCCTCTCTGCAATATTGCGGGTCTTGTCTTTATCTTTCTGCTTCACCCTTTCAGCAAACGCGTCTCTCTCTTCGATGTCCTGCTGTCGCTCTCTCTCTTCTCTCTCCCACTCCTCCTCTTCTTCCTCTTCTTTCTGGACATCTTTGTTTTCCCTTTGGCCTGAATTACCCCTGGTATTAGAAAAAAAACATATATATATGAATATTAAAATTATACTTGGCCAACCATTCCTCCCCTCGTTCCCCCAACCACCTTCTGCAATATCATTTTTCAGCGTTTTGATCAATAATATTTACACATTGCTTCTATATTTCTTGGATTAAACTCAAAACTAAGTATGTTTCAGGTCAGAGCCACATTAATATATCATTGGCTGATGTTAGCCTGAAATTGATGAATCAAAATAAGTGCGTTTATGTTCCTTTTTGTGCCTGAAACTTAAATGCACCCGCACCGTCTCTTTCATATCACCTCACACAGAGCATCACCCCTGAGCAATCAGTGTTCTAAATTCAAATCTGTAGTTTTTATAACCTTTAATGTTCTTTATTCAAGTCAGCTGTCTAAGCAGTTATCTTTGCATAGTCATATCTAGAGCACTTCCCAGTTAAAACATAACCTTAGGAATATTGTATGACACTGTTTCTTGTTTAAACTTTGAACAAATTGAAATTGAAGCAGCTCTACAATAAGAAACTTAAACAGAACAATGTGCAACTACAAAAACAGTAAAAAGGAATCAACAAGTGTTGTAATGAGAGAAGTAAATCTGTCGATTACCTTTTAGGCGCTTCCTCCTCACTTGATGACTCGCTCTCTTTCTTCTGTCTGATGTGTTTCCTCTTGTTCCCCTTGTCTTTGTCTTTCTTTTTGCCTTTCTGCTTCTCTCTCACCGCTTCTCCATCACTGTCGCTGTCCTCTAGTAACGTGTACGTCCGATTCTTTCTGTCCATCTCTATGGCTTCTCGTTCCATCGCCCGGGACGCTTTCTCAACAACCTGCTTGCGAGGAATCTGTGACACACAATAGAAAACGACTGTAAGATGTTTGATCTATATCAATTCAAGTACATCCTTATTTTGTTTGAGCTCATGTTAAAAGGATATTCAGGCGTAGAATTAAGTTAGGGTCAAACACACCGTAACACTGAGTTAGACACCCCCTCGAGAGATGAATGTTGCCGACCGTTTGCTTCTCTAGTTATACCAACTTGAGTAATGATCGCACGATAACGATACAGAGAGCCACGCGCTAAACCAAAAAGCCACTCTATAGCCACAAATAATGCTCAGAACAGCACCTAACTTCATCAACAGGACATATAGGGTCCCAGCCATAGTACTAGCCACCAAACATCTTTTTAACTTTGCCTAATTTCTGTAGCAAAGAGACTAAACACAACTCGCTGTCTCTCTTCTAGCAGCCGCTTGTTTGTAGAGACCTTGGGCCAGTCCATAACGGACTACAGCGGGGTGGCGCAGCTCAAGGAAGAACATTTATGATCATCATGCATCTCTCAATGGGGTGACTAACTCGGTGTTATGGTGTGTTTGACCCTAAATTAATTTTACGCCGGAATATCCCTTTAAGTTGTTTAAACATTTGAACAGACCTTGTCATAGAGCTCCTGAGCAAAGGAAATCACGCTCTGGTCGATGTCGATCGTTCCTGTCTCCTCGAGACGACTGACAAAGTCCTCAGAGCTCGATGCTTTCCGTGCCACGCCGATCATGAACTGAGAGACATATCTGTCACTCAACCCAAGGATGTCGTGCAGACGGTCGTTCACCCACTGCTCCAGGTTGGCCATGGTGCCTGCTGAGGGAACAACATGGTTAACAATGTGTTCACTTGAACTCTGTAAGTTGTCACCAAATATACACATTTCCAAAGAATGAAGAAGCAAAGGTCAAGTCATGAGACAAAAGGGCTGGGAGATAAAACGATAAAGATACAAAAAAAATAAATTTCCCGCAATATCAAAATAAAACATGGTACGAATTTCTAATGAAAAGGGGAGTTGCTCCGGGTCCGCTTCGCGCTGAACCAATCATGTGCTGAATTAGAACCAAGTAGCAAACAAGTGTGTAGTAGCCATAGACTGTATAAACTATGGACACCTTGGTTCTGCCTCCCGCCTGTATACGGATTTGAAGCCGAAAATCTCTCGGTATTTCCGTGATTTTTCTTCATTTCTTGAAACCACCACTTGCGCAGTAGCATTGTGCGCATTCGGTGGGAGAATCACCAAGAGTCGCTGTGATGACGCTAGGCTGTATCAAGTGTCAATCATAGAAAACATGAACCCCCTAATAACTTTTAAAAACGGAGCTGTACAGAAAAAAGAGGACTTGAGCACAAACCAGTCTTACAGTAACTACATGTCAACATCCCAAGCAGGGGGAGAAAAATTTATATTCTGTGTAATAAATTTCTTAAGTTTGTCCACAGCTCCATAGGGATAGCTGGAGGAGGCGGGATTTGTGACCTATACTGCAGCCCGTCAACAGAGGGTGCTGTTCTGGGAGTGGCTTCACCGAGCGAGGAGGCAGACGCTGTCCATTTTATATACAGTCTATGGTAGTAACTGCAGCTACATGCAACCAGAGCACTTTAACAGGTGAAGCAGACAGCACTGATGGTGAGAAAAAAAGAAAATGAGTGCTACCCCCGACAGAAATGCAGACGAAGGCTCAACAGATGACGACATTGTCGACAACACTGGCACGAAAACATCGGTGTTGTGGAGGTATTTTGTTTTTTTGAGGTCAGATATGAATCAGAGTAATGTGGACTGCAGATTATGTCAGGTACATGTTCTCGCAAAGTCGGGGAATACCTTAAATATTTCTTTACCTTCTGGAGCCGCATGACGTTAACGTTTTATATGAAGACACAAGCCGGTTAACGTGCATAAGCGATGTGTGGTTGATTCAAGCTTTAAAATTCGTATTTTGTTGAAGTGAAACGATTCTGCGGTGGTTTCACGTTAGTCCATTTGATCTGAGTTGATATCTTTATACTTTTCTACCTTTTTGGTCGTGATACAAAATCATGTGTCTGTGATAAAGAGTAGCTATGAACGTTTTCTTTAAAGAAATAAAACCTTTTTCTTTAAAAAGTCGTATTTTCACGAACTTACCGCTCTCTCTGTGAAGTTGTTATGGTTGTGTTAGCGGGCTGTTGGTTAGCTTACGCGGCTAACTCCAGCGAGGATGTCGCGCAAGACTTCCGGATCAGGACACTTGATGCAACACTTATAACTCAAAGTAGACGTTTAAGTACTTGTCTGTTGTTTTCCATTTAAAAATATAAACTTTGGAAGAGATGCTGGTTACACATCTCCTTAGCTGGACGTTAGCTTGACGCACGCTGAGGTCGACGGCGAACGACGTCATGAGGAAACAACCGAAGAAGTAAGGCGCTACATCACAGGCTTACAGCGCTTAGCGCCTCCAAGCGGCTACAATAGAAACTACAAGGACCGTATGCTGGTTGCCATGGTCAACCTGTATAATTTTGAATGAACTTGATTCATTTACTACGATGGAGTATTAGGGCCACATTAAGGGGGAAAAATTACGATTTCGAGATTGAAGTGGTAAGCTTGCGAGGATAAAGTCATTACTAACGATAAAAAATTCATAATAAAGTAAATACTTACGATAATAAAGTCAGAATAAAGTCCTTATATTCTAACCTGTTGTTAAGATGACAGATGTTGAAAGGAGAGCCATGGAGCATTTCGTGAAAATGTACTTTGATTTGGGTTTCTTAAGGAGATACACATCAGCACCACATTATCATAAGTATCATACTGATTTTATTACGACTTTATTCACGTTAGTTATGATATTATTCTCCAAATCTAACGACTTTAATGTCGAAGTCTTTTTTTTTCTTAATGTGTCCCTAATACTCCGTCGTAATTTACAGTATTTTATCAGACACATATCGGTTAAATGTTAAATTGTATTTGAGTCTTCCTCATTTTGTGCACATTGTCTAAGTTTCCAATTATTGAAGTTTATCTGATTATTTTTTGTGTGACATGTAAAAAAGTTTGGTTAAAGCTGCACTATGTAACTTAACACAAACAAGAACCCTTGTTTGATAATAAATGCAAATAGTGAAAAAATCTTTACATATAACAAATGGTTTATGGCTTTGATATGACTTGTTTTTGACTTGAAAGGAACGGTAAGGACTTGGACTTGACTCGAGACCTGAGAGCCAAGACTTGAGACTCGACTTGGACTTGAACATTAGGACTTTCCCCCACCTCTGACTGAATGTTATAAAAAGAATGTGATACAGGAAATGCGCTCACACATAGTCAAGCAGATGTAACTCAAAGTTTAGAGATCGATGTCTACTCATCAGCTGGGTTAAATATCTTGATATAAAGTCTCTCTACGCTCCTCTAACGATCTTCTATCCAGGTAGAGAGATGAAGAGTCTGCAGACCATCAGAGCGGTGTCTCTACTGCTGCTGCTGCTGCTGCTGCTCATGGGAGCTCACATCGACGGTTACAAGCCGGTTATCCTCGTTCACGGGCTGTTTGATAGACCACAAAATTATGAAATACTGACTGAGTTCATTAAACAGGTAGGACACCTCAAAGTTACTCAAGTATGAATCTAGTTTTATTAAAATTTGTTGTTGTTTTTTTTTTTAAGAGAAAACGTTTAAAAACACTGTTGTTTTAAGTAAGAATCCCTCATCTAAAAGTGTTAGCAAACCAGAAACAAGCAAATTATGAGTATCTAAGAGTAAAGATAGGAGGATAAGCTTAAAGGACACGTATCAGAATAATAATCTGTAAGGTAATTATCAGTTTTTAATGATGACTGAGCAGGTAACAAGAATGAATGAATCACTGTCCTGATAACATTGGTAACACTTTATATGAACCCACCTCTCACAATGAATCACAAAGCCTCATAGATGTATCTTTAAGGCATTTCTAACAGCTTATTTTTATGAAGTGTTTTAACTAATGTGCCTTACAGAGTTATGGTTTACAATATATTATAGGCCTAAATAAATGTACATTTTTTTAAAAAACAGTGTATTTTTGTGATGAAGTATTTTTGTTTGACACTTAGCTTACAGACACAAAATTCAAAGTTCTTATATGTGTCCCTTTAAGGACCCCGGCATTCTGGAAGCCCCCTTCGCTGCTGCCATGCAACAAGGCTGTCCATTTTTGAACAAGCCATTCAGAGCCCCGTGTAGACTTCATATTTGTTTTCAAACTATGAAAAAAAACCCACATTATCACTTGAACTTTTTCTAACGCTTATGGAGTTTTCAAGAGAGGTTAGGCGAATTTGTTGTTCTTATTAATTTGATTTCTAGTTAAAACACCATTTAATTTGGTTTTTACAGAGAAATTTTGAGGAAGATTAGTATAGCTACAGTACTTTAATGCCAGTTTTAGGTTCAAGTAGTGAGTTCATACAAGTGAGGACCACAAACATCCTCATCATTGTGAGGAAATAGAAGATGGCACCTCCTTTGGCACAGAACCACCTACATATATGTCTGTTCCTCACTTTGAATTCCTATCACTTAATGGTTATTTAAAAAATGATTATACATGGAAAAATACATCTTGTGTGTTTGTATAGTGATTTAGGTTTCAACTATGAGCTGTTTGAACTCGTCAATTAACATTTCTTGAAGTTAAACTCTTTGCTGAGGAGGTAGAAAAAGAAGAAAGTGGATTAAGTTGTAATATGTATTGTCTAGTTCACTTAAGCTATCAAAAAGGAAAACTCCCCTGAATGCTGACATGTAGTGGAGTGAAGTTAAGAAATAGAACTAAATGAAAACATTCAAGGAAAGTACAGATGTCTCTAAAGTTAAACTTGACTAAATAAAGTGACTGTCATATTTGGACTTTAAGAGAAGTGATTATACTTTTACTTCTTCAGCCACTTTCTATTCCTCAGGATCGGTTTTACTTGCAGGGAACTTCTGTAAAAGAGCTCGCATGATGCATAGTGTGAAGTCATTAAGGAGATAGTGATTTAATGAGCGATTACTGTCTTTGTCTCTGCTGTTCTTACTTTCTGTTTGTTTCTTTTTTTCAGGCGCATCCAGACACTGAGGTCCATGTCATCAGTGTGTACAACGGCACGACAATGAGGAGTTTGCGCCCATTGTGGAGGCAGGTCCGTGGCTTCGAGGAGAAAATCAAGCCAATCATGGAGAAATCTCCTGATGGGGTTCATCTTCTGTGCTTCTCACAAGGTCCTTCCCACTCATAACTCACTCAGCTGAACACTTTTGTTATTGGATATGAAGTGGGCTGAAACTCTGTTAATCCTCAGATAAAGACAGTTATTGAAAGTGCATCATTTTGGTCAGAACCATCATAGCCTTCAAAAGTGTATCAAGGCCAGCTCTCGTTTAAAGACCAGGCACCTTTCATATGTCTATCAGAGAGAACACAATGGAATTTAATACAATCACACATTTGGTCTTCAGTCGTCTGAGCAAGAATCTGTCAACTTTTCCCTGGGTGCAACCCACATACTCAGCTTCACTTATCCCACAAACGAGTGTTCTTTACAACACAGGACTGCACTGACACAATATTTTCTCTGTCTTAAACTACATGTCCACTGAAATTTGTGCACAAACTTTGCCCTTCAAAATCACAAAAGCTTAAAACCCTGGGAGTATTTTAATGTTTTATCCAACCAGTCCATTACAGAAAGTACAACACTGTTAAACAACACCAAAATGAGCTCAATAATGAACAGGTTTGAGTGACCATCTATTTGACAAAATGACCTTAATGTTCAGTCAACAGCAGCCTGAAAATACTCAACCAGAACTGACTGCTTTAACTCTAATAAAAGCATTATTTAAACACACTCCTTTTAGCTTGAAGTGACAAATAAACTAGTGACTAAGAGCTCAGTGAGAAAACCCATCCACTGTCAGGGACAGATAAAAATAAGGTCATAAAAAGAGAAGCGCCTCTCAGTCTGTCAAACACGAAGAGAAATGATCCCTCCCAGATAATGTTAGACAGAGTGGACATTATCTATTCTGTTCATATTAAACACAAGGACATCAAGAGGTCACAGAGAGGAAAGGCAGACAGAGTATCTGTTATCTGAAGGTCAGTTTACCAACATAATCACCAGGCATGAATGAAGGAAAACACACTGAACAATGAGATATACTGAATGCTCACTATCATACTCATAAATACACACAGACATAAAGAGAAGATGAACCAAAGAGAAGGAAGGAAGGAAACAGACACAAGCTCACACTAAAGATGAGGAGCAGTATCTAAACAAGTTTGACACTTCTGTTTCTGTTTCTGAAACGACATGTGGCTGTTTTTGACCACAATGACTTAACACTTCTTGTCATTTATACTCTTAGGTCAGATGTATGTTCATACTCAAGAGTTAAGAAGCAGCAGCTGTCAAACTTTAACCTCAACAGCGAGGGCATCATGTTGTGATTTTTTATTTTTAGCAGAAATATCGAATCATTTCTAGGGAGATGAAACAATCCTGAAGTCTCACTCAGCCTCAGTGACCGGGGAGAGGGAGGGTTCTCTGGAAAAGAGTCAAGCCAGACTTGGCAAACAAAGAAAAACAGGAAGTCCAACCAAAATAAAACAAGAGGGGGCGGCGTCTCACCACATATTTGTTGATGTTGATTACTCTGGGACTTTTTTTCTGTCTTTTTTTTAATCAGGTGCTCTAATTTGTCGAGCAATCCTCTACAAGACTGCACACCACAACGTGGACACCTTCATTTCACTGGCATCTCCACAAGCTGGGCAGTACGGAGGTCAGAGGGCGTCCTTTTATACTTTCAGCATGTCTACATAACACTCACCCTTCAGGGAACAGTGTTATTTTGGGTGTTACAATTTTAGATTGAACATCACCCAGCTACAGTTATATTAACTTTCAACAGGACAAATGCAGTTCAAAGAGTCAGAGTCTCTCATATGTAAAGATGGGAAGAGGTTAATGCTCTGTGAGAGACTGTGTGAGCTAATAGTTCAACAGTTTCCAACAATGTTCATACATTTGAAACAACGTGTGGCGTCAAACTGAATAAGAGTTATCAGTTCCAACATTATCACATAGTCTTTGTACTGTTTTCAATTCAGTTTAGATTTAAAGTGATTTGTAAATTCAGTTTCATTAATATTTTATACAGTGTCTCCCCTATTTTGGAAGTTTGAAATACAGAAAAAGATTTGATAATGATTTCCAGAGTTTTTATGTTGAACCCAAGAGCAGGTAAGTGATCCAGAGTAAGAGTTGTGGCAGCGTAGCAGAGGTTGGGGCTTTGGCTTCAAATGTACAAAGAGGCACCAGAGGAGAGAGGAGGAGAGCAGGGATTAATCGTAGGTAAAACACACATTCACTAGAGTTTCAGATATACAATACTTGAAGACTGGCCGAGCTACCACAGGAGGTATGGATATAATCTGGTAGTAAGAGACAACCAGGAAGAGCTGAAGTGCAGCAGGTGATTACTGGTGTCCACACAAGCCACAAACTAAACTCAGTGAGGCCATCAAGTGTCCAAAAACAAGTAAGAGACAAGATTACTATCTTTTTCCCACAGTCACTGACATCCTGAACAGAATAATCCCACACATTGAGAAGAACAAAGTGTTTCCTTTTTGCTACAACATAATAGGACAAGGATTCTCCATCTGCAACTACTGGAACGGTGAGAATGAGAGGGGTCTGAAACTATTTGAAAAGCAGATTTTATTTTTTACCTTTATATCTACTTCGTATCCATCAGCTGGTATTTCCAGGTTTCGAAGGAATTAAAACTAGTTAGTCAAGTATCAAACAGTAGATGTCCTTTTGTTTGTTTAGTAGGTGTGTAAAGACCTGAATCTTTCTCTGCAGACCCTCATCAGGGGCCCAGGTACCGGAACAACAACTACTTTCTGGCCCGGATTAATGGTGACAGACCAGACCCAAAAATGAAAGGTAATAATTGAAGTACTTTAACAGGCCGTAGTGTTTCATTATTTTCAGTACAGTAAAAAAGTAAATTCATGGATTTCTCCTTAGTGTGGAAGGAAAACTTCCTGCGCATCAAGAAGCTTGTTCTGATTGGAGGACCAGATGATGGCGCCATAACACCATGGCAGTCCAGGTTTTACCCCCATCTAAGCTTTACAAATAAAAACAAAAATGTTGTTACTTTACATTTAAGCTTTGTTGTGAAATATGAGGAAATATCAAACCAACCTTCAGCGTTAAAAATTGCAGCTAATGCAGAAGTACATACGACTGCAGTTCCTCGGGTGTCCACTTGAGGCCTGCTCTAAAGGTCAAGGAGACCCCTTTAAACCAATGTTAAAATGCTGATCTTTACAGCTGAAATAAATTTTTTTTACAGCCTAGAATAAAATATGTTTGTAGTCTGAATGGCCCATGTCTATATTTGTACACACCATTTTTCTATCACTCATTAGTTTCGAAGCGATTAAGGCAAGTTTGGCATGATTAGGGCATGGCTGACTTGACTAATACAGGGGCAAATTGTAGCTGTGTACCAGGCACTTTGGGGCTACCTTAAATCTGCCTCTTTGCTACATGTTTGATCAAAAGTTAGTTTGAGACAGCATAATATGCCTGCCGTCATGGTTGGTTTACAAAATCCAGACATTGATGGGTGTCGTCAATCAGATTACAGAATACGAAAACTCCAATTCAGTCAAAAAATAATTACAGGCAAACACTGACTACAAATCTGTATTTGGTTAAATTTTAACACAAACAGCATGTGGATTAAAATATTTTTACACCTGAGCCTTGCTTGCAGGTTTGTGTTTAAATCAACTGTCAGAAAACAGGGTACAGAGCAACAAACTTTTCAGCCCAAGAGACAAAACTCTAGTTATGAAAGGTTTGTTCTGGGCCTGAGAGCTACTTGTTGGTGGGCTAAATTAACATTTTTTTTTTTATTATGTCTTTGGATTTGAGCAACTTGACAGCTCAGTGTTCTTGTTGGGAAATCTAAAGCTCCTAAATCAAATTTACACTTTGAAAGTGTATCAGTTTTCATGTTCTCTGTACCTGGAGTGACTGTTTCCTCTTTTCTGCTCAGCCTCTTTGGATTCTATGACGAGGAGGAAAATGTGGTAGAAATGAAGGACCAGAATGTGAGTTTTAAAAGATACATCACTGCTTTTTTTTTCACCTTATGCCCCAATCACTTTAGTATAACTGCAAAACCAGTCTGCATGTGGCAGACTTCTCTCTCGTCTTTTTCATTATAAATCTGTCTGTTGGGTAACTTGTCTTTCTCTTTGTCTGTCTTCTCAAAGTTTTACAAGGAAGACTTGTTTGGACTGAAGACCCTGGATGATCGTGGGGACATATCGACGTGTGTTCACTCTGGAGTGTATCACACAAGATGGACCTATAACCGCACAGTGTTCAACGACTGCATTGAGAAGTGGTTAACATGAGTACCAGTCCGTCACAGAGGTGACATTATAGGAAAACATCCTATGATGGTGCTAGTTTATGAGCAGGCTTTTAGCTGACACGCAGATTTTCACACTTTTAAAGCCACACGCAAGTCATGGTATTGTTTTGTTCAGAAGAAAAGGAACTGTACAAAAAGTTGAACAAAGAGAGGGAAATATAGTGTTTTTAAGTCAGACTTTTGGGGTCATATCATTTACTGTATTATTATTCTGTAGCACAATCCTCTTCCTTTTAGATAAGATAGAATTTTATTGATCCTTTTGGGGAGGTTATCTCAGGGAAATTAAAACTTTTATGACAGGATATAACACCAAAAGCTGAAAATAAATATATATATATATTGAGTGTTTCTTTTGTTCAGACTTTTTATTTAGTTTTTATCTATTTTTAAGAATTTTACAGCTTTTAAATGTCTATTTCAAATGCATCCTTAAACAGACGGTAACATTTTATATGGTATTTGAATAAATTATATATATGAGATGTCTCCATGGAAGACCTGAGTAATGATTACTAGTTCACTTATTACTTATTGCGAGTTGCTGCCCTCTGGTGGAAACTTCAGGTATGTGTTTTGTTTCTGCCATGAATGGAAGATAAACAGATCAATTCTCTATATTTCTGACATATGCAGTTTGATAATAAAATTAATTAGTTGAAATGATGTTAGTTTATCTGCATTAATGCCCCTTTAGGAACATCTCAAAATCTCTCTGATAGTTTGTTTTAGAGATTTCAGTCAAGATCAGATCAGATTTCCCCATCTCTGGTTTCAATTTTGTCGTATCATTTGGGTTGGAAAATTCATTATTTACTGTAACTACTGATGAATGAAAACTGATATAATGACAAAGATATAATGTGCTTTACTTTGTTAGGTATACATTAAGTGCTCATGCTTGCATCAGCTGAACATAATAAATAATAGCATGATACATCTGACTCCTGTCATTCTTTGAGATTACTGCTTTGTAATCGAAAATATTACTTTCTGGTTTTGATACACTTCAAACTCCTTCAATTTACCAGCTGTTCTTAGTACCAACAAATGCAATATAAAGTAAAATTTAAAAAAAAGATAAACAATTAATTCTCTATTTCTGACTTTTGCAGTTTGACAAAAAAAACAAAACAATTTTAATCAATTTAAATTATGTTATTCTTCGTTTACGGAATCTGATTCTTGATATAGCTGATTAATTAATGGCAACTTGAAAAGTTCTCTTCTTCCTACAAAGAGAAATTATCTGTGGGAGTTATATTAAAAAAAAGAAGAAAGAAATAAAAAATGTTGCGTTTTGACCATAGACTGGATAAAGAAATAGTATAGTCTATGGTTTTGACTAGCAAAACTACGGACAGCGACGTCGCCGGCGACAGATTCCGATTACCGTAACTCCTCGACCGTTTGCGCAAACGACGTAATTCTAACGGAATCTAAAGGCTGAGAAGCGGAGTTTTGCGGTGATATACGTCACATTACGGTACTGTGAGGGCGCTGTAAAGGAGGGGAGAGAGGAGCAGAGGAGCGAAGCAGCAGGCAGCCCTATACCTGCTGGACCTGTCCAAATACTGTATACACCACGGACAACTTGGTTCCGCCTCCCGCCTGTATACGGATTCGAAGCCGAAAAGCTCTCGGTATTTCCGCGATTTTTCATCATTTCCTGAAACCACCACTTGCGCAGTAGCATCGTGCGCATTCAGCGGGAGAGTCGCCGAGAGTCGCTGTGATGACGCTCGGCTCAAACAGCGTTTTCCTCGGGTGAGCTACGCAATCTTTGTACGCCCATAGGCTGTATCCGGTGTCAATCATAGAAAACATGAACCCCCTAATAACTTTTAAAAACTGAGCTGTACAGAAAAAAGAGGACTTGAGAACAAACCAGTCTTAGTGTAACTGCATGTCAACATCACAAGCAGGGGGGGAGAAAAAATTATATTCTGTGTAATAAATTTCTAAAGTTTGTCCACAGCTCCATAAGATTTGCTGGCGGAGGCGGGATTTATGACCTGTACTGCAGCCCGTCACCAGAGGGTGCTGTTCTTAGAGTGGCTTCACTCAGCAAGGAGGCAGACGCTGTCCATTCTATATACAGTCTATGGTCCTACCTTATGGTAAGTATAAATCAATTTCTGTGCTGGCTTTTTTGTTTTTTTGGGGGTGTCTTATGTTGGTTTGCGGTGAGTAATGGTACTAGTGTTGATAGAATGCTGTGGGTTTTATGCACTACTTGTTACATGCTGTGTGCTACTGTGAGCAAGTTGTTGTGGTGGCAATTTAGCAGTAAAAAAAAAAGTAGTTTTGTCTGATAAAAATTGTTCCAGAGAGTGTAGTTCAATGCGTGATTCGTTCACCAAGGGATTAAGGCGTCGGTGCATGTGGTTCCTCATTCGCCGACTGCTGTTTGTCACTTCGGCTCAACTGAAGTGAGAAACGAACGAATCACTTGAGGAAGTGATTCGGTTCAGTACGCTCACTTACAAGATTCGGTTCTTTTGAACGAATCGTTCGCGAACGACACAACACTATTGGCAATGTTGTTCTGACTTTCAAGCCAAAAAAGATCATTTGAATTGAACTGAATTGAACTGAAATTAATAAAAATGAAATTAAATCAGATTTTTTTTTCTTTTCTTGACAAATGTAGTGAGAAATTTCTACAATAACTGAGTCAGCTTTGAGTGGGATGGCACTGTTTGATAGTAGGTGACTGAACGTTCTCAAAAGGATGTGATACAGGAAGTGCGCTCACACATAGTCAAGCAGATGCAACTCAAAGTTTAGAGATCGAGATCTACTCATCAGCGCTGTTAAATATCTTGATATAAAGTCTCTCTATGCTCCTCTAACGATCTTCTATCCAGGTAGAGAGATGAAGAGTCTGCAGACCATCGGAGTGGTGTCTCTGCTGCTGCTGCTGCTCAAGGGGGCTCACATCGACGGTTACAAGCCGGTTATCATCGTTCACGGGCTGTTTGATGGACCTAAACAGTTTCAAACATTGATTGAATACATTATAAAGGTAGGACACCTCAAAGGAGCTCAAGTATGAATCGAGTTTTATTTAAAAAAAAATTTATTTTTTTTATTTTAGAGAAAACGTTTAAAAACAATGTTGTTTTATGTATTGTCTAGTTCACTTAAGCTATCAGAAAGGGAAACTACCCTGAACGTTGACATGTAGTGGAGTGAAATTAAGAAATAGATCTAAATGAAAACGTTCAAGGAAAGTACAGATGTCTCTAAAGTTAAACTTGACTAAATAAAGTGACTGTCATATTTGGACTTTGAGAGAAGTGAAAGTATTCAAGATAACACTTTCACTTCTTTAGCCACTTTCTATTCCTCAGGATCAGCTTACTTGCAGGTAACTTCTTGTCAAAGAGCTCGCATGGTGCATAATGTGAAGTCATTAAGGATATGATTTAATGAGCGTTTACTGTCTTTTCCTCTGCTGTTTTTACTTTCTGTTTGTTTGTTTTTTCAGGCACATCCAGACACTGAGGTCCATGCCATCAGTTTGTACGACGACAGGAGGAGTTTGCACCCATTGTGGAGGCAGGTCGGTGGCTTCGAGGAGAAAATGAAGCCAATCATGGAGAAATACCCCGATGGGGTTCATCTTCTGTGCTTCTCACAAGGTCCTTCCCACTCATAACTCACTCAGCTGAACACTTTTGTTATTGGATATGAAGTGGGCTGAAACTCTGTTAATCCTCAGATAAAGACAGTTATTGAAAGTGCATCATTTTGGTCAGAACCTTCAAAAGTGTATCGAGGCCAGCTCTCGTTTGAAGACCAGGCACCTTTCATATGTCTATCAGAGAGAACACAATGGAATTTAATACAATCACACATTTGGTCTTCAGTCAAGAACCTGTCAACTTTTCCCTGGGTGCAACCCACATAACCAGCTCTGCTGCTCATCCCACAAACGCATGTTCCGTACAACACAGGACTGCACTGACACAATATTTTCTCTGTCTTAAACTACATGTCCACTGAAATTTGTGCACAAACTTTGCCCTTCAAAATCACAAAAGCTTAAAACCCTGGGAGTATTTTAATGTTTTATCCAACCAGTCTATTACACAAAGTACAACACTGTTAAACAACACCAAAATGAGCTCAATAATGAACAGGTTTGAGTGACCATCTATTTGACAAAATGACCTTAATGTTCAGTCAACAGCAGCCTGAAAATACTCAACCAGAACTGACTGCTTTAACTCTAATAAAAGCATTATTTAAACACACTCCTTTTAGCTTGAAGTGACAAATAAACTAGTGACTGAGAGCTCAGTGAGAAAACCCATCCACTGTCAGGGACAGATAAAAATAAGGTCATAAAAAGAGAAGTGCCTCTCAGTCTGTCAAACACTAAGAGAAATGATCCCTCCCAGATAATGTTAGACAGAGTGGACATTATCTATTCTGTTCATATTAAACACAAGGACATCAAGAGGTCACAGAGAGGAAAGGCAGACAGAGTATCTGTTATCTGAAGGTCAGTTTACCAACATAATCACCAGGCATGAATGAAGGAAAACACACTAAACAGTGAGATATACTGTATGCTCACTATCATACTCATAAATACACACAGACATAAAGAGAAGATGAACCAAAGAGAAGGGAGGAAGGAAACAGACACAAGCTCACACTAAAGATGAGGAGCAGTATCTAAACAAGTTTGACACTCCAGTTTCTGTTGCTGAAACGACATGTGGCTGTTTTTGACCACAATGACTTAACACTTCTTGTCATTTTTCTTCTAGGGTCAGATGGGGTCCTTTGACACTTTCAGCATGTCTAAATTACACTCGGGGTCATTTCGGGACCCTGGCTGTTTCAAATTGACTGATATTCATGCAAAAATAACAAATCCAAAGATTGTGAAACTGTTTAAAAGGCTGTAAAAGAACACATTAAGAAAAATTAACCCATCATAATTCAGATTTTCTTACCGTACCTCCTGAGAAGAAGCTGTCGGTTCTCCTGAGTGAAGGTCCACCTGCTCTATGAACTGAACTCACACACACAGTTAGAGCTCAAATACAGAGGAGCTGTCTGACCCACACTCTGTTTTTATTCGACTGTAATTGACTCTGATAAAATCCTGTATGAAATCAAGTACACCAAATTTATATTCTTAGGTCAGATGTATGTTCATACTCAAGAGTTAAGAAGCAGCAGCTGTCAAACTTCAACCTCAACAGCGAGGGCATCATGTTGTGATTTTAAATTTTTAGCAGAAATATCGAATCATTTCTAGGAAGATGAAACAATCCTGAAGATTGTGCTTCTGATACTCTATATTTGTTGATGTTGATTACTGTGGGACTTTTTTTTTCTGTCTTTTTTTCAATCAGGTGGTACAGTTTGTCGAGCAATCCTCTACATGACTCCACGCCACAACGTGGACACCTTCATTTCACTGTCATCTCCACAAGCTGGGCAGTACGGAGGTCAGAGGGTTTCCTTTTATACTTTCAGCATGTCTACATAACACTTACCCTTCAGGGAACAGTGTTATTTTGGGTGTTATAATTTTAGATTGAACATCACCCAGCTACAGTTATATTAACTTTCAACAGGACAAATGCATTTCAAAGAGGCAGAGTCTCTCAAATGTAAAGATGGGAAGAGGTTAATGTTCTGTGAGAGACTGTGTGAGCAAATAGTTTAACAGAGGCTCTAGAGGAGAGAGGAGGAGAGCAGGGTTTAATCTCAGGCAAAACACACATTCACTCAAATAAGTTTCAAATATGCGATACTTGAAGACTGGCCGAGCTACCACAGGAGGTATGGGTATAATCTGGTAGTGAGAGACAACCACAATTACAGGTGATGAGGTGCAGGAGGAGCCAGAGAAGAACCGTCCAATCTCTGTAGAGGAAAAAGGGGGAGAAAGTCCACACAAGCCACAAACTAAACTCAGTGAGGCCATCAGGTGTCCAAAAACAAGTTTAACCATGACAAGATTACTGTCTTTTTCCCACAGACACTGAATACCTGAACAGAGTATTCCCACACACGATGAAGAAGACAGTATTTCATTTTTGCTACACCAAAATAGGACAAAAAATCTCCATCTGCAACTACTGGAACGGTGAGAATGAGAAGGGTCTGAAATTATTTGAAAAGCAGATTTTTTAATTTTTACCTTTATATCTACTCTGTATCCATCAGCTGGTACTTCCAGGTTTCCAATATCAATAGCTTTTCATTTCATATTATAAATGTTTGGCTCTACATTCAGACATCAGCAGGCAGCAAGTGTGTTAATTCTGATCCAGTCTCAAATTTAAAGCCACCAGCATCTGTAGCAGCCATCTTAGCTTCTTTCAGAAGCCCATCATCATATTTAACTGTCTCTAAAAACGGTCATGATTGGCCTGATCAGCTCCAGGTCAGATGGAAATCTTTCTTGACACATCTCCCAGGGTATAAGAAAGCTGCAGATTAATCTGTTTCATTGACACTAATATCTACCTTACCTTTACTTTATCATTTTAAACTGAAGTATCAAACAGTAAATGTCCTTTTGTTTGTTTAGTAGGTGTATAAAGACCTGAATCTTTCTCTGCAGACCCTCATCACAGGTCCAGTTACTTGAAACACAGCACCTTCCTGGCCCCGATTAATGGTGATAGACCAGACCCAAACATGAAAGGTAATAATTGAAGTACTTGAACAGGCCGTAGTGTTTCATTATTTTTCAGTACAGTAAAAAAGTAAATTCACAGATTTCTCCTTAGTGTGGAGGGAAAACTTCCTGCGCATCAAGAAGCTTGTTCTGATTGGAGGACCAGATGATGGCGTCATAACACCGTGGCAGTCCAGGTTTTAACCCCATCTAAGTTTTACAAATTAAAACAAAAATGTTGTTACTTTACATTTAAGCTTTGTTGTGAAATATGAGGAAATTAAAAATTGCAGCTAATGCAGAAGTACATAAAACTGCAGTTCCTCGGGTGTCCACTTTAGGCCTGCTCTAAAGGTCAAGGAGACCCCTTTACACCAATGTTAAAATGTTGATCTTTACAGCTGAAATAAAAAATTTTTACAGCCTAGAATAAAATATGTTTGTAGTCTGAAAGGCCCATGTCTATATTTGTACACGACATTTGTCTATCACTCATTAGTTTCAGGCAAGTTTTCATGTTCTCCGTACCTGGAGTGACTGTTTCCTCTTTTCTGCTCAGCCTCTTTGGATTCTATGACGAGAAGGAAAACGTGGTAGAAATGAAGGACCAGAATGTGAGTTTTAAAGGATACATCACTGCTTCTTTTTTTTCACCTTACACCCCAATCACTTTAGTATCACTGCAAAACCAGTCTGCATGTGGCAGACTTCTCTCTCGTCTTTTTCATCATAAATCTGTCTGTTGGGTAACTTGTCTTTCTCTTCGTCTGTCTTCTCAAAGTTTTACAGGAAAGACTTGTTTGGACTGAAGACCCTGGATACTCGTGGGGACATATCGACGTGTGTTCGCTCTGGAGTGCATCACACAACATGGCACTCAAACCACACAGTGTTCAATGACTGCATTGAGAAGTGGTTAACATGAGTACCAGCCCGTAACAGAGGTGACATAATAGAAAAACATCCTATAATGGTGCTGGTTTATGAGCAGGCTTTTAGCTGACATGGAGATTTTCACACTTTTAAAGCCACAAGCAAGTCATGGTATTGTTTTGCTCAGAAGAAAAGGAACTGTACAAAAAGTTTAACAAAGAGAGGGAAATATAGTGTTTTTAAGTCAGACTTTTGGGGTCATATCATTTAATGTATTATTATTCTGTAGCACAATCCTCTTCCTTTTAGATAAGATAGAATTTTATTGATCCTTTTGGGGAGGTTCTCTCAGGGAAATTACAATTTTTATGACATGATATGACACCAAAAGCTTAAAATAAATATATATATTTTGAATGTTCCTTTTGTTCAGACTTTTCATTTAGTTTATATCTATTTTTAAAGCATTTTGCAGCTTTTATATGTCTTTTTCAGATGCATCCTTAAACAGACGGTTACATTTTATATGGTATTAGAATAAATTATATACATGAGATGTCTCTATGGAAGACCTGAGCAGGGATTACTAGTTGCTGCCCTCTGGTGGAAACTTCAGGTATGTGTTTTGTTTCTGCGATGAATAGAAGATAAACAGATCAATTCTCTATATTTCTGATGTATGCAGTTTGATAATAAAATAAATAAATTAAAATGATGTTAGTTTATCTGCATTAATGCCCCTTTAGGAACTTCTCAAAATCTCTGATAGTTTGTTTTAGAGATTTTGGTCAAGATCAGATCAGATTCACCCATCTCTGGTTTCAATTTTGTCGTATCATTTGGGTTGGAAAATTCATTATTTACTGTACCTATTGATTAATGAAAACTGATATAATGACAAAGACATAATGTGCTCTACTTTGTTAGGTATACATTAAGTGCTCTTGCTAGCATCAGCTGAACATAATAAATAATAGCATGATACATCTGACTCCTGTCATTCTTTGAGATTACTGCTGTTTAATGGAAAATCTTACTTTCTGGTTTTGATACACTTCAAACTCCTTCAACTTACCAGCTGTTCTTTGTACCAACCATAGACTGTATATACAGTCTATGGCAGTGTTTTTCAACCTTATTTGAGCCATCGCACATTTTTTTCATTGAAAAAAATCCAGAGGCACACCACCAACCAAAGAATGTAACTAAATGACACTTGGTAGCCCCAAATACAGGTTTATACAATGACAATATAGTCTTTCGGTTTATTCATACTCACCCAGTGTGAAACCTGGGGCTGTAGATTACAGCACAGACACTTGAGAAGTGCATATTATTTGCATATAATAAGTACTTTTTTTTAAATTAGACCAATAAAGTGAAATTGGATTATTTCTCAAGGTACACCTGACTATCTGTCACGGCACACTGGTTGAAAAACACTGGTCTATGGTACCAACAAATGCAATATCAAGTAAAATTAGAACCAAAAGATAACCAATTCATTCTCTATTTCTGACTTTTGCAGTTTGCCAAAAAAAATCCATTGTAATCAATTAAAATTATGTTATTCTTCTGTAACTGTTACTAAAAATGAGGTTAACGCCCAACCTTATTAAACTTTTTCATTAATGAACCAGCAGAGAAGGTGTTGAGCAGCTCCAGGCCTCCCACTGCAAAGCTTGAAGTGGCCAATAGGGGGAACCTTGGGTCGAGGAGGGGCAGAACTGGGACCTTTTAATACTTAAAAATATACATGAACAATTCTCCCAAATTTGCTCTTTTCCTTAAAAATTAAGCTATTTAAGTCACAAATGAATATCTTCCTTTTTGTTTTTATACTTTTCCTTGAAATATTGGGTTAAAAGTATAGTCCCCCCCCCCCCCCCCCCCAAACAATGGTATGGTCTATCATGCCGCCTAACTTTAGAAGCATGTGCTCTGTGGCCTCATAGACATTCATAAGAAAGGCGTTTATATATATATATATATATACCTATATGTGTAGCCTACCTACCTTTGTCGTCTGCCAATTATCTCCGCCCTAATCGATTACTGCTGGATTAGTTGGCATCCAGAGATAGAGGGCTCCAAAATCTAATATTACCAATTTTGCTCAGGGCCTCATGGAGTCTTAGGCCGCTCTGTGGATAACAGTGTTGCTGAGAATAATGCTTCTGTTGGACTTGTACACCAGTGATGCTCAGATTATTTATTTCCGTTAACGGTTATTAATTTGAATCGGCTGGTCTGAGCCAAAAAACTCCCGGGTGGAAAATGAGAAATCCCACTCTGACACTGAGGTCAGATTCCTGTTCTATGCAGCTTCAGGTGACCAGACGTCCCCGATTTGTCTGACCTGTCCCCGATCAAAGTTTTCCCCGGTTTCAGCGTTTTACGGTTGTAAAACAATGTCGCGTTTTGACTTGGAAAAACTACAGACGACCCCGTCGCCGGCGACAGAAAATAGCAGGTAAAATTCAGATTACCGTAACTCCTCGACTGTTTGCTCAAACGAGTTGAGAAGAGGAGCTTTGCGGTGATATGGGACACATTACGGTACTCTGAGGGCGCGCTGGAAAGGAGGGGGGAGAAGAGCAGAGGCGGCCGTTTACCTGCTGTACCTGTCCTACCTTATGGTAAGTGTAAATCGATTTATTTTGTACGGGCTGGGCTGTTTTTTGCGGTGTCCAATGTTGGTTTGCTGTGAGTAACGGTACTTGTGTTGAGCCACTGCATGTAAATTGTTTTCCTACTTGTTTGCCACTCTTAGAAATCCCATTTGCACACAAACACACATAACTTGCACTTACATAAACATTTAAAAATGTCTTAAACTGTTTCTGTCCCAGTTTCTTCTTTTCATCTTGACAGCCTTGAATTAATTTTATCACCAAGTTGAAAATGTCCCCGGATTTCATTTCAGAAAATCTGGTCACTTTATGAAGATGATGTTATTCTTTTATCACCAAACAGATCTCCAACTCAGTGTTGTTACCAACTCCTCAGGAAAGTCGCTTGTAGTGATGGGCACGACAGTTCTTTTAGATGTACTGAATCACCAGAATCAGTTCACTAAAAAGATTCGTTCAAAAGATTCGCTCATCAAATCACAGAATCATTCAGTTTTTAGCGAGAGGAGCCTGTGACTCCGACCTCCTGAACGGATACACAGCTGAACGGTTCAGGATTCAGTTCATTTCATTGTTTCTGGGACCGGGAGACACGAGTTGTTGTTGCTAGATGACGCCACTGCCTAATTTGTATAATTAAACATGAACCCCCACCAAAGGGACGTGCAGTCTTCCTCGAGGCGTGTGTGTGTGTGTTTACTGAAAACTTGCTAAAACACTCTGTTGGCAACACTGCTCTAACGTAACCTGAACATTAGTCTGAGCTTGATATGACAAATAATGAACGTAGTCTAGACCCGCTATTTAAATAAAATTTTGATTGAAATAAACTGGTGATACATTGAGCACATTGAGTACTTTAATTCCAATAAATGTCATTTGAATTGAAATTTTTTTAATTGAACTGAAATGATTAAAAAGTGAAATAAAATCTTAACTTTTTCCTCTGGCTATAATGTTGTCAGACATTTCTATAATAGCTGAGTCAGCTTTGGGCGGGTTGGCACTGTTTGATAGTAGGTGGCTTGACTGAATGTTATAAAAACTATGTCATACAGGAAGTACGCTTATTCACCAGCACTCTTAAATATCTTAACATCAAGTCTCCATGTGCTCCTTCAAGGATCCTCTTTCCAGGTAGAGAGATGAAGAGTCTGCAGATCATTGGAGCGGTGTCTCTGCTGCTGCTGCTCATGGGGGCTCACATCGACGGGTACAAGCCAGTTATCATCGTTCACGGGATTCGTCAGGCACCAGAAGACCTAAAAGCATTGACTCAGCACATTGAACAGGTAGGACAGCTCAAAAGAGCTTTTGTGTGTACCTGATTTTATTAGAACTTGTTCTTCACTGGAGAGAAGACATTTTTGTGTCACTCTGAAAAACACTGTTTTTGTCTCCAGTAAAAGCTCCTCCTTGAGCTCTTGGTACTTCTCCAGTTTCCCGTGTTCCTTCTTTCTGATGTTGGTATCGCTTGGGATTGGATCGCTTGTATTCTCACTTTCTGTTTGGGTTTTTCTTTTTTTTTTTCAGGCACATCCAGGCACTGAGGTCCATGTCATCAGTTTGTTCAACAACGATGAGAGTTTTGAGCCGATGTGGAAGCAGGTCCGTGGCTTCAGGGAGAAAATCAAGCTAATCATGCAGAAATCTCCTGATGGGGTTCATCTTCTGTGCTTCTCACAAGGTCCTCCTTCCCACTCATAACACACTCAGCTGAACACTTTTGAGCTCCTGTGAGGAGATGAAACAATCCGAAGGATCATGCTTCTAATACTCTATATTTGTTAAGACTGACTACCCTTTGACCATTTTGTCCCCTTTTTTCTATCAGGTGGTCTAATTTGTCGAGGGCTTCTTTACAAAACTGCACGCCACAACGTGGACACCTTCATTTCACTGTCATCTCCTCAAGCTGGGCAGTACGGAGGTCAGAGGGCGTCATTTTATACTTCAGCATGTCTACATAACACTTACCCTTCAGGTAACAGTGTCACTTTGGGACTCTAGTTGTAAAGGTTCTTTTAAATTGACAGACATTAATGATCTGAAAGCAACAATTCATTAAAAAAAAAAGTTGTGAAAATGAATAAACAATTTAATGGTTCGCAATTCATTTAAACCCAAAGACTGATTAATATATTCATTTCAAGAATAAAAAAGTTATTGCTTGATAAAAAACTTAAAATATGAATACCTGAAATATTAAAAAAAGGGGGGGACATCTCCCATCTAAGATTATGTTAACTTTCAACAGGTTAGTAACAGGACAAATGCATCTCAAAGCAGCAGAGTTTTTAATTTCAACATTATCACATAGTCTTTGTACTGTTTTCAACAAATTTAGACTTTAAGTGATTTACAAAACCCCAAAATTCTGTTTCATAATTTTTATGGTGTCTCACCTATTTTGGAAGTTTGATTGTAGATCTTACATTGAAAAAAAATAAAATAGTAATAAGATATTTTACTGTCTCTTTCCCACAGAAACAGATCGCCTGACATATCCTTTTTTACCCCCATTTAAACAGTTGGTGTTTAATTTCTGCTACAACACTGTTGGACAAAAATATTCCTTCTGCAACTACTGGAATGGTGAGAATGGGAGGGGTCTGCAATTATTTATTAAAAAAATAACTATTTAATTAATTATTTATTGAAATCAGTCAGTCTCTTCCAATATCAATCGCTTTTCACTTGACATTAAAGATGTTTGGCACTACATTTAGACATCGGCAGGCAGCAAGTGTCTGGGGTGTTAATTCTGATTCGTAACAGTAGATGTCCTTTTGTTTGTGTAAAGACCTGAATCTTTCTCTGCAGACCCTCATCACAGGTCCATGTACCGGAAGAGCAGCGACTTTCTGGCCCCAATTAATGGTGACAGACCAGACCCAAGAATGAAAGGTAATAGTTATTTTGCAGGCCATAGTGTTTCATTTTTTTCAGTACAGTAAAAAAGTAACTTCATGGATTTCTCCTCAGTGTGGAAGAAAAGCTTCCTGCGCATCAAGAACCTTGTTCTGATTGGAGGACCAGATGATGGCGTCATAACACCGTGGCAGTCCAGGTTTTACCCCCATCTAAGCTTTACAAATGAAAAAAAAACTTTCTTTTAGCAAACCAGTAAAGTAAAGTTATACATTTGTCAGGGCAGCACAATTTCTTCCCTACAAAAAAAGAAAAACTGAAACAAACCACCTTTTATAAGTGGATTACTTTCTCTGGATTAATTTCCAAATGTTCCAGTTAGATTTGGAGTTTCCTAAACAATCACTTTAGCTTAGTTTTTATTGTCATAAAGCTTGTGGTCGGTTCATACTTAACCTTCTGTTCTAATCCTTTCAATACCTTAAACTTTATTTTAAATTATCGCTCCTATGAGGAACTATCGTGTAAAATCTGACATCCCCTTGTGGACTAAATGGTCCTCCTACATGTTTCAACAGTGATTTTTTTTTAACCAAAAATATCATACCTGGAGTGACTGTTTCCTCTTTTCTGCTCAGCTTCTTTGGATTCTATGACAAGAAGGAAAACGTGGTGGAAATGAAGGACCAGAGGGTGAGTTTCACTGCTGTTTTTCCCCACTTACGCGCCAATCAACTCAGTGATACTGCTAAACCAGTCTGCATGTAGCAGACTTCATCTTTTTCATGATAACTCTGTCTGTTGAGTAACTTGTTTTTCTGTTTGTTTGTCCTCTCAAAGTTTTACAGGAAGAATTTGTTTGGACTGAAGAAACTGGATGCTCGTGGGGGGATATCAATGTGTGTTCGCCCTGGAGTGAAGCACTCGGAATGGTACTCAAACATCGCAGTCTTCAAAGACTGCATTGAGAAGTGGTTAATTTAAGTACCAGTCGGTGACATAATAGGAAAACATCCTATGATGGTGCTGGTTTATGAGCAGGCTTTGTTTTGCTCAGAAGAAAAGGAACTGTACAAAAAGTTTAACAAAGAGACGGAAATATAGTGTTTTTAAGTCAGACTCTTGGGGTCATTTGATTTCAACATATTATCATTCTTTAGCACAGTCCTCACCCTTTTATGACAGGATATAACACCAAACCTAAGAGGGAAAATACTTTGAATGTTTCTTTTGTTCAGACTTTTCAAGCAGACTTTTTATTAAGTTTATATCTATTTTGAAAGCATTTTACAGCTTTTAAATGTCTTTTTCAGATGCATCCTTAAACACACGGTTAAATTTTATATGGTATTAGAATAAATTATATATATGAAATGTGTCCATGGAAGACCTGAGCAGGGATTACTAGTTGCTGCCCTCTGGTGGAATTTTCCGGTATGTGTTTTGTTTCTGCGATGAATAGAAGATAAACAGATTAATTCTCTATATTTCTGACATATGCAGTTTGATAATGAAATAAATTAATTAAAATGATGTTAGTTTATCTGCATTAATGCCCCTTTAGGAACATCTCAAAATCTCTCTGATAGTTTGTTTTAGAGATTTCGGTCAAGATCAGATCAGATTCACCCATCTCTGGTTTCAATTTTTTCGTATCATTTGGGTTGGAAATTCACTTTATACTGTAACTAATGATGATTGAAAACTGATATAATGACAAAGATATGATGTGCTCTACTCTGTTAGGTATAAATTAAGCAAGTTGCTCTTGCTTGCATCAGCTGAACATAATAAATAATAGTATGATACATCTGACTCCTGTGATTACTGTGTAATGGAAAATTTCACATTCTGGTTTTGATACACTTCAAACTCCTTCAACTTACCAGCTGTTCTTTGTACCAACAAATGGAAAATAAAGTAAAATTAAAACCAAAAGATAAACAATTAATTCTCTGTTTCAGACCTTTGCAGTTTGACAAAAAAAAACCCTTTTTAATCAGTTAAGATTATGTTATTCTTCTGTAACGGTTACAGTCAGAATCTGATTCTTGATATAGTTGATTTTGTAAATTATTTTGGACCTTATTAATTAATTGTAAATTGAAAGTGATCTTTTTCCTGTATAGAGAAGTTATCTGGGATTTTCTTTTTTTTATAATCAAAGAGAGGAGAAAAAATGTCTTGTTTGGACTAGAAAAACTACAGACGACGCCGGCGACAGAAAACAGCAGGTAAAGTTCAGATTACCGTAACTCCTCAACCGTTTGCGCAAACAACGTAATTCTAACGGAATCTAAAGGCTGAGAAGCGGAGCTTTGCGGTGATATAGGACACATTACGGTACTCTGACGGCGCGCTGTAAAGGAGGGGAAGAAGGGCAGAGGAGCGAGGCAGCAGGCAACCGTTTACCTGCTGGACCTGTCCATAGACTGTATATACTACGGACAACTTGGTTGCGCCTCCCGCCTGTGTACGGATTTGAAGCCGAAAAGCTCTCGGTATTTCCGCGATTTTTCTTCATTTCCTGAAACCACCACTTGCTCAGTAGCATTGTGCGCATTCGGCGGGAGAGTCGCCGAGAGTCGCTGTGATGACGCTCGGCTCAAACAGCGTATCCCCCGGGTGAGCTACGCAATCTTTGTACGCCCATGGGCTGTATCAGGTGTCAATCATAGAAAGCACGAACCCCCTAATAACTTAAAAATGGGGCTGTACAGAATAAAGAGGACTTGAGCACAAACCAGTCTTAGTGTAACTACATGTCAACATCACAAGCAGGGGGGAGAAAAATGTATTTTCTGTGTAATAAATTTCTAAAGTTTGTCCACAGCTTTATTAGATTTGCTGGCGGAGGCGGGATTTATGACCTATACTGCAGCCCGTCACCAGGGGGTGCTGTTCTCAGAGTGGCTTCACCCAGCGAGGAGGCAGACGCTGTCCATTCTATATACAGACTATGGTCCTACCTTATGGTAAGTGTAAATCGATTTATTTTGTACGGGCTGGGCTGTTTTTTGCGGTGTCCAATGTTGGTTTGCGGTGAGTAACGGTACTAGTGTTGAGCCACTGCATTTAAAATTAGCCTCATTGTTTTCCTACTTGTTTGCCACTCTTCGAAATTTCATCATGTTAATGTGTGTGCACACAAACACACACAACTTGCACTTACATAAACGTTTAAAAATGTCTTAAACTGTTTCTGTCCCAGTTTCTTCTTTTCATCTTGACAGCCTTGAATTAATTTTATCACCAAGTTGAAAATGTCCCCGGATTTCATTTCAGAAAATCTGGTCACTTTTATTAAGATGATTTTATTCTTTTATCACCAAACAGATCTCCAACTCAGTGTTGTTACCATCTCCTCAGTAAGGAGGAAAGTCGCTTGTGGCTGTCCGAGAAATCGCTAGAAGTTGTTGTTGCAAGATGATGCCATTGCCCCCTGTCTTCCTCGAGGTGTGTGTGTGTGTGTGTGTGTGTGTGTGTGTGTGTGTGTGTGTGTGTGTGTGTGGTGATACATTGAGCACATTGAGTACTTTAATTCCAATAAATGCCGAGTCAGCTTTGGGCGGGATGGCACTGTTTGATAGTAGGTGGCTTGACTGAATGTTATAAAAAGGATGTGGTACAGGAAGTGCGCTCACACATCCAAAGTCAAGTCCGGTTAAACTCAAAGTTAAAAACAGATCGGTAGTTATTCACCAGCACTGTTAAATATCCTAACATCAAGTCTCCCTGTGCTCCTTCAAGGATCCTCTTTCCAGGTAGAGAGATGAAGAGTCTGCAGATCATTGGAGCGGTGTCTCTTCTGCTGCTGCTCATGGGGGCTCACATCGAAGGGTACAAGCCGGTTATCATCGTTCACGGGATTCGTCAGGCACCAGAAGACCTAAAAGCATTGACTGAGCACATTGAACAGGTAGGACAGCTCAAAAGAGCTTTTGTGTGTACCTGATTTTATTGAAACTTGTTCTTCCTTGGAGAGAAGACATTTTTATATCACTCTGAAAAACACTGTTTTTGTCTCCTTTAAAATTCCTCAAATTGTTAACAAACCAAAAACAAGCAAATTATGAGCATCCAAGTGTTAGTAAGTGACAAAAGATAAGCTAGAGTATAAATAAGATCTTTTCAGAACTGAGACTCATAGAAATGATAACTTTATGAAATCTAGAATGAACACATTATGAATATGTATATATATATATATGTATTATAGTAAAATAGCTTTAGAGAATAGTGATTTATAGAAACTTCAGTAACCTTATCAAGTAATAATTTTGTAGTGAATTAACAGGTAAATAAATAGCGATCAATATACATGTGCAGGAAGATAACAACATGCATGTTTTCCTTTACTTCTTAAATTATTAGAAAACAATTAGTAAGAAAAATAAATCAATTAAATGACTTAGTGTATTGATGTACACATTATTTACATGTGATGTACATCTATGGCTTTTTAAATGGCCTTTTTAATACAGGTAATGTATAAATACGTGTCGATTTCTTGTGTGAGTTTAGATGGTGGAGTCAGGGTCAGGGTCAGGGGTTTTGGTTTAGGTGTTTGTGTCTTTTTTGTTTGTATAGTGATTTTGATTTCGATTGTGAATCCTTTGGGTTGAGTTCGTCCAGTTTACTAAAGCTCTCAAAAGGGGTTTGTAGGTAAACGTCCCTAAATACAAACAGTGAAGGAAAGCACAGGTGTCTTTGTCTTTACAGGTAACTCCTGTCAAAGAGCTCATGTGTTGCATTATGTGAAGTCATCAGGGAGATAGAGATTTAATGCGTGATTATTGTCTTTTCCTCTGCTGTTCTCACTTTCTGTTTGTTTTTTTCAGGCGCATCCAGGCACTGAGGTCCATGTCATCAGTTTGTTCGACAAGGAGAAGAGTTTCAAGCCGATGTGGAAGCAGGTCAATGGCTTCAGGACGGAAATCAAGGCCATCATGCAGAAAAATCCTAATGGAGTTCATCTTCTGTGCTACTCACAAGGTCCTCCTTCCCACTCATAACACACTCACCTGAACACTTTTGAGCTCCTGTGAGGGGTTTTGTAATGTATGAAACAGACAGACCAAACCCTAACCCGTCCACTGTCAGAGAAAGATAAAAATGAGATGGTAAAAAGAGAAGTGCCTCTCAGTCTGTCAAACACTAAGAGAAATGATCCCTCCCAGATAATGTTAGACAGAGTGGACATTATCTATTCTGTTCATATTAAACACAAGGACATCAAGAGGTCACAGAGAGGAAAGGCAGACAGAGTATCTGTTATCTGAGGGTCAGTTTACCAACATAATCACCAGGCATGAATGAAGGAAAACACACTGAACAATGAGATATACTGAATGCTCACTATCATACTCATAAATACACACAGACATAAAGAGAAGATGAACCAAAGAGAAGGAAGGAAAGAAAACAGACACAAGCTCACACTAAAGATGAGGAGCAGTATCTAAACAAGTTTGACACTCCAGTTTCTGTTTCTGACAGGACGTGTGGCTCTTTTTGACCACAATGACTTAACACTTCTTGTCATTTATACTCTTAGGTCAGATGTATGTTCATACTCAAGAGTTAAGAAGCAGCAGCTGTCAAACTTTAACCTCCACTTGGACCAACAGCTAGGGCATCATGTTGTGATTTTTGATTTAAGCAGAAATATTGAATCATTTTTTTGGAAGATGAAATAGTCCTATGGTTCATGCTTTTAATATTCTTTATGTATTTATGTCGACTACTCTGTGACCATTATTGTCCGCTTTTTTCTATCAGGTGGTCTAATTTGTCGAGCAGTCCTCTACAGGATTCCGTATCACAACGTGCACACCTTCATTTCACTGGCATCTCCTCAAGCTGGGCAGTACGGAGGTCAGAGGACGTCATTTTATACTTTCAGCATGTCTACATAACACTTACCCTTCAGGGAACAGTGTTATAAAAAAATGTAAAAGAATACAATTTAATGGTTTGCAATTCATTTTAATCTAAAGAGCTCATATTTTCAATAAAACAAAGTTTTCAATTTCAGCATTATCACATAGTCTTTGTACTGTTTTCAATTAAATTTAGACTTTAAATGATTTGAAAACCATCAAATTTTGTTTTATTAATATTTCATGGAGTGTCTCACCTCATTTGGAAGTTGGATTGTAGACCTGAAATCCAAACAAATAAGATTACTGTCTTTTTTTCAACAGTCCCTGACGCCGTGCTGGATTGGTTAATCTCGAAGAAATTTGTTTCAAGCCAGTGCTACAAGAAGGGACTACAACAGTCCTTTTGCGACTACTGGAATGGTGAGAATGAGAGGGGTCTGCAATGATTTGAAAAGCAGATTTTTTCTACTTTGTCTACTTTATCTACTTTGTATCCATCAGCTGGTACTTCCAGGTTTCTAAGGGATTAAAACGAGTTATTCTTCCGGTCCAATTTGAATAGTTTTTGCTCAACATTATAGATGTTTGGCTCTACATTCAGACATTGGCAGGCCAGTCATCATATTCAACTGTCTCTAAATTGTATAAACAGTCATGATTGGCCTGATCAGCTCCATGTCAGATAGAAATTTTTCTTGATAGATCTACCAGAGCATAAGAAAGCTGCACATTGATCTGTTTCATTGACATTAATATCTACCTTAATTTACCTCCTGGTTTGTATAGTAGGTGTGTAAAGACCTGAATCTTTCTCTGCAGACCCTCATCGCAGGTCCATGTACCGGAACAACAGCGTCTTTCTGGCCCCGATTAATGGTGACAGACCAGACCCAAAAATGAAAGGTAATGACTGAAGTACTTTAACAGGCCGTAGTGTTTCATTATTTTCAGTACAGTAAAAAAGTAAATTCATGGATTTCTCCTCAGTGTGGAAGAAAAGCTTCCTGCGCATCAAGAACCTTGTTCTGATTGGAGGACCAGATGATGGCGTCATAACACCATGGCAGTCCAGGTTTTACCCCCATCTAAGCTTTACAAATAAAAAAAAAACCTTTCTTATAGCAAACCAGTAAAGTAAAGTTATGGATTACTTTCCCTGGATTAATATCCAAATGTTCCACTTAGATTTGGAGTTTCCTAAACAATCACTGATAATATCTTTAATAATAAATATACTTCTTGGACTAGCATAGCTTAGTTTTTATAGTCATAAAGCTTGTGGTTGGTTCATACTTAACCTTCTGTACTAATCCTTTCAATACCTTAAACTTCATTATAAGTTAATGCTCCAAAGAGGAACTATCGTGTCAGATCTGACACCCCCTTGTGGACTAAATGGTCCTTCATTACCCTGTCTCCTACATGTTTCAACAGTGATTATTTTTACAATAATATCATACCTGGAGTGACTGCTTCCTCTTTTCTGCTCAGCTTCTTTGGATTCTATGACAAGAAGGACAACGTGGTGGAAATGAAGGACCAGAGGGTGAGTTTCACTGCTGTTTTTCCCCCCTTACGCCCCAATCAACTCAGTGATACTGCAAAACCAGTCTGCATGTGACAGACTTCATTTTTTTCATTATAACTCTGTCTGTTGAGTAACTTGTTTTTCTCTTTGTTTGTCCTCTTAAAGTTTTACAGGAAGAACTTGTTTGGACTGAAGACCCTGGATGCTCGTGGGGGGATATCAACGTGTGTTCGCCCTGGAGTGGAGCACACAACATGGTACTCAAACTTCACAGTCTTCAAAGACTGCATTGAGAAGTGGTTAATTTAAGTACCAGTTGGTGACATTATAGGAAAACATCCTATAATGGTGCTGGTTTATGAGCAGGCTTTCAGCTGACACGCAGATTTTCACACTTTTTTTTGTTGGTTTTGTTGTATAATTTGGTTTGGAAATTCACTATATACTGTAACTATTGATGAATGAAAACTGATATAATGACAAAGATATAATGTGCTCTACTTTGTTAGGTATACATTAAGTGCTCTTGCTTGCATCCGCTGAACATAATAAATAATAGCATGATACATCTGACTCCTGTCATTCTTTGAGATTACTGCTGTTTAATGGAAAATCTTACTTTCTGGTTTTGATACACTTCAAACTCCTTCAACTTACCAAGAGTTCTTTGCACAAAAAAAGGAAAATTAGAACCAACAGATAAACAAATGAATTCTCCATTTTTGACTTGTGCATTTGAAAAAAATATATATTTATTTTATAATAAAATGATGTTATTCTTTTGTAAGTTTTAAAGTCAGAATCTGATTCCTGTCTCATCAAGTTGACATATAAAGCTGATTTACTACTAATAATAATAATAATAATAATGATGATAACTATGAGTATAGCACTTTTTAAAAAACAAAATGTTTACAAAGTGCTTTGACATGTAGTCATAGAGCACATGGAAAAAGACAAAAACAAAAAGCTCAGTTAAAACGGAATTGAAGGTCATTTTCATGTCATAAGGAACCCAGACAATTCAAGAACCATGCAACATAAAATGAGACCATGAGGACCGAAATACAAACATAAAATAGTGAAGAAAAAAGGAAAATGCAATAAAAAGGGAGGACGAAAGTGGAAACAGGATAGTAAATATAAAAGGCAATATCAACAATGCTAATAAAATAAGAACAGGTAATAATGATAATAAAAGTAATGATAAAATGTAGGTGCTTTTGTGTGAATATTTTGGACCTTATTCACTTTAACTAATACTTTGGATCTAAAATACTCAGGAGATGATCATAGATGCAAACCTCCTCATCAGCCAGTGAACACCTTTGGTGCGGACAGTGATCACAGGAAAAGAGACCCAAATCGCAAAGTCAGCTAAACTTAAATTTATCCATCGAGAAAGAGGATAAAATGTCTGAATATCTCCACTCTGTCTGAAACAGAAAACAGACGCTGATCCTGACCATATATGGTCTCAGTGACCACAAACCAGCCACAAAAAGATGGACGACTCAAACAAACCTGGCAGCCTCCCTCGAGAAGAACTGTGACAAGTTCTCCTCATGTAGAGCGTTATCAAATATAACAAACAAATATACGATAATTTTTAATAAGATAAACATTTGACTGGTACAATATATTTCTACACTGTGTTTAATTAAAGGGTCTTGTCCTTCACAAGGCTCCCATGTCACAAAAATAAAACAAATGATGAAACTGATCTAAACTAAACTGAAGCCAAGCATTTCCAAAAGGATAAAAAAAATAATTGAAAAATCCAAGTTGAGAAACCTTTTAGAAGTAAATTGACTCAAAATATATATAAACTAGAAAAGCACTCAGAGAGCGCAGACCTCCGCCAAGCAGCTCATGTCCCCCCTTATATTGTGATTCACACCAAAACTTTTACTGTTACGTGTCTTTTATTAACGTTTATTTGTGTTTAAACTGGTATGTTCACTGTTTATAATGTTCCTAAAACAAGAAATGCCCTGACCAGGATTCAAACCAAGGACCCTCTTGCTGTGAGGCGACAGTGCTAACCACTACACCACTGTGCCACCCATCTACACCACTATGCCGCCCATTGTTTATCTTTCAGCACTGAAAATTCCAACAACACCCTTATTTTTGTGTGTTCTGGATCACAGTATCCAGAATTTTGTCTGGATCAGGATCAACCTTTGACACCTCATAAAACTCATTGAGATCCTTTTGTGTCATTTTTTACTAAAGACTCTGGACATTTTTAGAGAGTTAAATGCAAAAATTCCAAAATTTGCCCTATCTCACAATGATAAAGAATCCTTCAAAAATTCCTGGATCCAGAAGGTGATCCGGATCACCACTAAAATGTAATGGGATCCTCCTGGGGCTGAGACGCACCTCTGGTGAAAATTTCAGGTCAATCTGTCTGTAACTTTCTCCGTAAAGTTGCTAACAGACAAACAAACAAACCAACGCTACCAAAAACATAACCTCCTTGGCGGAGGTGATGAACAGTCGGTCAACAGCAGCCTGAAACACTCGCAACCAGAACTGACTGCTTTAACTTAGCACTATTTAAACACACTCTTTTGCTTTAAGCTTGATGTGATAAATAAACTAGTGACTGAGAGCTCAGTGAGAAAACCCGTCCACTGTCAGAGAAAGATAAAAATAAGGTGGTAAAAAGAGAAGTGCCACTCAGTCTGTCAAACACTAAGAGAAATGATCCCTCCCAGATAATGTTAGACAGAGTGGACATTATCTATGCTGTTCATATTAAACACAAGGACATCAAGAGGTCACAGAGAGGAAAGGCAGACAGAGTATCTGTTATCTGAAGGTCAGTTTACCAACATAATCACCAGGCATGAATGAAGGAAAACACACTGAACAATGAGATATACTGAATGCTCACTATCATACTCATAAATACACACAGACATAAAGAGAAGATGAACCAAAGAGAAGGAAGGAAGGAAACAGACACAAGCTCACACTAAAGATGAGGAGCAGTATCTAAATAAGTTTGACACTTCTGTTTCTGTTGCTGAAACGACATGTGGCTCTTTTTGACCACAATGACTTAACACTTCTTGTCATTTTTCTTCTAGGGTCAGATGGGGTCCTTTGACACTTTCAGCATGTCTACATTACACTCGGGGTCATTTCGGGACCCTGGTTGTAAAAGCTGTTTCAAATTGACTGATATTAATGCAAAAAAAAACAAATCCAAAGATTGTGAAACTGTTTAAAAGGCTGTAAAAGAACACATTAAGAAAAATTAACCCATCATAATTCAGATTTTGTTACCATACCTCCAGAGAAGAAGCTGTCAGTTCTCCTGAGTGAAGGTCCAGCTGCTCTATGAACTGAACTCACACACACAGTTAGAGCCCAAATACAGAGGAGCTGTCTGATCCACACTCTGTTTTTATTCGACTGTAATTGACTCTGATGAAATCCTGTATAAGAATCAAATACAGTAAAAAGAAGTACAGGTACTAGATATGACAAACATGAATAATGTCAGAGTGTAATATTGTTTATGCTTTGGCAACATTGTTCTGACTTTCATGCCAGCAAAAGTCATTTGAATTAAACTAAAATTAATAAAAAGTGAAATGAAACCTTAACTTTTCCTCTGGCTATAATTTAGTCACACATTTCTATAAAAGCTGAGTCAGCTTTGGGCGGGATGGCACTGTGTGATAGTAGGTGGCTTGACTGAATGTTATAAAAAGGATGTGATACGGGAAGTGCGCTCACACATCGTCAAGACGAGTCAAACTCAAAGTTTAAAAGAGTTAATAACTATTCATCAGCACTGTTAAAATATCTCAATATTTCTCTGTGCTCCTCTGACGATCCTCTTTCCAGGTAGAGAGATGAAGAGTCTGCAGACCATCGGAGCGGTGTCTCTGCTGCTGCTGCTCATGGGGGCTCACATCGACGGGTACAAGCCGGTTATCCTCGTCCACGGGGTGTTTGAGGGAACAGGTCATTTTGAAAAATTGACTGAATTCATTACACAGGTAGGACAGCTCAAAAGAGCTCATGTGTGTACCTAGTTTTATTGAAATTTGTTTTAGATTATAGAGAAGATATTTGATATCACACTGTAAAAACACTGTTTTTGTCCTCAGTAAAATAAATTCTCCATTAGAAGTGTTAGCAAACCAAAAAAGTGCTTGTAATGCAACAATAAGATAAGCTAGAGTATAAATAAGATGTTTTCAGAACTGAGAATCATAGAAATTATAACTTTATGAAATCTAGAATAAACACATTATTAACTTTTATGAATATAATATATAATAATATGAGAGTTATGCATTTCTAAACCCAGAATTAAAGAGCTGCTGTTCTTTCTTTTGCATTAGGTGTACTACATTATAAACTGTCCCTTTATAAATTTTACGCTTACTGCTTATAACACTTCATAAACATTGCTATAAGCTGTTATGAATATTCACTTCCACTCATAAGTACTGTAATCAGGCCTTATAGATGCATTTAAAGGGTTTTATGAATGTGCTTTTGATGCATGATAGGAAGTGGGTTCATATTGTCCACACTGTCTCCTTCACTGCTGCTATTAAACAAAAATTGTCTTTATTTTTTTCCTGTCACTAAATAGTTTGTCTTTGATTTTGGTTTCAACTATGAGCTGTTTGAACTTGTCGATTAACCTTTCTTTAGTTTAAACTCTACGCTGAGGAGGTAGAAAAAGAAGAAAGTGGATTACGTTATAATCTGTATTTTCAAAGAGTATGGAGGTAAACGCCCCTGAATGTTGACATGTAGTGGGGTGAAATTATAAAATAGAACTAAATGAAAACATGAAATGAAAGAACGGGTGTCTTTGTCTTTGCAGGTGAGTCCTGTAAAAGAGTTCATGTGATGCATCATGAGAAGTCATCAGTGAGATAGAGATTTAATGAGTGATTACTGCCTTTTCTCTGCTGTTCTCACTTTCTGTTTGTGTTTTTCTTTTTTTTTCAGGCGCATCCAGGCACTGAGGTCCATGTCATCAGTTTGTTCAATGACTTGCAGAGTTTAACGCCAATGTGGAAGCAGGTCCGTGGCTTCAGGGAGAAAATCAAGCCAATCATGCAGAAATTTCCTGATGGGGTTCATCTTCTGTGCTACTCACAAGGTCCTCCTTCTCACTCATAACACACTCAGCTGAACACTTTTGAGCTCCCGAGGAGATGAAACAATCCGAAGGGTCATGCTTTGATACTCAATATTTGTTAAGATTGATTACCCTTTGACCATTTTTTGTCCCCTTTTTTCTATCAGGTGGTCTAATTTGTCGAGGGCTTCTCTACAAAACTGCACGCCACAACGTGGACACCTTCATTTCACTGTCATCTCCACAAGCTGGGCAGTACGGAGGTCAGAGGGCGTCCTTTTATACTTTGAGCATGTCAACAGTGTCATTTTAGGACTCTAGTTGTAAAGGTTCTTTTAAATTGACAGACATTAATGATCTGAAAGCAAAAATTAATAAAAAAAGTTGTGAAAATGAATTTTTTAAAATGTAAACGAACACAATTTAATGGCCTTCAATTCATTTAAACCCAAAAGACTGAGCAATATATATGATTTAAAAAGAAAAAAAGTTATTGGTTGATAAACAAAAAAACTTGTGAAATATAAAAAAATGGGGGAACATCTCACATCTAAAATGATGTTAACTTTCAACAGGCTAGTAACAGGACTAATACATCTCAAAACTGGGCAGTACGGAGGTCAGAGGGTGTCCTTTTATACTTTCAGCATGTCTACATAACACTCACCCTTCAGGGAACAGTGTCATAAAAAAAACTGTAAAAGAATAAAGACTGGGAAATATATCAGATGTTTAAAGTAAAAATTAAAGTTATTACTCAATGAAAAACTTTTGTAATATTGAAAAAAGGAAAAAGATGGAGGAACATCACCCAGCTACAGTTATATTAACTTTCAACAGGACTAATGCATTTCAAAGAGGCAGAATGTTTTATATGTAAAGATGTTAAGAGATTAATGCTCTGTGAGAGACTGTGTGAGCAAATAGTTCAACAGTTTCCAACAATGTTCATGCATTTAAAAGAAGTGTGTCGGTGGCAAAGTTAAAAGGAGATCATATTTTCAATAAAACTACAGTTTCAGTTCCAACATTATCACAAAGTCTTTGTACGGTTTTTAATTAAATTTAGACTTTAAATGTTTTGCAAAACCCCAAAATTCTGTTTCATCATTTTTTACGCAGCATCTCACCTATTTTGGAAGTTTGATTGTAGATCTTACATTAAAAAATATAAAACAATAATAAAATATTTTACTGTCTTTTTCCCACAGCAACAGAATACCTGCAATTTCCTTTGTTACCCCCGTTGAAAGAGTTCGTGTTTAATTTCTGCTACAACACTTTTGGACAACACTATTCCATCTGCAACTACTGGAATGGTGAGAATGGGAGGGGTCTGCAAATATTTGATAAGCAGATAGTTGAGTAGAGTTATTCTTCTGGTCCAATTTGAATAGTTTGTGCTCGACTTTATAGATGTTTGGCTCTACATCAGCAGGCAGCAAGTGTCTGGTGTGTTCATTCTTATTCAGTAGCAAATTTAAAGCCACCAGCATCTGTAGCAGCCATCTTAGCTTCTTTCAGAAGCCCATCATCATATTCATCTGTCACTAAATTGCTAAATTGTATAAACAGTCATGAGTGGCCTGATCAGCTCCAGGTCAGATGGAAATCTTTCTTGATTCATCTCCCGGAACATAAGAAAGCTGCAGATTACTCTGTTTCATTGACATTAATATCTACTTTACCTTACCTCCTGGTTTGTACGGTAGGTGTGTAAAGACCTGAATCTTTCTCTGCAGACCCTCATCGCAGGTCCAGGTACCAGAAGAGCAGCGCCTTTCTGGCCCCGATTAATGGTGACAGACCACATGAAAAAATGAAAGGTAATGACTGAAGTACTTTAACAGGCCGTAGTTTTTCATTTTTTTAGTACAGTAAAAAAGTAAATTCATGGATTTCTCCTCAGTGTGGAAGAAAAACTTCCTGCGCATCAAGAACCTGGTTCTGATTGGAGGACCAGATGATGGCGTCATAACACCGTGGCAGTCCAGGTTTTAACCCCATCTAAGCTTTACAAATAAAAAAAACTTCCTTATCGCAAACAATACAATTTGTCCGAACAGGGAAACAAAACACCTCCTATCAGTAAATCACTTTCCATGGATTAATATCCAAATGTTCCACTTAGATTTGAGTTTTTCTAAACAGTTAATAATAATGACTTTGATATTTATTTTACTTTTTGGATGAGCATAATTTAATCTTTATAAACTTAAGCTCGTGGCAATGTCATACTCAATTGTACGTACTAGTCCTTTACATTCCTTAACCATTTGGCCTTTTTCACAGTATGCGGAAGTTAGCATTCTGTTCACTTCCGGTGTTAGCGTGTGGTGGAGCCACTCAGCATCGCCCATAGACGGCCATTCATTTGTCAAGATATTAACAAGCTCACTCCTCGTTTTTTTGACTGGTAATGTCAAATTTTATGCTTTGTGCTGTTTTATTAACTCATGTTCTTCATAATACTGTCCGGATTTTGTACTTTATTATTCGGGAATTATGTTTAATAGGTCATTACTGAAGAGCAATGGTTACCATTATCAGAAAATTTCCAGACCAATAAACATAATTTCCGAAAAGTAAAGTACAAGATCCGGACAATATTTTGAAGAACAAGAGTTGGTAAAACAGCACATAGCATAAAATTTGACATAACATTTCAAAAAAACGAGTCGCGAGCTTGTTAATATCGTGAAAAATGAATGGCCGTCTATGGGCGATGCTAAGTGGCTCCACCACACGCTAACACCGGAAGTGAGCAGATGCTGACTTCCGCGTACTGCGAAAAAGGTCTATTGAGAAACTTTTGGGTTGTATTGAAATTGGCGCCCCCTTGTGGATAAAATGATCCATCCTTACCTGGTCTCCTACATATTTCAGCCGTTTTTATTTTTATTTTTACCGAAAAAATTCATCATGCTGATTTTTTTTCCAGCGAAATGTTTCTTTAATTGTGAATAATTTATGGAAATTTTGAAAAAACAGCTGTTTCGTCTTTCTCAATCGACACTTTCCCCTTCTCACGAGTTTCAGGCATTAAAATTTAGGATATAAAAATAGTCTGTTTTGTTGCTGATGGCCTTGTATGCTCTTGGATGTCATTAAAAAGACTTGATGTGAATTTCAGTGGGTTTCCCAAGAGTGAAAAACCCCTGTATTACATGGGTTATAAATAACTCGTTCAGCCAAATTTATATAAACTTTTTAATTTTCTCTTGTTGGGAAATTTAAAAGCTCCTAAATCAAATTTACACTTTGAAAGTGTCTCAGATCAAGTAGAAATAGTTTCTATTACACAGCCTTTAATATTTGTGTTTGGTGCAAAGGTTTCATGTTATCTGTACCTGGAATGACTGTTTCCTCTTTTCTGCTCAGCCTCTTTGGATTCTATGACAAGAAGGAAAACATGGTAGAAATGAAGGACCAGAGGGTGAGTTTTAAACGATCTATCACTACAGTTTTTTCTCAATTTACGCCCCTATCACTTTAGTATTACTGCAAAACCAGTCTGCATGTGGCAGATTTAGGTAACTTGTCTCTCTCTTTGTCTTTTTTCTCAAAGTTTTACAGGAAGGACTTGTTTGGACTGAAGACCCTGGATGCTCGTGGGGGGATATCGACGTGTGTTCGCCCTGGGGTGCAGCACCTCTTGTGGCACTCAAACCTCACAGTGTTCAACGACTGCATCGAGAAGTGGTTGACATAAGTACCAGTCGGTGACAGAGGTGACATTATAGGAAAACATCCTATAATGGTGCTGGCTTTTGAGCAGGCTTTTAGCTGACACAAAGATTTTCACACTTTTAAAGCAACAAGCAAGTCAGGCAGTTCAATTTGATGTGGTATCAGAATAAATGAGATACATGAGACGGGTCCTTAGGGCTTCAATGATGGAAGCTTAGGTAAAAATATTCTCTATTTCTGACATGTGCAGTTTGAAAAACAACGATCCAGTTTATTCATAAATTTAATCAATTTAATCAATAATGATGTTATTTTATCTGCATTTTAGTTCTTTTAGTTACATCTCAAAATTTGTTTGATAGATTGTTTCAAAGATTTCAGTCCAGATTGAACCCTTTTAACTACATTTACTGAACACTCCTCTTTTACTCAAACAGTATGATCCTAACTTCATTTTTTGACTGGTCTTTTTTAAGATTAAGTTTACGCCAAAGGCACCAAAAGAAAATTGGGATTTCTTATTAACCCTTGTTTATATCTTCCAGTCTGAGTAATCTTAAAAAGGGACCAAAGAACTGCATCACTGACACAAAAAGACAAACAATCTGCTAAATAAAAACAGACGATTCAAACTTCAGGCCTATAAAATAGTTTTTAATTATATCCTTTCAGATTGATCCTTTCTGTGTTTTTTATTCTAGTGGTTGACAGTACATCTGTTCATCCCCTGATCATTCGACAAACATGCTGACACTTTGCCCTTTACACTTGGTTAACTCCAACCAGTGTAGTCATTGCGATCAATCAATTAAAGAAATTGATTCGTCTCATTGAACCACAGCATGTGTAGGGGTTAAGTTATTAAAGAAACAGCATTCATCTAGTCAGAAACACTGTTTCATGATGTGCACTTATTTCATTCTGCATGTACCGATCAGATTCACACATCACTAGTTCCAACTTTGTCATATCATTTTGGTGGGAAATTCTGTATGTACTGTAGTTATTGTTGAATGAAAATTGAAGAAGAGAAGATACGATGTGCTTTACCTTGTCAGGCATACACGAAGTGCTCTTGCTTGCATCAGCTGAACATAATAAATAATAGCATGATACACCTGACTCCTGTCATTCTTTGAGATTATCTCTTTTTAATGGAAAATTTTACTTTCGGTTTTCAGTTCTTTACACCTTACAGATCCCAGTATACTCAAATAATGACTGTGTCGAGTTTTCCCACTCCTCAGAGATGGTGAAAATGTTTCAGAGTAAGGAAAAATTTAGTCAGATATTTTTTGTTTTTTCTCACAATTTTGTCAAAGTGCAGGAACATATCTTATACGAAGAATAAATCAATTCATCCAAACCACAAGTTTCTGCATATTCACTTCATTAAGTGTGGCTCACTCTTTCTGTATCATAAAAGTGCAATGATTAACATTTACTGACCCTTTTGGATTAATCATTAACACTGCACTACTTACATTTTATTTTAATCGAGACAGTATCATAATTCCTGTGTTTTTAGAACTTTAGAACTGAACAAAATGGTATTATAAAAAAAGTCTCCTTGGCCAGATTTTTTTTAGAAACCCCAAAAATGTATGTCTAAAGTCACTAAAATGTAAATTGCTAAAAAATAGATACAATTTAGGAAACCTGCCACATTTATGCTGCGTTCAAGTTACCTCGGAAGTCAGATGTCAGAGCTGGGAATGACACTACACCTGAGCTGACAGTGTTCCAGTTAACAAGTCCGAAAACCTAGATGGACGCCTACATTTACCCGTTGTTAGCTGTTGTTTACAATTGTCAGCTGTTGTTAGCCGTTGTCAGTGGCTGTTAGCAATACTAGTTGTAAACAACGCTCAACACAGTATTTTACTCTACAAACACCATAGCACCGTGTTCACAGTTAGAAGTTGGGCAGCAAAACATATACCACTTATTAAGTTTCACAAAAACAAAACAGAAGCGCTAATAAATAATACATTACAAGAGCTTTCACTGTTACTCTTTACTGTTGATTCACTGCGCTGCCATCTTGGATAATGATGTTGTTGTCAAGTTGGGGTTTGGCGAGGATCGTCTGACTTTCCGAGTCGGAAACTTGACTTCAGGGGGGTGTTCCAGATGAATTTCGGAAATTCCGAGTACAATTGGAAGGCAGCATTATATGCTAGGAAAACTACTGATAGTGTGTTGCAACACAGTCTGAATGGTTGATTTTAATGCCATTGTAACTCAAGTCCCACCAATGGCAAAACCAGAAAGCATATCATGGTTTGGGGTTTTGGGGTGGCCAATCAGATAGGGGGTGCGGCCACCCCTGATTACTCCATGGCTCCGCCCCTGCTTCAACAAAACTTTAGTTTTAAACATGACATTTATAGAATAAAAATAGAGAAAAAATCACAGCAATGACAATTTATTTTATTTCATTTTCAAGCTCCACAGAAGAATTACTTTACTGCATTTGTTCATGAAGCTGTAAATTATTACCCTTGTGTGCAGCGAGGAGTTACAAAATGACCCCACCTCCCCTCTCAGCCGGTGTTAACAGACCTCCTCCTCCTCCTCCTTTTCCTCGCGCCGCTCCAAACAGGTATGGCCGATGACGTCAGCAAGGTGACACCCACCTCTCTCCCCACGTCCACTCCGGTGTAACGCGACTCCAGTCTGTTCCCGGTGGAGAGATTTTTGTGTCGGTGCTCCGACTCTCACTTCAGCGTGTTTCCACTCCGAGAAGCTCCACCATGAAGACCCGGACTCTGCGGGACGGACTTTGACTTCGCCGATACTCTGCGTGGGAAGCCAGGAGGACTGACACGTAAGAAGAAAGCGCTCTGAACAAATCCACAGTGAGCTAAAAGTCTGCGTTTGTTAGAGCCGAATCAGAGTAAACACAGCGAGGGGACAAGTGGAGTGTGTCTGTTCTTACCAGTCCGGTGGAAACAGCAGCAGCACTTTCACACACTGGAGTTACTTTCACAGTGAATCTCTGCACGGCTGCTGCTTAAAATAGAATTAAATAGACGGTGGATCAACTTGTTTTCCACTGGATGATGAAGAGTTTCCCTCTGGAAACATGTGTCAGGCTGTTTTTGGTTCCTGGAAAAAGAGTGCAGCCTTGACTCGCTGTTTTTAGGCAACTATCGTTTGATTTTAATTCACAATTTATGTACCAAGAAATTAAAAATCCACCCGCTTCTATGTTTTATTTAGGAAATTACGTGTTAAAAGGTGTCTCAGTGATCTTTGTGGGACGGCCTGCCGGTTTATAGAGGGAGAGTGGATGTTTGACAGAAAGTGTTTGACAGAAAGTTTCATTCATCCACAGTTTGACTGACTGAATTTACTGTCAGCGTGGCTCAAGGTCGACGTGTCCCGCCCTGTGGGGTGCTACTGTAAACATCCAGCAGCTGTGAGCTGCAATAAACGAGCTAATACATCCATGCAGGGGAGAGATAAAGCAAAACCATAACCCAAAGAGCAAGGGAGATACTTTATATGTGAAAGCAGTTTGATAAAGAGCTTAGAGTGACTGTCTGTGTCCTGTCTAAGGTGAAGAAAAGAAACTGAAATATTGGTCTAAATTTGAGTTTGACAACTTTAAATAGAGTTGGGTCTTTCCTTCTTTGAAGCTCTTTCATTCATCACTGTTAAAGGGATATTCCAGTGTAAAATTAACTTAGGGTCAAACACACCATAACACCGAGTTAGACACCCCCTCAAGAGATGAATGTTGCTGACCGCTTGCTTCTCTAGTTTTACCAACTTTAGCAACGACTGTATGATAGCAATACACAGCAGTCTGAGGAGACATAAACAAAACGCCACTCTATAGCCACAAATAATGCTCAGAACAGCACCTAACTTCATCAACAGTACATATAGGGTCCCAGCCATAGTACTAGCCACCAAACATCTTTTTAACTTTGCCTAATTTCTTTAGCAAAGAGACTAAACACAACTCACCTACTCTCTTCCAGCAGCTGCTTGTTTGTAGAGAGACTTCAGGACAGTCCATCACGGACTACAGCGGGGTGTCTCAGCTCAAGGAAGAACATTTATGATCATTTCTTCAGGGAAATGCAATCAGACCGAGACGCTAAGGCAGAAGAACTACCACGTCTGCATTGAAAAATGATTGATATGATGATTTTGACTTAAAGGAAATGATAAAGAAATGATCATAAATGTTCTTCCTTGAGCTGCGTCACCCCGCAGCAGTCCGTAATGGACTGGCTTTAGGTCATGCTACAAACAAGTGGCTGCTGGAAGAGAGCAGGTGAGTTTTGTTTGGTCTCTTTGCTAAAGAAATCAGGCAAAGTTAAAAAGACGTTTGGTAGCTGGTACTATGGCTGTGACCCTATATGTACTGTTGATGAAGTTAGGAGCTGTTCTGAGCATTATTTGTGGCTATAGAGTGGTTTTTTCATTAAGGTTTGTGTGTGGCTCCATAGACCGCTGTATAATGCTATCCTGCGGTCGTTACTAAAGTTGGCAAAACTAGAGAAGCAAGCGGTCGACAGCATTCATCTCTCGAGGGGTTGTCTAACTCGGTGCTACGGTATGTTTGACCCTAAATTAATTTTACGCCGGAATATCCCTTTAAAGAAACTGAAGTATTGGACAAAGTGAATAGATAGATTTTGGTCTTTCCTGCTTTGTAACTCTTTCGATTCATCACTCTTAAAGTGGAGACACTTGCTCTAAATGCACAAATGTGTTTTTTGTTGCTTCAAACACACAGATCATTTCTAACATCTGTCAGACAACTAAGAAGGACAGATCCAGCCCTCTGTCCAGGATGTCCTCCAGAGGTAAAAATGACTTGTGTCGGATATGTGGTGGGGATCTACAAGGAAACCAAAGGCGCTGGTTGTTTGGCCACAACAAGAAAACCAACCAGCCTCAGACCCCGAGAGACTCCCCGAGAGGAAGAAGAAGCTTGTCCCAGTCCTCACAGAGCAGCTCTTGGGGTTAGTCCGGTTCATTGAGTGTCAAACAAAAAAAAAACCTTCTCACATGTGATTTGCCTGAAGTAAACTTTTTTCTTACTCGTCACAGGAAGCACTTTATCTCTGGGTTCCTCCAAGTCTCTCTCCAAGTCCCAGATGTCCCTAAACACCCAGTCCAAAGGAATGGACCTGCTCTCGGTGTTGACTCACATCCTGGGACAGTCTGTATCAAGGGGCAGTGGGCAGGGGGAGTTTGTGTGTGGGAAATGTGTAAGCATCCTCGAGCGTGTTTTCAAGTTCGACACGGTGATATCCAGGGTGAGGATGCTCTCGTCCGAGAGGCTTCAGAAGCTGACTCAGGAGAGAGACAAGATCAGGCAGTGGGTGCGTCAAAGCTACTGCCGCAGACACCCAAAAGACGTCAACAGCAGGGGGAGCACCAGCGAGGAGGACAGCGAGGCGGAGAAGGAGGGCTACAGGGAGATGCTCAAAGAGAATATGGCGCTCTCTGAGTACGAGTGCTGGTCTGAGAAGTGGGACGCGTGTCCGCATTTTATAAGAACAGGTAAAAGATGCAGAAAGGGCAAAGGCTGTGAAGGCTGCGATTCTCTACGAGTGCCTGACTCGGCTTACGAGTCCGTCTGTGGGGTTCCTCGTCACTTACCTTTTCAGCCTTTCTCCCCGCTGCCTTTATCCCGAGACAAATCTCAGAGTATGCCCCTCCATTGGCAGAGGGTGCCATCCATTTCCTCCGGTCCATCCTCACTGGCAGGGTCTACTTTGTCCTTGCAAGCGTCTTCCCGCACTGAATCCATCCAGTCTCTGGATTCTCTGGATGGGACTGATCCATTCGACTCACCGGGTTTCCACTTTATGCTGAACGAGCTGAGAAGCATCGAAGGGAAGCCGATCAGTTCGCCATCAGGAAGTAGGATCCCAATTCTGGGCAAGAAGGATGGAAGGAACTCTGAAAAAGTTGGCGGGGTTGTGTCACCCAGAGTGAACAGGGTGCTGAGTTTTGGGGAAGTGGAGAACGGAGGGGGAGATATGGATGAGGAAGACGGGGATGTCCTAACAGAGCTGAGGGACGAGTTCATGCCTCTTCATCGAGAGGTTAGTATTTTGTTTCATGTATGAGCACACCACAACCAGCTTGTGACCAGATATTCTGTTTGCTAGTTGCTGTAAATATTGACACAGTCAGCTGCATTGGTAAATCCGGGATCACCTGGGTTCAGTCCAGCAGTCCAAGAGATGAGAAATACACATTTTCAGTGACATTTTTCCACAACTAATACCATAACTTATATTGATGATCTAATCATTTTGATTTTAGAGTTCCTCCGGTAGGGTCCAACATGCTGTAAAGCACCTGCGAGGCCAACTGGACCTAGCTCTATCCCGCATCAAGACCCTGGAGGCCGAACTGAAACATGGGAAGAGCAAACCGGTTGAAGTCAACGGATCAGAAGACTGGGCCTCTGTGAGTGTTCAGTTTTTTCTCCTATACACTCAATCTGACATAAGTTAATGTTCAAAGAGTGGTTTGACATGACACAGCAGGTTGGGTGTGTGTTTGCAGGCTGTGTGCTGTTTAGCTTAGCTTAGCAGAGAGAGAGAGAGAGAGACATGGAAACAGCTGGCATGAGTCTATCTGACAGTATTAGGTCTTAAATCCAAGATTAGGTTTTTAAGTTTAGGTTTATAAAAGTTTATAAAAACACCGTCAAGCCTTAAAAAAAATAAAGGGTCTGGCTCTTATAAGGAGGACAAGAGGTACTCACTACCGAGCTTCCCTGGTCCAATTTTTTTTGAGTTATTCTTGTAATAGAAACACAAGGATTCAGTAAATGTGACAGATAAAAAGTTTAGTTGAATACTATTGGAAACAGAAACATTATTGATCTGTAAACTCAATAACCTGAAAATGAAACTAATTGAAGTCAAGACTGGACAAGAATGTGAGTGTGTGTTTTTTTATCAGCTGTGATAACAGATAACTGCCTCAAACTTTTATTTTTTTTACCCTTGAAAAACAGGTTTTTATAAACTGCAGCTCCTCAGTCACGTGTACAAACAGCTCCATAAAGCTCTGTGACTGTTGACTAAGGACAAATATAGCTTTATGAAAGGAATGGAGGGTGTGTGCGCGTGTGTATGTACTGTGGTTTATGTGAAAAGGTGTGTCCCAGTTTCCTCGTGTTCAGGTGAAGATAAAGACACACACACACACACACACACACACACACACACACACAGTCTTTCTCTGGAATCTTCCCCGACTGGTGGAGTTTGCCCCGGGCTCAGTAGACTTATGATAGAGGATATCATCATAATGGGCTTTCAGCTGCTTTGTAGACACTGTGAGCACATAACTGATCCCTGCTTGTCATTTGAACACAGTGTAAGAAAAATATTAAAAAGTGATTAAAAGTTGGGGTAGCTGCAGGATTAATCATCAGAGTTTAACAGTCGTGACTCTTGAGATCCAGCTGTTACGTCACTGCTTAGTATATTGATTTTTTTTAAAGCTCCAGTGAGGAACTTTCAGCTTGTGTCAATTTTTGCACTCCTCATAGTCTTTGCTTATATTACTCCAACTGGGTGATAATACACCAGTATAACCAGACACAGCCTACATACAATCTAACCACACCATGAGATGCTATTAGTCATCTGTACTTGTTTACATCCGGGTAGTAGAGCAGTGTAGCGTTATAACAGTATCCCCAGCTAGTGACAGATGGCTTTGCTGCAGCTTAGATACACAACATATGACCAGCATTTTGAACCTACAGTAATTAATGCTGCGATCCAGTTACCTCAGAAGTCAGAGCTGGGAATGACGTTATAACCGAGTTGACAGCGTTTCAGGAAACAAGTCGGAAAACCAAGATGGACGCCTACATTTACCCGTTGTTAGCTGTTGTTTACAATTGTCAGCTGTCGTTAGCGGTTGTCAGCTGTTGTTAGTTCTTGTTAGCTATACCAATTGTAAACAACGCATAACACAGTATTTTATGCTGCATTGGAGTTACCTTGGAAGGCAGAAGTGCCCGAGTTACCAGCATTTCAGTTACCAAGTCAGAAAAAAAGCTAAATTGGAGGTGAAAACAAGATGGCTACATCTATGAAAGTTATTTGAGCACTTGCCTTGTCCGAATATAAGGTAAGCACTAAAATATATGGCTACATCTACGAAATTAACTTTCATAGATGTAGCCATCTTGTTTCAGTCCTCCAATTTAGCTTTTTTCCGACTTGGTAACTGAAACGCTGGTAACTCGGGTGTGACGTCATTTTCAGCTCGTACTTCTGACTTCCGATGTAACTCGAATGCAGCATTATTCTTACAAACACCATAGCACCATGTTCACAGTTAGACGTTAGGCAGTACAGCATGTACCACTTATTTAATTTCACAAAAACAAAACAGAAGCGCTAATAAAGAATACATTATGAGAGCTTTCACTGTTACTCTTTACTGTTGATGCACTGCGTCGCCATTCCGAGTCAGAAATCTGAGTTCAGGGGGGCGTTCCAGATGAATTTCCGACTCAGAGCTCAGAAATTACGACTTCCAAGTACAACTGGAGCACAGTATAAGTATTGATAACTGGTTAAACTAACTTGTAATTTTGGTGCCTAGAAGTGAGAGTGATAAAGCTGAATGATTCAGTCGACTAAACACACAGTTTCTTGATATGATTGTCTTATCTCTAATTTTTAAACAACATTTCTTTACTCTTCCAGCTGGTCCAGGAGGAAGGCGGCAGCTCTCTACTCCAGAGCCTCGGTCACTCCCTGCGCAGCCGGGAGCGTCTGATCCAGGTGGGTGAGGTGATGAGGGCAGACAGGACTCAGTCATGCACACAGGGGCTGGATCCTCTGCCGCTGGATCAAAGCTCGCTGGAATGTTGTTTGTCTTTGGAGTCACTGAACGCCCTTAAAGAGGCAGGGCCAGAGCTGCTTTGACTTTTGTCTGTTTACCTCACTGTACCTGAAACACGTGAACGGTTCACAGCAGCTTTGAAATGGAGCTGTTTGGAATATTAAATGTCACCAAGGAATTACAATAACACACACTTAATGCTGCAGTTTTGTTATTGTTTTGGGGGTTTTAATTGATTAGTTTCCCTAATGGTGTTTTGTTGACAGGTTTATACTGATATTTGTCAGTTAAACATGAATATCAGAGAGTAGCTTCCTAGCATCAACAGTTGTACTGTAACAGCAAATTAACTCTCCTCAAACATAACAACAGAACAGGGTGTGATCATCGGTGAGCTTCAGAGGTGTTATTTTCTGGAGAGATGTCTGTTAGCACTGCAATAGCAGGCTGTCGTTCCAATCTTTGCTCTAAGCTAAGCTAACCAGCTGCTGGCTTTAGCTTAATTTTAACACCACAAATAAAAAAGCGTAATCCAACAGATTTAGATGCATTTCCCCAAATCTGTTACTTTTAAAAACATTAGTGAACGTGGAGTTAAATGTCCTAAACATTAGATAAAAGAATAATCACTTTGCAGAGTTGAGTTTTAGTTTTCTTTTCCTGAACTTGCAGATTGATTCTTGTAATTTCCAGACCGATTTCAGCAGGTTGTGACAGATTTCAGTTTAGGGTGAGGTACGCTGGTTGTAACTCCAGCGGCATATTTGACAGAGCTGTAGATTTATGGCAGCTCGGCTCACATTTGCGTTCATATCAGCTTGGCTTGTAGTATAATAACTCTTGGCTTGGCCTGCTCTGGCCTTGAGCATTGATTAATTCTTGAAATGTCTCTGACGCAAAAAAAAAAAAAAAAGCCTGCACATGCCGCCAAGCCTTCAGTCATTAAACTTAATTTAAGGCGCCTTCACCAGATAATATAGAGTCTTTATAAGTATTTAATAGTGTTTGATATTTAGCTTTAAGCAGTTCTATGTTCTCTCTTCCAGGAGTGTATGGGTCTGATCCGGAGACTGTGTGTGGAGGAGGGAGCAGGGACAGAGCTGGCAAACAAGCTGACTGAGAAACTGACTGAGAATCTGAAGGAAGCCCTGTCTGACAACAAGGTTGGAGCTGACACCCTGCTGATGACTGATATAAAAGCCTAAATGCTGGGTTTACATATGATAACACATCAGTTTTTAGGAGTTGTTTCCACTTCAGGATTTTGATTTTGCTCTGTGGGAAAAGAATCACCTGAAATTAAGATGTTTTCTGGAAAACTCTAGTCTTTCTATCTTGAAATCACTCCAAGATCTACATACATCAGCATTTATTGATTCTGCTGTCTTTCTTCATACATTTTAGACTGTAAACTACCTGAAAAGTCCAGTTTGTAGTCTCCCTCAGCTCAAATCTGTGTATTTACAAATGTCTTTTTTTCATCTGGCTAAAAGTCCAAATCAAAACTTTCAGCTTTAACTTTTTCATGCCTGATGTAATCAAATCAAATCAAATAATAAAAAGCAACAAAACCTTATATTTGACAGAATAAGATAGATATCCTATGTATATAGTGTGGGAAATTGCATTATCGTGTCAGCTGAAGTCACCATCATTCACACAGAAACATCAACAGACACATCACAGACATTCAGACACATTAAAGCTTTCAGATAGATAAAAACTAGCCGTAGACATTAACTAAGAAACATATAAATGTAGACAAAAGGATAGTAGATACATTCAGTGTGCAAATATGTGTACAGAGTGTAAAATCTCTGCTCAAATCTAAAAAAGAACAAGTAAAGAGGCTGAAACTGCAGAATTTCTATTATTTTTCTTGATATTGGCTTAAGAGTGGTGTCAGGTTTACAGGTGTTGTATTTCTGTCTAAATGAGTTCTCTTAAATGTTTTTGTGATTTGTAGGCTGCCCTTGAGACTTTGAGGTCGGAGATGACAAAGAAAGAGGAGGGTCTTGAGAGAGAGATCGAGGCCCTGAGGAAGGCTGGAAGAGATAGAGAGAAAGACCTGAACACGCTGAACACCGTCCTGCACTGCAACCAGGATATTATCAATGTGAGGACACAGACACACACAGACTAGAAACATTTCTGTGGATCAAAACACACAAACTATGTGCACTGGTGTTTTGCCTCAATGTGCTTTTTACTCTTAATTCACGTAAAGGTAAATTCAGATAGATTTTATATTTTGAATTTGCTCCAGGATCTGAGAGTCACTCTTGGAGAGAAGGAGAACCTGCTGAAGGAGGTGGAGAAGGAGAGGAAGGTGTGGAAGCAGAAGGACCAGGCCCTCTGCACTGTCCTGCAGGAGAAGGAGGCTTTGATCCAGCGTCTCAAAGAGGAGCTGGAGAAGAAGGGTGCACAGGTATGTCGTGTATGCAGCGGCGTAATATCCACCAGGAATGCAGGTTGGCATCTGCTAAGTCTGATTTTGTCTACGAAACATGAGCAGACAACCTGCTCAGGTGCAGTGGTCCTGCAAGTATGACAGTAATGTTGGTCAGTCAAAAAGCCTGGTCCAGTCTTATATACCACAAAGACTGACAGATAAGAATGAACTGTTTTGCAGATATTTCAGCTCTCAAAAGATGACAAACTGACTTTTCTCAAACATTTAAAGCAAACATCAAAACTGTTGTTTCTCTAAAGCTTGAGTTTCTGATTTAATACCTTCAGAAATGTTAAGTTTGTTTCGTATATCTCCAAGCTTCTAGTTTCAAATAAGTGTTGCGTAGTCAGTGCAAAAACAAGTTTAGACAGCAGTTTTATTGTGCATACTACAGCACCTCTGTGTCATAAAGTTGCCCTTTGAACTTTGCGCCTCTTTCTTGATTATCTGTTGTTGTTCCTCAATCATATGTCTGTACTGTCTCTGTGTCTCTGCGTATGACACAAATAGACGAATCCTGAAGTGTAACTGAAGATAATGGGGCTCTCTGGTTATTTCTTGCACACTGCTGTAAATATATAAAGTAAAATAGGATACTTAATAGACCTCTGGCATGGTAAATACTTATGTTCACAGATTTTGGAAGGCAGCCACAGCTCAGCTTTGTGGTCTTGTCAAGTTTTGATCACAATGTTGATGAACATATTTTTGTGGTCACCTTTGTGGCACAGTTCATTGTTTGTCTGACTCTTCTGATATCACTAGAAGTGTATTGTTCTGGGAAGCATGAGTCATAAAAACGGCTTTTTTATTTAGTGACGATAAGAGAAGTGAAACTCCAACACTCTTGACATGTACGCGTGAAACATAAAGACTGTTGAGGATTTCTATAAAGTCTAGTCAATATATGATAACAAGGTTTATTACTTAATCTTTTTCACTTTTAAAAGACTGTTTTAGAGTTCATATTTTGCCTTTTTTGTTTGATAATGAGCCTCTTCTGCAAACTCCTCCCTAGGAGTTATTGCTCTCAGGACTTCGAAGGAAACAGTAACTTATCATTTCCCGGCTCTCTCGCTCTCTCTCTCTGGCTCTGTGATTCGTCAGGGATTGACAGAAGGTGGGGCTCAGCTTGCAGCGTGGTTGGAGGAAAGAGAGGGAAACAGCGCCACCTTGTGTAATGAGGTCACCAAACTTACAGCAGCCCTGCAGGAGTACCAGGACATGGTGCAGGTGAGATATAATTAACAGGGGAGTTTTTGTATCAATGAAAAGAGAGAGGGGAAAACAAGCTTGATTTTCTCTGAGCTGATTCAGACTACTTCAACTTCTGCTGCTCCATTTTCAACACGTTTTAAAAGATATTTAACAGCCAGCTGATGGAAAATTGAAGCTCTTACAGAACAGGATCAAAAAATTCAGGGGAATAAAACAACCTGAGCTACCCAAAACAAATGTCTCAACACCTGATTTTTGTACAAACGACAGAAAGGCAGACGTGAACACTTGGAAAGCTTTTGTTGCTTAATTTCAACACAGCATCCGATAATTTTAGTCTTTGCCGTTTTTTTCTATTCCAGACTCAGCAGGAGAATCACAGCCAGACGATGTCCTATCTGACAGCTCAACTCAGAGACTCGCAGCAGGAGCTGAGGGAGAAAGAGAAGGAGAAAAAGGAGGCTGATAGAGCCTGGCAGAACGTCAGAGAGGACAGAGAGAGAGCAGAGAGGAAACTGAGAGACAGCCTGGAGAAGAGAGACAGACTCATAGAGGTAAAGTGCAAGAATCTGCCAATCTATAGCCACAAATAATACTCAGAACAGCACCTAACTTCATCAACAGTACATGTAGGGTCCCAGCCACAACACTAGCCACCAAACATTTTTTTATCTTTGCCTAATTTCTTTAGCAAAGAGACCAAACACAACTCACCTATTCTCTTCAGCCAGTCCATTACAGACTGCTGCGGGGTGACGCAGCTCAAGAAAGAACATTTATGATCATTTCTTCATGGAAATACAATCAGACCGAGACGCTAAGGTAGAAGAACTACCACGTCTGCAGAGCAAAATGATAAATATGGTGATTATTACTTCAAGGAAATGATAAAGTAATGATCATAAATGTTCTTCCTTGAGCTGCATCACCCCACTGTAGTTCGGAATAGACTGGCCCGAGGTCTCGCTACAAACAAGCAGCTGCTGGAAGAGAGTAGGTGAGTTGTGTTTAGTCTCTTTACTAAAGAAATGAGTCAAAGTTAAAAATATGTTTGGTGGCTAGTACTATGGCTGGGACCCTATATGTCCTGTTGATGAAGTTAGGTGCTGTTCTGAGCATTATTTGTGGCTATAAAGTGGTTTTTTCATTAAGGTTTGTGTGTGGCTCCTTAGACCGCCGTGGAGAAGCAAGCAGTCAGTAACATTCATCTCTCCAGGGGGTGTCTAACTCTGTGTTACGCTGTGTTTGACCCTAAACTAATTTTACGTCGGAATATCCCTTTAATGAGCTAAACAAGCATGCTGATTACCAATGTTCTTGCAAAACCCTGATATGTTATTGTTTTGTCAAAAAAGCTTTTTTTGAAACATAACAAAAAATAAAAGCATCACTTTAATTAACCCGAAGAGTTGGCTGTGCTAGAGTGACAGAACATAGATGGTTTAGTAAAGTGGGAGGATAATATCATCAGTCACAGGTGTGGGGAATCCAAGTACAAATGCTGTCACACCAGTTTGGTTTTGTACTTTGGCAGTGTTCCTTCAAATACCTGAACTATTTTGAGACAGGATTATTAAGTAACTATTGTTGTGCTTCTTAAAACCCTCCGCATACCGCACGGTAACCAGCCTTTGGTATGTTTTTGTGCTCTTCCTGATTGTGCGGCTGTCATACAAATGATGACATAATAGCTGATGACGCTAAAAGGAAGTATGAGAGCACGTGGGCACGGTTGACAAGTATCTCTTAGACAATCTGTCACCATTTGCTTTGGGGAAAGTGTTAAACTACAATGTTCAATGCCATGCTGAAAGGACAAATCTGGAGTGAACAAGACAAGTATATGGTTATTGACAACACAAGTGCACAATAAGACTATAAATCAATCCATCACCTGTGCTGAGCAACTGTATAATCTTTGTGAAGTGTGTTTTTTTTTTCTTTTCAGCAAATCCTGTTGGACGCTGAGGAGCGGGACCACCTGTTTAGAGAGCTGCAGCAGAACCTGCAGAACAAACGTGAACCTCTGACTGCCGTCAAACACACACTGTGATGGAGAACTACTGCCTTTCAAACTAACAGCAGAGAAGTCGAAGATTATTTTTGCACTTTCTGCACAACCTTCTCAGCTGTTCTGCATATTTATCATAGTGTACATTAAGTCTATTTATTTTAAAATTTTTTGAGGTTTCATTTAAAGCCCCGCCTTGTTCCTGCACAGGCCAAAGAAAAGATTTCCACAGTTATTTCTTAACTCTCTAGAGTGAATAAGTTATTTCTGACTAAGAGTCACATACAGCCTGATTGTTTTCAGAGGTTTTGGAGGTAGGTCAGGTTTATCTTAATATAGCTCTTTGTTCAAAACTTGATTAAGAAATCACCAAGTAGCTGTATCTAGTTAATTTACAACGTAATGGGTTTGAATCAAAGGAAGTCATTAAATTTCATTTCATGCAGTGGGATGGTTGACATTTCTGAATGGTGATTGTTAGTCAAACTAAGGATCATTTATTAGGTTCTTTAGAACAGGTGAGGGTATAATATTGTGGTTAAATCTGATTTTACGGTTCTTTCACACCTGTACAATGGTGTCATGTTTTCCTTTTTACAGATCTGCCAATTTTTTGTTATGCTAAGCATTCCAGGATGTAATAGTAGGGACCATGATGATATTTTGAAAAAAAAAAGCTCTTTTCCACTTTGATGCATGTCTCAGATTTTATTCTAGAGCTATTTCAAAAGTTCACTGGGCCTCCAGTGTTGGTCAGGGACTTAAAACTGGAGACAATTTCTTTTATTTCAAGAGGATTAAACAGTCTACGCCAAAATACTCATGTGTGCTGTTATTTTGTGAGCCACCACTTTATATATTCTCCCAGTTACAGCTACAGTTGTCATGGGGGCTCCTTGTCTATTGCAGATTACAACTTTGAAAGACATGCAATGATTGTCACAGGTGGTCACTAAATCCTGTTTCCATCACTGTATTAACACTGACGGGTAAAAACTACATTACCCAACAGCGGCAGTCACGTCCACGCCATTGCTATATGGAGTTTAGTGTAGTTTGATAGTGAATTTTAACCTCTCCCCCAGTTGTGTCGGATGAAATGATTCGTCTATTAGTCGCTGAAAATCAAATATATATATATATATATATATATCGATTTCGAAACCTGTGTTCTCACTACACCAACTGTTAAACCTTTTCCCGCAATGCTTCCTGGGAGCCATAGTTTATTTCGCTTTATAGTCCCCACCCCACCCCGTTAGGTCGGATGAAATTATTCGTCTATCAGTCGATAAAAAATAAACTAAAACAAATCGATTTCGAAACCTGTGTTCTCACTACACTAACCGTTAAACCACTTCCCGCAATGCTTCCTGGGAGTCGTAGTTTGTTGCACTTTATATTTTTTTCCTCACTTATCTCTAAACTTTTCCGAAAAAAAAATCAATGCTTTTGGATGCATTTTTTTAACCCTTTGAACCGGTAACTACTCCAGAAGTTTACGCCACGTAAAAACTCGCAGTTATGCTGCTGTGACAGCCGGTGACCTCTCCATGTCTGAGGAATAGAGTCACTGAAAATTTAACCTCCTTCTTTACCAACAAGGGGGCGACTGAGCCGTGTTAAATGTCAGTGCCTCCTGTCTCCTCCTCATTACCCAATCACTGAACAGCTTAGAGTTTCTTGTTACTTCAAGAACAGTTGCTATGGAGCTCATATCTTGACACAAAGTCAAGCGAGTCCCGGATGCCTCATGTGTGGACGTATTGCATTGAATATAATGGTCTATTATGAGTCTATGTAAGGCGTCTTTTGGTATAGTACGTAGAAATGCAGGTCCAGTCAGTTCCTCTCAGCTCTGTCACCATCGGACCGCGGTCTTGGCGGGGTGGCACGGTTCGCTCCATCCAGAGAGCGGAGCGCCTGGTGCGGCAGACTCGGGCAGGACGGCCCCGGACCTACAGCGCCTCCGCAGGGCTAACTTCTGGATACACGACCGGCACCGAGGCAACAACAGGAGATAAAACATCAGAAGAAGAAGAAATTAAAGAGAGTCAAGACTGCAGCTGCAAAAACACAATGTCAAGAAGACCCCAAACTACAGGATCGACTGTAAGCACAACACTGGCTTTCTTATAGGTTAGATTTGATCCAGCTGTTTCTGAGGGGAAGGTGATTGACAATGATGAAACATCTGCAGTTTGCTCTTCTAACTTAAAATTAGACAAGAAAACAAGACAAGTTAAAATTTGAGTTATTTAAAACTAACTTTGAACAGCAGGATGTGTCTAAAGCCGATCATAGCTTTTAATATCAACCATTGTGTTACTAGACTGACACCCAAAAAAACTGTCAAAAAGACTCCACATTTTTTTTTAGCATCATATTATTTGCATTATTTTACAACAAGCAAAATTATCTACGCTAAATTATACAAAAGTTGATCAAATAAATATGTCAATATGAAAACTATTTACAGTATAGAAAAGTCTGGTTACATAGGATGTCTTTATTGTATGGAAGAGGATTACGGTGGCCAAGAACTGCCACTGCTGCAAAAAAAAAAAAAGGATGCAAAAAAAAAAGAAAAGAAGTCACAACAGAAGTCACTGCTGCAGACGAAAAGAAACCAAAGCCCACTGCAAATAAAAAAAGAAACAGTGCAGATAAAAAAGCCACAATGGAAGTTAAAGATGAAAAAAAAAAAAAAAAAAAGTGCCGATAGGTAAAAAAAACTTTTCAGTGTGTCATTTGGTTAGGCCATGTTGTGTCTGAGTCAATATGAAGTTGAACTGAAGCCAACACTACACCGGCATTCTCCAGATTAACTTCACATTGACTCAGACACAACATGGCCTGACGAAATGACACATTGAAAATTTTACGAAGTGAAATTAAACAATAACCTTTTCACTTACTTCTTTGCTCGTCTTCTCGCCGTTGTCTTCTGTGCCTAAATCGTAAAACACCGGTGCGTTATTGGTCCCTGGCAGCACACGTCCATTGTGGCTTTTTTTTTTACAGTTAGTTACTTTTTTTTTTTGCATCATCACTTTATTTTTGCGTAATTAATTTCTGTTGTGTTTTTTTTTTTTTTATCTGCACTGTTTCTTTTTTATTTGCAGTGGGCTTCGGTCTTTTTATTTTTGGAACAGTAACTTCGGTTGTAGTTTTCTTTTCTTTTTTTATTTGCAGCAGTGGCGTTTCTCGGCCACCGTAGAGTGGGGCCACTAAAAACAAAAATGTAAGGGATAGAAAATTTTTCAAAATTTTGACTTTGTTCCAAGAATGCGGACCAAAAAGTTATGACCATTTTTACCAAGTTGAAAGTGCGTTGTGAGATGTGGAGTAGTAGTTTTCAGTAGTTTAGAGAGCTCAGTGTTTGTGGAAATATACTCTGTAAATTTTGACCTCTAATTTAGAGATTCTGGTCAAACTTTTTCCCCAAGTTCCCAGGCGGCTCCCAGAGGACATTTATGGCCCCATTTCCTCCAACCAGCTTGCGTGAGCTGTGCGCTGGAGCCAGCCTTGCCGTAGCCGGGGACTACATGCGAAGGGTGCGGGAGGTGGAGGGTCAGCTGCGCAGGCAGGCCGGCAGGGTGAGGGAGGAGGGCATTAAGCTGGAGAGGGAGCGGAGTCACCTGGAGAGGATGCTTCGAAACCTCAGGATTCATCTGAACATCAACAGGAGGAGCTCTGAGGGGAGAACCAGGAGGCCATCTACTACAGAGACAGTAAGTTTTGCATGGTAACATTTAATGAAGGCGTCATTACTTACCATCAGAGGAAACCACTGAACTCTTTTTAACTATTTGAAGGTTCCTGTATGGCTTCCATTTCTAACTTCAACTTTCCTCTTTCTAATTTACTCAAGCATTGATTCCTTAAAAATCAATTTAAAATCCTTTTACAGTTATACAACAGCTGAATTCAACACCAGAAGTGGTGTAAGTGATACAACAGACTACAGACTAATTCATTAAGTTTTGTATTGTGCACTTCATTCATCAAGAAGAGGAGATGCGTTCACTGACAGCGCTGCTCCCTTGCAGGAGAGGGATGGTGCTGATTACTTGCTGCTGTGTGAGAGAAGAGAGCTGGCCCATTTGAAACAGGATCTGGAGGGAGTGTTGAGAAACACACTGACCCAGCTACAGGTGATTTACAGTGTCTCTGTTCTGCCTTCATCGGTTGACTCCTTTTCTTTAAAGCCCCCTCCCCCCCGCTTTGCTCTCCTCCTCCCCCCTCTCTCCTGATTTACTGGCATGAGTGATGGAAGGAAATCTACACTGCCAGAGCTGTCATGCACCAATACTCTCCACCCCACTGTCTTCTCAACACTCTACAACACTCTACATGTTTTATATTTTTGCTTTTACAATGTAAGTTACTGATATGCAGAGTTAAAGGGAAATTCCGGCGTAAAATTAATTTAGGGTCAAACACACCGGAACACCGTGTTAGACACCCCCTCAAGAGATGAATGTTGCCGACCGCTTGCTTCTCTAGTTTTACCAACTTTAATAAAGACTGCTCGATAGCAATACACAGCGGTCTGAGGAGCAATACACAAACCTCTACCATAACGCCACTCTATAGCTACAAATAATGCTCAGAACAGCTTCAACAGTACATATAGGGTTCCAGCCATAGTACTAGCCACCAAACATCTTTTAAACTTTGCCTAATTTCTTTAGCAAAGAGACTAGCACAAGTTTCAGCTCTACTTTGTCAGTTTAAAGTCTGCCCTCTGTCTTTTCCAGGTCCTGGGTCAAAGCAGCAGACAGCTGCTGGACAGTGCCAGTGAGAGGGCTCGAGTCATGGAGCTGCTGCCCCACAGCGGCTCTGCTGGAAGACGCCGTAGCTCTACGGAGACCTTCGACAAAATAGACCCCATCAGCCCTTTTACACCAGGTATGAGCAGGATACAAAGGATATCTGAACCAATCCCTGCAGCAGAAAGAAGCTCCCAAAAAAATTGTAAAAATTGTAGCTTGTGTTTTCTGACATCCGCGCAGAATGTAAACAAGCCCTGGAGCAGTCCACTTCAGCAGTCAACCAATCACAGCTGCTGAGAGAAAACATCAGACAGATGCTCACCAGCGCCATTAGCAAACAGAAAGCAATTCACGGCACCGTTAATGATGGTCTGGTCAAGAAACTTGCAGAAACAGTTGGTCTGCAGGTACGACACAATTCTAACAAAAGGTTTAACATCTTTGCATGCCAGGCAGAAACACTCCAAACAGAGCTGATCTAAAGAATAAACAGATAAATAACATTTCTATTTCATTCTGTCCTTCACAGCAAAACTTGACTTTGACATCTGCAGCCACCAGACAGGCCATGTTTCGCAAGCAGAGGGAGATAAACTGTATCCGTCACAGCCACGGCAGACTCCAGGTGATGAGGTGCATGAGATGAACTGAATGACTGAGTTTGAGATTCAGTGAACAACAAGCTGTTTTTCTCCTGTTTGCAGGGCCCAGAGTACAGCGGTGACATCCTGTCCAGAGAGAAACTGGACCGGCCTCTGGTGCAGGTTTATCAGAGACACCCAGGAACACAGTTACCTGAAGCCGCTCATCTCATACAGGTGTTAACTGCTTTAACATGTTTACAGAGAAATACACTAGTGATGGTCCTCGTTTGCTCATGTTTTGTAAAGCAGTCTTCAGTTGTAATCAGTTGGCCCCAAAAGTTTTGACTCTGAGCTTCAAAACAAAAAGGTGTTATTGGTTTACCTCCTCCATCTATCTTAAACAAACCGAGCAGGTAGGTAAATGTGTTTCCTGTCTCTCAGGGCAGTGCAGTGCTGAGGCGATGTCTGACATCCTCTGAGGGGGAGCTGGCCAGGCTGCAGCGAACCTGTCTGCAGCTGCTGGACGACCAGCACGGCAAGAGAGCAGCAGCTCAGGTGGACGCTTCTGTCATCCGCATGAGGCGGGAGCAGGTGGACAAAAGGGCCATGCCGTCTTTTCTCCAGCAGGGGGCGTGCTGAAGCCAGATAACCTCCCTTTGTGTTAACCAGGGATGTGGCAAACATGCACATAAATAGAGGAGATAGTTTTGAGTGTGGTGTTAGAGATGTAGAGCAGCCATGTGTAAGATTTACTGGTAAATGAAACTGAATTAAAAGTCAATGATTTGGCAAAAGAGTCTATGCTAATAGTTTTTTTTTTTTTGGGCTGTATTTCCATCAGCTCTTAGTAATGTAGCGCCACAACTACATTTATCACATGCAATTTTACATATAAAGAACATCCAGACATTGCTTTCCTCCGACTGTTTAATGCTACTGAGGTAACTGTGCACTTAAAACTTCCTGGTAACTTTTTAGGACTCTCAAGCTTTAATTGGTCAGATCCATAATGATCTGTGAGGAACCCTTACATTTGTGTTCCCATGTGGCCAAAGCAATTTGTCTTATTTTGTTACTTATCGTGTCCCAAATCTGCCGAAGTCATGTTCCTCTGACCAAAGAAAATCTCCTCCTGCTTCCTTTCTGCAGTCAAACAGAACAAGAGGTAGAAAAAGGGTGCAAATTTAATATACCAAGTTATTAGTTTGTATTAATGATTTGTAATGTGAGCTGAAATGTTTATGTCCACATAACCTTGAATTTCTGATTCCTCTTCATACTTTTTGATCACGCTTTAAAGAAACCAGGGCGCTGCAGTCAAGTTTCAGAAGATCACTTGCAGTGGGCCATATTTATATATGACTGACATAATCTTTATTAACAATAAACCAAGATCAATATTATATTACCCTTAAATCCACCCCTAACTGGGTTATCTATGTTCTGATTATACATACAATCACATGACCATGACCAAAACAATTGTTCCTTACATGACCATGAGACTGAATGAAGGAGCAGTGCCTCATTCATATATCATGTCTCATGATAAAGTCAGATTTATCAGAGAAAACTACTGAAGTGCACTTTAACTGTTTGTTTGGGGATATGAACTGACAAGCTGCGTGAAATACCTCTGAGAAACCCTTCCACAGAGTCAGAATCACTGCTACCTCTTACTTAGATTTCTAGTCATGAGACCGCAGGTCACTTGACAGCCATCAAACTCAAACTCAGTGCCTTTCATTAGGAATTAAGACCTGATCTGATAAACCTGCCCTGCTCAATCTTTTACACATTGAAAGACTTGTTTCTCTTAAATAAATTGTATAATACAAGTACGTAAAATTAGTCTTTTTCTATAGGTTGTAACACAAACTAGAAAAAAACATTCACGATAGAGGTTCCTTGTTCCTTGAAAACTGAATGGGGCTATTCTCTGCTGGACAGTGCTGTGAAAATCGAGGCTGTCAGAGGGGAGATAGTGAACTTATTGAATCATAAGTAGGGAGGCGTGGAAATTCTTGGAGGTAATTTACAGAATCTAAGGAGAAGCCAGAAGCAAGTTAAAATCACTGCTGCTTGAGAAAGCAGAGAGAAGCCTTGACAGAGCTGGTCAGAAACAAAGTTTGGTTAACAAAGACGGTGTGATCAACTTGGTTCCTGTTTTTGAGCTGAAGATGAGTGGTCTGATCTAAAACATACCAACGGGGAGGATTTCAGAAGCTGTGAGACGAAGACAGTCAGTGATGTGGAAGCTGGTTTGTCCTCTGCTTCTCCTTTGTTCACTTCCAGCTGTGGGTAAGTCGACAAAACACAAGGGTTTATTTGAACATTTTGCCTATACATTACAAAAGTTAAATTACTCACACTTGTGCCAACAAAAATACTTTTTTGCAGCATATATAACATATAGTAGGGCCCGTGTTTGAAGGAACTCATGGATCATTGGATCTGGTAATATCAAAAAATGTTGAAAACTGCAATCAAAGTTTGCCAGAAAACATGCTAATGACCTTTAAACTGGTCGAATGGAGTAAAAAAAACGATCTGCTAGACTGTCACCATAATGTAGTGATTCTTTAACTACAGTGGGGGCTGCGAAATAATTTCTAGGTTTAGTTAGTTGGTGCTGTTTCAGACTGACTGTGTGTTAGCAAGATCATGGGTGCTGGTCATGGATCAAGCTTAGGGGGCGGGGCCTCGAACACCTATGTCTTTACTACTGGGGGTCTCAAAAAGGTCAAGGACCACTTCTGCAATGCTCTAAATTTAATATCTAATTTCTCCTCGGGGATAAATAAAGTTCTTTATTTATCATTTAATCATTAACACATTGTAATGTCACTCAAACAATTGTATTAATGATATACTTACATTTTTAGCTTAAAGATTAGAAAACATTAGATTTAAAGGAAGCGACTGAATATTTTTGTACCTGGGGAAATACATAGTCCAGTTTTTGTCCTTTTTATGATGATTCATAACTTAAGTGTTATTCCTCTGCTGACAGAATCTTTTCTTTTAAAAGTGTTTTTTTTTTCTTATCCATTGTCAAACTGCGGCAAAAATATAGGTTATTCTACATGCATGCTGTAAATGTGAAATGGAAAAGTTGCCTCAAACTTTGTAAATATTACAAATGTTGTGATAACTGTTTCCAGTTGCTGTGGGCTTTTTCAGGAATAGGAATTTATTTTTTCTTTTAAATGCTCTATTTTTTATGGTTAAGTTTACTTATTTTTTCTCCTTGTTCAGTTTTAAATCTCTTTTATGTATATTGTTTTGTTGAGTACATGGTTGCACTGTTTGTAAAAGCAAATATTTTGTAAGGTAAAAGCAAAGAAAAAACAATATTTTGATGTGGTTTCGACCAACATGTCTGTCCTTTAGATCCCCTCTTTTGCTACACCTGTGTGTTCCCTGCCATCTCTCCTCTGGACTGCATCCGCTTCCCCCTCAAGTGTCCCCCCGCGCAGGTCTGTCTGTCGAGCAGAGCTGTGGGACAGAAAGGTGAGGGTTACCTTGAATCACTGAGCAAAATTTGAATGAATCAAAACTGAGAAAAAGAACTGAGAGAGGCGGATCCCCCCCTGGCACAGACGGAGCTGAGTTTGTGTGGTTTACTTTGTGTGTGTTCTTATGAAGCTCATGGTTTTCAGGAGACCTCCGTGTGGTGTTGTATGAGAAGAGCTGCATCCTGCCCTCCCTGTGCGGAGTCAGGGGTGAAAAATACACCATGGGTCTCAACTTCACTTTCACCAATGAGTGCTGCAACACACACCTTTGCAACGGAGCTGAAACACCTGCTACACCCTACTGGACTGTCACATTACTCACACTGCTTATTTCATACATGATTTGGTGAACAGAGAAGCATTACAGCGGAGGAGTAGAAAATTAGGATGTCACAGAGTGGAGCTGACTTTCCTGCCCTCTAATGGATGACCATCGTACTCAACTTCTCTGTTTACTGAGCTGTTCATAGACAGATGAGCAGGTATCAGCATAACATATTGAGCTTATGCCCCCATAATTGAGTTTCACTACAAGCAATAATTAATTAAACTACCTCTAATATATCATCTCTTTAAATTAATGTGTAAATACATACACACTTTGTCATATTCAACTCCATCTTTTGACCTTTAAAAGGTTAAAGGCGGTTCACATACAGAGTCAATAGTTGTTCAACACCCTGCCTAAAAATGTTTAACAAAGCTTTAATTAGTACAGGTGTTAAAAAACATGAACGGGCTCAGGCCACTCATAAGTCTTGATATAGGTGATAAAGGTTACTTTAAAAAGGTTATTTAGGTTAAAAAAAGGTTTAAAAAGGTTATTTTAACACTTACCGAAGAAGATTACCCCCAAAGAAAACAAGCAAATATACTTAGTAATATTATAACTCAGCTAATTTATGTTACATCCGTTCATATCTTCATACTGATTTTTATATTTATTACACTAATGCATATTTCAGTTCTATTAAGTCTGATTACATCCGGCTGACTCCATGTTGTTGTCCTTTTTTGGCTTTTAAATCACAGGCAAAGAGTAAGTAGGACAATGCTATTTACAGAAACATTTGTGAATGTGCTTCACTCTTGTGTTTTTTTTATTTTTTTTTATTTGATGAAAAAATAAATAAATACTATGATTCAAGCCCTGAATTAATTGGTCACCTGCTGTGCTGTTTTCCTTTGCACTGTATAAGCTATGATGGTCTGTTTCATGATGCTGGTCCAAATTCTGAAATCCTGTGGTGGACAGGTGAGAAAAACTGCAACAACTGGTTAATTTTTACCCATTAATGTTTGCTAATGTGTTCTCAAAAAATTTAGAAAACAAGAGAGTCTCTTTAACAAATGTTCAGTATGGTTTAATTTTCTTCTTTTGTTCTATGGCAGTGAAGAGACCTACCTGAACTCTTAGTCTAGACTATATGACCCCATGCAGACTAGGCACATGACACACAATAGAATAAAATCTGTAAACTGTCCAGAAAAATCACACCATAGATCTATTTTAACCCTAATTTGAGATTTGCTTTTATACATTTCCCTTTATTACTCTGGCAGGAGCTTTGTGATAGAGCAGGGTTACCTTATATTGCCCAAGAGTCCATAATATTATGGCTGTTGGGTGAATATACAGAAATTAAAGTCAACCTGTTCGAGTTATTCATCTAAATAGGCCAGGATTAATTGAGGAATATTATTTTAATGCCACATTATTGATTATCAGGTTGTTTTTGCTTTTATCTGCTTCGAATCAACCACCAGGAAGCGCCATGTTGTTTGTAGTCCGCTTTTTTCACGAACAGGTGAAGTTGATTGGTTCCATATACAAACGATAGATGGCTAACGCACACTGTTAGCCAATGGAAAACCTATGTCCAAGTATGGCAGCCATCTTGCTACAGGCAACGAGCCCACTCATAGCGTTACAGTCTACGGCGAATGAAGCCACCATGGATTGCTTAATTTTAAACCGATTTTCGAACGGTTTAGTTTGTAACAAACTTCGGAGTTTTAGTTATGTTCCTGCATACTCAAGAATAATTCTAACCATGGATTTTCATAAATAAACATAAAGCAGATGAGTAGAGTAATAGCTATAGGCCTATGCACACAAGGAAGTTCCATTAAATCACTTATATTTAAACATTGACTCACTCCATGTATGTTATTTTGGTAGTATTTCTATCATAGGGATAACTTTAAAGCATCTAACAATAACATATATGCAATAACTGTCAATATTAATATTTGTCTCCTGTTGCCTTTCTATAAATTTGTTTTATATTCATTATTTTTTTTTGGTCATTACAGAGTACCAGAATGGTATACTGGAGTAAGATGGCCGCCGCGTCGGGACGCCGGTGATTCTGCCTCGAGTCATCTAGCCTTCCTTATAGATATCTATGATTGGTTCAACCAAAACCTCTTCAGTGATAATTCGTAGAAGCGTTAATACCTTCGCCAGATATAAATCACAATTTTGTTAGCTTCGACCAAAAGTTTCGGTATGGTTTATGTGTCGCTGTTTTTCACGCTGTCGTTGACGTTCTTCGTCGATGGAGGAAAACCACCAACGTTTGGCGCTTTGAGCCAAACCCGCCAGGTGGTAAAAGGCCTCTCCCGGAGAGAAACACCAACTCTGCCGCCACCGTACCTGCACCTCCCCGTGTTTGTGGACTCAAGGCTACCTCTTGTGAAGAAAGAGCATTTCTCTCCGGTCAGAGGAACAGGAAAGGAACCTTTACCAGAGCCCGTTCGTGAAGTCCTGCTCCCAGTCGAGTCTAGGCCCCAACCGCCAAACGCTTCGGGAGTTTCCGTGAGAACTTCGTGTGAGCGGGGAAAGATACTCGTGCAGGTAGAGAAGAGCTTGTTTGACACCGGTGAACCGAAATTTCATGTCAAACTGGGGACTTGCCAACCAAGTAAATCTTCGAGGGATTACCTTTACTTCGAGTATGACCTCGACATGTGTGGGACCAAACAAACGGTAAGTTGTTGAGTTAGACGGTGTAGCTAATACGATTTGCTTGATGGTGGGTTGACTGTGTCGTTTTTTAGCATGCTAGCAGCCTGTTAGCTGGTCAAACCTTCAACATGTCGACATCATCATCATTTGGCGAATTTCAGTTTATTGGAGGGGCACAAACTATCGGGAACTGTGGAGAAAAGTTCTGATATTACTTTCTGATATAACATTAGCAGTTGTTCTACTACCGATTTACCATGATGCATCACAAAACCAGTTGTGAGGAGACTCGATTAATCGGTCAATCAATGAATCGGTTATATCTAGTTGAACATTTTTAACTGGTTATTTGTACACCCAAAGACATTAGAAATCCACATTTTCAAATGTAGTTTATGTAGGTTATGGTACTGCTGATGTAAGGATGCAATCTTACCTGAGTTATGTTAAAGTTTGATGATTCATTAATTTCTTTTCTATGCAGATCATCAACAACCAGGTGGCTTATTCAAACACCCTTTATTATGACCCACCAAAACTCCAAGGACCCATCAGACGGTCTGCGGCCCTCAGTCTTCCTGTTTCTTGTCATTATAACAGGTAAGACATCAGAGATGACGGTTGTTTATTTTTATTATCAAGCTTAATTAATTAACCATTTCTTTACTTTAACAATCCTTTGAGCAATATCTTTTGACTTTCCAGGTACCAGTATTCCTATAAAATTGGCTACAAACCAAAGATGCGGATGAGGAAGATCTTGAAGCCAATGAAGAATCAAGCAAAATTCCTTCTTACACCACGAAATGGTAAAATCCGCAGAAATTTACCTCTTTGATAGTTATGAAGTGTAGCAGCACAGACGTCATTACGGGGGCTCGGTGCCCCCAACTTAACCAAGTGTATTTGATGCAGTACCTCATCAAAGGAACAAGCGATTATACATTTAATTCCTTCCGTAATGAAAAATCTCTCTTGGCCCACGTTTTTTTCACATCTGACACAAACTGCAGATGCACAGTGTCAACAACAAAACCCTTGTTGGCACAATGGTAGGTGATCACACACGCACCGAGCCCCCCGTAATGACGTCGGCACTGCTTTACTTTATAGAGGCACCTGATATCTAACACAGCCCTTTGATTGTCCATCAATGAATTGTTATCCTTAATGTGTCTTGTAAGCAAGGACTTGAATCAGAAATCTTTTCAGTATTACACATTTCTGTCTTTGAATTTCTTCTGCAGTCTTCGTTTTTAGAACTGAAACTTTGTTTTGATTGTCACCATGAGTAAAAATCTCAGAGCTTTTGTTGCTCTTGTGTCCTAACTGCTTCCATTTTTCTTCCAGCTCGGTGGGAGAGACTTTTCCCATCAGACCAGTATGTGCTTGGGAAGCCCATGTACTTTCAGGCCGAGGCCCCATTGATTTCCCAAAATGAAAGACTGTTTGTCCATGTGTGCTACGCCACTCCAGAGAAGTCCCACACCTCCACACCTCAATTTGAGGTGGTGAACAACTATGGGTAATGGACATCTTTCCTCTGCACAGATTTATTTTTATCAAGTCATTAGGATGCCCCTAGTGGTTGCATCAACTACAATCATGGCGACAGCATCATGTAAATAAACTTGGTAGTCACACAAATAAAGCTGTGAGCTTTGCATCTGCAGCTTTTTTTGCTAGCTCTATGATATATCTTTCGATTTTTATGCTACAGAAAAAGTGTTGATGTATAGAAAGTGGATGCTCATATCATGGTCATTTCTCTCTCTCTGATGTAGGTGTATGGTTGAAAGTAAAGACAGCCGTTCCAGATTCATCCCCTACAAAAACAACGCAGTGAGATTCTCTGTGGATGCTTTCTTATTTAAAGGATTGATAGGCCAGGTAAGAAGAGCACTAAAATCATGACTTTATGTGATGTTTTGAAAATAAAATTCTCTGCAGCTTCCATTTTACTTGCTTTAAACTGAAGTTGAACTGTGTTATCTGATCTACTGTAGCAGCTCTACATGCACTGCAGCATGTCTGTTGGCAGCTCCATACCCACACCAACAGCAAAGTCCTGCAATTACGACACGAAAGCAAGAAGGTTAGTATTTATTCCTGTAAGAAACTGAAAGTTACTACATAGAAAGTTGGAACATGCCGTGCAGCTCTTTACCCTCAAGTCATGTCTGCTTTTTCGCCTCAGGTGGGTTGAGCTGAGTGGAAAGGACTCGGTGTGCACCTGTTGTGACTCCACCTGTAGCGCTGGTGCATCTACAGGTATGCTGTGCTTTAATTCCATCGTATAAAAAACCTGATCATAAAAGGAAAGGACTTAAAAAGAAAAGAAAAATCTGATCTGATTAAATCCCTTTATGGACCAAAACACATAATGATTAAATTCTGTAAGCCAGTGTTGATAACTGTTGTTGTTAGAATATTCTTGATAAGTAGTAATTGTTTTAAATATAAGCAATAAAAAACTACTTTTCAAAGACAAGACCTTTTGAAGGATCCTTTTCATAGAGAAATAAGATTATTGAAAGTATGTTGGCCTTGAACTCAGTCTTTAAGACGTCTCATGTAACATTTAATTTTCCTGTAAATCTGTAAGGATTAAATTGAAATAATTTCTTCTTTCGTACATTTTCCAGTGACTAAGATAGTCAGCAGCAGGCCATGGACAATAGATCCAAAAGTAAAACCCACTGCAGCCCCAAAGAGGAAGAGGGTGTCAACCACAACAACGACGACAACAACAGGAACAGAAACAGCAACAACACAGCTAAAGGCGACCAGAGAGGTGACCAAACTGAAGACAACTCCAAGGCCTGAGGTGGTAGAAGTGACTCAAATGGGTAAGGTGGAGAAAACGGCAACGGAGTTTAAGTGGCCGTTCGGAGGCAGAGGTGTAGTCTGGGTTGAGTTGGAGGAGGAAGAGCAGGCAAAGGGATCTGCTGTTGTTGAGGAGGAAAAGGAGAAGGAGGAGGTCGTACAACCTCGTACAATATTTGAAGAAATCTTCGATCTTGACAAATAAAACTGATATTGAACAGTGATGAGTTCAAGTAGGGTGGCTCATTATCTGAACGAGCTCAGCAATTCTGTCTAAAAAAATAAAAACATGAGAATGGGAAAATTGTTTCAAATCATGTGTTTAAAAAAGGTGATGGTACCAACAGAACAGAGTGATTGCCTTTTAAAAATCACAACGTTTGCTTGACGTCAGTCATTTCAGAGCAGCGTTTCAATAAAATTATTTAAAAAAAAAACTGTATGATGGTTCAGTCTGAAAATAAACATTCACTTTCCAGCAGGGAGCTTCATAAGAGGATTAGTTCTCCAACATCTTCCAATGAAACATAAAACTGAATGATTATCACTAAGATAAGTTTAAATCATTAAATTGTCAGATCGAACGAGCAGGTTTTGGTCCCTCCGACAGAGTGAGGATAGCTGTCACCCTGTTTTTAAAGACTGTGCTCAGCCAACGAGGGCTCGGGATCAAAAACTGGTTCTATTTACAATCCAGTTCTGCATTTTTCTCAAACTGAAAATCTGTCAAATTTGACCATATTTAGTCTTGTGATGTTATTATACCTCAAGTCAAATGAAGGACTTTGATTGTTAAGGAGGCTTCAACTGTATCATTATCAAAACCTTTCACCTGAATCTGAACAAAGCTCAGAGCAGTAGGAGTGGAAATGATAAATCTCATGAGTCCATTTTATGATACAAGCATCATTTATTAGCTTTACATCATGAGTAAATGTTACATCGCTACAAAACGGTAATTCTGTACAATTTCTCCTTTACAAATGTCAGGTCGTTTAATGTGATATCTGCAGTTTTGACCCTTAAATTGAAAAAAGAAAAAGGTTACAAAACCGTGGTGCTACTCGGTAAAGATTATGACTGTGTCCTTTACAGGTTCTATCAAACAAAGTACTTACAAAATAAACTTGGTTTCATAACATTTGAACAGATGTTAATACAGTGTGTCATCAGTGAAAAGTGAAAGTCTTGACGAGTATACAGAAATCCTTTTCATTCATCACATTTTGTCCTGTTTTAATGTTGAATGTGGAAAAACTTTTCATAATGCCTTTGTCAAAACAGACCGTAGCGTCATATCACCTTCAGTTCAGACAGGGTTCAGCTCAGGTGTGTCCCGGTTGGAGAGTGCTCTTGTTTTCCAGCACATTCAGGCTTGTCTCCTGTGTTAAGTGGGTTTATGTGTGAAATACAACGTCCTCAGTAGTATGAGCTCAGGTGAGAGTGAGAGGCAGGGTGTCTGGTCATGGCTGACCCTGGATAGATTGTACTGTTGGTTGAGCTCCAGTAAGTTGACGGAGGGCCGTAAAAGTTCCCAGGGGAGACAGGCATGGGTGCAGGATGACCACTCATGAAGTTCATTTTGGGCTGGTGGCTGTGGTACGGCTGAACGTATGACATCTCAGTCTGGTACTTAACAATGCCTCCCTCTGCTCCATGATTCTGATGTGCCTGCGAGATGCCCTGGAAGTCAAATTTGTAGGCGTAGCGCTTCCCGTGCACTTTGGTCATGATGTTTTTGTCGTAGTAGTAACGCAGAGCGCGGCTCAGCTTGTCATAGTTCATGTTGGGCTTGCTCTTGCGCTCTCCCCAGCGTTTGGCCACCTCATCCGGGTCAGTCATCTTGAACTCGCCGTTGGTGCCCTCCCAGGTGATGATGTTGGCATTGTTGCTGTCTGATAGGAGCTCCAGGAGGAACTGCCACAGCTGGATCTGCCCTGAACCTGCAGAGAGAGACAAACAAAGAGAGAGTTGAAGAACCCAGATCTGACTGCTGTGTTTCTGTTGGCTGAAATACATAAAAATTTAGAATTATAACTGTATAAACAGTTAAATCATAAAATTTTGAGTTCTTAATTGAATGTTTAAGAATAAATGGTTCTATAAAGAAAGGATGGGTAATGTAGTTGGCCCAGAAAGCCGTATGAGACACATCAGGACATGACATATCCTTTTATCATAAAAAAATCTCCTAATTGACCACCTGACTTGCACAAACTCCTCATAGATTATCTGTATTTTCTTTATAGCAGAAGAACTCACTCACTATAACCAGTTAAAAACTAGAGATGCCTGTGTCCATCTTGATAGATATTGTTTCCAACACTTCATAGCACGTGGACATAGATAATCATAACTTGTCTGCCGATAACTGACTTTTTAAGCTGTTATCTGCAGATATTATGCCAATAATAAGGTGCATCCCTGTTAGAAAACATTATGTATTTAAAAAAAAACATCAAACACCCTTATTAGACACTTACTCCAAAAAGTTAATCTGATCACCAGTGAGGAATGTAAACATTTGTAGAGAAACTGATTCAGGACATAAAATTCTTACTATTAGTCCAAGACTGAGTCCTAGATAATAAAAACATTTTGAACAACTGTATTTGAAGTTTAAAGTAAAATACTCAAAACCATTAGTAATGATAGGAAATAGAAATATGTTCTTGTTTAGGAGAAGTTGAAGGTTTTGTAGTGAACAGGGCAGAGTTTTAGACTGACCCCCCGTGAGGTTCAGTTCACGCCATAAAAACCAGGTCGCCTTAAAAGAATCTTTGCAAAAATATCACCCCTTGTGTTAATGCAGCTTGTTATTCCAGGACCCTGGACAGTTCCTCTGTTTTCCCCCCAACAAAGGAGCTTGTCATGAATGAGTTTATTTTCTGAAACATGTTGTAACATATCTACCTCTAAATCCAGTTTACTTTTCCCTGGCAAATGTGACCTTTTCACTGTTTGGTTTGGAAAAAGACAGAAATCAGGGCAGAAACCTACCCACAGGCCTGTGAGCGCTGGGGTCAGGCAGCTTGTATGGACTTTGTTTGCCTGTTCGGTTCTTGGATGGGCTGAGGGCTTGGCCTTCTGTGAGGAAACAGCAGGGCAAACAGTCATTTTTGGTGATACTGGGAAGCCAGATTTGTCTCAGCATAAGCGTGGAGCAGTTCACTGTGATATTTTGGACAGCCAGTGCGTGAGTTCCTGCCCTGCTGGCTTCTCTTATGTTGCCAAAGCAGACAGTGTAAAGGCCTCATTTGTGTCTCTCTTGTTCTGCTGATCTTGTGTTGGTTTAGTTTCTTACCTGGGTTGGCTAGTCGACTGCTGATGGGCCCTAATGTCTGATAGGGGTCTGCAGGGGAGGAAAAACAAAGATCATTCAGATATCCTTTCTTACAAATATAATTGTGTCCTCTGAAATCTACCTGAAGCTCAGCTTTCAAATGATGGGTAAAATCACAGCCTACATCTCTGCTGTGGTATGAAATCTACTCGAAGTTTATTACACTCAACATTTCTAATCCTTGACTGTATACAGTGTAGAAGTGCTCAATATTCATGCACAGTGTTCTGCTATGGTATTTGTAGAGACAGACTGATTATACAATATCACCACCTGCTGGTCTGGTATGCTTATTTGAGCATATTCAACTACTTCTGTGCTGTTGTGTTGACAGGATATCTTCTAAAAACAGAGGAAGGGAACCTCAGTTTTCCATAAAGACCTGCCAATGTGTGGACTAGGATTTAGAGTCATGAGTTAACCTAATGCATGTCTTTGGATCGTGGGACGAAGCTGGAAGACCAGCAGCTGCTGTACTGAGGACTGTAACTTCTTTGTATGGAGCGTGTAGATGACCTGCTAAGCATCTGAAAAGATCTCTTTCAGGTGGAGCACTGTCTCAGGATTTTCACAAACCAACTAATCTAGAAGTAAGAAAAAAAATCAAAATTGGGCTCCGTGTATATCACGCAGCTTAACACAGGATCAGTGTCTGTGGATGTACGATGTCAAATGGTTTGCAGAGTGTGGTAATGTAAGCAGAGGGAGCATGGTAGGGCTGGGTGATATGCCCTCAAATCAATATCATGATATATTGAGCAGTTCACCTCAATAGCGATAAATAGACGATAACTACTCCAACATTAACTTCGTCTACTTCAGACGCAGCTCCAGCCGTTACAACTTTTGAACTGTCCTCCATCTCTTCACCTGTCTTTCCCTCTTTGTTACGGACTGGATGGGGTGGAGTCATGTCTCCAACGTAGGACAGCGTCTTAAAGGGACATGAGTCCATAGCCTACCTAACCAACTTTTATTTTTTTATTTACTTTGACTCCGAATATACCAATATGGACAAAATGACATCAGTTATTGTCGTGAATTCTGGTATTGGTGAGTTTTTGTTTTACCACCCAGCCCTACATCATGGTACTCTTGGGAGGTTAACAACCCCAGTTGGTTATATCTCTGTCGAACCACACACAGCCTCCATACACTCTAAATTGGAGCTATTGCCCTGGCTAGTAGCAGGTAGAGCCACAGCTCAGACTTAGTATCTCAGCATCACTTCCTGTCCACATGAATACGATATTATTAATCATTTAAATATATAACAGCTAGTTAGATTTTTAACCCCATCGGTACAGTGGAACCTGTATTTTACTAATCTCACAATGCTCAAGTATATCAATGTTGTTTTACATCCTTATTAACAGAACAGTCAGTGGAAACATACAGCATCACCCCCCTCTCTCAGTTGTAGTGATGAAGATCTATTCGTTGTGAATTTAAAGACTGCCTTCATACCTTGCACGATTCGTGGAGCAGACTCTGTAACGCGGCTGTTGTGTTGGTGCTCCATTGAGGGTCCTACAAATGAAAGTAAAGACTGTTGTTGTATCTTAATCTGCGTCAATCTGTTACAGTTACTCCTGTGTGAACATTTCCAACGTTTGGTTTTATACCACTCAGATTTTAGTCGTCATACCTTTTGGCACTGCGGTCATGGTGTTTGCTGGCCAGCTGTTCCTACGGCTGATCTCGTCAAAACTGCTCTCTGCAAACACCCCCCAAAAACACCAGGATTAGACCAGATACTGATGAGCCTGTGGCACTCAAGTCTTTGAAGTGGACAGTTCAGCCATAACAGGAAGGAAGTCAGTAAATGGTGACTAAGACAATAAGAGTTTGGAGGTCTGAAGATGACCCACGGTTTCTGTGGTGAGCGTTCTTTTGTTCAGACCACCTCTGTCTCCACAAGATTGCGAATTGTGTCCCAGGAGTGAGACCCATACCCCCCATTTCCTGTGCCGGTGCAGCTGTTTCCTGTCTGAAACTGGCTGTTGAGTTTTGGACTCATCAACATTCAGTAAACTGAGGCCTGTGCTGTGCCAAAGAACTGTTGTTAACTCTAGAAACTGTATAACACAGTCTCTGAAACTCTCTCTTTGGCTTTTCAAAACTTAAATCATTCAAGTCGTTCACTGTTATCTGATGAATTTGAGAATATGTCCCAGAGTTTTTATTCACACCCCGAAACCTCCAGACAAATCTGAACAATAAGACTGGTAGTAAATGGTGGCAGTTAGACAAAAAGTGAAGAAAAGTTAAAGAAATCTAATTAAATGTCTTCTGTTTGGGTCAAACTAAAAAAAACATGTACCATTGCTCTTTTTCAATTATTTTAGATGCATTCACATAGTTAAGTTCTGTGTTCTTAGCAAATATGATTAGATTTATTAATGACCAAAGAAGTAAATAATGGTGATGATGAAGTAGGAGTGACAACAGTCCCAGATTTTGTGAAATGTCTTCACAGATCCTCTGCCTGAGTATGAACTTTTTTTTAAGTGAAGAAAGGACAGTAAGTCCTTCAACCATGAGCTTGTGCTAAAGAGGATGTGGGTTCTTCCAGTTCAATTATATTCAACAGCTGCTTTGTTTGGGTGGCAGACCCAACAAGGTCAGCTTGATGTTTAGTGAACTTAACAAAGATGGCAGTCACAGGGGAGAGAAATGTGAAGAAGTTTTGAAATGGTTTTTATTTATTTTTATTATTATTTTATCATCTATTATTTTATTCATTATAATGGTTTTATTGATTTTCCCTTCGGGGATCAATAGTTATTCTTATTCTTAACAACAAATGTCCAAATAAAAAGTGTTTATGATCAGCTTTGGAGGTGGGACACCCAACAGACTTTTTTTTGCCTGGTTTTAGATCCTGAACAAAAACTCCTTTCAATTAAACAAGTCTCATACAAGCATACGTGCAAGTTGAGAACCAGTCTTTCATCCTGCTGTAGCCCCAGCTCCTGCTGCCCTTTGGCCGAAGGTGAGAGGGCAGTTATAAAGAGGGAGGAGTGGTATAAATTAATGAGATATTAAGTGATGTTTCAGAGGACATATTGGACTTATCAGTACATTTTTTTTAATGTCATCTAATTTTTTTCTTTCTGGACACATTAAAATAGTTTGATTAATTTTAGGGATGCATAATTTTTGTGTGTGTGGACACCGTTATAGCTAATAACAACTCACTCTTGCTCTCTCTTTTTTTTATTCTTGTTTTATAAAACGGCTGTAAATCTAAAAAGCTGTTATTTTCCCAACATAAAACTGAGGTCAGGTTAACTGATAACTAGTTTAAGCTTCACAATGTTCAATTCAAAATGATCTGGAAGTTTGCCTATCATACCTAAGGCCCCATCGAAAGTGAGGAATAGTTGAGTACTTCCATATTTAATAGTTTCGTATACTTCCCTTACTGGGAAGGCTGATTTCCTGATAAGGATTCCAGCCTTCCCAGTATTGTTCAGATTCAGAAGTTCATGTTAATGTGTTTTTATTTTTTTAAATCGGTGATTAAAAGCGGGTTCCGCGTTAGGTTGAAAGGTTTTGAGAGGTCATGTGATCTCACCTGCTTTGACCTGTAGCCTGGGCTGTGGTGCTGGAGGTGGCGGCGTGTTGTTGGTGGGAGTTGTTGGGTAGGAGAATGTCGGGCTGCCTGATGTAAAGAGCAAAAAATGCAATGTTACTGAAATCAGCTTCATCTTAGCATAAAGGTTTTCAGTTTAAAGTCCATTAGCGGCTCCATTCCCCTCAGCGACATCTATTTCAGACACCTATGATTCTATTTCTGATCCTGTTTACACACAGGTAAAACAATGAGGAACTTTTACTTTGTTTGACCTCAACAATGTTATCAGCCGGAGAGAGAGAGAGGAATTTCAGACACGAGGCGAGCCTTACTCTGTCGGAGGTAACTGAGGTGTGAAAGCAGGATGTCTGCGTTGTATGCCGACGTGAGGCGCATCATGTCCTCTTTGGTCATCTTGCATAGCGCTTTGCCGTCCAGTGTGTGGAAGAGCATGACGTCCACCTCCTCCAGGACATACTCTTTAATGGCCCAGTCTAACCACTGCCGAACATGGTCCTGTGTCCACACCTCGGGATCTGACATTACAAGCAGAGAAATAAATACACTCCAGTTATACTTTGAGCTGATGAAGATGCTGGTCTGCTCTGGCGTAGAAGTCATGGAAAGAGATGTCACATAAAACTGATCTCAATTCTTGGTATAACTTCTTAACTTGACATAATAGATTTCACAGCACCTGTAGACGCCAGTTCTTTGTGGTAGCCATGAGCTTTTATAATATTTGTATTGTGTGGTTATACGGGGATGAGAGTCACGCGGTGGGGGTGGAGGTAGTCTGACAGCACTGGTAGTAGTGAAGTCAGCTGTTCACCTGGTGGGTTTTGTGGATGAATGGAGAGGGGGTGAATGGGGAAGTCCTACTTTTTGCTGACCGCTTATTTTTCATTTTTCTGCTTTTTCGCTTATGTTTCGCCTGGTGTTGAACGACGGCCCCTTTTGTTTTCATGTAAGTGCTTCGTCTTTTTTGCATAATAAAACTACAAACGGAGATACAGCCTATTCATTGAAGCTTATACAGCCAGCACGTCGGGGAAGGTATCGTTTCCCCCTACTCAGCCTCTCGGCGACTAAGTTGTTTTGGATAGTCGCCATACAGCACCCTTAACTGTGTGTGCTGGAGTTAAAGACTACACTTACAGAGATTATGAATTAAAAATGTGTCATTTCTAAAGGCTTTAGGATATTCCATCTTATCAAAATGAAACCAGAAGAGATGATTTTCATGCCTTAAAAGATGTCTCAGATTTCTTAGAAACTGTAGTTTCTATACGAAAAATGAAACTTGGTCAAACTTGGCTGCTTTGATGCTTCACTTTAATGGGGGTACACACGATTCTTAAGCTTCTTTGTTATTTGCACATCTAAGTTCATTTGCATGATAGCAGCTGGTTTCCAAATGCTCTGGCCTAATTTTGCTTTTTTTTAGAGAATGTAAAATGACTCAAAGATGGAGGAAAGAACGTTTTATGACGTTTTTAACCAGAAAATCATGTCTCTAAAATCCGTTTCCTGTAGTGAAACTCAAATTCTCATTCACATGTATGAAAGTCTGAAAGGTGATAAAAATCAAAAGCCAATGAAACGTATTTTTCAGATTGAAAACAGACTTAATCTGCGAGTTGATTTTTTTAATACAATAAAGGAAGAGGAAGTTATTGGTACAAAACTTCTCTTCTGTTACTGAGGCTCACATGCCGCTGCCTACTGATGCTTTCCTGGTTGGCACAGTATTGAGGAAGTAAACAAATAAAATCAGATATTATAAGGCTGTTGCCTCCCCAGGGGGTGTGAAGAGGTTTGAGACTCCTTTCAGTGTTCATCCAAATGAGGCTTGAGTCACAATATTTTCATACATTTGACTTTTTCTAAAGTTTCGTCTAGATTTGAAGCAAACAGCCATGAAAAGCTAAAAGAGAAAAAGTCACTGTGTACGATTTGCAAAGTATGATCTGTTTGTTCTTGTAATGACGTAGATTTAACTACTTTCATCAGCAGAAATCTTGTACATCTTTGAATTTGTCCTGTGATGTTGTCAGCCCTTTTAAAAAAGCAAGTGAAAGACAGTCTGTGGTTTTATATCAGTGTCACAGTGACTCAGAGAAAAGTTTGAGGAAAGGGAACGATCATAACCTGGTGGCTGTTTAAAACTTATTAAACGAGGTATTAGAGCTACGTTTTCCTGTGACTTAGTGTAGTCATCCATACTAAATATACATATTTAGGTTTACTGAAGCTGTTTTTTATGTTTAAGTTGACCTCAATAACTCAGTCCAGTGCTTAAAATATACCACCAGTCTAATTCAGATGCAGCAGACTCATTTCCAGTAGTTTCAAGTCACAGCCGCTGGGAACTTTCCAGTAGCTTTGAAATGCCCGTAAAATTCGCCAGGAGCTGTAGAGGCTACACCCTCGAGTCCTGATTGTTCTCGTTTCACACATGCTGCTGTGATGTAACATCCATGTATTATGAAGGAGAATAACTCTGTGACTCATTTATGAATTGTGTATACAGATTCCTCTGCACCTGACTGTCCAAAGTAACATCTCATATGGTCTCCCTCCACAGACTGACTCACTGAAACATACATGTGAACGCGTCACAGTGAGCTGAGGCCAAAAGTATGGCAAGTGTAAGAGAAATGAGACAGAGAGACAGAGCATTAACAGTGTAAAACATGCAATCTGGCTGAGTTACAATTAGTAAGACTAGTGATTCATTCAGTCAGGATGAGTACAGTCTGAAAGTAATGACCGCACTGCTGCTTCTCTCAAAGTATGTCAGTGATTTTCCTCTGAAAGAAAGGAAAATTTTGATCCATGTTTGGCTGGAGGAAAAGTGTTGACATATGAGTTGAATTATATGAAATTATACAAAAACACCCATGTTACTTAAAAAAAAAAAAACACTATAGAGGAGTCCTAATTTTTTTTTTTTCAACTCCTCAATTTTTGTCTCAAATTAATGACTCATATTTGATCTGTTCTCACAGTTACATTCAACAGACAACAGCATATATGGTAGTTAACTTTAGTTTGATTCAAGCCAAACAATATTCAAATGCTTAAGTTTGTCTTAGCACACAGGTGTTAAACTCAAGGCCCGGGGTCTAAATCTGGCCCGTGGAACAAATATATCTGGCCAACAAGATCATATCATATTTGTATTATTATTGGCCCACCAGTATGAAGTCTGCAGATTTCCTCCAGTATGATAATGTAAACTTTAGCACCATTATTTAAAATGTTCTTAATAAACCACAAAAATCTGGGAAATTAAAGAGTAAGGAAGATTTGATAAATAGTCAAGAATGTGGGGGAAAATATTTGGTGTTTTATATCATGTTTTCAATTTTGCATTTCAAGATTACAAGTCAAACATGATTGGATTTTCTATTTCATGCTTTGATTTTGTTCAATCAGTATTTAGACTTGTGTCATTTTTATACTTTAGAATCCAATTTTAAATTTTAAGTCATATTATGACCTTTTATACCTGATTTCAACGTTCTCGTGTATTTGCTCTTTAAAAGCATTATTTTTCTATTTTTAATATCATGCTCTGATCTTTTGAACTAATAAATAAAAATAGAATAAAAGATAAAAATAAAGTAAATTATTCTATCTCAGATTGCCTTTAAACTTTTTTTTTTTTTTAATGTTTTTTTAATTTCCAAATGATTTCTAATCATTGCTGTTTTTGTTTTGCATATTTTTTGAAAAGGAGGTTGACAGTTTTGGTGAAATGTTGACCCTGTTTGGCCCTCAGGTTAGACCTAAATCCAGATTATGACCCTTGCTGTGGTTGAGTTTGACACCCCTGTCTTAGCAGGTGCTTTTCTCCAAACGGCCGTTTATTCGTAGGTAAAAAAAAAAAAAAAAAAAAACCCAGGCAGAGATGCAGACATGAGGAAAGCGACATGATTAAGAGCCACATACAACTGCTTTAAGTCTGTTTAGACACAGTTAGGCTGTCATGCAGTGCAGCTGATGATGCACAGAGTAGGTAGAAGCTGTTTTTTATGTTATGTTATTGTTTATGTTGCCATCACCATAGCAACGGATCAACAGATGATCACTATCATGAAACCTCACTATCCTCACCATCAGCGTCACGGTCATCAAAGTCATCTTTAGCACCAAACTACCAAGTCCCGAGTCGTGGCGTCTAAAGATGGCTCAAAAGGAGAAAGGGACTGTGTGGCGCCGATTTGATTTGGTAATTTATTCTACCACTAGAGACTTTAGACGAGTAGGGCTGTGCTTAAGTGTGTAGGTTTTCTCAAAAGAGCTGGGTCTTATCGATCTAATAGAGTTTAGTGACTCATTCCACCACTGAGAGGAGAACAGAAGAAAAGAGTCTGGTTAGCAGGAGAACAACCGTTATTATCCATACAGTGACAAGAAAACCCGATCATTAAGAGAGGTTTTGTTGTACTTCTTCTCAGATTGTGGCCGTTCGCATAAATAAAGTGATTTCAGCTGCAAGCAGGATGACTAAAATTAAAAATACCAACACCGACTTTTCACTTATCTACCTTGAAATCTTCACAGGTTTTAAGTGCTGACTTTAAACTTCAGGTTTCACACTTTTTAAATAGCATTCACATTAAACCCTGATATCGTGCTTCACCAGGAAACCACAGGCAACCCTGCCGCTCTTTAGCTGATGCATCACAGAGCTGGCACTCGCAGTTTGGGATCGGTGAAGTTGTGTGCAGACTAAAAGCAAAAGACTATATCTGCGTGGTGTGACTTGCACGAGTTAAAGCGTGGGATGATATGATGTGTGTTCAAACCAAATGCAAGACTGAGAAACCTGATCGTCTTTTGGCTTTAATTTGTAGTGAAAAACTTTGAAATATAAAAAGGCATGTTTTTTTCTTCCTCATTTCGATGTAATTTTATTCCTCGACAAGTGTAGCTTACTTTAAGTCAGACCACTCCTCAAAATGGCTCCTTCTGATTCGGTTATTGGTATTATGCAGTCTGTCTTATGATGTGTTTATGGGTGATATTTCAGCTCACCTGCAGGGACGATGACCCTCTTCTCCTCTGTGGTGCTGCTGGGTGGGGTGGTGGTCTGGGGGCTGACTCGAGGCTCTGAGTAAGAGGTCTGGTATGGCATCGGGGCTCCGTCGTTGCTCATGTGTCTAGAGCGTTTGGTGACGCTGCAGTCCACAGGGGACGCACGGCTATGACAGACAGAGCAGAGTACATGTCTCATTCAGTGTCTTTACACTTCTCTACAGTCCAGCAGTTTAGGGGAATAATTCAATACAAGAATTTCACTTTTTTGAGATTATCTTTCGCTCTATACAGATCTACCTCCTGTGATTCCAGCGGACACTGTTAGATTGATAATCCATCCAGATGGAGCTAGTTTCAACAGCTGTAGTAACCCACAGTCCTGCCCTTCTTATCGGTTATCAGGCCAACAGTGATGAACTTGAAGTGAATTGTTTTGAAGTAGTTTGGTTTAATATTTTTATTCTTTTTTTCTTCATTCGGAAATTCTTCCTTTTTTGTTTTTGTTACTTTCATCTGGGAAAAAAAGATTTTTGACTTTATCTGTTGCTAAAATAGACATTTTTTAGGGATTATTGATGACCAGCCAGATGTGACTCACTTGACTTCAGAGTTAATTATTGATTATGTGTTTTTCATACTTCATCAAACCCCTCACCATTTTTTTCACAAAGACTCGCAGGCTGTCAAAAGCTTTCTAGCACCTCTGTGAGAGGTGTTATATTTTCTTACACCTTCATGTTCCTTTTTTTAAAGTGATGCATGAAAATGGCCAAAACTGTTTGCAGAGAAGCCACTTTATGGAAACTAAAATAGATGAAAAAGTACCTTTTGTTGATTGAGCTTTCATTAGTCAAACCGGAAAACACATTTTTTTACAAAATGTCATAAAATTTTTTAAATGTTGAGGCTCATTGTCAAAATGTAGAGAGTTTATCTGCGTTATAACTGTTGGGGTGAAAAAATCAGAAGTTTTCACTGACATTATTCAGTTATACTATTTGTATTAGGGTGCACCTACCCAACCAAAAGCTCATAGATTAGAAAAAATCAAGTAAAGTACTTGTATTTTTCAAAGAGAGTTTGTTAATTTTTCTTAATTTTATTTCTAGCTCTGACATTATTTATTTCATCATGACATCAAAACCTCCATTATGATCTCAGGACTCAAACATTTTCACAGTTAATTGTTGAAACATCAAAAAACAAAAGGATGCATTTGATAAGTGAACGGTAAACAGTTTTAGGACTTGGAAATTCCCCGACTTCTGACCTGGATTGTGAGGAAAGTCTGTTCAAATAATCCGGGAACCTGCGCTCCCTCGTGCCTCATTCAGTCCTGACTCACCTGGTCCCATTGACGTGTTCGCCTCTTTTCCCAGAGTTCTGCGTCCCCGATCCCACCCACTCGGACTCGGCAGGTTCAGGACTCTGTTTTGACGTCTGGCTGAAACCGCCTGGTGACGTCATCTCAGTCTTCATGTGCATGGTCGGGGCTGCGGTGTACGGCGGTTCAAATATGGGCTGATCCTCACTCACCACGGACAGCGCTTCCTGTCCAACACAGTCACAGCGGTCAGTGTTGGCTATTTTTCTGGCTGTTTTCTCTCAGACTGAAGATGCCACAGCAAACACGAACAAAGAGCTTAACTTAAAAGATGATAAAAACTTTTGGGGCAAGACCTTAAACAGAATCAGATCTCCATTTTTCCAGAGAGTTCAGAGGAAAATTATAGTAAATTTTGTTCTTGTAGATTATCAAAATCAACCACCATATTTTTCACACAATCTATTTGGAGAAAGTTGTGTCTATTTATCACATCCAGTAAAAATAGTGTTTGCAACAAGAAAAAAAGAGAGTGACAACATGATTTATCCCAATAACTTTTAAGATAATCCTCCAAACATAAAAACTTGATCCTAAATTGGCCTTGGACGCGATCATAATCACAAAATAAGATAAAACTCCCTTTTATTTGAAGGAGTGATTGTTTGATCCACTGATCAGGAGTGTGTCCAAAGGGCTCGTCAGGGGTGGCAAAAATTTCAAAGGCAGCCCTAAAATCCTAATTATGGATGTTTTGGGACATTGTTGCGACTAGATGCTTGTTGCTTTCTGTGCATTATCTCTGTCTGTAGCACAAATAGACAAGTAGCGTGTAGGAGAACGTTTGCAATTTTACAGCACGCTGCTTTTGAGTTGTGGCTCTGGGAAAACTTGATTAAGAGTCATAAAAGAATTAACGTCGAGATTTTTACAGCGGTCATCCTGTAGTGTTTCTTTCCAAAGTTAGAAATGTGTGTTAGGGATGTCCTGTGGAAGCTAATTTCCTCGTTTGAACTAAAATATGTATTTAGAAAATACTTCAAACAGTCAGACGACCACAGTTTCACACAAAACACAAATGACAGAGTCTGAATAAACCATATTATATATATTATTTATCACCAGGTGGGTTAACAGCCATCAGGTGATAAAATGCCAGGTTATCCAGATAAACCTTTAAACTCTATTTTCTAGCTCTAAATACTGCCAATTCACATCAGGCAACAAGATGTCATCTATTATCTGTCTACTTCTGAGTAGAGCATTGTCACATCATGGTAGTAGCTTTGGCTAGTGGCTTGTGGCTGTTAGAGATGCACCGATCCTTTTTTTTTTCGACCAAATCCGATACCGATAACTGGGCTGAGCGTATCGGCCGATATCCGATACGATCCAATACTACTGTTGAATGGATGAACTGTATACCTTGCTCTGTGAGTGAAGGCGTCAGGCTTGACATTAGCCTTGTTAAAAAAAGGTAACAAATTAACACCGATATAAATTTACTTTATTATTTATTAACAAATAACAAATAGTACACAGCAAAAGAAGTAAGACTTCCGTGTATTAAAAGAAAAAAAAAACTGGATCGGAACACTGGATAGGTGTCTTTCATCCGATATCCAATCCAGTTAATTCGTCAATATTGGAGCCAAATATTGGATCAGTGCATCCCCAGTGCCAACAATTATTTATGAGAATATTAGTAAACTGTTTTACCAACTTTGAATTCTGGCGCTAACTAGCTTGGATGACGACATTTTGATTGTTTCATGGTCAGCTAAACAAACACATCCCTTATATATGTTGACAAAAACATAACTGTATAATGGGTGGATGTAAGAAATCAAAGTAGATTTAATTAGTAGAAACAGAGAGGGTAAATTAATGCTTTTTATTAGTGCATGCACATGTACTTAGTGCAACCTCTGCATTCGGCCACCCCAGTTGAAAAAGTCTAGATACGCCCCTGCCACCTACATCTTTTTGCACTATTTTGAAATGCAGCAAGTTGCACTTAAGCAGAGGTGTGCTACGTTTTGATGGCTGCGACTATTTTGCATGACTTGATCTTCAAAATTCACCTAGATTTGTCAAGATGTAAATCAGCTCCACTAGTTTTTTTTCCCCCCTCTGCTTATTGCCACAAACGATACCTATCAGGCAGTGTAAAGTTCAGTGGTGTTGATCGAAACTTTGTGTTAGCTCTGTCTTAACTAGCAGAGATAAGTTTATTCAAATCACTCAAAAACTATACAAGAGTAAGGGTTAAACTGTGTGAAGGCGTTCATGAGTCTGTGTTATCTTAGAGAACATCAGCCACCGTAACCACACTTTAATTTTGTCGTTATGATTGGGGTTGTGAGGGTGGGGGTGTCAGCTCAAGATGGAGCCCAATCAATGTTTAGTCTGTCTTCCTGTGTTCATTCTACAGCGAGGCCTTAAACCAGCCCAAGATGGCATCTCAATCTGCACTCATGAGGGCAAAAACAGCAGACCTGTTGTTCTATCCGCTGCTCAAATTAAGTGTGTATGTGTGAGAGAGATCGCAGCAGTTTGAGTGTTTGTTTAGAGGAGTTGAGCATTGTCTTTGGGCCTTGTACGTCACTAGCGTGCTTTTTCAGTGGCCTACAGGAAACCTGGCCGCCATGTGCGGAGGAACCTTTTGGCACAGGCCAAGGGAGAGGAAATGGTGATGAGAAGGGGGGCACAGTGTAAAAATGTGGGTCATTTTAAAGCTTGAAAACAAGCCTGTAGTCTGGGGAGGAGGGTTGGGTTCACTGGACAGGGAGAGGAGTGAAGCCCTGATTGAAGTGCCGCCTCCACATTGTGTTTTTGGTGGCTGTGTGTGTGTTTTTTTTTAGCTCAATTGTTGTCCGAGGATTGTAAACCACATCTTAATGCATGGCACACAGTTTGGCATTTCCTCCAGACTGCAGGCTAACTTGGACAGAAGTCAGCAGTTTGGATGATTTTAACAACCTGCTGCCTCTGCTTGTGGTGTGTCTGATACGCCCTTCATTAGATAAAACTGAAACAAAAAGTCTATTACCCTGCGATGTAAAATAATACTTGTATTTTTGATAATTTGTTAAACTCTTAGTGCAGGTTTTTTTTTAGGAAAAAAAGTCACCTTCACTCTTCTGTGAAAGTAAACTGAACATTGTTGGGGTGGGGCTTAACAAGACATTATTAGGATGCCATCGTGTGCTGAAGGAAGCGCTGATTAACAACAACGAGTAATCAGCTCAGATTAATGAAAACTGAAAGTCTAAATACTAAATGCTAAAAATTTAATTTTAATGTTTAATTGGAGAAAATAATCACTTTTTCAGGTTCAGTGTGGAAATGGGAATATTCAGCCATATCTTGTGATTAGATTGAACCACTCCCATGCTAACCCTTCCTGTTGATGAACACGGCGGTGGCCGTCAAGGACATAAAGCTCCTGAGATGCACGATAAGTTTGATCCTCAATTTGCCAGGATTTTTGCATTCAAAAAGATCCATTGAAACAATTTATTTTGCTCTCAGCACTTCTCATCTTCATCTTCCAGCTAGTGGAATTTGCATGGCCATTTGTTCTACTTAATGCTGTTAATAACTATGCACTGTACTGTTAATTCATTATCAGGACAAAACGGCAAAAAAGATAAATGTGTGAATTCACCACTTGGGCTTCGATATCACAGATAGAGTCATTGCAGCAAATCCAAACTTTTTTACTTTTATTATTGAAACACAGGCACTGTACTCCACATAACATACTGCCTACCATCTCTGGTGTGTTGATCTTAAAGTAGCTTAATTCAACTAAATACAAAGGTTTATACAACAAGGTCTGGCAGGTCTGCGCCTGCTGCTCAGATTTTTTGAAATGATTAAAGTGGTTGTTTTACGCTCTGACTGAAATCACTGAAGGCTGTTCGTCTTTGCTCTGTGCTCTCAGGTACGATACAGAATTAATGCCACATTCAAGCTCATCTCACTTCATCTCTAATTCTTACAACTGTACTACGATTTTTGTAATTATATGACTTCTAAACATTTGATTTTATTATGGTTTTGTTCTTGTGAGAAAATGATTTAAAAAAAATGTAAATCTATTAAAATAGTAATTCTAAATCTTGGAAAGAAAAATCTAAATCTTTGAAATGTTTTTATTTCTTGTGGCCCTAATGCTCGATCATACCCGGAATCATGAAGAATAGCTCTTTTAACTTCTGTTGTGATCTTTAATTCACACTTGAACTTTTAAAATTTAAAGATAAAAATATTCTCTTCATATCCAAGTTTGCATGCTAGCCTAGATGCATAAAATCTGTGTGTTTGGGCAGATATTTAGATTGATTTTCAGGCCTCTAAAGGATCCCCTCCGCTTCCTTTGAGCACACTCTTTTGTTTTTCTTCAGCTGATTTGCGTTTTGTCACTTCTGTTATGTCGTCCTCTTTCCCCCAGTCTTCCTCTCACATGCACGGTGCCATCAGAGGCCTTTTTTTTCTCTGTGCAGAAGTGAAACAAGTGGCTGTGAGCCGCCTGTTTTACTCTTCTCTCATGAGCCTAATCACAGTGAGTATTTTTGCTCGGTGCTTAAAGTTGATTTTAAATGTTTTCAGCAGGTCAACACTTTGAACTGTTGGTATCGTGACCTGCAGCCTGCGTTCATCACACTCATATTTCAGCACAGAACATCTAGTGACAAGCTCATGTTTTCACAACCGCAAACACGCACTCCCGCTTTTTCTTCATCTTCCTCTCTCTCTCTCTTTCTCTCTCTCTCTCTCTCTCTCTCTCCTCCTCTGCACACTGATACAAATAAACTCAAATGTGGCCTGACCGCTAATGCCACAACTGACTTCCTGTTCAATGTGTTTCTCAGTGACACAAAACAACACTTAAAAAAACATGACCTTCTCCAGGCTGGTGCTACCTTGTGCCTCGATGTTCTCAAAACTTACTTTGGTTTGACTTGATTTTCAGAGAAAACACACCTCTTTTCTCTGTGTCTCTCTGAGAGGGCACAAACATGAAGTCCTGTATGGAAAGTTTTTTGACTCGGCTTCATGTCAGCAGCTTTTGCAGGTTGCATCATTCGGTCTAACCCCAAACCAAGAACTCAGAGAGTGATCACAGACCGCTTACAACATGGACTTTTATACTTGTGTTTTATTCTAATGACATTTTAACTGTTAACGTCAGAAAATACAAAACCTCAGTGCAAACAGCATGTTCTCTACCTTTTTAAAGTATTATTCTTATACTGCCTGAAAGATATCAATTTAATCAGTGATCATGTTTTGATTGATTTTTTAATGTGAAGTACATTGAAATCATTAAGATAAAGATGTTGTAGGAAAAAAAAGAACTTGTCTCCTGCTGTAAGATGGAACAAAGAAAACACCTGTGTCTGCAGAACTGCAACCTACAGTTATTTTCACTATGACTGAATCTACCACCTCATTTTACGATAATCACTTAACCTGTAAAATGGCAAAATGTCATGAAAAGGCTTATTATAATTTTTAAGAGACCAGAGTGACGACAGCTTATTACCAGACAGCTCTCCAAACCCAAAACACTCATTTTAAAAGTGCAAAATCTTTACATTTAATAAGCTGATCACTAAAACAAATAAATGAAATAACTTCATGAATAGCTTCTTTCTGGTTGTGGTTGCTTGCCTTGAATCCAGCAAGGGATCAACATCTGGGGACAAGGCTTTAACCTAGGATTATTTTTGTCTCGACATTTTCATGACAATAATTTCACCCTTTCTTCAAGAGTTTGAACAAATTCAGGAAAACATGACAATCTGGACCAACATTGTTGAGACTCACAGACTGATGTAACCTGAATGACTGTTGCAGGTCAGACCTGCCTATGCCTGCTCACTTACCATTTAATATGTGACTTTTGGCTGAATGATGACTAAATGATAAAAAAAATAGTGTTGCCCCGTGTTTGAGCAGTCATTAAAAATTGTTCACTACAACATTTAACATCAACTTCTTTTAGACTTAAGGAGCGTTGGTAATCAAATTTTGACTCGAACCAGACTGGTCAAAAGTAGCCCAAAAGCATTTCTCCCCTCTTTTCCTTTTTTTTAAATTTTATTTTTGACATGAAATCTTCTCTTTTAATGTCTTGTGAATTAGAAGACACCTTCACTTGTTTGGGCCTGTAAAAGCATTCAAAGAAAACATGAGGTGATGTTGCAACCTGTGGGGTTTCTGTACTGTGTAAAAGGGGTCACTGGCTAAAAGAGCTTTGGAGTAACTGCAATAAAGAAGAACCGCGGATGTGGTAAACTACAACTTTGATGCTTGCACCAGTTATTAGATGCATATCTGAAGCCTGTTCCATTTCAGGGCACTTAAGACATACACTTTGTTAAGCTTGTGTTGACATTGCAGTACAATAATCACATAGTGTGTTATTTGCATTACGTTCACTCAGTTTTGTTTTAAAGTGAACTAAAGAAGAGATTTTGAAGTTTAAGGACAGAACAGCTTCATTTTCACCGAGTTTATAAGGAAGTCTTTGAAAAATAAAGTACATGGTAAGTTTGGATGGTTTCATCTTACTTGACTATAAATACTTCAATCTGCATGTCTCATATCTGGGCTAAGGGAGGCTATTCTGCTCTAAAAACACACAGCACTCACACGAAAGAAGGTGTAGCCCACAGTATCAGGCCAGAGATCGAGTTGTGCAAAGACTCTGTGCTCTCGCCATGTCTGAGGCAAGTGTCAGAAAGCAGAAGTAAAAGTTAAGCTGATTTTGCAAAGGGCCTGAGCAGCTGCACTTTCTGCCTTCACAAACATCGATGCGGTTTTTCACAGCTCGCGGCTCCCTGTGGCAGCGCGAGGGCCTCTGCAGGGCCGCGCGCGCCCAGCTACCCACAATGCGACGTCGGAATGACATTTATTTAACGTATTTTTTCGACGATGAGGTACAAATGTGGATGTCATTTCAACGTATAAAAGAGGTCCAATAATGACGTCTAAATCTTTGATCCATTTTGCATGTTTTGACGTCTAGATTTGGTCTTCAGATGACGTCCAAATTCTAAACGTCAGAGCGACGTCTAAAAAAGTCCAATTCGAACGTCTAAATTTCTAACCCATTGTGACGTCTAGATGTGGTCTTTGACGGACCGACCCAATACTGACTTAATCTGCACGTCTCCTCGACGTCCGATGTTTGGTGGGTAGGCCCGGGACACTCAGGGTGTATCAACAATAAAAGCGCTCAGTTTGTCCACTCTAGCTCTTTCTGGAGGGGCTTTGTTGCTTTTTCGACTTTTTTTTTTTTTTTTTTTTTTTCGAGTCGGGGAGCGGAAATTTGTGCGGAAAGTCTGAGGTCTGAGACAGGAAGCCTGCAGAGTTCAGATAACGACACCTGACAAGTGCTGCTCCCGTTTGCAGCTATAAATTAGACTTAAAATAACCTCAAACACACAATCTGCTGCCACACAGTATGAGCGAATAGTTAGCTGAATTATAATGTTTTTTATCGGTGTCGACTTAATGTAAGAGCACTAAAAGAGCTAACACATGAACAAAGAATATGCATATTTGACTGTGTTAATTTAAGTTTCAGGATGTTGCATTTTTTATGCATTGGCCCTTTAATTACTCACATCCAAAATGCGTCAACGTGTGCATGAATATTTTCTAAGAGACGAAACAAGCGAAAAATAATCTTTATCAGCTGAAGTCGTATTGTTTTGCATGATCGACTTTCTTATTACAAAAACAATTGAGACATTTATAATCCATTATTATAATGCTCTAAAGTTTGACGGGTTTCAGTGCCATCTTATCACAAAAGCTCCACAGGCCAATGTTACAAACATGCAAAAATAAGGCTTTATACTGTATATATGTCGCCCAATTCAGACACTATGATAAGTTAGATTTCTCTTGTTTGTATAAATGAGTGTCACTTTTCTAAGAAAGTCACTTTTAATTTTAATCCTGACATAAAGGCCTTTTCTTTTGAGTTCTTTTAAAAAAGTTAAACGAGAGAAACAGATGTAAATGTAAAAGTATGAAATGTAAAATACCGGTTATGATGGGAATGGATCCTCCTGCTGTTTAAAATCAGGCTCAAACTGTCCAAGTGGATCCATGGCGCCTTCAGGGACACCTGCCGTGAACGCACCAATAAAGTCTCGCATCCCCTCATAATTTTTTCCCCCTCAGATGTTTGGTAATGTTCGTTGACTAAACTCTTAACTGCGTCGTTTTCTTGTTGTTTGCGGTTCTTGGTTGTTAATTTTCTAAAGAATTTCTTCGATCAAAAACAGCAATTTTGTAAATTAAAAAAAAAAACAACGAAGCGCGCGCGTTTGGAAATCCTCTCTGGCTCGTGCAACCGGCCACCAATTAGTGTTTTTATCTGAGTGTAAAGATGTAGCGGTTAGTTGTGTTATTATAGAGCCGACATACAACCACGAACGGGAAGGAAGAGGAAATTTTGTACAAGAAGGAAAGAGTGGGGAGCTCGCATCACCGCCTCGACTCTCTCACTCAGCAGCAGTAGTTTGTGTTGTTGGTGTGGGTGGCTGCCTGTCGTTTCATTTTTCCCCTCTCAGGTAGCAGCATTAAAAACGGTTCAAACACCTACCTTTATCGTACAGTCCATTGCAGCAGCCTCGCACTCTTTGTCATTGAGTCGTTTTTGGTAAATGTTGCAGCTAATTGAGCCTTCAAACCTCACTTCAATGCATGCAGGGGCGCATCAGCTCTATGGCGCAAACCATTGCAGTTACAATTTTTTTTGCTCTCAGACCATAACCGGATGGCAAGTTTTTTTCCCCTCTCTCTCGCTCTCTCTCTCTCTCTTGCTCGCTCTCTCTCTCTCGCTCTCTAAATTGGGAAGTGAAGTCACCCTGTAAGCACTGAAACGGTTTCTCATGAAACCGACACTTTCTGCCTTACTGCTCAGAAGAAAAAACAGAAGAGCTCACATGTAGATGAGGGTTTTAATCAAACCAGAAAACATAAACACTGGATCTGATCAAATGTGTCATTTTTCAGAAAGAGTTTACTAGTATTTCTTAATAACCTATGAAGAAGGAAATGTTACTGCCTTGGCTTTAGGAACATATTTCACACCATCATACACAACCAAAATTAATTACCTTGGTTCAATAGCACCTCAACATTGTAGGCCTTATTTAACCCAAGAACACTATCACTAAAACTAGTTACACCATCACTTTCTCTAGGTGATTTTTACCCAAAATAATATACCCAAGAAAAAGTACTTGTCATCAAAATATATCAAAATAGGACAATACATGAATTTTTAACTGTGCAGTGTCCAAAGGGAGGGGGAAAATGCAATGAGGGGACCATTTCAAAATGCAACAAAATACCTGAAATTAGGCATTCATGAACAAAAAAAACCTATATATATATATATATATATATATATATATATATACACACACATAGAAATTGTATATTTAGTTTGTTTCCCACCCATTCCCAGGGCATGTGAGTCTTCCCATGTGAAGACTCGGGGTCCTTGGCATATATTGAGCATATTTTGAGTGATTATAAATGACCAGCTAAAGTATTTCTTGTCACCATATGACTTTCTTTTAAGAAAAAACACAACTTTGTGATAATTATTCATAACCACTGCGCTTAATAAAGATAGCATGCAAATTCCAGGACCACTTTAACTGACCTTATTCGCTGACATGCAGCTATCAAATCCACCCAAACCTACTTTACCCTCTATCACTATTGCTGGGTGAAAATCACCTGAACACGTGCCTGTAGGAAAAAGCAGGTTTTGGATCAGGGAAACAAATCTGCCTTCAAAGATGTCGAAGGCAATGCGGAAGCTACCCAGGGACCCATTATACTCAGACAAATGCAACATCATGTAAATCACATAAACATGTTTGCTCAGGTGAAAATCACCCGGCGATAGTGTTCTAGGGTTAAACCAACTGACAAATATACAGTCCTCATGTAATGCAAGATTACAACATTTGTTATTGAATTTATTAAGGTAGCTGTGAATGATATGATGGAAAATGTTAAAAATGTCATTTAAGGGGTGATTTATACCCTGCATTTACTTGAATCAGCGCATTGAGAACACATCAAATATATAAAGCAAAAAATGTTGTTTTATGAGAACTCTATGTTAAAATTTAAATTTTGATGCCACCATCAAAAACACCAGGATGCAGGTTAATTTGCATCAGGTTTGCAACATGACTGTAAAAAAACGGCAGCTCAAGGAGGCTGTGTCCCTCAGAAGTAAAGATGGAAAGAGGTTCACTCTGTAGCAGACTGTGTGAGCAAATAGTTCAACAATTTGGTGTAAAATTTAAAGGGAAAAAAAGTGATTTCATTATCTATAGTGTATGATACCACAGGCGAAGTGTCTACAAAAGACAAGGACAAAAATCTGTACTGGAAGGCCACTAACTCGAGGCCCTCTGGCGCCGCTGTGTTGAAAGCAGACATGACTCTGCAGTGGGAGTAACTACATGAGTGGAAAATCCCTTTAATTATAAGAATCACTACATGTAGAGCACCCAGAGAAGTAATTAAAAACTGCACCCTGTAGAGACCCAGTGTTATAAGTATCTACTCATAAAAATTTTCAATCATTTGTGGGTGTGTGCGAGTTGATGCGTATGTAACTGATTTCATTTAAAAGGCCTATAGTTTTGTCTCATTCCACCACCAACTTTGTTGAATTTCACCTAAATCATGTTGTTACAGATTTATTTGTACCAGAAGGTAGTCTGTTATTTTCCAGAGAAATCATGAAGTTTAGTTGTGTTTAACCTTTTTATTTGCACTATTTGTTGGAGACAAAATCAGCAGAGGTAAGATAAGATTTTCTCTTTTTCTTATTTCCTCGCAGGTTTGAACATTGCCCATGTATAATAAAACAAAACAGCTTCTTAATTATTGTTTAACAAACTATGTTTATTTTAACATGTGGCACGCTATCACCCAACACATTAATTTTCATTTAATGAATTTTAACTCCATTATGTCAGCTAGTTTTTATCCATAAATGTTCAAATAGGTCTCATCTGTAGATGGATGCGTGTATTTTTTATGCATACATTCATGTTTTGGGGCATGTCTAAGTTGTCCACCTGTCAACACTACCCTTTATTTGTTTTTGGCACACTGAGAGTAAAACCAGAGCTCCTAATAAAGGTAAATCTTTCTGTCTGTGCTTGTGAACCCACGTGGTTCATGATAGTTCACAGCAGACCGTCGTTAATCACCCCATGTTGTGTAACATTATCCCGATTGTGTCCTTGTCTTGAGGTGGGGTTCCCAATCACGACTCCCGTCTCCCACGGACGCGCACGATTTCACCCAGCTTCACTTTTCCAGATGCAGTTAGTCCTCAGAGAGAGTGTGTTTGTGTGTGTGTGAGTCGGAGGAGAATAGCAGAGATGTTTGTTTATACAAGGCCCTGGGCTCGGCCTTATCTGCTCCAGCCACTCACGCCGTGATTTCAAACTTTCTTCAGCAAGCACTTGTGTGTGTCTTAGTGTGCGTGTGTGTGTGTTTTACGGGCTATTGTTTTGTCGAATGGTCTCTAAAGATACTGAGATTTTTTTTTCTTCCTCCCACCTCATTAGAAGCTGACTGCTGTAACTTAAAAAAAAGAGAAAAAGCTTAACTTCATCTACACCAGGACCCCACCCGAGTCTGGGGTTGGTTATTAAGTCCCGCCTGTCACACAGTCAGCTTTGATTAAACTCGTGAGGGAATAAAACTATCCTAATTTATGTGTTATGGCTCATTTAGTAAAATCGCTATCCACTCAACATTGCTCGTGTTAAACAGTCTTATTTTATCAGACCAAGTGTTCGACGACTGCTTAAAGGGAATGACTTAGAAATCAATTTATCCCCATCGTTTTTAAATCGTTAATAATTAAGTTTACGCATCGATTAATAAATGATTACCATTTAAGGTTATCTGAATTGACATGGTGTTAGGCCTGTAGTTATATGGCAGTGGGAGCATAGACTCTGACATCAAGTCATCTTCATCGTTTACTTTTTTAGTCGATTATTCGAGTTTATACTCCTACGCGCTTGTGAAAAGGTAATCCGAATTGACACGATGGTATAGTTTTATTTCAGTGGAGTTAACACGCTGAATGTCAAGATTGATTTCCTTTTTCTTATGAAGATACACTTATTATTGAGATACATCCCTGTGGCATGTGTTGGTATTTAGATAAGTAGGCTTCTCTATGTTATTGATAACGTATGAAACAGCCTACAAATTTTTAAAACACTGATAAGTTTCTGAAATGTTATAACCCTATAACAGAGTAATAGTGTAGGCCTGCTGGCGTTTTTATTGGACTTGTTTTGACGGACAGTAGCTTAAAGTTTTGTGTGAAGTGTAGAAATGATGATCTGCCGGTGGTTGTGGTAGCAATTAAGCCTTAAAACCACGTTTTTACCCAATTTTATGGCTACCCTTTGTGTTTTAGAGCTCTTTTCAGCTACTCTGAAGTTATTCTTGAGTCAGAATACTTCTAAATGACTTAGTACTACTTTTACTCCGTTTTTCTATCTCTACTTTTACTTGTCAAACGAAACTACACACTTCTTTCTCCGATCTTGTCGTGATATTTACCGCTGAGTCTGTCATGAATGACTGTTACCATGGGAGGAGGGAGGGGAGCGTCTGACGTCACGCCGTTTTAAACAAACCTGGTCACGACGCAGCGCAGGGCACGCGCCCCTCCCACCTCCTCCGCCGTGTTTATAACGGGACCAATCCGGCCGGAGACTGACCACTGACCGCACTCTGTTATTTTGGGGGGTAAACACGGAGGATTTTTTGTCTCCTTCAGTGGAAAACAGCGTCAAATAAAGAGACGAGGGGTGAAAAGGAGATGTACTGGGACACTTTCACGAAAACAGGAGACAGAAACTTGGACAGCAAAGAATCGAAAATAAAGGTAGGTTTTTAGCTCAATTTGATTTTTTAATAGACTGCTTAATACAGGAAGTAGTGTCATTCATTCATGACATCCAGAGCATAGTATATCTCAAACGTTTTGTCCATCTTAATTTGAGTAAAATCACTTGACTAATTGTGTTTGTTTTCACTGAATACTCAAACTTTATTGAGATTTTTGTGACAGAAACATTATCTTTGATTGCTTAAAAGTTTGACTGGTTGGTTATTTTTTATCTCTGTCTTTATTTTTACCTCTGTCTTTGAATATTGATCAGCAATCAAAGTTGAAATAATAGAAGTTGTAACCAGGATGCTTTCAACACAGATGGAGGTCTGCCCCACTGGATATTACACTGAAGATTTCAGAACACAGGAAGTACCAGCTGGCTTTGACTTTGCATCATATGGTGAGTTTAGTGAATCACTTGACTATTGTTTGTCCATCACAACATCACAAGCTAAACATCATGACTTCTGACTGGTGCACGATTTCAGCAGCGCTCTTTTTTTTTTTTCTTTACTTCTGTGAGTGTTTGCACGATCGGTTTCCTCTGAACCAGAGCAGCTGAAGGACAGAGGAAATATTTGCGCAGACTGTATCATCACATCTGTCACAGCTTTCTCAATGAGACCTTGACACACGGGTTGGGGTGGCTCTTGCTCTAAGTCAGAGGCTGCGTCAGGATAATGGGGCTGCTGTGTATGTGTGTGTGAGAATAATGCTTGAATGGGCTGAGGTAGGCAAAGACAGAAAAAGGAGTGTCTTTAACCTGACCACCCTTTTCTGCCTGTCTTCCCTAATCCTTTCCTCCAGACTTCCTCCTCCAACAGATTTAGAGCCCCCCTCCTCCCTTCCCTCCCCATCCCTCCATCACTACTCTGTCACACTCCCTCCGCTGGTGTTTCCTCCCCTCTTCCTCTCCCTCCCTCCCTTGTTTCCTCCATCCATTGAGCTTAGATGCATGGGCTTGAGTGCCTGGTGCTGATTCGACAGTAAACAAATGGCTTTTTCTTGTGTCAACATACATAGTCAAGATAAAAGAAAACTAACAAATTCGAGTCATCTTTCCCCTTTTTTTGCTGAGCTACAAATTAACTTGATTTCTAAAGGACCATACCAACGATTTTTGCATTTGTACTTCACATTTAAGCAGTCATTGGTTTAAGTTTGTTTTTGCAACCACTTTAAGTTAATTTAAACCTTATTACTAAGTTATTTCAACACTTAAATTTAGCAATAAAAAGAGGCTGGTTTGAACTGAAATGCACCCAGTGATGGATTCAATATCTAAAGTTCAACATTCCAAAAGCAAAAAAAGAGCAATCATATGTTTAAGTGTTAAGAAAGACAAATTAGAGACACAAGTGGTTGATATATATTCCAATCCTGAACAAGATTATTTCATTGTACTGTGCTAAAAAGTTGTTGAGAAACAGCTGATTCTCATAATTTTAATGTCTGTTTTTTAGCACCAATGTTTGTATAAACTAAGAGTTTTCAAAGTTCCCCTATCTTAAAACATGCAGATGAGTGTTTATCAAAGCAAATGTAGAGTCTCTGGTGGTCAATGATTTTAAGCATAAGTATCCAGAAATTGTTGTGTTACTGTTTATTATGTTTTACGTCAGAAAGTAACACAATAGAGTCAGAAGAATCAAAAGATGATGTGTGAAGTCACATTATAAAGAAAACGCCAAAGAAAATAAATTTTTATGGTGGACATATAAAGTTACTTGGTTCATGGAGGCCATGGCCCTCCCAGACCACCACCCCTTAGATGTGTCCCTGCTTTCACACTGTCCTCATTTGAATTGGAAGTCAATAAAAAAACAGCATTAAAGAAATCATGAGTGCTATGGGACGAATGTTGAATATATCCATTAAAACAGAAGGTGTGGTCCTTTCCAATCACTTCATTTGCCTTTGTTCTGCCTTCATCATCATTTACTGACTCCATCTGTCTGTGCTTTCTTTAACCTCCAGACTACCCTGGTGAAGACCTGTCTTTTCTGTTAGACAGTAAAACACCTGGACAGCAGCAGTATGTTGCAGAAAGCAGCTACACTGAGCCACCAAAAGTTTCTCATCTGTATGACTCTAAAGGTAAACTTCAAATCCCCAAAGAACTTCATCACAAGGGTCAGTATGAGTAGCTGTTTTTTAATCTAAACAGACTGTTTCGCTCTTTTTTTTCCCCGCAGTGAGCGCTGGTGACACAGCCCTCTTCAACCTAGAGTCATATCAGGAGTGCAACTGGTGGGCCACATATCCTCATGGTGAGCCTTAATGGACACTACTACCTCATGATTCGCAAAAATTACCTTTTCTGTAGGATTCCCTTTTTTTCCTCTGCTAACCGTCTTTTCAATGATCAGATGGGCTGACAGTCGACCAGCCTCAAACTGGATATCAAGAGTCTCCTCAGACCTACCAGAGCTTGGTGCCACAAAATGGACAGTTTAGCCCAGCCATGGAAGGCGGCAGCAGCCCCTTTGTTGCTGCAAAAGGATCAAATACATTACAAAGTAAGACATTTCACCATCAGCATGCTAGTGATTTAAAAATGCAGTTCAAGGTCTAATTCCTGTTTTTCTTTTCAGGTGAGACAAACCAGAACTACTCATGTCATTCTGCTGAACTCTATGACTCAAATGTTCAGAGTCAGTCATCCTCATTCTGGCCTGAGTACTCCTCTCCCAGCTTTACTGCCCCCCTGCCTCACCCGCCTTCAAACCTCAGTCCTCAGTCATCAGAGCAGTACTGCCCCCGTGTGGTCAAACGCAAAAACTCACACTCACAGAGGCCAGACAGGGAGGGCCCCATGACGGGAATGTCAGCGTATCCAGGTCAGGATCTAGATATCGCCACACTGCCTTTTTAATGCTGTCTTGCCTTTGACTTTTCTAGAATAATTCATGTGAAGCGAAATTCAAAACATAACATCATTTTCCTTTGTCACCTGAATTCATCATGGTATGTATTTATTTATTCATCCATTCAGGCTCTGGTCCGATCCAGCTTTGGCAGTTTTTGCTCGAGTTGCTTCTGGACTCAGCTTGCCGGACCTTTATATCCTGGACAGGAGACGGCTGGGAGTTTAAGATGTCCGATCCCACAGAGGTGAGGCACATTTTTGTGTAGAGCAGCATACACAATTTAGAGTAAAATGTCCTTCTTTAATCCATCAGCGTAAATTAAACATGATTATCTTACTGAAAGTCGAAGTTTAGAATCAAATCAGCGATTTTGAGCCTAATTGGCTTAACAATATCGAGTAGTGTCTACTCACGGGGGGGCCCTGGTCAACCTTTAAATGTGAGGTGTTGGCAGTTGAACCAAAGAGATCTGGCTCTCCTCTTACCTGCAAAGCCTTGACAGTGTACAGGATGTACTGCATTTGAAGAACCTCAGCCTCTTATGTCTTATGTTTACATGTCTGTTATGGATGAAAAGACCATTAACAGTGCCTTCAAAGACTAACTTGACACCAGGCTGCAAAGCATTTTGTAAAAACACCATAAATGTTTTAGTGTTAAATGCAAATTCTTTTATTGAAAGTATTTGAGAGTGTCTATCTCTTTTTAGTGAATGTTTTTTATCAAGATTTTAGGAGTAACTCTTTCTTTTATCACAGGTGGCAAAGCGTTGGGGCCAGTGCAAAAACAAACCCAAGATGAACTACGAGAAGCTGAGTCGAGGTCTGCGTTACTACTATCACAAAAACATCATTCACAAGACGGCAGGCAAACGCTACGTCTACCGTTTTGTCTGTGACATGCAAAGCATGCTGGGAAAGTCAGCCCAGGAGGTCCTGACCAGTCTGAACGTTTTACCCTCAAACACTGAGTCCTGGCAGTGCTCTGGGGTACAGGCCGCAGCGATATCGGAGCACAGCAGCGACACGTGGGTGTCACAGTAAGGAATGGATGCCGGTACTCTTGCAGCCGCTTGCCGAGTGTGACCGTCACATTTCAGAGGACGACCACAGCCTAGCACTGCCTTCACTAGCTCTGCTCGTACTTAAGGATCAACAAAGAGGGATCAGAGCTGGTTTATTACTGTTGTATTTCAGGGAAAAGTAAGCAAAACTCATCAAGTCAGCTTTAGCAACTTTCTTTTGATGTAACACTAAGTGAGAAGCTCAGGTTTTCAAATTATATGGATGGTAAGGAGTCAGATAAATTTCTTCTTTATTGATTACAGGAAACAAAGACAGTAAATAGTTTAAACCCAAAGAGACCTAATTTGATACATTTACAACAGCTATCATAAGCAGTTAACACATAAAACTTTAACAGCATTTTAGCTTCTCGTCTTTGGTGAAAATGTTGCATTTATTTAAGTAGTCATCTAAATTGTGATTTAAGTCATTAAAAATACCTTTTCCATAGTTTATAGCTTGACTTCAGGGTAGTAAAACTCCAGCACAGGAACCAGCAGGAAGCATTTGAAGCACTATTAATTGTATGGTTTTTTTTTTTCTTTTTTACTGTTTATGGGGCTGTTACTTTGTTACTGTTACTCTTTTGTTCAAAAGGGAAATCATTTTGTAAATAGTGTTCATAAAGTGGTTTTGTAGAGTTTTGTGCATATATATTTTTTATACAAAACTCATGTCTACCTCTTTTGCCGTTGAGAATCACATGAACTGAGATGATTTTCAGAAATTCACTGTGAAGGTTTCAACATGTCTCCACATTATTATTTTTGTAAATAGAGTGTATATACAGATTTGTGTGAAGACTTTCACTCCATTCCTCTGGATTTTGCCTTTATATTAAAAGTTATAAAACACACTTCTGCACACTCTTCTCTGTTTGAAACTGTTTGATGGAACAGGCGAACAAAAGGTCACTTTGACATCAACATGCATATTGTGTAGTCAGATGAAGTGTTAGTGTAAAGTCAGTTTAAAGCAGTCTGTTTTCTCTCTTTTGTTTTAACCTTTGCCTTCATCATAATCTCTGTTGTCCCTGCCTTTGTCTCATTGGTGGCTCTTCTTTGACTTTGTGGTCCGTTTTGGCTGTCCTCTGGTAATTTGGATAAGGCCCTTGGTCACGCCACAGTATGTATTGGATGGCCTTCTCCATTCTGGACCCCTCGGTGCAGGTTGACTTCATGGTTCGGAGGTAGTCGACATAGCTTTGTACAAAGAGCAGAATACCGAGATGGTTTTAAATGTCTGCAGGTTAACCTGAACTAAGATTCCAAAGCACTTGCTTTCTACTGTACCTGATTTTGTCCTCGTCCTTAGACTCGTAGAGGTTCTTCAACAGTTCTTTTTTGTTCTTACCAAACCCAACAGGTGCTTCTCCTGCACATTTGAATTTGACTTCTTCCATGACCTTAGGGTAAGCCTCTGCATACTTGGTCAAAGAATCCTTCAGATGTAAAGAAGTTTTGATCATTCAAACAATTCCTGCAATTCTCATCACAGGGGCAATTTTGTTAACAGTTTCTCTACAAAAACATCCACTCCACATATCAAACTTTTGAAGTCACAAATGCGGTTTAAAGTGTTCACACACAGCCCACGGTGGGTGCAGGTGCAAGACAAAAAAAAAAAAAAAAAAAAAAATCGGCATTCAAAGGAGAATGTTTACTGCACATAGATTTGTAAGTTTCATTTTCGATATCTTTGCATAAGAGGTTGGGCTCATTCTTTCCTGAAAGACTCTATTACCAGAAAGAGGAAATCCTGAGATTGGTGAAACGTTTTGGCTTGGATGAGAAGACCTTTGAAATTGCAAATATCACATAAATGAAACTTTAGGAATTCACAAACAGTACCTTGTTGGCTGTCCATCGGCCCTGTTGTAGAGTTGACTCCTTCTCCATCCTGTGGCTAGCTACAATGTGGGCAGCGTCATTCTTCAGCAGCCATTTAAAGGTTTTACCTTTATACTTGCCAAATCTAAGCCTCTCTCTCCCGGGGTTCCCACCATCAGAGAAAACACAAGCCTTTTCTTCAGCCGTCAACTTCCTTTTCCGAGGACCTCCTTGTCCAGCAGCCTGTAGGGGATGGTGTGGTGCATGTTTCAGAGCCTCCTCTGGGGTCTTTAGGTTCAGCTCCCTGGTCAATCTCCTATGAAGGGTAGAGTCACCTTTCTATGTGAGAAGAATAGAACGAAAACAAACAATTCAAGTGAGCACCTTTCATAACACTTCCTAACGTTACTGTTAATATTTATATTACATTGTGAGGTTGCACTTACGCACACACAGGTGCTGGTCTTTGACTCTACAGAGGAAGAAAAGAGGGATGGTGAAAATTTTATAAAGATTCCAAAAATAATATTCAAGACCACTGAGCTGCTAAAGGAACTATCACTGCTTTAAACGGAATCTTGAGCTCTTGTGAAAGAAAAGGGACAATTTAATCTCTACCAAGTCTCTATCACCAAAAGATGACCAGTAAACATCACTGAGTAAACCTTCATGAACTGTGACTTCATTTTATTGATCACTACTTGGGTGAGCCCCAAAGTTAGCAACCAGGGCATGCCAATGAGTGAGCGAAAGAGAAAAAAATATTTGTGGTTAATTTTTCAGATGAGCAGAGAAGCTCACACTCTCCACTATCACTTGAATTTAGGAGCGATTTAAGGAGGGCTAAGCCTCTGAAATGTTCATGACATGGAGGCTTTTTTGTTTTTATCAGTGGTAAACCCTGGCACCGATCCACTCACTTACTCAAAACAATAAATACAGGTAACGCTCAAAAAAAATATGACTGCCCCCCGCTCCCCCAAAAAACGGTATCTGTAACTCGAATTTGTTGTTTTCTCACCCAGGGTCTTTGCCTCCTCGTTGCACTTGATCTGTCTCAGTAATTCCAGAGTTACCAGTAAAGCTTTTTCTTCCGTGAAATTTGAAACCAAGACGTCAGCGATCTGCCATGGTGTCTTTCCCTCCACAGCTCGATAGCTGACCCGCGGCTCTTCCCTTCGGTCCCTCAGCTGGGCACAAAATTTGTCAAAATCCTCCTTTTTCAGATCCTCCAGTGTCTCCACTATAGCACGTTTGATGGTAACAGGGGGCATTATTTTGATCGGTCAGTGTTTGATTTGCACACAAGGCGGAAAATGTAATGTAGCAGTGTAGGTAACTCTGGCGCCAGAATGAGCATTTTCGAAACAACTAATCAGGACATGTGATCTAGCATGATGGAAGAGCGCAATAATCTTAAAGGTATACCTTCCTCTGAGACCTGAAGATCCAAGAGGCCTAGCTGCTGTCATGGACTGTCGATGTGCTACGCTGTAGTGCCGAAATCTTGAGGACAGTTAACCTGCACTGATCTTACCTCTTTTAATGAATGTTTGTAGAATGGCTTCTGTCTGTCTTAGAGGTCTTTTTAGCTTGCTTTTATTGTGCTGGGACTTGTTTTATGCACTGCCGACACAGAACAGGTGTTTCGTGACGTCATCCTTCTTGTAACTGAAATAATAACAGATAAGTGACGTTGCTTTTCTTTTTGTCAACAAGTATTCATCTTCGGCGGTTTTCTTTTGTTCGTTTCTCATTTTGCAGTCGTTGATGTTGTGCCGAGAAATACATGCCCACCGAGGATTGCATGCACCTTGCACAAACGCGCACCGTTTATAGTCGAGTGGTCCACGGAAATGTACAATTTTAAACCCATACAATTCTCATTTGTACCATATGCAGGCCAGCAGGGGCGTGGACCCTCAGCTCAAACATCGTATTCCCCGGGTGAGCTACGCAATCCTTGTACGCTTATAGGCTGCATCAAGTGTCAATCATAGAAAACATGAACCCCCTAATAACTTTTAACTGAAAAAAAGTGGTCTCCTATGGTCAATTTACCCTGTGTATGGGGTAGGTTGACCATAGGAGCGGGGTAAGATGAGCCATATCCCTAGTACCCCCCCACTCTCCACCCCAGCCCTCCCTCACCTTCTCTCTCCCTAAATAACAGTCACTTCTTCACATTCATGTGTATTTTTTATTTATTATATGCTATTCAACTGGTACAATAATTCTCAGTATTATTATTTCATATAACTGCTAAAAAGCTGTTTTTAAAAAAAGTCATTTTAACATGAGAATGTCTTTAAGTGATTCAGAACATTCACAGCTGTATTTTAGAAAAGAAAAAGTCAAACATTTCAACAATCTGAACTGAAACTCTGATCCTCTCATCAGACTCCTTTACTTTCTCAGTTGAGTCACCGGCTCAACTTACCCCTGATCTACTATGATGACTTTATTAGTCCTCTAATCTAAAATGGTGGACTTTTATGCTAGGTTTTTGACCTCATGTTGTAGCTCATAGGTACCACAATTGATGTGTAAAACAAATTTAAAATGATCTTTTTTGGTCTGAACACAATTCTGGTAAAACTTATAACAGACTAAATTCACTTTCAAGGGTGAAAAATGTTTTTGTTTTTGGAAATACATGTCTAACCCCTTCACCCATGCGGTTCTAACCTTCACAGACTCCGTGAATTGATGCCCATCTCCTAAACATTTGGTCACACGATCAATTTCTTTTGCCATTTCCATCAAAAATGGAAGACCATGTTCCTACCTAACCCTACAGGATTGCTTTTATATTTTTAAAATAAATTAATTTTAATCTACCATCACCGTTAAAGCCAGCTAATAAATACCATCTACAGAACTGATAAAGGAATTTTCAACTGCACATGAAGGCACCAATATTTACTTTTCATCCTGAACGCCACGCCAGCTTTTTTTTTTTTTTTTTTTTAAGTAAAAGGGAGTTCCGCGTGTCTGCCTCGGTGAGCTGGCCCGGAGAGAAAGCACATTTAACCATAGTTACGGAATTGTGTGATCTCTTAGGAAATGCCCCCCAAAACTATCAGAAGCGCTTTAGCGGAAATGCTGGAGGACCTGACAAAAGAGAATTTTGACAAGTTCTGCCACCGGCTGCTGGATCACAAAGAGGTTAAACGACGGCAGGTGGAGGGGAAAAGCTACCTAGACATCGCAGATCTCCTGGACTCCGCTTTTACCGAGGCCAGATCTCATCTAGTGGCCGTGGAGCTGTTGAAAGAAATCAACTGTGGCAAGGAGGCTGCCGAACTTGGTAAGTGTTTTTAAGAGTTTAGATACTTCAGGAGGGGCAGACAGAGAAGAAAGGCTAGAATTTCGGTCTGTGAATAAAAAAAACCCTCTTCTATCTGTTCAGATCGGAAAACATAGCGACAAAGAAGACGATTGACACAAAAATGTGTTTTTGTACGTGAGAAATCTGTTATGTAGTAAGTTATAAGTAGGTCTCTCGTCGTTCAAAGAGCCCGCTTTTCCCCGGATTTTACTTTCGCTTTCGCTGAGTGGTGTCCATACCTGCCAACACTTCCGTTTTCCCCGGGACTGTCCAGTATCTCAGACCTATCTCCCGCCCAACTCCAGTATTGTCATTTCTCCCGGGAATCTCCCGTAGTTTGATGGTCCACGTTCATTCATGAATCGGATCGTTATATCTGTCCTAAGTTTCCAGACAACCGAAGATAGCCCCGTGTTTCTGCTGAGCCTCACAGACACTGGATTAACACTTTTACTTAACAATTTGGAATGATTCAGGTCGGTTTAAGCTGTAAACTATATTTAAGCAGTGTTTGTTGCAAAATGAACACTTTGATGAGAGGGAAACAAATGTGAGATACAGTATTTACGTTGATAGTCTTTCCCCGTCTCGGAGTGATGCGTTCAGGGCAGCCTCAGATAAAAGACTGCTGTATTGCATGCACAGCTGTTCAGGGAGCCTCGTACGGGAGAGCATGTAAAACACATGAGGACTTTAACCCTAATATTAGTGGACTAAATAAGTTCGAGGCATAGCTTATCTATTATTTTTTTATTACCACTATTTTTATTGTTAAACAAAGGAAGCACTTTGGAAAAAAACCCAAAATGTAACAGAGGGATTCCTCTGTCCTACTTGCAATCAATCATTAATTTGCAACCTTTCGGTTTTGCTACAATTTTTTGAGCCCCTACTGATAAGTGAAAAAATCTTGGTGATGACAAAAACCTTTTCAGATTCCACATTTTTTAGAAATTAGGCACAGCCATTATGTTGTCGGTATCTGGATGACTTTTTCTGTTGTTGTCATTCACTGTCATTGTAGTCGTGTGTAGTTCAAAATGAACTTTGGATCATTGTTATAAGATGTATATTTTGATGATAGATGTGCTCTTTTATACTAGATATGGAGATTTGTTTATTAAATATGTCTGCTTTTAACTTACGATACAAAATTAGCTCCTAAAAAATATTTTAAAATACTGATTTATTTACAATCGATTCACTATGTTATGGATTTCTCTTCATGACATGTGGGTATTACTTTAAACTGATGTCACACAAAGTGTTTTATTGTTTATTTGCTGTCTCTTTGGTTAAATTACCCGATGATGATTTTATCCCTCTGTGTTTACGTGTGAGAATGGGATTGGTTATGGAGAAATGACCACTCCCTATTTACGATGGCTTCTCTTGAACAAAAAACTGTTTGCCTGATGAAGGTCTAGTAACGAAACGTTGCAAATAAATTATTGATTGCAAGTTGGACAGTTTGCAGAAATCCCTTTGCTGCATTATTGTTCAAACAAAAAAGTGTGCCGCTTCATTCATACTTATTTGGATGAGCAATCTAATTACAAATACTCTCATAATTAGCCCATATCCACCATACAAGGTAATCCCAAAACTGCCCGGTGCGCGCTGCAAAAATCTCCAGGATTTTACAACCCAAATGTTGGCAGGTATGGTGGCATTGAGGGGCAAACAAAGTTCGTCTACAACAACGATGTACCGCAAAATCCCTGTATCCCTAAAACTTCCAAGGAAGAAGCTTTTCATTCCCCATGCCGGTGTTTTGTTTTATTTGTTTATTTTTTATAGTATAGCCTCAGACAAACCCATTAACCAGGCCTTCTCTAAAGGAACCAGGCTCAAAAAGGCTTTGAAGGTGATTAAAAGTTTATGTATGCACACATGTGAATGCCACACCGCCTTAAGGGACTAAAGAGTCAAGTCTGAACATGATATTCTGGCTTATTTCGCAAGCTTACAAATCAGTACACAACTTCCTCCCTACTGCATACTGTGGAGTACAGTGTGAAGGGTCTGCACTGAAATGCTCCCCCTGGCACATTTGACTCGGCCACTCACTTGATACAGAAATGCACATGTTAGGTATTTGTCTGCTCTATTTTAGAGCAAGATGGCGGCCTCTATGGAAGGAGACCCACTCCTGTAGATGTAAAAGGCTCTTTCAAATTCTCATTTTAACTCAAAGAATTGAAAAATTTGAAAACAATTAATGCGAGGCAAAGTTTTTTTCCATATCACTTTTATTGCACAAGAAAATGACCATGGTTGGAGGTAAACATACACAGAAAAATATGTAAATAAGGTCAAGTGGGGTCACTAAAAAGGAATGAGCCTCTCTGTCACATAATCTTTGCTTTGTGTTCAATAAACAAACTTTTTTCATCAGAATCTAACACTGTCCTTTTGTTGCAGAGGGAGTAATTGCTGGACTATCCTCAAAACCTGGTTCTGGTGGGGGTGAGTTACTGGGTTTCTTGTTTCTGGTTTAATGTTTGTTAAAGAAAAATATTTGTCTTATGTCTCTTCATTCCTGTTTGTTACAGCTGCAAGACCCACAGGTGGAGCAGCTGGTGAGACTATGGCAGAGGGTAAGGACACATTATTGTAAAGTTCTTATTAAAGCATCTTTAGCCACTGATCAGACTGTTAAATATCTGTAAAATCATTCGAGTTTAACTGAAGGGTTGTATATTTAGAGCATGTCTCCAACTGGCTTGGTGTGATTTTTCTCTTCTCACAGAGAAGCATTTTGTGGATAAACATCAACTCCAGCTGATCCAGAGGGTGGGCAGCACCTCACCAATTCTGGATGAGCTCCTTGATAAAGGTGTCATCCAACAGGAGAGTTATGATAAAATCAGGGCTCTGCCTACCTCTCAGGGGAGGATGAGAGAGCTCTACTCTGGCTGTCTGAAAGCTGGAACAGCCAGCAAAGATGTCTTCTTCAAAAGTCTTGAGAAAAACCAGAAATTTCTCATTGAGGACCTCAAGAAAAACAGCTAAATTTTGTGACAAGACCTGTAACAGTACAAACACACACCAGGCTGTTTCATTCTGATGGGCTGTGATGTGATTGAAATAACAAAACCATATTACGCAAATTTTGATCATCTTGCAAAAAATGAATTAGGATTATTGATATGAATATTTTATATGTGCAACGAATGAAATGCTACCCTCCTTTTTTACCCAAGTAATGTAAATAATTAGAAAAAACAACTACTGAATTTTCTTCTGTTTTATCATGTCAAATATCTTTTTTTTTTTACCCAGATTTCTAATTTTTTTAAATAAAATCTTGTAATTCCCCTGTATGGTTTCAACATTTTGAACATTTTTTGATGGAGTCTTTTTCGAACTGATTTTAAGCGTGGAATATTTTGAAGAACTTAGATGTGTGGCTGTTTTTACTGCAATCATTTCAATATGTGCTATTGATTCTTCATATGTTGTTGTGTCTGAATGCTCAGGAGAGTTTAAGTTCAGGCAGGAATAATTGTCCATAGAAAATTTGCCTCAATGACTGTTTCAGTCAGCATTCATTTATACTATTGTTTTATTTTTTTGTTTACAATTGATAATGTCTGAAAACACTGGACTATGTGAAAGACACTCAACTTTTAGCATTTCAGTCCTACAGGACTTAGGACACTGTTTATTCTCTTTCTTGAAGCCACCCCTCAAATTTGAATCTCAGTGGGCACACAGGTGTTGAAAAGTTACCTGTTTCAGACTAATTATTGTTTTACTTGATATTGAGCTTTCCAGACACTCTTGTAAAAAATCACAAGACTGTGAGTTTATATCGTTACAGCGATTGATAAAAGTATTAAGACACAAAACTGAACAAGCAACAGAACAGTTTTGTTTATCAACAATACAGAAACCCTCAGTGGACACTCTGTATTTGGGCCCACTCCGTATCTAATTGTCTCTGGTTTTACCCATCATAACATTGATTTATTCTATGATACTATTCCCTGTTAAAGGTTAGACCAAAACATACATTGAATTTCCCTTCGGAGATCAATAGTTGCCCTCACTAACAACATAAACAAATAAATACAAATCTAATTTCCATGTTTGTTTTTCAGATTTTGCTATTCTGGGGACAAAAATTGGTAACACTCATATGACCTTGAAAAAACAACTGAAGTAAACTCATAGAAGAAGAGTACAGTGCTTAAAAAATGTGTGGGTGCAAGCCTGTATTTAGGATTAGCACTGAAAGGCTGCTGTTCCATTTTTATGCAGAGTTTAGGATGTATACTGTTGTAAAACAACAACTTTGAATCAGTTTGCGTTGTGTAAATGAAAGTAGCCTGTTCCTGATTTATTTCAGTGCAGTCCCAGTTTAGACAAAAGTACAACAATTTCTGAACATCACTTCAAAATGCCTTGACTTTAAGGACACGTCTATGGGATGTAAAATAATTTCATGGTTTGAAATTAAAAACTTTATATAAAAAAATATTTCACGAAAGAAAAAATGCAGAAAAAGGCCCACATTATCCTTTGACACACGCCGTGTTTCTCGAAAGTATGCAGTAAAATGGGTGAGGCTTTAGAAGAGGAGCGAAGAGGCAGGGTTAATCTAATCCAAGCAAGACTTCTGGCCATTCAAGAGATGGGTGTCTTCGACTGGAGGTGCTGTTGAACGAACTAAAGGTAGAAAAGTGTCTGGATTTAAAACTAATTCTGATAACAGGGTGTAAATTTAGGCGACAGAAACAGACGCATTTATTTAAAATAGAGAGAGAGAGGAGTAACGTCTGAGCACGAGCCCTGGACGTTTTAACCGTCACACGAAGAGTTTCAGCAGCGTATTTAAAATAGACCTGATCATTTTGTGTCATGATAACCGACTTTTAGAGCGTAAATTTTGAAACTAATCGCCGCGAGACAGGTTTTTTTTTTATTGTGTTCCTTTTTACGTTCACATTTGTAGTTTCACTTTGACTGTAGTTTAAAACTGTTTAATAGCCTACTACAGGGCTCTCAAGTTTTGAACTAAGCCTAGAGTGAGATTTCCTTGGGGGGGGGGGGGGGTGATTGAAGATATTATTAGTATAATTATCTTTTAAATACAACGGAGTATAAGGGACACAATAAAAAAAAACGTTTTTGAATCTTAGAGAATAAAGTTATTATTTGGGAGAATAAAGTCATTAATATATAAGTATTAAGTCGTAAAGTTACCTGTTGTGAAGGAGAGTTGTTAAAATCAGCACTGTGAAGCATTTAGATGAATTGTACTTTAGTATAGGTTTCACAAATATGGAGATACTTAATCCTTTGGTACATGAGCATTACACTGTCATGAGGATCAGAACTTATATTTGAGATATATGAGAAATGCTGCTTTTGTGGAGGGGAAAATGGCTGTACAGAGGCTAAATCCGTCAATACAGCTGTTAATAGCAATAGCATAGGGCTTTAGTTTATCATATGAGTTTATATGCCATGAGGTGTTGAGGTCTCTGCATGTGTAGGTTACTGACTTACTGTAATCATCGGGTCTATCTCGTCCTTATAAAAACCTGCTCTATCTCGGCGAGTGTCTGTCTTCTTCTGTAGTCAAACCGCAAGATATCAAAATCTACCCGGATACAGCAATGCTGCTTTTTGATTGGCTGTTTAGTAGATATACTTTATTTGATTGGCTTGCGCGTGGCACGCAGCTTCTGAACTCTCGGAGGAACTCAGTTGATTCCTACCTGTTCCATAGTTAAAGAGGTGCAACTTGGTGGACATCACCATGTTCATTTAAATGCGTGAGAAATACAATGTGTGGCGTGTGAGCGTGTGAACGGGTGGGAATGCGTGTGTCACACGCTGAATGCGTGAGTCTTGAGAGCCCTGCTACTACGATAAACAAGTATCTCCTCGCTAACACTAAGCTAATGCTTGCGTGTATAAAACAGCTAGGTAAGTGCTAGCCATGATTTTTAAAGTGCCTCGACTACTAAACTAAAAAATAACGACGTGTAATGCCAAATCAGCGTGTGCGTGTGTGTGTGTGTGTGTGTGTGTGTGTGTGTGTGTGTGTGTGTGTGTGTGTGTGTGTGTGTGTGTGTGTGTGTGTGTGTGAGTGAGAGAGAGAGAGAGAGAGAGAGAGAGAGCGAAGAGAGATGAGGAAGTGTATGAGAGCGGGAAGTGAGTGTCCTGTTAGTCAAAATTGTCGTTCAAGAGAATGTATCGTTAGCCAATCTAAGTTTGGCACCAGAGACAGCCAGTGTGTAATGTTTGTAGTCCGTACAGCTAACATCAAAAACAAAATTTAGCTCGAAAATAGCACAAGTTTAACATCTCTGATAATAAAAGTGTCATGGCATTTTGAGGTACGTGAGAGTAAATGTCAGACGAAGGAGGAAGTCTGTTACAGTGAGCCACACAGGATATACAAGCAGATATTGTTTTTGTAGACTGAATATTTTTTAATGACAGATTGTTTCCAACCTCAACCTCACCCTAAAATGAAATGATAATAGCTTACAGGACTAAACTTTCATATTCATAAAACCTTTTGGACTATAAGAAGTTAAGAGCTGACTGAGATCTTCTGTTAGATCTGAAGTAGGGCACAAGTTTTCAAATAGATCTGATGTACTCTGTTGTCTTTTAAACATCTGTTGTTCATATTCTGTAAAAATTGGTTCATAGTAATATAGAGTTTATGTTTACATCTTGTGAAACTCCTGAGTGATCCAAGAATCCCAGTAAGAAAGTTGTCAAAGTTTTTCCTTGCGAGAATATTTATGAGCTGATTATTTTGTTTGAAATGATAAATAATAGTTGGTTTGGAATTACCCAATCAGTCAGTGTCTCTGGCATTAAAAGGTAAAGAAATCAGTATTCATTCTTGTCAGTACTTTCCATAAACAGTTCACATGCTATCCTGCATAATATATATTTTTTATTTTCTAGGTTGAAATAATGTTGGCTAAGACAGTGTTAGCTGAAATATTGAAAGATTTGAGCTCCAAGGAGCTGGAAGAATTCAACTTCCATGTTGAATTGGAGGAATCCAAGATGACACCCTCGGCACAAAGTTGTGCAGGAGTGACAAACCCTGGGATAGTAGTGGAGCTGATGGAGGAAAGGTATGGTGAGGAGTGGGAGGAGGTGGCCAAAAATGTTTTCAAGAAGATGAACAGGACTGATCTGGTGCAGAGATTCCCAGACAGCAATTCAGGAACCAAAGGTACGGAAGACAAAAATATGAGAAAACATACAAAACTGTCACAATACAATCATTAAACTGGAGTTCTTCATTTGGTGATGTTAAAAAACAAACATCAGCTTGGAGACCATGCTTTAGCCCGATGTTTGATGTTGGGGCCTTTGCAAGAAAAAAATAATTGAGATGAGAACCATGCAAACTTTTGGAAAAGTCCAATTTGATAAACATGATACACATTTCTAAGAAGCCTTAGAGTTACTTTGTTGACAAAAGTTTAATGTTAGTTATTTTAATTGTTTATTCTTCCTTTTTTATTTTCAGAGAAACACTCTGTGGTTAAAAAGCAGCATTCACTTACCCAGAGAGTGAGTATGGCTATTTATACTGCTATATGCAATGGTATTGGTGAACTTTTACAATTTTATTCTCTTCCAGAATTTTACTGATGAAGCAAATTGTATACACCTGAGGTCTGGGCATTTATTTACTGATCATGTTAAGAAGTTGTGTCTTGCCTGCTTTTGTTAATATGTATTGAGCTTTGTTTTTTTATATTGATGGAGATAGAAAGTGCCACTATTTTTTATAAACTAGAGCTTTTCCTCTTGAAAATAAAATATAACCAAATAAATGTTTTTTTCTCTTACTATTTTAAGTGCACCTGGTTAAACAGATATTTTATTGGGAAATCCAGAGGGTTACAGCAAGTTTTAGTACACAATCTGTAAGTACTTTTCAATCGAAGCATCCAGAACTTTTAGGTCCTTGGTTCCTGTAGCCTATTGTTGTCTGCGTTTCCACCAGGGTACTGTAGTCTTGGTTAATGTAAATCATTCCAATTTGGAAATGAATATGGTTGCATGGCTCCTCATTAGAGTCTGATTTTATTATTATATATTTTTTATTTATTTCTAAATCTTTTTCACATATTTTGTCACAAATCATGTTGGCAGCAGGTAAGCTGTACTGATTTTCAAATAACCAAAAGTTGATGGAAATATTTGCTCTTAGCATTTTATATATGTCAATTAATGAAGTGGTATTTTGATGGAAATAAAATCATCAGGCCTTGCCTCTTTAAGTCACCATTAAAAAGTACCACCCCCTGAGAGGGGGGTCTTTTAAGGTGTAAATCTTCTACTCTGGAACTTAATATAGGCCCTAGTTCCTGGGGTTGAAACACCCCTTATAAAAGATTTATACAAAGAAGGTTGAATAAAACATAAACTTTATTAAAAACTGTTAACTATATTCTTCTAAAGAAATCTGAACAGAAACTTAGGCTGTTGTTGAACCAAAGCAGCTGAATATGAGCATTATAGACAGTATTACTGTTACGGGTGAGATGACTGGTGGGCTCCCACTTCTGTATATTTAATGCATAGACATTAGTGAGATGTAAACAGAGGTATCATTTGTCATTCCTGTTGTGAAATTGCACTTTTGCTCATCAATCATGTCTCTTTAATTCACCAGGTTGAAAGGATAACATCTGACATACAGCTGCTCATGGACATACTGTCTAATTTGACAAAAGAGGAGGTGAAGCACTTCACGGAGGTCCTGCTTCGAACAGACTTTAAGAGACTGGACTTATACGGCTATTGGTTTGAGCTTCTGCAAACAGAGTATCAGGAAATAGTATTTCTGATAGTCATGGCCCTTGGCCAACACAGTGTGGAGACAACCAGAGAGGTTTTAAAAAATATGAAGAGGACTGATCTGCTGCAGAGGTTGACAGACGCCAGTTCAAGATCCAAAAGTAAGACCATTATTCCGTAAGTGTTAATGTTCTGCCTCTGTGGCGTTACTTTACGAGTGACAAGACTCAAATTCACAGAATAAGAGACACATAATCTGATGAGGGTTATTTTTTGTATTAGTGGTCAGAGATTGATAAAAATACAGTTTATAAATTATTGTTGAGGAGGTTTGAATATCTTTCTGTCATGTTTCTCAACTCCTACCAGTGTGTTTTGTCAAGTTTAGGATCAGTCTCTCTTGAGTAACTTTGAACTCCTTTCTCCTCAGAGGGACACCCAGATGAACCACGCCCTGCTCTGATCCAGAAAGTGAGTAGTGTCACTTTTGCTCAATGTTGTACCACACAGATTTGACCACATTACTAACAAAAACTCAGGCTTTATTCAGGTTTGGTTCATCAATAATTCTTAAGTTTAACAGAATCAAAATATGTTTGTATGACAATGTGGATGAGATGAAGCATCATCACGTTTGTTTTTTCTGACTTTTTAGGTTACAAGTTAAAGAAAATCTGAAAATGCTTCATCACTCGACATCCCCCCTAAACAATCTTTGTAAACCTAAGAAAGGTCACATGTATGTACTGATTATTTCAGGTGGCGATGATGGCAGCTGTGAGGCAGATGCTTTTAGACACCCTGCATTGTTTGAGTGAGAAAGAGTTCCAAAATTTCACAAAGCTCCTGGAGCAGAGAATCTTCCAGATGAACCTCAGACCCACTGCACATGTGAAGAGGTTGTCAGGAGACAGAGCAGAAAAAGTGGATCTGATGTTGAAAATATACGGGCAACAATCTGTGAAGTTAACTAGAGAGATTTTAGAGGAGATGAAGAGGACTGATCTGACTCAGATATTGTCAGAGACCAGCTCAGAATCCAAAGGTAAGACTTCTTTTATAAAAATGTTGAGCACCATTACAAATCAGAATAACAGAATAAATCTGCTCAAATACAGCTTTGTGATCACCTACATCAAAAACAATGTAAACCTGTTACGTTCTGTAACCTTGTCATTCTGAAAGTGTTCAGGGAGTATTGTTATGCATTTTGTACATCACCTTTTCGGACAATGGAAGAGTATTTAGTGGAAATTAAGGTCTTTGTTAAAGACAATTATATTCCTCTTAATCCTTTTTGATATCATTTCTTTTCAGAGAAACAGTCCGTGGATGAACATCAACATGAAATACAGATGAAAGTGAGTAGACGCGGACTGAAGACCATCAGAACAAATGATAAAAGTTTTTAAAGTTGAGCTTTGCAGCACTTCTGAGTCTGCAGAAATAATGCAAAGTGTCAAATACAGCATAAGATTTTCTTTAAGCTACTGTTGTTGAAGCATCATGTTATAGGGATCTCTGAACAGGAACAGTCATTATTCACTCATCTGGGACATAAACCCAGATCGATTCATTTCATAACAACATCAGTGAAATAGTCAGAGTCACTTATGTCTTTGTTGCTCTATCTTTGAGAGTGAGCAAATTTAATCATACAACTTTACCATCTGTCAACACGCTGATATCAGCCATTACTGATATTAGATGGTGCATCTGCATGTACAGTTCATGATAGATACAATCATGGAGGAATAATTTTACTCTTAATATAAATCATTGAAATATTCTGATAACACCCAAACCATGCACCTCTGACTGAACTAGTGGTTCTTGTCAAGAAATTCAACATTTGCTTGTTGCATTCTCTGCTTCTTTAGGCACTAAGAGAAGATGTCAAATGGACTCTCTTCAAAACAATGTTGGGTTTGAGTGATATGGAGCTTGAGAAGTTCAGGTTCTTTCTGAAGTTCACATACTTCCAGAGGAGCTGTCCGCTTATCTATCGATGGAGGGACAAAAATGAACAATCCCTGTACCATCTGGTGGATCTGATGGGGGATTACCAGCAGCCTGTGGAGGTGACCATGGAGGTTTTGATGGACATGAACAGAGCTGATCTGGTTGATGAGCTGTCAGGGACCATCTCCAGACTCAAAGGTCAGAAGAAAAACACAAACACTTCCACTGTTGGATTATCTGAAGGGCTGAGATCAAACTGAGCATGAGGTGAGGTGAGAAATGAGCTTGCAGGAGACAGCAGGATCCAGTTTTAAGTGTTTATTTGACGGGTTGGTATGGTATGCTGCAAAGTGGTGTTTCTGGAGTATAAACCAAGAAATAATAAATATTAGCATTCATGGCAAATAAACATTCTTCATAAAGTTTAACATATTTCATTATTTAATTTAAGGATAAATTAATCCGAAGTCAACAAAAATGCAAAAAAGGTTCTCAAATTGAACAAAACTCACATTCTGACGCACTTCAGCAGCAAACATGTCATCATTGTCCATAGTCTGTTAGTGAAGCAGATCTTAGTGCTCTGCTCCCTTTAATTGAGCAGCAATCATCACACCTGCGCTGACTCTCCAGCCAGCACAGGTGTGGCTGCTGCACCACTCAGGAGGGGCAGAGAGGCAGGGTTTCCAACAGCCACATTACACAACTATATATATATATACGTGTGTCACATAGATTTCAAATGTATAAATTTCATAGTTTTAAAAACAGCACTTTTAGTTCACAGTTTTAACATGAGATTTGAAAAAAATCTTGTCTTCTCGAAGTGTTGGGATGTTATTTTCTGATTTTTTTAGTAAATTCACAGCAGAGTTTTTAATATATATAATATATTTCATATATTCTATTTATTTTTCAAGATAACAAAATATTCTCTCAGACAAAATATTGTCTGAGACAGTAAGTAATGTTCCATCTTACACACTTAACACAGGTCAAAAATGAACATATCTTTGATTCACAGTATTTTTATGAATCACACGCATAATTATCATCAGACTTTCTCATCAAGTTTAGACTGGATTCCAAATGTATAAGGGGAATGTTATCACGGGGAAGTTAAAATAAAATGGTCGCTCTGTCAGTAGTATATGAAGACTATTGTTGGCAAAATATTATTGAGATGGGAAAGGGCAAAATTTGAAAGAGAAAACTGTAAACATCAACAATCTAACTGCATATAATGAAAACAACCATAGTGTTTTCTTCAGTTGCATGGATTAGATTTAAACAAAAAAACAATGATTCATAAAAAAATATGTATCACAAGATGGTTATGTTTTTCTGACAATAAACAGAGATATTTTATGTTTATTGTTTTTGACCAGGTTTGCTTGGTCCACCACAGAGAGTAAGAGTCGGGGAAATAAGAGACCAAAAATTTATTTTTCTCTTCACTTTTTATTTCATCTTTCTTTATGTATCCGAGGGCAGAAAAATGTTCTCAGCTGCTTTCAAAGGAACATAAAGCAGCTTAATACACTTATGAAAAAGAAAAATCCTCACAGCTGAAGAAAAGAGTAGAACACGTGATCAAAGAATCAGCAACAGTAAAAATACATTGACAGATCACCTGTTTACAAAAACATCAGGTGTAAAAATATATATTTTTTTACAGAATGTAGCTGTTATGGAACCTGTTGCTAATATGAATGTAAAAGAGACACAAAAATATTCAGAACCAGATCCATGTGTGCACTGGGAAAGCACTAGATGTTGGCTATATGTTTGATGTTAAAGTCTTTGCAAGAAACAAATAACTAAGAACCATATAAACTTTTGGAAAATTGCAATTTTAATATGATACGCATTGCTAAGAAGACTTTAAGTTACTTTGTTGACAAAAGTTTGATGTAAGTTATCTAATTGTTTATTCTTCCTTTTGTCTTTTTAGAGGAACAATCAGTGGTTGAAAAGCAGCCTTCACTGACCCAGAGAGTGAGTATGGCTATTTATACTGCTATATGCACTGTTATTGGTGAACTTTTATCTAGGGCAAAAACTTTTATTTTCTTCCAGCATTTTACTGAGTGAGAAAATATTATGGTCTGGGCATTTATTTACTGATCATATTAAGAAGTTGTCATTTTCATAAACTAGAGCTCTTGAAAAAAAGAGTATAACCAAAGAAACGTTCTTTTCCTGCTTTTTTATGTACAACTGGTTAAACAGATATTTTATTGGAAAATTCAGAGGTTTGCAGCAAGTTTTAGTATCTGAAGGTACTTTTCAACCGAAGCATCCAGAACTTTTAGGCCCAGGGTTCCTGTGGCCCATTGCTGTCTGCGTTTCCACCAGGGGGCTGTAGTCTTAGGTAATGTAAATCAGGCCTATTCGGAATGGATTTTTAAATAACCAAAGGTTGATGGAAATATTTGCTCTTATGCTGTGACCCTTTTGAACCTCTATCTGTCTGTACCTCTCTCTGATCAATTGGTGTCTAAGTGTAAACTGAATATCAGCTCATGTTGTCAAGAAGATATTTTCCTGATAAGACTAAACCATAAAACTGTCCAGCACCCAAAAGCATATTCATATACATATGATCATATAACATTATTTTATGTAGGATTTAATCCAACATTTCCTCTTCTCTGTTTATGTCTGTGCAGCCAGCATTTCGCATATGTCAATTAATGAAGTGGTATTTTGATGAAAATAAATTAGTCAGTCCTTGCCTCTTTAAGTCCCCAGGCCATCAAAAAGTACCACCCCCTGAGGGGGGTCTTTTAAGGTGTAAATCTTCTACTCTCGAACTTAATGTAGGCCCTAGTTCCTGGGGTTGAAACACCTCATTTAAAAGATTTATCCAAAGAAGGTTGAATAAAACATAAACTTTTTTAAAAACTGTTGTGAACTAGATTCTACTAAAGGGATCTGAACAGAAACTTAGGCTGTTGTTGAACCAAAGCAGCTGAATATAAGCATTATAGACAGTATTACTGTTACGAGTGAGATGACTGGTGGGCTCCCACTTCTGTATATTTAATGCATAGACATTTGTGAGATGTAAACAGAGGTATCATTTGTCATTCCTGTTGTGAAATTGCACTTTTGCTCATCAATCATGTCTCTTTAATTCACAAGGTTGAAAGGATGACATCTTATATACATCTGCTCATGGACATACTGTCTAATTTGACAAAAGAGGAGGTGAAGCACTTCACGAAGATCCTCCTTCGTGCAGACTTTAAGAGACTGAACTCATACAGCTATCAGTTTCAGCTTCTGCGAACAGAGTATCAGGAAATAGTATTTCTGATAGTCACGGCCCTTGGCCAACACAGTGTGGAGACAACCAGAGAGGTTTTAAAAAATATGAAGAGGACTGATCTGCTGCAGAGGTTGACAGACGCCAGTTCAAGATCCAAAAGTAAGACCATTATTCCGTAAGTGTCAATGTTCTGCCTCTGTGGCTTTACTTTACGAGTGACAAGACTCAAATTCACAGAATCAGAGACACATAATCTGATGAGGGTTATTTTTTGTATTAGTGGTCAGAGATTGATAAAAATACAGTTTGAAAGTTATTGTTGAGGAGGTTTGAATATCTTTCTGTCACGTTTCTTAACTCCTACCAGTGTGTTTTGTCAAGTTTAGGATCAATCTCTGTTGAGTAACTTTGAACTCCTTTCTCCTCAGAGGGACACCCAGATGAACCCCGCCCTGCTCTGATCCAGAAAGTGAGTAATGTCACTTTTGCTCAAAGTTGTACCACACAGATTTGACCACATTACTAACTAAAGCTCAGGCTTTATTCAGGTTTGGTTCATCAATAATTTCAAGTTTTAACAGAATCAAAATATGTTTGTACGACAATGTGGATGAGATGAAGCATCAACATGTTTGTTTTTTTTTATGACTTTTTAGGTTATAAGGTAAAAAAAAATCTGAAAATGCTTCATCACTCGACATCCCCCCTAAACAATCTTTGTAAACCTAAGAAAGGTCACATGTACTGATTATTTCAGGTGGCGATGATGGTAGCTGTGAGGCAGATGCTTTTAGACACCCTGCATTGTTTGAGTGAGGAAGAGCTCCAAAATTTCACAGAGCTCCTGCAGCAGAGAATCTTCCAGATGAACCTCAGACCCACTGCACATGTGAAGAGGTTGTCAGGAGACAGAGAAGAAAAAGTGGATCTGATGTTGAAAATATACGGGCAACAATCTGTGAAGTTAACTAGAGAGATTTTAGAGGAGATGAAGAGGACTGATCTGACTCAGATGTTGTCAGAGACCAGCTCAGAATCCAAAGGTAAGACTTCTTTTATAAAAATGTTGAGCACCATTACAAATCAGAATAACAGAATAAATCTGCTCAAATACAGCTTTGTGATCACCAACATCAAAAACAATGTAAACCTATTACGTTCTGTAACCTTGTCATTCTGAAGGTGTTCATGGAGTATTGTTATACATTTTGTACATCACCTTTTTGGACTATGGAAGAATTGGAGTATTAAGTGGAAATTAAAGTCATTGTTAAAGACGATTATATTCCTCTAAATCCTTTTTGATATCATTTCTTTTCAGAGAAACAGTCTGTGGATAAACATCAACATAAAATACCGATGAAAGTGAGTAGACGCGGACTGAAGACCATCAGAACAAATGATAAAAGTTTTTAAAGTTGAGCTTTGCAGCACTTCTGAGTCTGCAGAAATAATGCAAAGTGTCAAGTACAGCATAAGATTTTCTTTAAGCTACTGTTGTTGAAGCATCATGTTATAGGGATCTCTGAACAGGAACAGTCATTATTCACTCATCTGGGCCATAAACCCAGATCGATTCATTTCATAACAACATCAGTGAAATAGTCAGAGTCACTTATGTCTTTGTTGCTCTATCTTTGAGAGTGAGCAAATTTAATCATACAACTTAACCATCTGTCAACAGGCTGATATCAGCCATTACTGATATTAGATGGTGCATCTGCATGTACAGTACATGATAGATACAATCATGGAGGCATAGTTTTACTCTTAATATAAATCATTGAAATATTCTGATAACACCCAAACCATGCACCTCTGACTGAACTAGTGGTTCTAGTCAAGAAATTCAACATTTGCTTGTTGCATTCTCTACTTCTTTAGGCACTAAGAGAAGATGTCAAATGGATTCTCTACAAAACACTGTGGGGTTTGAGTAATTTGGAGCTTGAGAAGTTCAGGTTCTTTCTGAGGTTCATATACTTCCAGAGTAGCTGTCCACTTATCTATCGATGGATCAACATAAAGAATGCACAGTACCTGTATGATCTGGTGAATGTGATGGGGGATAACCAGCAAACTGTGGAGGTGACCATGGAGGTTTTGATGGACATGAACAGAGCTGATCTGGTTGATGAGCTGTCAGGGACCATCTCCAGACTCAAAGGTCAGAAGAAAAACACAAACACTGCCACATTACACAACTATATATACATGTGTCACATAGATTTCAAATTCATAAATCTCATAGTTTGAAAACATTTTTTTTGGTTCACACTTTTAATATGAGATTTAAAACAAAACCTTGTCTCCTCATAGTGTGGGGTTGGGTTTTTTTTCCTGATTATTTTTTGGCAGAGTTCTTAGCATATGTGCACAAATTACCTTTTTTTATTTTTCAAGATAAAATATTCTGGTATCATGATAACATCACAAATTTGTCAGGATTTATGATCAATTATGTATTTTTCGTCAGAGGGAAGTCGATCCGCCCAGCTCCAGCAAGTGAGTAATGTTAAATCAGACGCACTTTACAGAACACATTTTTTGTGATTTTATTTTGAGCTGAACAAAGTTATCCCAGTATAGCAATTAAAAAACATGATAACTTACATAGAAAAGTGTAATTTTCTTATATCAATCTTCAATTCTCACTTCAGAATGGTTTCATTAGGACTGATGTTATTGATACATATTATTACAAGACTGTCATAACTTTTCTGTTTACACTGCTGTCATTAAATCGAGAACATGTTTAAACTGTGAAGATGAAGCACGTAAATCAGTCACTGAGTAAGTATGTCATTTCAGGTCACTGCCTCAGAATCACTTCACAGGAAACTTTTAAAAACACTGACACAAAAGTTACGTTTTGGAGAATTCGCTGAGTTTAAGAAGCTTGTGCTGCACACTGCCACGGAAAAAGGCCTGAAAAGAGAAACACTACAACGTATTGAGAAAGCGGACACAGTTGATATGGTACATGTGATGGTGGAAATCTACGGCCAACAGTGTGTGGAGGAGACTCTGGGAATCCTACGAAGGATAAAGAGGACTGATCCAGTGGGGAAGTTGCCAGGAACCGGCTCAGGACTCAAAACTCAAAGCATGGGTGGAAAAAGTCACAAATTAGGTAACTAACTGTATTTAACCAATTATTTTTACTGCAAACATTTATTCTATGAAGAAAGAAAAACATTTCTAATGTTGGTAAAGCTACATTTTTATTAACATGAGGAAATTCAAAAGTTACTTGGCAGCAGTAAATTCTTCTTCTGTATTTTTTACAAAAGCAGCTGAACGTTATTTAAAGGGGACCTGCCATAAAAATGTAATTTTTGTTTTTTCTTGTGTCAGATAAGGTCCATATTATGTTCGTCTTATGTTTTAAATGTGAAAACAAACCGTTACGTCGTTTGCATTCTGTAAAGGTTTAAAATAAAGGAACGAGTAAACCAGGCCAATTGAAAAAGCAGGTCGGTGTTACGTTGCGCCGACCTTGCTCATTATTATTCACGAGCGCGTCCTCGGTGAGCCGTGCCCACTCTCTCGTTCTCGTACTCAGTCACAGCCAGAGCGAGACCCAGCTACCACTGTATCCGCTATGGGTCTCTTCCAAACGACCGGTGTTTCCTTCGGTTCACTGCCGGGAAAATGAACTTAAAGCTGGGCAGAATGAATGAGAAAACATCCAAGCCAATACTATGTATTTGTATTTACTACGAGATGATCAATGTAGTAGAATTCCAACACATTGACAACTGTGTTTGAATTACTGTATGTCTTTTTAATGACTAAAACATACAGTTTCTTGTTCTCTGATTTTCCAGGGCCTTCCAGTCACTTTTTTTCCTTCCCCTTAGGGTCCGAAAAGTCTGAGACAGTAAGTAATGTTCCATCTTACACACTCAACACAGGTTGAAAATTAATATATCTGTGATTCACAGTATTTTTATAAATCACATGTATAGTCATCATTAGACTTTCTCATTAAGTTTAGACGGGATTCAAAATGTATAAGAGGAATGTTATCACGAGGAAGTTGAAATATAAGAGTTGCTCTAGACCATTGTCGGCAAAATATTATTGAGGTGGAAAAGGGCAAAATTTGAAAGAGAAAACTTCGACATAACTGCATACTCAGATGAAAACAACCATAGTGTTTTCTGCAGTTGCATGGATAAAATTAAAAGAAAAAACAATGATTTGCAAAAAAAAAAATGCATCTCAAGACAGTGTTTGTTTTTGTGACAATAAACAGAAATATTTTTTATTATATTTAGCCAGGCAAGCACTGTCCACCACTGAGAGTAAGAGCAAGGGAAATAAGACCAAAAATTAGTTTTTGTCCTAACTTTTTGTTTCATTTTTCTTTAAGTGTCTGAGGACAGAAAAATGTTCTCAGCTGCTTTCAAAGGAACATAATGCAGCTTAATACACTTATGAAAAAGAAAAATCCCGACAGCTGAAGAAAAGAGTAGAACACGTGATCAGAGAATCAGCGACAGTCAAAGCACATTGACAGATCACCTGTTTACAAAAAAGATCAGGTGTAAAAATATATTTTCTTACAGAATGTAGCTGTTATGGGACATATTGCTAACATAAATGTAAAAGAGACGAAAAATGTTCAGAACCACATCCATGTGTGCACCGGGACAGCACTGGGTTATTTAGAGCATTAAATCAATGCAAAAAGTCAAATTAATATTTCAGTGTAAATGTTGAATAAAATATCTAAGATAACTTTGAATTTATCAGGACTTCACCATGACAGCCGATCACCAGCAGCTTTTGGAAACTCTCGGTGAATTAAGTGTCGGGGAGCTGGAAAAATTCAAGCATGTACTGCAGTACACAAAAATGAAAGGTCTCCCAAAAATCCCAAGAGACAGACTAGAGACGACAGACAAATTAGAGACAGTGAAGCTGATGGTGGAGATCTACGGCGAGCAGTCTGTGGAGGTGACTAGAGATGTTTTGAAGAGGATATACAGGATGGAACTGGTGCAGAAGCTGTCACAGGGCAGTCCAGAATCACAAGGTGAGTTGTGAACAAAGCATTATTAAACACTTGGTATGCAGGTTGTGTCATTTTCAACTTTAACAAAAACAATGTCTTTACTAGAGCCCTCAAGAAGTTTGGGGCCTGAGGCTTGTGGATACAACCTGGTAATTCCCTATGTCATTCATTTGTTCAGTGTCATTGTAATTTATTCATTTATTTGTCCTTCTTTTAAATTGATGTGAATTTAAAAGTCTCCCAAATTACGATTGTCTCTGTCAGCCACCCTGGACCAAACTTGAACCTGGAGTTAACAGTATTGGTGGAGATGAGTCTCCAACTTACAGGTAATACTTCCATCACCGCCTTACAGCAAGTAGGAAATTCAATATACTGTATTGTACTTTACTGTATTTTGATATAGATTCAAGGTAGACACTCTTAGTTAGTACATTATTTGATTGTGCCTTTATTACACCCAGTGTAATACAGTTGTAGTGCATTTACACAAACTCACCAGCTTCTTTTTCTGTGTCTAAGCCTGGAGTGCGACACTGGAAACTACTTTGAATGTAGTGTCTCTGGCTTGCGCTGGGTTTGTAAAGAGAAGGTCAGCTTTCAGTACCAGTTTTGCTCCTGGGAAGGACACATGGAGAGGATGGAAAACATCAATTACATGCCTGCAGGTCCCTTAATGAACATCAGAGTAATTACTGGAAAGTTTCATGAACTGTACCTGCCACACTGGATCTGCACAGGTAAATGGAAACATGGAAAATAACATTGAATGCATTAATGTACTAATAAATGTATTTCAGAGAACTCCTGAAATTCCTCCTCCTCACTGGGGTGTTTGCTTGTATCCTGTGCAGATGACAACCCTGACATGTTAAAAGAGTTTGCTGTCCTTCACATAGACGACTGTGGTGATGTTGTGGAAAGTGTGGCTGAGGTCACTCCATCCCATGTCAAGTTACTTGAACCAGTTTTCTCTCCAAGAGCAGCCCTGATGAAAGTCGGCTTTCCAGTCAAAATAAGTTGTAGTGTGTTAATATACTACAAACCTAACACACCATTCCTCAAACTACATGTGTACGTGATCCCATGTGATCCTGCTCTACAACGGGTTAGTAAATGTCCTCCTACCAGGAATGTATAACACTAGATTTAAATGGCACTGAAGCCTACAGCAGCAAATTAGGGTCAGTGATAAAAACAATACAAACCTAGACTTTGAGACGAGCATAATAGGGAGAAAGAGCTGCTTATATAGGAATGATATTATGCTTCAGTTTGAAGCATCTTATTGTGAAGTCTTCTTTTGAGATCGTGACTCAGAAATGTACTTGACTCAGCATTTCAAGTTATGACATTTTTCAATTCATAGCAAGGCTTCCTTTTTACAATACTTGCCTCTTTATATCTATGTTTTTCACAGACTGTGGACCAAAAAGAAGAAGGATTCCAGAAAATCAAGAAGCCGCGTCCAGACGGGTACCTGAAAATGCAGCAGGGTTTCAGCCTCACAGCAGATATCGAATCAGCAAAGATTTACCCAGAGGTAGAATTTTTAACAGAGATATTAGTGAATATATGCAAGACATTTTCATACTACAGGTCCTTTGCAATTTTTAGGAGGTGTACAAACAGTGCCTTGCCAATATGACTTGTAAGTCAGTGTTGTATTTGCAGGAATATCTTTCTTGAAATTGTAAAGTGTAAAGACTGTGACAACACGTTTGCTGTGCGTCACACTGTCTATGTGCAGCCTCTATTAACAATACAACATGACTGTGAACCACCATCATTTGAATCACAGCAGATTTTGATTTGGTTATGTCCCACAAAACTCGACAAATCACTTTCAAGTATCCCTTCTTGTTGTTTGTGGTGCACAAAATTTCGATTCACTTTCTAACTTCTCATGTTTTTACACAGAAAATAACCCTCAGGTACGATAACCAAGATCCAAATTTCTACGAAGTGTTCATCGAGAAACCAGACGGAAACTTCACACTTGAACTCTCACAAATGAGTAAGGGTAGAGCTCTGTCTCAAAAAGTATGGAGCTGTGAAATTCGGAAAGGTCAGTAGGATTTTAGACATTTTAGAGTATGATATAGCCCAAACTCTGTTGTGCTGCAAGTCTTTTGAAAACTTTAAAACCATGTTGTAATGCTTTCATTGTAATTAAATCATAGAGAGTCCAGTGAAATTTGTAAATCACACTGACCGTAGATACGAAGCCATTAAGGTGTAAACTAAGTCCTGTGAATTTATTACCTGACTGATCAACATTTTACATGCTTTGATTTGTGTCTCACTTTTTCTTTCAGTTGACTATCAATGCCTTGCGCCTGAAGGTAAGATGCTGCATAAAATGAGGTGCTATAAGGATGGTACTTTCAAATTTAGACCTCACATCTCCAAACATCTTCTTCCAAATTTAATAATGTTCGTTGCGAAGAAAGAAAAACATTCCTGCCCTTTTTATTTTTAAAATAATAATAAAATTTAGGACATTAAAAACCAAGATAATTTGTTGTTAGTATGTTTCTAACATGGGGGTGAAACTCCTATGATTATTTCTTACTACTGAATTTCTTACGCGTCACACATGTGTGGGAAATAAATTGTTTAAAAACCCCAACAACTGTCTTTGATTCTTAATAACAACCAGATTAAACATGCCACAGAAAAACAGTCCACAGAAAGGGGTCCAGTATCTCAGTCAAATTTATTATTTCACCTCTTTCTGTTTACAACGTGGAAAAACTGTTGGTTGGCATGGAGGGTTGGTTTATGATATTGATCTGAATTTATTAGCGAGCACAAAACTTTAAATTGGGAGTTAATGGCTGACCAGGCAGTCACCAGTACAGAAAAAAAAAAAGAGGAAAACAGCTCATAAACGAGCGAGAGAAGGTAAAACGCAGTACGGCTGCAGACAGTGGTCTTCTCTCTGTACTTGTTTTGTTTGATCTTACGCTGTTTTCAATATGATTGACCATCAGATCCTGTTACAGAGACTTGATCAACAAATTGGTATGACAGGAACCACTTGTGCAAACTCCTCTGTGCATACCAAGGTCAGTTATGGTGTTCCACAGGGTTCAGTGCTAAGACCAATCCTTTTCACCTTATATATGCTTCATCTTGGTAATATTATCAAGAAACATCCCATACATTTTTACTGCTATGTAGATGACACTAAATTATTCCTGTCACTGAAGCAGGTGAAACCAATAGATTCATTTAACTTGAAGCATGTCTTAAAGGCCTGGATGACCGGAAACTTTTTCTCTACTCAGTTCTTACAAAACTGAAGTTATTGTTCTTGGCCCCAAAACACCTCAGAGACATTTTCTGATGATAAAACTACAGAAGATAGCACCAGTGTTAAGAATTTAGGTGTTCTTTTTGACCAGGATATATTCTTTAACTCCCACATCCAACAAATCTCTAGAAATGCCCTTTTTTACTTGTGCAATATAAAAAAATCAGACACATCCTGTCTCTTCAATCAGTCATTAATACAACACGTTTTGTTTCCTTTCTCTTCAGAGAAACACTCTGTGGATCATCAGCTGTCTGCACTTGTGCAAAAAGTGAGTTACGTCACATCAGTATCTTTACACAACCTAAAAGTAAATTAGCAGGATGCCTTTTTTAGTCTAATAATTTAGAATATGACACAAATCAGACAGTCATAACGCATGGTGAGTCAGTGATTTTCAGTTTTAAATATCATCTACCAACACGTTCAAATTAAATTCCTCTTTCACTCACTTAAATTCACAGTCAGTGACAATCACCACCACAGACAGAGAGAGGCTTTTGAAGATTCTGGAGCAATTAGAACAGACGGAGCTCAAAAGGTTCAAGTGGTTCCTGCAGAACACTGACCTCCTGGCAGACCTCCCCAGCATCTCGCCTAGTGAACTGGAGAACAAAGACAGGTTAGAGATGGTGGATCTCATGTTGAGGGTTTACAGCACAAGGAGTATAGAGTTAAGCAAAAAGATTCTTGAGAAGATGCCCCGGAATGATCTGGTGCAGGCGTTGTCAGACATCAGCTGATGATCCAAAGGTATGTTGGGAAACACAACCAAGAACAAACCAACCATGGCATGTTGAATTTCCCAATATGTGTGCATAATCAAAATGTCTGTGAAAAAGTTATTTTTTTTCTCATAATTTAATTCAAAAAGTGACTCTGCTAGATATTTTAGGTTCAGAAAGTAAAATATCTCAAGACTTTTTGTTCGAATCATGATTATGCAAACTCTTTATCAGTGATTTCACAACTGTAGAAAAACCATTCCTCAAAAGTTTATCAGTCAAATACTTTGATTTGTGATCACTTATCTGAAAAATATTTCATATTTTATTACCACCTCTGTTCAAATGGAGACACAGAGGTCTGTGGGTTTGTCTGCACTGAGACAAACACTGAGTAGAGCAGACTTATTTACAAAAACAAGGAAATTGCATTCCCAAAGGCAAAGCAACCATGATAGAGTTTATGGATTTTAGCTAAACATTTGCGCTGTCTTTGGTCCTCTTTCCTATTCTTGTGTAAATAGTAAATAACTGTTAGAGACATATTTTGTGAGACAACAGACAATTGAATTTCCCTTCGGGGATTAATAAAGTTATTCTTATTCTTATTTAACTCTGCAATGGACAGTCACTTTGTATTATTCATAATGTTTATTTGTTTTTTCAGCTACTGTCTGTTGAAGTTTTACTGTTGCAAAGATGAAATTATACTTATTATTCTGCCATAAAGTTGTGGTGTAACACAGAATACTTTTCCAAGTCTTTCCTCAGGGGATAACATTTCATATCATATGAAAATATTCTTTCCATTATTTTGAATTTGTACAGTGTTGATGTAGATATTTTCTGTGTTTTTACATAAATTAGCACTTCGAATCGCATTGCTGTAAAAAATGCCTCAAATCGACCAGAAGTGTATCAGGTGGAGACTACTCCAACTGTCCACATTCATGTTTTCCTGGTTAAAATTTGTGTTATTGCAAAAAATAAAGAAGTGATATGCGTAATCTTGAGCGTCGTTGTGTTTCGAAATGAAAATACTTAGTCGTTTTGGATGTTTTTTGTCGTTCTCATGGCTTATTTAACCGTGGTGTCTTATTTTGTGGAGTGTTTGTACGTGGCCGACAGGGGGCAGCAACGCACACTGACAGCAGAATTACATACAGAGAAGAAGATGACCGAGCAGAGAGGATACAGCTCTTATGTACATGTAGGTCATTTAATACTCTTTCTTGAATAGTAATGCACAAAGGCAGAGATGTGTTGTAGTTTTTAGTTTTTTACTTTTCTGACCCTCTACATGTTAAGTATTTTAAGTGACAAAGCTTGTAAGGTCTTCCTTTGTGATATCTATTAGCTCGTAGTCAACTAGAGCCTCCAGACTTCACCTATATTTGAGTCATGTAACTGTCAGGATGTGTTGTTGAAAACTGGACAAAGGTTTTAACAGTTACTGTAACATTGGCCCAGATATAACCTCATTTTTTACATTTCTTTAACGCTGCCGAGATTACACTTTATGTTTAGTTTCTCTTGGATGAAGTCAGTCTTTGCAGGTCGCTTTACACGCTGTCGTAAATACCGACCAAAACTACAAATAAAGTTGCTGAAAATAATAACCAAACATTGTTTTATATCACCCTTTGTGACAGAAAAAAGAACAGGACGTGGATGAATTGTCAAGACAGTCAACGAGAGTAGATGGGAATTTAATTGAAGCTGCTATGAGGAATTTTAGCTGACAGAAATCTTGCAGGAGCTAAAGATAAAACTCAGAAGTAAAACAAGTTAAAAGCTTTTAACTAGTTTATAGTGTACCAATGAAAATGTGGGCTCAAAATATCTATCTTATTTGGTGTAATAGCAACATATTTCTGTGAATTGTCAGTATTTAGGAGATTTACAAACCAAGATTTTTTAAAATATTAGTTACATGAGGAAAAACATATTTAACTTGAGGCTGTAACCAACAGGGAAATGAAATAAACAGGACAGTTATTGAGACATGTTTATATACATTGTAAATATGAACATCTTTCTGTATGAAAAAGTCTAACCTGACAGTCTCTAACAGTGTAACTTGCTGCTTTGAGGTGACTCATGTCCTATATCATACTTAGGGGAGAGTGGGGTAAGATGAGCCATTTTTCATATTTCGGATCACTACATCAATGTAATCATAGTTTTGTCTCTAACTCGTGTATCTGCATATATTTCAAGATGTTGTTCATCCCTGCAAACCAACAGAATGAGTGTAAACAGAACTGTCTTGATAATATAGCATGCCAAAAAAGTGGTCTCCGATGGTCAACTTACCCCACTCTCCCCTGTTCCAACTTCTCATAGTCTGTTGAGATATTGATGCTCCTTCACAGAGAGATGAAAAGATATTTAATTAATTGGTTGATTACTTTGTGTTTCTCAAATCCACAGGACTTCACCAGCAATGACGTGCACTTCCCCTCTCCTTTGTGCCGGCAGCAGCTTCTACCACGGCTATTTTCTGCTCATTATATCTCGACAGTCTCTGTACCTCAGAAGGCTCAGCTCCACTTCTCAGATGAGTCGCAGTCTGCAAGAGAGCTACAGACTTCTTCAACTTCCTGATGAGGGACACAGCAGTCCTGTGCAGGTGAAAGAGGCCTACCTACGCCTTGCCAAGCTCTATCATCCGGACTCCGGGGCTCCGACTGCAGACGCTGGGCTGTTTGCTCAGGTAGAAGAGGCCTACCGTGCCGTGCTGGCTCATCAGAGCAAAATTAAGCAGCCTGATGGAGGGAAAGAGGTGGAGGACGAGGATAAGCCTAGAGGTACAGCATTTCAGCACAGACACTACCTCAGCTATGAAGGGGTGGGTACTGGAACCCCCAGCCAGCGAGAGCGTCAGTACAGGCAGATTCGTGTGGACCGGGCCTCCGAGCAGATTTTGAACTACCGACAGAGGGAGCATGAGAGAGCAGCCGCTGCAGATGGGGCGCTGGTGGAGCGAGATATGCGTCAGCGCAGCCGAAAGATAAAGATCACCCAGGCTGTGGAGCGACTGGTGGAGGATCTAATTCAGGAGTCCATGGCCCGTGGAGACTTCAGGAACCTGAGCGGAGCTGGGAAGCCCCTCAACAAGTTCGAGCACAATCCATACGCAGATCCCATGACCCACAACCTCAACCGCATCCTCATAGACAATGGTTACCAGCCTTCATGGGTTGTCACACAGAGGGATATCCGAGAGGCCACTGCGAACATCCGAAAAAGGTTACTAGAGGGGAGGGCCAGGCTTGGTGACCACATGACTCCAAAGGAACAGGACCAGTGGGAGCAGCTGTGTGCATCTGTTGAGGAGGAGTTAGTGAAGCTTAACAAGCTGGTGGACAACTACAACCTCATCGTACCGATGCTCAAAATGCAGATGGTTCACTTCAGTTTGCCACGAGAGATCGAGAGAGCTGTGAACGGAGCTCAAGCACGTAGACTGGAGCAGCAGAGAGAGAGGGAGAAGGAGAGAGAGAGGAGGAAGGAGGAGAAGAAAAGAGCCAATGCTGTAGCGAGGCCTAAAACTACCAAACCTGGCCTGATGTCCTGGATGAAGAATTTACTTGGATCTAGAAACTAGGTCTGGACAGGAAATCGGTTGGAGAACAGTTGTTTATAACCTCGTACCATTACCTCGTCACACAGACTTGGATGCCAGTAACAAAGTTCATGTTCAACAACAGTAAATGAGCAAGACACTTAACCCACGTTGCTCCCAGTGTGTGTGTCCTCCACTGGTGTATGACTGTGAGTGTTGTGTGGTGGTGGTCGGAGAGGCCGTAGGCGCAAACTGGCAGCCATGTTTCCGTCAGTCTGCCCCAGGGCAGCTGTGACTACTAAGGTAGTTTACCACCACCAGGGTGTGACTGTGTGAGCGAATGAATGATGTATCCAATGTGAAGCGCTTTGAGGTCACTGACAAAAAGCGCTATAAAATCTGATGCATTATTATTATTTATTAAAGGATAATTTAACAAATTTAGAGAGTAAAAATAAATCTCTGTCGACAAGGGAAAAGGTCCATAACTGATACTAGGTGGTCATGATCCTCAGGCAGCACTGCATAAAAAATCAGACATGACTCAAACACTTCACTCAAAACCACTTTAATAAACCACAGAACAGTTTGTTGTTGCATCTAGAAATGCAGGATAAAGCTGTTTCATACAAGGATACAAGAATGTACAATCATGATCCAGAGAGCTGGTGACTTTTCTGGGCCTGAGCCTGTTGAAGATGGTCTGAGGTGAACCGGAGGACTTCCTGTGGTCTGACACGTCAAAATTTGACATTCCTTTTGGAAATCATGGACATCACACCTTCAGCTCGAAAGACAGACTATCCAGCTTGTTATCAGCACACTGTTGGAAAGCCAACATCCCTGATGCACAGCTCCCCTAACATGGGTAGCATACGCATGGTTTCAACATTTAGTATGCTGTCTTTACAAGTTTCAGTTAAATATAGAGTCAGAATGATTTACAAAACCTCAAACAGAGATGGCGAGGACACAAAAGTAACCTCATAACTGTTGGTCAACACTCAACTCAAAGCTCTGATTCAGTAGGTCCACTTATTCAATTCTTGAAAATACTGTTAATGCCATCTTTTATAAGAGAACAGCACCAAGCAGTCATGTTTGCTCAACCTTGAGGGAAATGCATGTGTTGGAATATCAATAATGTGATGTAGTTTAATGATTCAGGTTGTTTCTGTGAAATTACTGATCCGTAAATTCAGAATTAAAACTTTTTGGTTGCTATGTGACATTAAAAAGTTAAGATAATTCAAAATCTCATGCTGAAGACTCCAGTCATATTCTAGTCAGGAAGCTGCTCTTGTGTTGCAGGGTTGCAGATGACGACAGGCTCCTTTCTACCAGCTCTGGTGCCTGCCGTCTCCCTGTGTAGAGCCTCGGCGACGGCCCTGGTGGGAGTCAGCACCTTGGTCCAGTCATGGGCGATGTACTGGTGGTACGGGTCCTGAGAGCTCTCCAGCTTCTTGGAGCGGATGTAGCTGAGCATGATGCCAAGCGTGAAGAAGCTGAACATGCCAACCACCAGAAAGATGTACACCATGCTGTGGGACTGAGTGTGAACCCTGGCGGCTCCTGGCACTGGATGCAAAGCTTGCTGGGTAGTGTAGTTCAGTGGTACCAGTGGGGACAGTACTTTTGTGCTGTTAAGGCAGTGCTGCAGGAAGGAGAGAAGGAGCGACTGCAGCTCAGTGGTGTTGATATATGACATGTCTGACCTCTGCTGGAGGACCAGGGAACTGCAACTGAGGAGGAAACTCAGGACAGTCAGTCAGGAAAGGTTCGGAAAATATACATTGCCCCATCAGGTAACATTGAAAAAACATTTTACATTTATCCTTTTGTGATGCTGGATGGTTCACTCTGCGCCTCTATGCTTAACTCGTACGGAACATCTCAGACTGATTTTAATTCGATATGACACAAAGCGCTTCTTTGCCATTAAAATGTGCCATAAGAGAGCAAAGGTATTTTGTATAAAGGCTGCAGCAGGAAGGAGGAAGACACTGCAACAGCTGAACTACAGTGTGCAGAGAGGGACCAACTAGTACGCAATAAAATACGTTTTTAATAATAAATGAGCAACCAATATGTATCAGATGAGATTAATTCAGAATTCTTGGAATAAAACGGATGCATAAAGAAAGACTTAAAGGAAAGAAATAGGAAAGATGTGGTTAACAAAAATCTGGTGACTTTAATCTTCAAACCGTGTATCTGAAATCATCAAACAGTCCTCTCCAACAACAAAAAAAGTGATCAACTCTGAATCTTCAACTCTGTCCCCTTTTTTCTAACTTTGCTGACCTTGATGTTATTCATTTCTGTTCACACAATGTGACAGACAAACCAACCTCCAGTAATTAAACCTACGTTGTTAGTCAATGTCAGCTGGGATGAAAAATAAACCAACCTTGAAACGATGTGGACTCAGTGGGCGCTCTCACTGACATCAGCAGAAAACTGATCATTCGGAGTCATGAAGCAGCTGCTCGTAAACTTCACCTCAAACAGAAACATACATCCCCCTCTTCTCTCGCTGGTCATGGTGATCCCTCCTCCACGCTGATGCTTTTAAGCAGAGGAGATACACTGAAACGCATGTTTAACTTGTCAACACATTTAATGAAAGGAGGAGGTCTCAGAGCAAGGTCAAAATATATTGTGGCGAGCCAGTGCTGCAGCGTGGTTGACCTATATGGGTGCAGTCAGGCAAAATAACCAGAAGTAGAGTGGTTGGTAGGTTTATTAGTGTTTGGGGGAAATTTGTCATTTAAATCATAATAAAAGTCCAATAAGAAGAGATAAAGCAAAAGCAGACTCATGACAGTAAAATGAGTGCAAACCCTCCTCATGCATGCACATAAGAGGTACCACAGGGGGCGCTCTAGTTAAAGTTTAGAGTCATGGTGGTGAGGTGAAAAGGATTTGGAGTTGTCTTTAACATTAAAGCCACAACCACAAAGTGACGAAGCAGCCAGAGCCTCAGAAGGATGAAAAGTTGTGGATACAGTTCATGTGTATTTTGTAGTGCAGGGTTGGAGTTAAAATCCAGTTTCTGAAGAGTGTTTGTGATCAGTTTTGACGTGTATCTATCACAAGAATCCCCAATACTCACTCTCTGCTGTTGGAGTCGTTTCCAGGAGGGAGCAGGGGAACAAAGCTGCTTTCAGCCTGCAGGTAGTTCAGACAGACTGCTGCACAGCTTAGGTTAGATTGAGTTACAGCACAACCACCTCCAAATGTCCTCTAACCCACTGTCTGAGTCATATGTGTGTGTGTTTGTGTCTGGGACTCTGCATCTTCTATTTTTAGTCAAATGGAAATTCATGAGGCCCGAGTCAATTATTTATTTCCATTTATTGATAAAAAAAAAGAAAAGAAAAGAAAAGTGGCTGATAACCCAAAAGTAACACAACAACAATCTGACCCATGGTCATTTTCATCCTGTACTTGTGTTTGCTTACACATCAAATGTAACAGAAGCAATGAGAGAAAAAGAGAAAGATCTATAAAACCTCTTTTTCCTAATTTAATTTAAAAACCTGGACAGAAACAGTCTGGGAATAAGACCCATTAAAAACCACGAGTAAGAACAAGTTCATTAAGACTCACTAAAGCTGGTAAAGAAGTGCTGTCACTGTCAAACTTGAACATGAGGTTTAAAGACTTCTCAGATACAAGTGAAGTATCTGGGATTTTTAAGACACATTTGTAAAAACTCTCTGTTTAAATAGTCAAAAGTTGAATCTCTGCATCAGCTGTGTCATAAGAAGATATATAAAAGTCAGTACGGGGACCTGGACTACACTAAGCCCAGCTTTTCTTCATGTTTCCCTGAGCTCGTATTTTACAAACTGCATTTTTTACAGATTATACTTTCTTGGTAGAAGATAAACGATGCAGGTAGTTGAAGCCCTCAGACACACGATTACACGTCACCAGCCCCTTGGAGAAACTATCTCTTTGTTTGCAGAAATGAAGCTTGGCTCTTGCAGTGAGGATGTTTTTCACCTGATGGATAAGAAGTTTTGAGATTAGTGCACTCAAAGAATAAACACCAGAAAAGCCTAAATCCGGTTCTGTGTAGGCTTTAAAGTATCTGACACTCACTGGTATATTTACTCCAGCTGCACCCCGTCACAGTTGTCTTTTGATTCTAACAACCTGGAAATAAAAAAATGAGAGCGCAATCGTCAAGATGTGAGAAACAGAGGAATGAAATCAATAATTAATCCTGAAAAGATACACATACATGTTTTAAAAATTTATTCTCATCCTAAAATAGAAAACAAAACTAAAGAGGACATGTTAATTTTTGGTTCAAACATACTGTATTCAATTGAGTGGTATAATCTGTCCATTGTGTCCTGGTTAAATACAGAAATGTCATCCTAAAATTAATCCCCTGCATTAAAAAGATCAGCGGCTCACCCTGCCTGAGTCTTTAGAGCCTTTCGGGCCTCCCGAGCTTCATGCTCCTCTGAAATCTTCTTGTAACAGTAGATCATCACTATGATGAGCCACAGCTGCAGAACCACGATCAGCACGAACATCATAATCTCTGCGATCACGGACGTCAGCTCCCGATTGGCTGGGAAACAGGAACCAACAATGTAGCGGTTAAGACAAGGCATGTGCCCCAGGAATAAAACCTCGCTCTTGTGCACGTGCTTCGACAAACATGGAGGTTTAGCCGCTTTAAAATCAGAGATCATCCTACAGAGACACTGAGTATCTGACAGGAAAGTTGTTTCGAGGATATTTTTATATCTGGTGATGAAATTTCAGCTACTATTACCTGAGAACAAGTACACATGACTTGGCAACCACAGCAGCTACATACATGTCCCTGTGGAGGAAGTGCTTTAATTTAACCTTCAGTTTATTTGGTTTGAGTGGCTGTTAGAGGTTTTCGTGTTGTGTTATTCCAAGTGACCCCTATGGATTATAAATTCCAGGCTAATAAATCCCATCTCCGATGTGACAAATAACCAGTAAGAGTTTAGGACTTCAGGGTTGCATTCAAGAACGCTGAAGAAAACTCTTAGCTGTAAAGCATCTTTTGCTTTTTACACTAAACTGCCCAGATTACAAATCAAAGAACATGCAGTGTAGTTGATTTTCCTACTTTCTTATACATTTTTTCTGTGGTTTATGGTTCCAGTGTGCTCATGTTTTTGTCTCATGACATCTGGGGTGGCCAGTCAGATTTCAAAGGGGGCTGGAAGAGAGTAGGTGAGTTGTGTTTAGTCTCTTTGTTAAAGAAATTAGGCAAAGTTAAAAAGATGTTTGGTGTCTAGTACTATGGCTGGGACTCTATATGTCCTGTTGATGAAGTTAGGTGCTGTTCTGATCATTATTTGTGGTTATAGAGTGGCGTTTTCGTTGAGGTTTGTTTATGGCTCTATAGACCACTGTATATTGCTATCCTGCGGTCGTTACTTAAGTTGGTTTAACTAGAGAAGCAAGCGGTCGTCAACATTCATCTCTGGAGGGGATGTCTAACTCGGTGTTCCGGTGTGTTTGACCCTAAATTAATTTTACGCCGGAATATCCCTTTAATATTTCAGGATGTAAAGGAATTATTACAGGATTTATTCGATCATTACCAACATAACTGCAAATTGCACAGAAAAAAAGAAATGCTGCTCATCACTGATGCATAACGTGAAGAGATGCATCAATCTCAGGGACATTTTTTAACGATCTTTCCTTGTTTTTGACTCTCAGCATCAGCTTATTGCACTCCACTCATCACTATTAAATATTCCTACACTGCTGTATGAGTGTTTTTTTTTTTACTTGTACCCTACCTACAGGCACCACGCTCAGATCCACCTCTTTCTCCACAATCACATGCTCGTTGTACTGTGGCAGGAAGAGTGTGCGGTGGATGGTGCAGCGGTACATCCCCATGTCGTTGTAGGAGACATTATGGATGTAGACGGCTCCTATCTGTATATCTGTATCCAGTGTCCCGTGCCACTCCAGGCGGTTGGAAAAGTTTTCATGGAGGACTTTGGCGCTGGGGTGGTCATAGTGAAAAATCTGAAAAAGACACATTCACAGTCTTGAACCAGAGAGCAAGCTTTGAATCATGTTTTATTCATTTATCTTGCAGTTTGTTTTCACTTTTTGTCAAGTTTTGATAATTTTATTGACTCAAACAACCATTTTTTCAGTAAACTTTTATCAGTGAAATTTAGAAGAAATGAATGCCCTGTCTAGAATTATTTTACGGCATTATATTAAAAAAAATGACTGACTTTTTCCACAATTAACTTTTGGAACTTATGAAAGAGCGAGTCTTGTCCCCAGAGATTTGCAGAGTCCTGGAAGAAGAACGAAGGACACTTCCAGTTGTTGTTCTTCCTTAAACCACATTCAACAGTCCTCTTTGTGGCTCTGGTTGTGAACTCACATGCCTGAACTCCTCCTCTTCCTCTCCCAGCGGTTTGAAGTGCCAGTCCACGGTGGCTCGGGCAGAAACTTCTTCTCGCCTCTTGCACGAGATGCAGCCCAGCAGGAACCCTTGTCCTGCAACGGCTTCCGTTAGCGAGTCGACCTCCGAGCAGCCAGCATCGCACCGAGACACTGCAGGAGAGGAGAGAGGGTGAGGAAGAGGAAAAGATGAAGACACTGGAGTAAATCAGTCCAGGGATTTCATGAGTAAATGAACAGGTTGGACTTAAAAAACACATTTAAGTGGAAAATACTACATTTTCTTCGTGTTTTTCTTTGTAACTGTACCCAGAAAACTGAACACTGCTCGAGAACACCTGTTTGGATCATTCCACAGGTGAGCAGGTTAAACAGGTGAGGGTCAAGCAAGGATGGGGCCAGGTTCATCACTTTGTCAGCGACTGTGTGAGAAAATAGTCCAACAGTTTGAGCGCAATCTACAACTGTGGTAATTTAGGGATTTGATCATCTAAAGTCCAAAACATCATCAAAAGATTCAGAGAAATTTCTGCACGTAAGCAGCAAGGCCAAAAACCAACACTGAAAACCAACCCTGTTTATTTCAGGAAGACAACCCAGTGGGGCGTCATAGTGGACTGGCCTGCCTGCAGTCCAGACCTGTCTCCCATTGAAAATCTATGGAGCGTTATGAAATCTGACAACGGAGACCCCAGACTGTTGAGGAACTGAAGTGGTCCATCCAGCAAAAATTGGAAAGAAGTCCAACACAGTGGTAAACATGACCCTGACCCAGCTGTTTAGGAACAGCTGTTCATGTTTTACACAACATCCCAGCTTTATTGGAGTTTGGGTTTGTTTACGAAAACAGTTAACGTCAAGTAGCTTGTAAAATTCACTTACAACTTGATCAACTCTCTTGCTGTCTTCTTAAATGTTTTTTATTGTTTGATTTTATCATGAAAAGACCAGGAAAAGAAAGAGATTAGGTTAATCAACAAACTCGCTTCCAAGAGTGCGACTTCAACCGCCAACATCATGAAGTTTTCCATGAGTAAAAAGTCATAAATGAGTTTGTACTTACAGAAAAGACTGAAGATAACTAGAAGAGAAACGTAGCACACCATTTCTGCCGGCTGTTGGAAACAGTGTTGAACTCTTCTTGACGTAAACCTGCAGAGAAATATCCCCTGGGATTAAGATTATATTACTGACATGAAGCCCCTGAATTCCTCATGCCAGTTTAGTCTAGTCTTAATCCAGAAAGATCTGTCAGTCCATCATCTCAACAATCGTGTGTTTCAGGAAGTCCAGAATAAACAGAAAATCTCAGAACGGAGACAATGTTTACAAGAAAAAACCCAGGTCTTAAGTCTCTCCACGATAGTCTCCTTCAGTCTTGTCTGACTTTAAGGCAGCTAAATTTAGAGCGTGTGAATCTAGTAGAACTGCTGTGTTGGAAACCTGAGCTGATGAGACTTGATCCAGAACTACAGCAGGACCTTGTGAAGCAAGACCGCAGCCATGTTTCTCCTGGTTACACATCAAACAGCTGTTTCACTCAAGGAAAGTTTCAAATCCTCTTACTCTTATTTTCATATGTCTTATCCTCATTTGATTTTCTCCTTCATTACATTCAAAGCAGTGAATTTCATGTCTGTATGAATAAAAGCAGCAGGTCTGCGATGCAAAGTCATTTCAAGCATGTTTTGTTAGTCAAATCCTCCAGGACAAACTGGTGCACAGACCAAAGCAAACAAACATGCAGGGCTTAAAGGGATCGCTGCACCATACCTTGGTGTAAATGCTTTATTTTTACATGTGAGTAAATGCTCTGTTCCCAGAGGTCAGAGGTCATGGTGGCTGATGGGACCCCAAGCTGACTCGGGCTCAGAGCGTGGCTTAAAGACATATCAGCAATGATGATGCTCCAGTGTTTTGAATGTTTTGCTCATGAGAGAATGATCCAGCATGTCTCAGCTGATTGAAACTATTTTTCTGAGGGTCTGTCTTTGTTGAGCTGATTTCACCAGGTCCAGATTTCACACTCTGGTTTAGATGTCTCACCTTTTACACTATTTGTATAACAGTGCTTTCCACAGCGATGCAAAAGAGAGAGTAGGAGTTTGATATAAAGTGATCCTAAAATGGAAACGCCTTTTAATAGGGAGTTTAAATGCAATATAAAAAATAACTTTCATAAACTCTGACATCAGAGTTTCACACTAGTGAACTGAAATATGCTGCCTTAGTCTTACAGTAAACTTATCCCTGTTAAAGGGATACTTCGGCGTAAAATTAAGTTAGGGTCAAACACGCTGGAACACTGAGTTAGACACCCCCTCGAGAGATGAATGTTGCCGACCGCTTTCTTCTCTAGTTAAACCAACTTTAGTAACGACCACACGATAGTAATACAGAGAGCCACACGCTCAACCAAAACGCCACAAATAATGCTCAGAACAGCACCTAACTTTATCAACAGGACATATAGGGTCCTAGCCATAGTACTAGATACCAAACATCTTTTTAGCTTTGCCTGATTTCTTTAGCAAAGAGACTTAACACAACTCACCTACTCTCCTCCAGCAGCCGCTTGATTGATTGATGTCATTGATTCGTACTACTGCAGCATCCAGAAGATTTTCTGCTGCACTCTCACATGAGCTCACATGGATTTAACCTTGAAATTATTCTGGGGGATAGCAGAATGCAGCAAACATGTCAAACTTTCTGGAAATTTTCAGGAATTTCGCACTCGTCTGGAAGGAGCATCTTAGTTCTCTGTACTTTTCCGACTTAAAAGCTATGAGGGGCTTGAAGGTTTGTGTTGATTTTGGCACCCCCTCAGGGCAAAGATGTGCATTTTACCCTTTATATAATCTTGTGCTCTGAATCCCAGATTAGCTTTCTGAAAAAAGGAAACACTTATCCTGCTTTCTTCAAACAGTGTCCCATGTGTCCCTGATTGTAAATTTTTGCTGTTGAGAATGTAAAAAAGATTGTTTTCAGTGTTCTGGTCTGACCTGTCGCTGTTTTAGGCAGTAAAAATTATAAAATGGAATTGGTCAGACAGGTTGCCGTTGGTCATCTTTGCTTTTGTAGGTCATGAAGACGCATCACTATCAGTTTCAATCTATTTCAAAACCACTTACAAACTCCTTGCATTGGCTTTAAGGAAGGAGTGTTAAAACCTCTTAAATGCTGTTGCAAATTCCACTCCAATATAAAACATTCAGTACAAACAAGGAGAAATCTCAAACATGTGAATGAAAAGGAGCAGAAAGAAGAAAAATCTTAAAGTCTGCTCCTCTTTCATGAGATATTAATCAACTTAACACACAATAAAAAATAAAAAAGGGGCTGCAGACCAACACGCCTTTTTACAGTTAATTATTTCTTATATTCAAAAACAACCTGCAAAACAAACACATTTTTTTTCACAAAACAAACATACCAAGACTTAGATTAACATATTTCCCTGTATTTACTCGACATACTGCCTTTGACACTTTTTTTTAAAGATAAAATTTGATTTAGTTTTTTTAGTTTCTTTGTTCAGATTGTTCCACAAACGTATTCCTTTCACTGTAACACAGCGCTCGTTCAGATTTCACACGTTTTTATCATCTTGACACCCTTTTCTTCTCAATCAGTTTTGATACCCGCTATTACAGTCAGTCCACGCCAGTTTGGCCTGTCAAAAAAAACAAGGCCACTGAAGTCAAGGCTGCCAAAACAGACACTGACTGAAGGCCTCGTGTTGCGTGCTGACATCCATGACGGAGAGGTTCACGTGGTCTCTGCTGCCTACGTGTTGACTTGATGAATGCAATGAGTTGTTTTCCGTCTTCTTAAAAGGGAAACACCTTCTAACACGTCAAATCAAATTAAACATATCTCACTCTAACGTAAAACAAAAAGGCAAACAGTGTTCAGGGGTAGGACACGCTCTGTTTTTCTGCCAGTGTTTTTCTTGTGTACGTGTTTGTGCGTTTGTGTATTTTGAGTGCGTTGGAGGTCAGGGATGTTGTCATGTGATGTAACCAGATGACATGGTGAAGCACACGGCTCTTGATAAGGGTCCTTGTCTCTTTTAACCTTGTGTGAGCCTGTGAATGATAATGGCGATGAAAAATCTGCAGAGCAATCTTGAAAATGACACACATGTGGCCACGAGATGCCGGGACGAAGACCTTGAGGCCGGCATGCACATGAGGGGAAACTTCAAGGAAATGTTGACATATGATAAACCTGTGTATGTGTGTGTGTGAGTTGACTATATAGGGGGTGGGCTGCCCCTCTGTGACCCCACACAAGCATACACACAGTGAATGACACACCTCCTTTCTCGTTATGCTGCTGATGTCTTTTTATTTTTAGCACAGATCGAGTTTCCAGTCGGCGATTCAGCAGCCAGAGGTGCTCAGCAACACAACTCCCGGTATCCTGGAGCTCTGTCTGTGCCGGGGCTGCATGTGTAACACAGACCTCAGATCTTCATACTGGAGTGCTGATCGCAGGAGGAGGGGACACACAGACAGTGAGGAGACTGGAGATGGTGAACGTATGGAGAATTTAAAATTGCTAAGTCATTGTGATGCTCTGCCATCGACTTGAAAGGAATCGACCGCCGCATGAGATTAAAACAGACAGGCAGGTAAAGGCAATTTCATTCAAGCTGTTTTTCCAGATTAATTTAGTAAGATTTGATACTCTCTGTGATACATAAAATCTCCTCTGAAAGTGTGTAGCATGATGGTATCTGCTCTGGTGTGTATTTTAAAACAGCCTGGCACAGTGAGAGCACAACAATATGTAAATGAGACTGAAACATGCAAAGTGTCCGTACAGATACAGTGCGGGGGGTGAGTAATGAAACAGCATTAGTTCTTATGGAACCTTTAAATCTGCATCAGCAGGATTTATTCAGAAAGTACTGTACTGAATCATGACTCCAGGCAGAAAATATGTTCTACTATTTAATATTTAGAGTACTTTTTAAACAAAAGGTGTTACTTGACTGAATGTGTTTCTGCCAATGACAAAATAAAATGTTTTTCTTCAAACTTCATTAGATTAACTTTTTACATGCAAGTTTTTGCAAATATACATAGGGGATTTTTAAAAAAAAATTTTTTGCGATGAAATCCAAACGTGTCACTAAAACGAATCTTAAAAATCAACAGCAATTTCTTTAAAATTGGAAAAACAAACTCTGACATTTATTGATTATATTTTTATTAATAGTTTTTAGCTTTTTCCTTTCGTTATGTTGTGTTTGAGTACATCTAAATCAATATGCATTATTAAATGTAAATTTAGCTAAATGAAAATATCATGTCAGTACATAAATATATAGGTAACACTTTATAATAGGGGTACAAACTTAATGCATCATCAGTGCTGAAGTAATGCCCTCATTCGCTGTTAATTCATATATTTATTCATTTAAACAACATTAATTAATCTAAATCTTCATTTTATGTTGCATACTTTGCATTTGTATAAATATATGGTTATTTTCTTTGATAAGAAGGGTTAAACAAATGCACAGTCATAGAATACACTCGTTTCCTCATATTTTAAAGGTGCAGAGTGCAGTTTTAATAACATTTAGTGGAACAGAGGAGATCTAACTGCTACATATGAATAAATCCATGGTTATTTCATCATCAACGACAAATTTGTTGAGATTAGTTCACGTATCAAAAAATAATGATTTACACATAACAAAACATAAATAAAGTATATAATATGTACCATTTTGTCCAGAGATACTTATATATGTTTTCTTTCCATTACAGACAGTGAATCCTCTTTTAACCCAGCTCTCCGTATGTCCAGGACTGTGCCTGAAATACTTTGTTTTTGAAGCAATGCTGCAGCAGGAGTCACCGGGTGAGATTTATGCTCCATTTGTCTTTAACACTTCCTTGTTTCATAGCAAAAAGGACAAGAAAAGAAAAATCAAATCTACAAGCAGTAATGAATAAAAATGTTGTTTTGTTTTACCAGTGCTTTAATTCAGTTTATGAGACTCTACATGATGAGGTATAAGATACTGAGGTAAATTAGTGGAATACTGCACTGAATCATTTTAAACACAAGAGGTCGCAATTATATAGTCCATTCATTCCAGCCACATAGAGCTCCCTTCAAATTACCTCTGAAATAATGCCAAATTTGTAGATTTACCTGATTCATACTACCAGGAGGTTTGGTCTCTGTTGTTGACTTCTTTATTGTTGACTGTAGGTAACGAAAACTATACATGGCTGTTTCTTTTGCTTCTCCCCGGCATAAAACAGCCACAGCAAGTCACTGGGCAAAGTTAATGCAAGCGGGATTTTCAAATTGATGGCAGTAAATCGTAAGAAACCGTATTAGTTGATAATTGCACAGATTTTGTGTGTTATGGTGCGGTGTAGTGGAAACAGTCGTCTCCTTCTATCGCCACATCCTCTGAACAGTTATTTCCTCGGACTGTACCACAAAGTTTGACGGGGGGGTGCTCGCTTTGTTTTGCTCCCTGTTTTTGTATTTGTTCGCTTATTTTGTGATCGTTTTTCAAATCATATAATGTTTATACCTTATTAGATGAAAGGGGTGTATGTGTTAGGAAAAAAAATAAGAAAAATGATCAGATTTTCTTTATCTAACGTCTCGTAACACCCCTCGTATCTAGTTAGGCGCCCAACTGACTGACTTCGTCTCTTTTCACTTTTCGACAATAAACCGTTTTGTCTTTTACTTTCAAACCGCCACGAAGGCGAAGCAAACTCGGGTGTTTTGTCGGAAATTAAGTTCGAAATTCATCCATTACACCGGGGTGGTTTTCGGAGTGAAAATGGGAGAGGTCGGCGTAGTACTTTATGTTCTGAGAATTAAAGGCTGCTAGTTATTTTAGTGCGCTGTCGGCCTCCACAACAGGTCTCGGTTAGCTGGCTAGGAGCTAACTGTTAGCAGCAGCCGGCAGATGCTTCTCCACGCAGATAAGTATGTTGATGTGTTCCTGCGAAAAAGTGGATTTTAACATCACCCCTCGCACCGTCGCTCGGCTTGTCTTCGAGGCCGAGCAGGATAACAGAAACGGAGGAAACTCGTCAAATGGGAGGTAGGAGTTTATAACTTCAGCCGCCGCGGTCCTATGATGCAAAGTTGCTGTATCTGTGGAAAGAATCGCCCGATTTTTGTATGTGTGCCTTTTTTGTCTTAGGGGTGGTCAAATGCACATAAATCTACCTTCATTGTTGGGCTGCGGTGTTGAGTGATGAGTGTCTTAGAGCAACATGAACAACAGCAACAAGTTAGTTGACGAAATGGCTCATAGGCGATCATCAAGTGGTTGGGTTTTTTTGCTGTTTTCTGCAACAGAAATCGCCACTGTTGGGTGTGTGATGTTGTTTGGTGAAGTCTAAAGATGTTCCGTGTTTAATGGGGTAAAAAAAGATGAGGCGTGTATGGACCTAAGAGAGAAGGCTGCACGGGGATTATAGTGGATTACTGTGGACAAACAAGTCTGTGCCAAGATTGTTCTTGTTCAAACAGATCACAGCAAATACTGTCAGACGTGCTCGGGCCCTTTGCCTTGGAAGTGCCTGCTTTGAAGGCAAACAATGGAGTGACACACACACACACAAGCCTTCCCTGTTGGAGGACACATCTGCAGTATGTTTTCATGTAAATATAACCTTTATAGCATCTAGCTGCCATTAGACTTTGTTACAGGCTGTATGGGTGATGGATTTTAAAGTAGTGTTGCCTTTGTTTGGTAAAAGTTGTGTGGATTTGTGTTTTTTCTCTGTGCAGTTTCTGGCGTTTAGGTTTCTTTCTGGCACTGATTTGCAATGCGAAAACTAGGGGATGAAATAGGCCTGGGCGATTTGGCAAAAAAAAAAAAAAAAGGAATCAGGATACATTTTGTCATATCATTCAATCTCGATTATTATCACCATTTTTTTTTAACTGTCTGTTTTAAAGCATCTGTACTAAAAACTAAGGAAACTAGAGATTAGTTAAACTTTTTATTAACATACAAAGTAAATAACAAAATAAATTGAATAAGATACATTTAGAAAAATATAACAAAATATTTTAATTCAACAGTACAACAAATATAGATAAATACTAGATAATACAGTGAACTAGTTTACAGTCCTTAGTTTTTGCAGGTACGCAAGACCCAAAATAAACAAATTGCCCCCTCAGAGATAATGAAACGCCTTAAAATGTAAACATTAGATGATGTAAACGTAAATGATATGAGTAATCACTGCCTAGGTCTGGTGGCTGCACTGCTAGTTGTGGCTAAACTGCTAACGCTACTCGTGCCGTCAGCAGTGACAGGCTGTACAGACTTCGCTCACATTTCCATGCTTTCCACATAATTACTCGGGTTTTCGAGGGCACCGATCGCCGACATACCTTGCTCATCAGCTTAATTACTTGACATCACTTTGGAGATACCCGAACCACCACCACATAGACGTTGAATAACTTCTCAACAATAACATCTTCGGAGGATGACTCAAAGTCACGGCTGACATCTATTTTGCTGCCCTCAGCTCCGCGTTTAGCTCCATGTTCGGTTATCCTGTTTACCTCTCTGGTAACTTACAGAAGTGAGCAGGAAAAGCTCGACTCTGATTGGCTGTTGTGACGCACATTTCCGCTATGTTTGATCGAGTAAATATGCTCTCAGCTGATCACTGTGATCGAACTGAAATTGATCACGATCATTGATCACGATCATATAATCGCCCAGTCCGAGGTTGAAATATCTCTGATTCTGTCTGCTTGTAAATGCACAGTGACTTTTATTAATCACTAAGTTGTGGCTGTTTCAGAGTAACTTGAAGGGAGAACAAGTTCGTTGTGCTATTCAAATGGACTAACAAAAAATATCCCACCATTCAAATACTCTATCTACAGTGGATATAAAAAGTCTACACACCCCTGTTCAACTGCCAGGTTTTTGTCATGTAAAAAAATTAAATCAAGATAAATAATTTCACAACTTCTTCCACCTTTAATGTGACCTATAACCTGTACAATGCAATGGAAAAACAAAACGAAATCTTTCAGGGAGGTGAAGTAAAAATACACAACTGAGATCATCAACAGCAACACTGAAGGAGCTGCAGGAATTTCTGGCAAGTACTGGCTGTGTAGTACATGAGACGACAATCTCCCCTGTCTACATATGTCTGGGCTATGGGGTAGGGTGGCACGACGGAAGCCTTTTCTTAATTTTGCAAAAGACATCCGAAATCTCCCAAACGCATGTGTGAAAATATGTTATGGTCTGATGAAACCAAAGTTAAACTTTTTGGGCATCATTGCTAAAGGTGTATTTGGCGCAAAATCAACACTGCTCATCACCAATAGAACACCATACCTACAGTGAAGCATGGTCGTGGCAGCATCATGCTTTGGGGCGGTTTTTCTTCAGCTGGAACTGGTGCCTTAATCAGGGTGGAAGGAATTATGAACAGATCTAAATACCAGTCAGTGTTGGTACAAAACCTTCTGCCTTTTGCTAGAAAGCTGAAAATGAAGAGGAACTTCATCTTTCAGCACGACAATGACCCAATGCACACACATCTAAATCAACAAAAGAATGGCTTCACCGGAATAAGATTGAGACTTTGGAATGGCCCAGCCAGAGCCCAGACCTGAATCCCATCAAACATTTGTGGGGTGATCTGAAGAGGGCTGTGCATAGGAGATGCCCTCGCAATCTGTCAGATTTGGAGCGGTTTTGCAAAGAAGAGTGGGCAAATATTTCCACATCAAGACGAGCCACGCTGATAGGCTCCTACCCAAAAAGACTGAGTGCTGTAATAAAAGCCAAAGGTGCTGCAACAAAGAATCAGTTTAAGGGTGTGCATATTTATGCAACTAGGTTATTTTAACTTTTCTGTTTTTTAATTTTTCCCCTTAAAGGTTTAAGTTTGTTTTTCAATTGCATTGTACAGGTTATAATCACATTAAAGGTGGAAAAAAATGTGAAAATATTTATCTTGCGGTCATTTTCTTAAAACCTGGCAGTTGAACAGGGGTGTGTAGACTTGTTATATCCACTGTATCAACCCTCTTGCAGGAATGTACTTGATACCAAATCCCTATCATCGTTATCTGATACCTCATATTCCCAGCACTGTAACAAAGACCCGACAGAAATAGTCCTGGTCAAACAATCTTTTGCTTTTCTTGGGAGTTTAATAATTCATATTCAAGGCGATACATTTTAAATGGTAGTTCGACTAGCTAGCCTTTTAAATGCAAAAGTTTCTCCTCTTTTCACTTCTCAGGTAGGTACTCCCAGACACAGATCTGTCTCTGTCTCTTGAAAAGATGAGCCTGATAATGCAAATGCAAGCTTGAAGTGGAGAGCTGAAGACAGAGTGTGACACTGGACATTTAAAGAGATGTACAGAGGAGGAGGAGGAGGGGGGCTGAAAGACACAAGCTCAAAACACGGAAAAAAAGATGAGTGAGCATTTTCACTGTCAGCCTTGAGCCTTCACATATGCTGAGTGGATAACTAGGAATGGATTGCTGAGGAACACACAGGCCTGTGAAATTACCTGGAAGGACTCCTCCTTACTTCAACACTCATTGGCACTTTGTTTTTGATTGTGGAGGGAATGTACTTCACTTCCGTCTCATGAACTGTACAGTGTTTCATCAAGAATGGTGAAATTGGCTTCTTTGGTGTGAAGACATTTCCTCTGTCGTTCAGAGGAAATAAGGAAAAAAACTGAATCATCTTCAGTTGTTTTCACTGTTGCTTGATAAGTCAGACCTCGTTGAGCAACCCTGAGTTGAATGAATTGATGGCCTGGAGGGAGGACTTGGTGTGCTCACTCTACCCCAACAAAATTTCAAACGCATGACTCTAACATATTGGTCAGTCATGGGTCAGTCTCAGCTCCAAGAAATGCAACATGCCCTCGCCGTGACTGAAAGAGAGAATTAAGGTCTGATGATGACTATGTCCTCTCCAGCGGGACCAGAAGGTATTACTCTGTCACAACCTGTCCCAATTCCAACGCTGACTGTCCTGCCGCCGTCCTCGGACACAGAGTCCTGGTCTCGCTCACCCAGCCCCAGACTGGCTCGCTCCAGCCGGCACGGCCGATTCCATCGCAGCAGGACCCGAACTAAGAAACGAAATGAGGAAGAGCAAGGGTGCTCTCCTAAACAGCAATGGGGTAAAACAATTGTAATGGAAGAGAATGCAGAGAAGGAGACTTCTCGACATCGGAGCCCTTCGCCCTCCCCCTCTGCAGCCGGTCAGATAGAAGGGGTAGAGCAAGGTCAGGACAGCCCTTCTCAGGACCTCCTCCTGCCACCATCTCGCTCCTGGTCTCGTAGTCCCTCTCCCAGCCGGCGTTCCCGCTGGTCCCTTAGGAGCCTTCTCAACAGAGACTCTGACTGGGATAGCTGCAGGTTAGTGAGCTGGATTCATCCCCAAAAAACGGTTTGATTTAACAGAACACGAGGAAGGAGATCATGAAAGAAAGTGTGTAAGTGCAGCTTGAACTTACTGCCTTCATTCATTCATTCAGCTGACAGATTCCTCTTTGCAAATAGGCTCACTTATCTTACAGCAGCACGTCAGGGTCATTGGCTTAGAACAGAGTGTCCACATCAGCAGTGCTGTGTTTGCTTGTCTCATGGGTATTCTCTGCTTTTAACTCTGTAAAACCTCAGCCAATTTACATTCAGGCCTTCTGAGACCAGATTCCTGCCTGCTTTGACTGACAGACTCGTGTAGCATCTCACTTGAAAATGCTGGTGGGCAGTAAAAAGGCCTTAGATCTGACAGACTTGGGCTTAGTTGCTTTTTTCTCCAAGTGGCACACGAGGTAAGCTATTTTTAAACAGGCTGGAGATAATTAGCTAATGGCTAAAACTAGCAAGGACAGATTACCCAGTTAAAATCCCGATTAAGTTGATTAATGGTGTGCTTTGATGCTGGATATAAAAGCGGGTCAGTGGAATTGTGCGGTTGAGCTGAATGTCCTTTCTACCCTGAACTTCAAACAAAAAAAAAAAAAACATGGATATTAGACATGACCTGCTCTTGACTACTAGTTTAACAGATTAGTATTAGCTTCAGATTCCAGCTCTTAAAGAAGTCAAGCAGCAAGGTTATGTAAACTGTAAACAAAGTGAGACCAATGTTGTGGCAGCAAGGAAAAACAGGAGCTGGGTCAGTCAGCAGGCGCTAGAGGAGGGGCTCATGCACCATTTATCCTTCTCCTAAAGCATGACATCACCCTCAGCCAATGGGAGCAGAGTCTCAGTCTGATGATGTCACACATGTCCAATCAGAGGAGGGTCTGGGCAGCACTGCAGTGGGCTACAGAGGGCAGGCAGAGGGTGATTTTGCCTGTGCTCCATATGAACAGCTGTGCCCTTGTCTCATTTATTACACATCATTTATTAACCCGGTTGTATTGTTATCTAAACAGCAGTGAAACTAATCCAGATCTCAGTTTGTATTCCCTTATAACAGTTTGACATCTACCCTTTAGAGAGAAAATGCTTAACAGGGCTTAAAAATCAAGCGAAGGGTGTAGAGTTGAACAACGTCATGGAAATCCCTCCAGATTTATCTTAAATAAGACTCCAGCAAACACATACCCAAGGTCCTGCAAACTATTATTCAAATAAGCCACAAAATAAACCTCCATTATACAAATGCATTCCTCCTCACTCTGAAGAAGTTTCTAGTCTACTTTGAGATGTTTGTACAGCTTCACACAGTTGATTCACATTCGGCAAATAACTAGAAATAGTCTGTAACAGCTGCTCCAGAGACACCGCCCCCATGCCCCTATGTCCTTTGTTTACTTTTTCTTCTTCATCAGTGGTTTTCTTGTAGAATAAGTCAGCTGTTTGTAGTACAGCAAAAATAAAACACTTGATGCATCATAGGTTTGTATGGCAGCTGTATAAGATATCTGTCAGGAGGGACAAATTGTCGTGTTTTTTAATAAAGCAGCTCAAGTGTAATAATGAAGAGGTGCTTTGATATTGGCTAGAGTTAGCTGTAGGGAACGGCGTCACAATGTGAACAATAGTCATGGCAGTCCTATTGTAACTCTGGATAGTCTGCTCTCACATTAAAGCCGTGTTATATCTTTGGTCATGTAACTGGTTTAAAATGAGAGTGTTATGTGTTGAGCTGACAGGTCATTAAGCTTTTATTAGGTCTGTTAATTGCAGGTTATCTCAGTCATGTTAAAGCCGAGTAAATCTCCCTCAGAGGCACTGTCATGCAGCTTGTGAATGAGCGTCTCTGAGGTCGCTACCGTTGAAATAAAGGCTCCTTACGAATAAAAAAGGGTGCATTATGAAAACTGTCATGTGATTTGACCATTTTTCCATCCGATTGCTCACTCTACTCTTTAGACAAGACCTGGGATGGAAAATATTTGAGGATATAACAGTGAATATTTGTTGAGTCGTTGTCTGCTGACTTCTTCCAATAAATTGCTTCAATTTTTATGCTGCAAATTTTTAGTCATGCGTTTTATGCTGTTTCAGGGATAGGAATAAAGCAAAATCGGAGGCCTGAAACAAGATGGCTACATCTACGAAATTTATTTTTGCGCTTGCCTTTTATTCGGACAAGGCAAGCGCTAAAGTAACTTTAGTAGATGTAGCCATCTTGTTTACTGAAACGCTGGTAACTCAGGTGTGACGTCATTTTCAGCTCAGACTTCTGATTTCCGAGGTAACTCGAACGCAGCATTAATTCTCCTCCATCATGATGCACGAGATTTACAAACAAACTAGCACTTCTGTGTCGCCTCTGTGTTTGTGTTATTGTTCTTCTCGCACTACGCTCTACTGTGAACAACAATCAGTATTTAGTGAAAGTGTCGAATGAGCTTCCTTTTTTTCAAAAGGGCAAAAGGTGAAACTTAAGGTCCTTACACACCGGGACTGACGCAAATATACAATGCGGAATTCTGAAATATTAGGAGGGGGATTTTGACGCACCCGACTATACACATCAAGCGCAATGCGATTTTGCGACTCTCTGGAGGGAAAAAAGGCGCGTCCTGGGTGGAAGCGAGAAGACTGACACAATATCAGACGGACTGTTTTTCAGTTCTAATTAGACTCTAGTGTTGAGATGTCTGTCTGTCATGATAGCATGCACTGAGTCGGGGTCAGTACCAGATAAGAACATTAAACTGTAATCCATAAACGTAAGATAACAAAGGAGAGCTTACGAGCTAAAGTTACTTAGCACAGATGAAAGTTAAAACAAAGACGTTTATCAAACTGTTAAAGCACACAAACCATCGTCAAATGAGAAATCCGACGCTGTAACTCTCCACAAGTTGTCCTTCAGGTCGTTATCTTTGTAATGTTTGTGTTTTTTTTTTAATCAAAAATCACTCTGTTCTCCGACACGTAAACAATCAGCCGGTTGGCCATGTTGGATATACCAGTGAATCCGACAACGCAACAACACGAAACCTGATTGGTCAGAAGTGGACACACAGTATGCGAAACTTTAGAAAATTCGACTGTGATCCGAAAAAATAAATGCCGCAGTATCGCAGGACGGGAAAACGTCGCTGATGTGAACGCTTGTATTGACAGGATATGGGTTCGAAAAAAACATTGACGTCCGAAATAATCGCACGAAGAAAACGCTCCCGGGGTGAAAGGAACTTGAAACTGATCATCTAATTCATATTTCAAGGTGTAACTGCATCTAATGGATTTTTTTTGTTAGTTTGGAGATGCTCATTTACTGACTGCACGTTATACCTAAGCTTTTAAATGTCAGGAGGGAAGAGGTTCATTATGAGGCTGTTTTAACTTGCTTTGCTTAACCAGCGTGTCTTGCAGTACAGCTGAAAGCCTATGGCGTCTTACAAAGAGAACTTGTTCTGCTAGTTTTGATTTGAACTCTTAGATTATATTCATGTGGGGAGGCCAACAGTCAGAAGTCTGATATGAGGACAACTTATCTATGCAAGACTTAATGTGCAAATTGTTAGATGTAGAATCAATCAACACACCTTTAACCAATCAGCAGAAAGGTTGGGTATTGAGACAAACCTGCACAGAGGACCAGATGCTGGCGGTGCTAGTTCTTGGCAAACCATTTGACATTGTTTACCTGCAGACGGCTTCTGTGTTTGCTTCAGACGCGTCGGTTAGCTGAAATTGAAATTTCTGTTTTATTGACCCCTTTATTAGTTCCCTAAGATTATCCTTTGTGCACATATACTACAGATGACTCAACAGAGAAGTGACAGTTTTTCAGAGAGAAATTGATGATGAAATGATGAAAGAAGGATGTTATGCAATGTCAGATCAATGACACGCACTGACCTGCTGACTTATTGGGATTCTGTGACCTCTCTTTTTCTGTCTGTCTGTCTCATGGTACCAAAGTGCTGCTTTGAGACTTTTCTAGTTTACAAAGTCTGCACTCAGTCACCATGTTTGCTCACTTCGATGATTAATCCGCTTAGACAGTCTAACTGTTCCTGGTCCATGTCTCAGAACAGTTGTGTAAGGATCCAGTTTTTGGTAAATCACCTCCAATTTATTTTGTACTCAAAGATTTACCTCTTCATCTCCTAATCTGCCCATAGACATGGATCTGTACTTATCCTTTATATATCTTCTGCTCTGAGGTGTTTTGTTGACAGGAAGGAAAAGGCACATTTACATCTCGTCTACTCACTTCCTGTATATTCTTCTCAGCTGCACTCAGTCTCTTTCCTCGCAGTTTTCTCAATACCTCAACCACCGGGCCAATGAAACTCTGACACTATTATGGCCATTGCTGAACTTGAGAAAAGCAGATTACACAGAGGGAGACAGAATGGTGGAGATGCAGGCCTGGCTCAGCCCAGCATGGATTATGATGTGGACTCTAATCCAGAGGGATGGGCAGGGAGATGGAGCAGAGGGATTGCATGGGCTTTGGACTTGGGCCAGGTTGTTTCACCACAGGCAATACCTGGGTCTCCTTTTTTTAAAATAAATTTGGTTTATTTAGGACTCTAGTGTTGCATTAATTAAAGACTAAACTAGTTGAACTGTCAGGATGCTAAATGCTAACTTTACCTAGCTGATGTTTAGCGTTTGACTGATGAGATGCTCATGAACTTTGCAACTCTGTTCATCCTCCACCACTAATATTTTCGTCTACGAAAACAACACTGTTATGTCGACCAATAAGACAAACATTATTTGATCATTTTTCATTGTGCCCCTAAAGTTCTTGATGTGCTCTTTACTTTTTCAACTTAGGAGCATTTGTGCTTCTTGAGAAAAAAGTGAGTATCAAACCCTGACATACGTAAGAGGGCAGTGTTTTCGATACAGCAATTCCAGAAGAATAGTTGATGCCCTCATTATTTATTTCTTTAAAAAGTAGTTCAAGATCCAGATATGTTTAGCCTGATGTCGGAAAGGCTTAAAAACAATTACCTGAAATTAACATCAGAAACTCAAGATTGTCAGCAGTTTTGCCTAGGGACTACACAAAGTTGAAATAAGAAGTCACCCAATGACTCTTACCCTTTGATTTAGAAACTGTAGAGTTACTTAGTTGGAAATGCCACAAATCCCCATAAATGGCTCGGGGATTTCCACGCTGATGCTTGTTGTGGGAATTTCTAAGTTGAGCTGGATAAAAAAAAATCAGTTTTTAACATGTAAAAATATAAATATATGTGGGTCAATGATGTGACACAGTTTCTTTTTTATGTTCCTATGGTTTACTTAAATTTTAAAAAGCTAAAATTAAAAAATAGACTCACCAATTACTTGGATACATTCTCTTTTTGAAGACCTTGTCCAAAATTTCTGGATTTTTTCCATTTTAAAAGAATATTTAAGGAATAATATGGAAAATGTCAATGTGGTGTAACCATAAAAACACGGTACTAAATATTTCAACTTGTTCAAAATAGGAACAATTTTTTAGGCCAAAGATTTCAGCATTTCTCCTGCTATATATTACAAAAATGCATCCAAATTTTTTTGTAAAAAAATCCTAACAAAATGCATTTTCAACTGATATATTATAATTAAGTAACTTTTTTATAAGTACACTTGCATACACTATAGGTGGAAATAAGTATTATTTCCCCTGTTGTGGTTACACCACTTGACATTTTCAAGGGAAATCCATCATTCATTTAGTAAAAAAAAGGTTTAAATGCTATTTGAAATTATATGAAACCAACAGAGACAAAATATACATTTTTGCAAACCTAATGCAAACTTTAAAAACAATTTATTAAAACATTTTTGAATTACTCATAATACAAACCCCTATTTGTCCCAGAGCCATGTAACAGTGATAGTATGTTCTTCACTCTGCTTCCTTTGCATTCAGCTAAACCCCCCAGTTAAGACTCTTCCTTATCTGTCTTATCACTGCCTTCCAGTTCACCACCACCTCTTACTGTAAAAGAAAAAAATAAGTAAGGCCTCTCTCAACACATGGAGCCGCCTCCCCCTCCCTCTCTCCCTCCCTCCCTCCACCCTCTCCTCCACCTCCCTCCACCCTCTCCTTAGTTGCAAAGGGGATTACGGATGGACGCTGCGACTGCAGCCCGTTAACGGGTCCTGCGAGCGGCACAGGGGACAGCGGTCCGTCCGGTACCTGGCTGTGAGGTGCAGGGGCGTCGACCACGATGGGAAACTAACATCCGACCGCGGGACGGTGGACGATGGGCGCATTAGTACCCCGAGGTTGAGATAGGGAAAACAGCGGACACACACACACACACACCTCAGTCGCTCCGTGCTCGCTTTAGCTCCATACATAGATAAATACCCAGGGACAGCGGTGCCATATTGATCCAGGAGGGACCGTGTTTGTAGTTTTCTGGATATCAGTGGGATCGCAAACGCCTCATGACATGTTCGAGTAAGTGACACGATGACAGTATCCTCCGGTGTGATGAGTAGCATAATGATTGTGTCTCTGGTCCTGATGCACTGTGCACGGAGGGTTTTTTATGTGTGTGTGTGTGTGTGTGTTGACATGAGTCACAGCTTGTATATCCAGCTGATAACATGGGTGTGACATGCTGAGTTCATGTGAAGATGCAGGTGTGCAGCGACGGGCTCATATTAGCTCTGATGGCTAGCTGTGTGTTGATGTTCATGCTGTCTGTCTGAAACCCCCCTCCCCTCCCCTCCATCCCTCCTTTACACCCTCTTTCTCACCACAGCTGCCTCCATCCTTGCACAATCTGTTGTTTCACCGCTTCCTCTGAGTAGACAGCCCCTCTCCATGTCTCATGTCTGACTTTCTCTCTGTCCTTGTGTGTTTCTCCTTGACGGTAACGAGATTGCCGGATGATTGTTTTGGTTAGCCGGGGTGCTAGCAGCCTGTTAGCCGCTCGGATCGATCTGCTACACTGCCCGATATAAGAGAGGTCACTACTGGAGTTAATATTATACTACACCAGGGGGATAGCAAAAGGAGGGTGATGTCCAACAGCTCCAAAATAGCTTTTTACATCCGTGCTGCAGACGGATTTAGCTCCGGTTTGTAAACACATGCTGACACAGATTCACATCACTCAGCATTCTCACTGGTCAGCAAGCCTGTTTACAACACCGGCTGCTTTAAGCACCTTGACCTGCAGAAATCTTAATGCAGATTTTTATTGCTTTGTCTTGATTTGAACACCCAACAGGGCTTGACAGTAACTATTTTCACAAGGAGTTCATGTGCTCCTAAGATGAAAAAGTAAAGAGCAGACAAAGAACTTTAGGGGCACAATGAAAATTGATCAAATAATGTGTCTTATTGTTCGACATAAGTACTATTATTGAAAATCAATTTTGGGATTTTTGGTCACATGACATGGAAGCTAAGAAAATGTTCAAAATTTGCCTTTAAATTAAATTTTCTTAGAGGACAAATTAGTGAAATAAAGAGGTGTGTCTTATTGGTCAACATAAGTACTACTATTTAAAATCAATCTAGGGTCAATTGGTCACATGACATGAAAGCTATTGAAGAAAAAGTTCAAAATTTGCCTTTAAATTTGTCAAATAAAATGTTTAGAGGACAAATTAGGGAAATAAAGAGGTGTGTCTTAATGTCCGACCTTAGTACTATAATTTAAAATCTATTATAGGTCAACTGGTCACATGACATGAAGCTATTGAAGGAAAACAGCCTTTTCTGAGAACATCAACCAGTAATTTATTGACGGTCCCTTAATCAACACCCAATGTTGACAGCAAGGATGCTAAGTAGATTTAACCACGCTGCTGTTGCTTTTCCTGGTTATGGAGAGTGAGAAGACACCGGTAGATCCTCAGTGAACGTCCATCGAGTTTCCAACCTAATACGAACTTCACCGCAGTATTTACATTGAAAAACATTTTTTCCCTCGGCTGTTTTTTTTGTGCCCCTAAATACATTTTACAATTCGTGCACATCTATTTTTAGTTGCTAATGCGAGTGAAACAGTCGCGCTGTCAAGCCCTGTATGTTTTACACATTCCTGCTCCATATCCGCAGAAGACGTCGGATATATAAACGATTTCTGCCGACTTCGCAAAGTCAACTGCAGAATTGACGGCGTTCTGAATGAACGGGGCTTTGAAAAATCCCACAGCATGTGTTAGACGTCACCATCTACACATGGACCAATCAGGGGCTGCCTTTCCCTGTTTTCTGGGTAACAGTGGAAACATGGTCTCTGATTGGCCCGGTTATTTTCTGACCGGGAATACACGCTCCCAATGGGCCGAAGTCCAGACTGTTGTGGGAAGGAACGGCAAGTGATTCACGCAACAGGATGGCCCAGCCAGGCTAGCTGATTACATTCTCACACATCATGATCCACACTGAAGACTTGCTTTAAAATGAAGTTTAATCATCGATGTTACCAACCCCTTGTTCATGGGGGAAGGTTTTTTTTTAACAGTTTTACAAGCAACATTATAAGGGTACTATCCAGAGCTACACTATGTAAAATATACCCTGAGGTAACTGCATAATTTTGTGCTGTACACACAAAATTGACTTGACCTGGCTTTACCCAGCTCAGTGTTCAAATCGAGCCTGGCAGTCAGCAGCAGTTGTCATAGCAACGAGTTTCACACATCATAAGAGTATGTTCAATGTCCAGTTAAATACATGTTTGTGGTTTTCCAGAGATTACAGATGAAGTAAGAATAACTGAATAAAGAGCAGAAATCCTGATACTCAAGAAAATACACAGTTTTTAAAAAAATCCTATTTTCACTGAAATGGTTGTTTTAACACTGCAGTGGGTTTAATTGAAACCTGATCATGTGACATTGGTTTGTGTCTGTATTGAAAAAAAAATAGGACAGTGGATAGGTTAGGAAACTAGGAGAGAGGATGGGGAGTGACACGCTGCACAAGGCCACAAGTTAGAATTGAGCACAGGCCGCCCGTTTTGAGAACTGTAGCTCCTGTACATGAGGCGTGTGATCTTACTACAAGGCCAAATCTGCACCCCCAATTCTTTCTGTTTATGTACCCAAAGCATACATATTACCCCTGCCTTGGCACTCGGCCACTTTGGACAGTTTAGGCTCCAGTTGGGTAAATGAGAAAAATTAAAGTTTCTTTGAAAGGGTTTAGGAACCTTTTTTGCTCATTTTGGAAAATTGTGAGATATCAATCAAATATGAATGTGAGGTGATATGATATTATTGTCATTGGCGGGCTGAAAACATGACAGCTTATGTCGAGGGAAAATGTTGCAGAGCAAAGCTTAGCATGAGGATGGTTTTGAGGGAACAAGTGGTATGGTGCATGTTGAAGGCACATTATATCGTGCCAATGAAGACTGCCTCCGCTAATGAAATTAGCTGCTATAGTTCACAGGGAGCCGCTGCAACACACTGTTGAGTAAGCAAGCAGAGCTTTCATCAGGCTAAGTTAAAGAAGCACTTTGGCAGCTACTACTGATTCATTGTGTCTGCTCAAGATAAAGGAGTGGACAGAGATTTCAAGCTGTTTGTGTTTGTTCAGAAACAGAGGCAACTGTCTTAGCTGATGATGGATGCTGTATGTTTTGACTTGAGGTGTTACTATAGAAACTGTGTTGTGGCTGTGAGTTAAAAATGAGATGTTTTCGGCAACACAATGATGATGATTTGATGCAAAAAAGAAACTCCTCAAGTTACATCCTTTGTTAAAGGTAGGATGTCTGAAAAAAAAGACTGCTTGAGGTCAAGGCTTTACAGACAAGTACCACAAATGAATCCTACATCTATGCAGCAGATGATCTCTCATTTCCCACGTTGTGTGCTAGCAAACTGTTGATGCGATTTGTGCTGCAAAGCTTGCACACAAGTATGATGTGTCCAGATCAGACTCAAAAGCCCCAGACAGCGATATGCAGAGCTGACCTTTTGCTAAAGCTTCTCACAACAACACAACAACAACACATGCCTTTGAAAAGCAGTAAGCCTGATGTCCTCTGCGGGTTACAGTGAACAGAAAAACAGATTTTTTTGAAATCATACAGAATATAGACTTCTGTCAGACCATGAGGAGATATTCTCTGAATTGAACAAAGTGTATTGGATTAGAATTGCACTCTCCACCTTTAAGACCCATTACTGAACAGCTTAAAATACCCCCACTGTCTGGCTGCTGTACAAGTTAAAGTAAGTTCAGCTGATAACGCTGGCCTCACATGGCCTTTCTTTGGTCTTCAGTAAGCAGTCTGAGATGGCACGCTATTATCAGATGGGAAATGCCTGCAGCCTTTCTTCATAGCATGACATTAAAGGCATTAGGGAGCAAAATTCAGATGAAATATGAAAGGGCTTCCTCTGTTCTCCCCTGAGATAAATCTCCCCGTCTCCTTTTTTTGTCCTCCAGTACGGCCAGCAACTCTCCACGCAGCACCCCCGGCAGCTCCCCCTCCCTGCGACGCAGGGTCCTTGGGGGTGGCAGGGTCAGTGAGAGCGAGGGAGGAGGAGGAGGAGAGAAGAGCAGTGGTGGCGGCGGCGGAGGAGGAGGGGGATCAGATAGCCCCTTGCCCTCCATACCATCTGCCTCCTCCCTCACATCTGCCTACCCAATCGCTTCTCGCCACTTCAGCCGCAATGCCAAGGTAAGGAAGATTATCCCCTGATCAGAGTGATATGCTGAGGATGAAAACTGCGCTTGAAACTTAAGAGAACAGCTGCCAGGAGTTCAGTAGATACCCAGACGTGAAGAAGTGTGGTTTAAGACATCAACTTAGGACATGTATTACAGCTTAATGCAGAGTATGACTGTCATGTAACCTTTCTGATTGCTGTGAAACGATCCCAAGGAGCGATAGCATGACTAAATCAAACATGCCATGATTCCTCTGAACTGTTTATTCTACTGATGTGTCCTAATAAAAGACTAAATAATCTCCTCAATGACTTTGTAATCAGGGCCAGTTTTATGTAGATTAAGAAAAGACAGGAGTGTTCTCATTGTTAATGTGGTCTAATGGCTGAAAACTAAGCGAAGGCACGATCTTACAACCAGAGTGAGCTTGTAACCGTATTTTTGGTGATACTTTGAAACAAATTAATGTAAAAAAAAAATCGCATTAGATACCAAAAAATGCACCCAGACAGCTGTGGATAAAATGGTAACCCACTTCCACCCCAGTAAATGTGCATCCATACCAGAGATCTGCAGTGAATTTAGGCTGTTTCTGTCGACAAACCATCAAATTAAAGCGTGTTTTTTTCACCCAGACAGTGTCCCTATTCCTGTGTGCCTGAGGGCGCAGTTTGAGCTTTCACATCTCATAATCTCAGGCTCATTGTTGTGAAAAGAACAGCCTGTTTTCATGTTGAATAGTCATCACAGCTGATCGGTGCCACCTGCCCTTTTAAAAAAAAAAAAAGGGAAGTGCTGACAGTTTTGACACAGACAGACGAAAACTGCAAAAACTCAAGGTTACATCAAACAGGCTTGTGCTGGAAACTGGACCGCACGCATGCAAACAAGGAAGTGGGTTACTTTACTCAAATCATATACATTGAAATGTTTTTAACACCTGTATGAAAATCATTTGATTTATAACATTTTATGGTTGCTGGACAGCTGAGTGCTTATTTATTCATATGTGCTTTTCTTTACAGAAAATGCAGAGCTGGTACAATGTAAGTACACAAAAACATCCTCTCACATGTTTGGTGATCTTTGTCTGCTTTGGCTCCAGGTGAACCGGACTAATTGACCTTGTAAACTGCTAATAATCCTTTAGATAAACACTATACTTTTCCCACTTAGTAAATACCACAGTCAAGCCCAGCTGAAGTTGTGAAGACAGATATTCAGTTTCGTGTTTCCTGTTCTCACCCTCAGGTCCTCAGTCCTACATACAAACAGCGGAACGAGGATTTTCGCAAACTCTTTAAGAAACTCCCTGACACAGAGCGGCTTATAGTGGGTGAGTGAAAGTGTATTTTTGACAAACTCTGCGAGCACTGAGCCACACTCTTCTCGAGATAAAATAAACAGTGAGAAATGAAACTTAAAAATCGATCTTCTTTTCTTTCAAATTCAAGAGTTTTGGATATGCTTTAATAAAAGAACAAAGATTAGTGGATCAGTGAGGTGTTGACCAATTTGTGCAACATCTTGTGTAGCAGCCATTACTGCAACAGCAATCCAGTATATCAGCTGCTGCCTGCTGTCTGTGACATGAGCACATGTGATTGAATTAAAAACGATAGACGGCTGATGAAGGAGTCTTAATTAGACAATATAATCATTGTTTTCTTTTTTAACATAGTAGACAATGGGATTTTATAAAAAGAAACAGAACAAAATTCAGCATCTACTACATATCCTTGACAAGGTGCTGTGTAATACAACATTAATTCAAAATGCTAGATGGCTTAACACGCAACAGCTGCTTTTGATTGTAACAGACTCGTGTATAAGAAAATACATTTTTTATAGATATTCATGATGCAAGTTTCTGTTTGTTAACACAACTCTTCTGTCATGATTTCATGTAGATGTATAGAATATATATGAGATCATTTTCATTAATTGCCTGTCAATGGACAAGAAAATCCCCTCCACAGGTCACTCAGTAGGAGGGCAAAATACAGAAATAAATGTCTTGATCTTTTCCTCAATAATTGGCTCTTATTGAGCTAGATCTTTGTAAAATGTCCACTCTTATACAGGGGGTCTCTTCTCAGAGTAAAAATGTGCTCATTGAATTTTGTTTTATTAATCTCTGAGCTGTTGGAGCTCCACAAGTTCCTCTCAGTGTCCTCAACAGAACTGTCAAGGCTCAAGTGAAGTGAAGTCAAGACAGAAGCAGAAAACTCAAGTGCATAAAGCTTTAATTTTACAGATCAGACAGCATCATTTTGAAACCATGTCCAAAATATCATGATGTATTGTGTCATGGACAAGCTCATCTCTCACCACGGCCTTACACGTAGCATATGTAGAGAGAAAATAGAAAAAATGACTCATGATCTGCTGCTTTTTCTGACTGTTGTTGGAGCACAGAGGGCAAACGGTCAGTTTGTAGGCAGGGTTGATGAATCTCTCCTCTCTTCTCCTTGTTTCTCTCCTCAGATTACTCCTGCGCTTTGCAGAAGGACATTCTGCTTCAGGGACGCCTTTACCTGTCGGAGAATTGGCTTTGTTTCTACAGTAACATCTTCCGCTGGGAAACCGCTGTGAGTCATGAGCACGCCGTGTAAACATTTCCACGCGCACGGTCAACACATGGCCGCTGAAACCTGGTTAATAACACACGAGAGTTCAGATAAAGAGTCGTTCTAATGCTCCTGTTTGCAGATCATTATCGATACACTTTGGCTCTCTGTGAGATAAGAGTATTGCACAGAGATATACACTCTGCAGCAGACAGACATACAGTCAATCCCTCTCCTTCACTATTCAGATCACTATCCTGCTGAAAGACGTGACCTCTATGACCAAGGAGAAGACCGCCAAGCTCATACCAAACGCCATCCAGATCTGCACTGACAATGAGAAGGTCAGAATTAATTACAGCCCGGTGTGAATATATTTTAAGGACTTCTAAGTGGAATAAGTTAGAGCAGCAGTTTGACTTCTGTACTCTACTAACACATTCTCAGTCTGTTATGGCTGAAAGCTGATTTTAAAGCATGTTAAATGTTTGCTGGTGATAATTTTTACTTCAAATTGTGCATTTTTGCCAGTGAAGCAGCATGAAATGAGCTGACTCAACTTTATCTACACTGAACTGTGACAAAACAAACATCCCAACAGACAGAGACTATCCATCAAATCACATTTTTCTCATCTCTCTTCCTTCCTTCCTTCTTCCCTCGCTTCCCTCCCTGTATTTACCCTCTCAGCACTTCTTCACATCTTTCGGAGCAAGGGATCGGAGCTTCATGATGATTTTCCGTCTGTGGCAGAACGCTCTGTTGGATAAGGTACAGCCTGCTCACCCAACCCCCCCCAGCAGTGTGAGCTTGCGCGACACAGCTAGTGGTTATCATCTTAGAATAGAGCACACAGTGTCAGGAGGCAGGAGATGGCCACAAACACAGGCTTTGGAGAACAATTCAAATCACTGTTATTTGCAGAGTTTGAAGACAGACATTTATTTGGACGGCTCTGATGCAAAGACACTAGAAAGTACAGTTTGAGCACGTAGAAAGAGAGTGAGATGTCACAGGATGGTTTCTCTTTATCAGGGACTGAATCTCTTATTTAAAGTCTGTATCTGTTCATGGGGGGTCTGGATTTTCAGCGTGGGAAGAGTTCTGCTTTCCATTTAAGTTTGAGTGCAGTCATATATCAGCAGACTTTGGTGCATGCAGGAAAAACAGATCACATGGGGGGCAAAAGCCGGTGGGACACACACTGATGCAATGACACACCAGTTACCATCTGCAGTAATCTAATTTATTTATCCTTATAAACAGATATCGTCCACCAAGTAGAGCTAACAACACTCTGCACACTCAAAATTTCAACTAAAGCATCAATTCTGCACGACTCCTTATTGCAAAAGTCCTTTAGACGTCCCAACTCCCTGGAATACCTGAGGAAGAATCAGTCAAACATGCTTTAAAAGTTGTCATCATGATGGTGTCGAACTTAAAGGGATATTCTGGCGTAAAATTAAGTTAGGGTCAAACACACCATAACACCAAGACCCCGTCAAGAGATGAATGTTGCCGACTGTTTGCTTCTCTAGTTATACCAACTTTAGTAATGACCGCAGGATAGCAATACACAGCTGTCCCGGGAGCCACGCGCTCAAGCAAAACGCCACTCTATAGCCACAAATAATGCTCAGAACAGCACCTAACTTCATCAACAGCCATAGTACTAGCCACCAAACAACTTTTTAGCTTTGCTTAATTTCTTTAGCAAAGAGACTAAACACAACTCACCTACTCTCTTCCAGCATCCGCTTGTTTGTACGGAGACCTCCTGCGAGTCCATCTTTGACTGCAGTGGGGTGACGCAGCTCAAGGAAGAACATTTATGATCATCACTTAATGGAAATGCAGTCAGACCGAGACGCTAAGGCAGAAGAACTACCGCGTCTGCAGTGCAAATTGATTAATATGATGATTATTACCTCAAGGAAATGAGAAAGTAATGATCATAAATGTTCTTCCTTGAGCTGCGTCACCCCACTGCAGTCAAGGATGGACTTGCAGGAGGTCTCGCTACAAACAAATGGCTGCTGGAAGAGAGTAGGTGAGTTGTGTTTAGTCTCTTTGCTAAAGAAATTAGGCAAAGCTAAAAAGATGTTTGGTGACTAGTACTATGGCTGTTGATGAAGTTAGGTGCTGTTCTGAGTATTATTTGTGGCTATAGAGTGGCGTTTTGGTTGAGCGCGTGGCTCTCTGTATTGCTATCGTGCGGTCATTACTAAAGTTGGTATAACGAGAAGCAAGCGGTCGGCAACATTTATCTCTAGATGGGGTGTCTAACTGGGTGTTACAGTGCGTTTGACCCTAACTTAATTTTACGCCAGAATATCCCTTTAAGAAATGACTAGTACATCATGAGACATTGGTTTCTGAACTGTTGATTAACCATATTGTGTTTCTCCTACAGTCTCTTTCCCCCAAAGAGCTCTGGCACATCGTACACCAGTGTTACGGCACTGAGCTGGGCCTCACCAGTGAAGACGACGACTATGTTTCCCCCACCGCCGAACACATGAACGGCCTACTGTGAGTGTACAGGCATGCTGACATGTAGAGTAACATTTTATGGTCTTGCACTGTGGATGCATGCATGTAGGAATGTGGACACGCTGAACAGGCTTAAAGGGTGAGGAGTTTGTCTGAGGGGAAACGTCTTACCGCTCCTGTTGTTTCATTCAAGTATAAAGTTAAATCTCTGCGGTAAAGTTTGAGTCCAGGCGGCGAGACGTCTTTTTTTTTCAGCCGTTTCATGTTGTTTTTGTTTTGGCTTGTTCCTAAAACAGGACAAGCAGCAGAAACAATCCTTAGTTCTTGTTTGTGAGTGAGTACAAATATCACCTGACTAACTGACATACACATAGCTGCAGGGGTCAGTTTGCTCTTTCATTACAAAACAAGCAGATCCTCGCTTAGACAGGGCTTGCTTGTGCATATGTTCTTTTGCAAAGCAGACCCGGGTAATTCATTTCATTTTAATGAAGAAGTGCCTTTAATGTTGGCTCACATTCAAATCAGTCAAAGATTTCTACAGCTGTCCTTACATACTTACACAAACCCTCCCTCTGTCTCCCTCTCTCTTCCAGTTTGACTTTCTCTGTATGTATCTTTGCCTCACTTAAATCTCCTCCCTCCATCCTCCAGGCCAGGAGACGAGTCCGTGTCGGTCACTGATCTGTTAGACCTTAGTTCAGTGTCGGTTCCTTCCACGGGCAGCTCTCCTCCTCCCCTGGTTCCCTGTGCTCCAGCCAGCTCTCCTTCAGCTACCAACCTGGGGGGCTCTTCTCCGCCTTCCTCCACCTCCTGTCTGCCCATAGAGGTGCCTTCCTCATCTGGACGCAGACTCAGCTCTGAGCCTCTGGAACCCAGTCCACCCAGCTCCCAAAGCTCCCTGCCATCGACCACTCCAACAAACGTCTCTGCCTCTGCGTCTGCCTCCGCCCCGGCCTCTGCTTCAGCGTCTTTTGTGAGTTTTCCTCTTAACATTCACGTGTTATATTTAGTACCGTCAGTCTTTGGTTTGCGGCACATTTGGGTTATAATTCAAACCACCCTGATAGGCTTATTCATTGACTTTTTTTCTAAATATATCTGCATTCTCATTCTCTGCTTCTGCAATAGCAATCCAGCTGTCCCATATATGCAGACAGCTGGCTAGTTAGCATGAGCTACATGGCAGATTGGAGTCCACTCATTGCTCGGTGGACTCTTAATCGCTCCCCCCTCTCTCTTAATCAGGGTTAATACCTTGTCAGCAAAATGAAACAAAGCTCAGATCAGCATTCAGAGCTTTTTAAAAAAAAAAAAAACTCTGTTTCTCTCTTAGATCTGACGTCTTGTTTCTACTGCTCTCCTGCCAAAACCAGTCAGCCACCTGGAGAGTAACAAATAAGCAAACAAACAAACAGACAACTTCTAACGGACAACAGATGCACGTTTAATAACTGATAAAGCCTGAATTCTGAACAGGCTCTGTCTGTAGACGTGATAAAAACGTAACACACGAGGTCAACCCCAAATAAACTTTGATAAAACAGATGCTATGTGTTTCAGCAAGGAAGTGAAATGCTGTGAATTTGGGCTTAAGTTTATGTCCAATCAGTTTCAGCCGCTGTGACTTCTGCCCTGCAGTCTTGATCTTGACACGGACCGTGTTCATAAATGCAGTTCTGTGTTCACTCTGTGCCGGTTCTGGATTAGTAGCTCAGCTGCTGTGGTATGCCTGCTCAGGCCGCGTCAACATGAGGTCAGCTCAGCTGAAGCCTCTTTTTCCTCTTAAGTCATATGACAACGGGGTGATTTCCTTACAGACCTCTGGCTAAAAGTCCTCTGCTGTGCTTTTTTCCCCTTCACTGTATCAGAATCTGGAAGAGGGTGGGGACAGCCTGTCTGAGTCAGCCAATCACATGCTGCCCCCGCCAACCACCAGTCTGGGAAACCTCTCCTCACTGGACATCACCAACGATGAGGAACTGCCCACGGACCCCAGTAACTCCTCTGACACGCAAGAAGAGAGTGAGTATTGTTTAGGTGAACAGACGAGAAAGTAGGATGAGAAAGTCTTAACTGTGTGAATATTTTACTCAATTCAAATGCATGTTTGACATGTTCACTTACTGGTAAAGTTGGCCACATGCTCTTGGTACAGCCGTATTAACCATAACTTGAATTGAAGTTAAGGATATGATGAGTTTTATCTGAATATGTCAAACTGCTTGTAGGCTTTCACTCATTCATGGCTCAGTCATTCAGCTGCTGTTTGAATGTCCACTGAATTAATTTGGCAATAAAATCAGTATCATGGGAGAGTAATTTAGATTGAATTCTTTCACACACATATGCAAATGTCGTACTGTTTACACAAGCAGGGAAGGGTCTAAAGTATCCAGAACCCAAAGTTAAATCAAAACACAAACCTTCCCTTCTTTCCTTCTTAACTTTCAGGTGAAGTGGAATCGTTCTGCTCCGACCTGAGTGGGCGGCTGCACATCAATACGACAGTCCGCATGAGCGTGGACAAGCTGCACGACCTGCTCTTCTCTGCGGACACGCATTTCATCCAGCACCTTTTCTCCCAGAGACACTTCACTGGTAGGAAACACAACACACAAATACAAAGCTAGAAAAACTGTAGAAGTGCTCGTCTACAGTCCGACCATAATTTAACGATTAAATAGTCGACAGACAGTATAAAATGTCTGCTGTTAAACCAACGCATGAACACAAGCAACAGTGTGTTCACATCAAAAAGAGGAATAATCGAGTCTTGTTAGACCTGTCAAAGTTTCTCTCTTGTGTTGTCTTTCTGTTTCGCTTTGATTATTTAAATTGACCAGAATGCTTTTCAGCAACCACCACAGAACATGCATCAACTTGCTGCTCGACATTTTGTACTAGAGAGCGAGTTTTTCCTGTCGAGACGGTGACAGTTACGGCACAGCGTTTGTTGTTGCTCTGCTGCTTTTTGGACCCTCGGGGCTGCTGTCAGTGGAGGAGGAAAAAAAGAAAACACTCCTCAGTCTGCGAGTCCGTCACTAGAACTTGATATTCACCGTCGATGCTGTGAGGTTTACTGCCAGGAAGCTCAGTTTTGGGTGCGCTGCGAATGTCTTGAGTTGTTGCCAAAATGTGTGGGAACGAGGGTGTAAATAACAAAACACAGCATGTTATATTTTGGATTTTTGAAACATATTTTTAGTGTCGATTTCTTGTAAAAGTTTTCAGCGCTGCCATACATATAAATGCAAGACCATGCAACCAGCAAACCCTCTGACAGACATGCTGCAGCCTACTGTATTGTCCACTAATGAGGCTGCCACAAAAGTTGTTCACGCTGTGTTAACCACTCTTTCTCACTTTTTTGCTTTTCTAATCTTGTCCTGTTTTGTGAATATAAGACTATTATTGCATCGGATACTGTGATATTTGACGCATCTCTGCAAACATAGAGTGTTTAATCTGGACATTTTGCTGTAGTAGTTGAAATGAGGACAGAGGGGTAGCGTTGAAGTTCATTTGGCCAGTAGCTACCCTAGTTGGAAGCCCATCCTGCCTGGGAACATTGTGTAGCTCTAATTGGGGCATTTCTTCCTTTCTTTTTTCACGAGGGAGCATAGATTGACCCTCTCTTTTCCTCTCTCTCTCTCACTCTATCCCCCTCAACCCATCGGAGTCTTGCACTCTCTCTCTCTTTCCTTTTCGTTTTCACATCCTCAACCTCTTCCATCCTTTCATTCTGTCTAGATTTTTACAAAATCTCTTCGGGCTTTTTTGTCTCTTACTCTCTGTTGACCACCTCATGTTGTCATTTCTGTTCTCTCTGTCAGAACTGTCGGTGGGTGAATGGCAGCAGGACAGCAGCAGTGGGAACAGCAGCCGCGTGCTTAGCTACACCATCGCCCTCAACAACCCCCTCGGCCCCAAGACCGCCCCTGTGGTGGAGACACAGGTCAGTCATCGACGAACACAGACCTGAGATGTTTTTTTTTCTTTTGCACATCTGTACACTTGCTTTGATTAAATGACACATCTCAAGCTTTTAGGAAGAGTGTAGTCGTCTCTTTCGAAGATTTTGTCATGGTTTCAGTTTGATCCAGTTATGGTGCAGATAGAGTGCAGCTGCTGTCAAATATTGTCCCCCTAAATGCGTATTAGATGCCTTTATTTTCAGGGTTAGTTTAGTCCAGCGTTGTTTTTATCGGTGTGCTCTATTTCCACAGTATTTATTTAGAGCAAAAAACAAAAAGCAAACCTGTGGAGACTTGTCGTTGTTGTGTAATGTACACAATGTGTTTTGACAGCTTGTAAATGCTAAAGGGGTATGTCAGTTTTTTTGTAGTGGGGTTGTATGAGGCACTCGTCAAGAGTAATTGTATTAACCACAAGGGAACCCCCCTCAGCTCGGCGCCACCAGCCAGGGAGACAGCATGAAAGCTAGGCTATCAACCGCTGCAGACAGGGTCAGTTTGACCAAGAACAAACCGCACTTAAGAATAAAACAAACTTTCCTTTTCAGAGTGTTTTGTCGTGACATCGATGACCTTTCCCCTGAACACAAAGCTGCTTACTCCAAATCCAGATAGGAAACATCAGAGGCTTACAAATACTGATCAGCGGGTTATTCTGAAACTTTGAAAATGTCACAATTTAAGTTTGTTTATTTACGCACAATATGGAGAGAAGACAGCTCACAAAGGATGTTGACCTTTCTCACATAATTACCTTCACATTGCTGCCAATCTGGGTGTGAATGTCAGATTGTAGGAAATGAGAAGTAGAAAATACATGTGGTAAAAAGCCTCGGTATCTATCAGCTGCCCTATATCCACATATATGCCACCTAAAAGCCGGTCTCCAAAGCTGGTTGAGCAGTGTAAAAGTAATGCTGAAGACACGTTCTAATTGCTTTACTGCAGTTATTTATTTATATCCAACATCTCCACATCTTTCTGTTTCTAGACGTTGCATAAGAGCAGCTCCCGGGGCGAGTGCTTCGTGGTGGACTCAGAGGTCATCACCTCAGGCATCCCCTACCAGGACTACTTCTATACTGTCCACAGATACTGCTTCACCTCCATCAACAAGCACAAGAGTCGGCTCAGGTAGGTTTGGTATTGTTGTTTTACTGAGATAATCCATGTGAGTGGAATTGACTGTGAAATCCAGGGCTGCAGTGAACAATGGAAAACCTTGGTCAACCAAAATGACACTCTTTCATGAACAAATTGATGTATCCTTAAAAAAAAAGTTTGTCTTTAGATCAACCTTATCAGTGATTATGTTTCTAGTGCTGCTAGGCTGGTAGTCTAAATAAACTTAATACTCTGTTTATGGGCAGTCAGACTTGCATGTACGTTTGCATTCAGCTTTCGTGTGTTTGGCATTTTCTGACATTACTCTCTGTGGCTCTGTATTTCTTGGCTTTTGGACACTTGCTGCCTTTTTCTTATAAAACCTTCATCATAATTCTGCCTCAGTTGTTTGTCAACTTGTCTAACTTATTTGATATATTTACTCTGGTCTCCATGTCTCTTCATTTTTCTACTGAAGCCATAGCAGAGTGACGTCTAATCACAGCACAATGACTAATTATCATCAGGCTTCAGAGACTTTTTGTGTCTCATTTCATAACAATAACAATCAACAGGACCCACTTTTCTCCAGCCTTAGTGTGTATTTGAGATATACAGAGCAGTTTATACTGGTGTGAACAGGCAGATCCTGAAGACACAAAAAACTTACAGCTTATAGTTTTAATCACAAACAGACACAACACACATTTTCAGATTATTTAGTGCAAAAAAAAACAGCTGAAGGAGACTGATGCAGGTATGTTTAAACTCAGCTGTTTGGACTGTTTTTGTCTGGGTGTAACTTAGGGGTGGGAGAAAAAATCGATACAGCACAGTATCAAGATATTTTGGCAGGTTGTTCCAGTGTTATTTTGCAAATTAAGAGCAACACAAAGAGCGATAAATATCAGTCAGGCGATTAAAGAAATGAATCATGTCAAATTATTCTATGTTTTGATCATTTTTGAGCGTTGCACCACATCGCAGACTGATTCGTGAACTACTCTACCTCTGCCACCCCCTACACACACACACACACACACACACACACTCTCTCTCTCTCACCTACACTTGTACTAAAAAAACTCTGAGCTTAGAAAGAACACCTCCGTTCACCACATGAGTCAGAGCTAGGAGGTGTTGTTGTAAATCTGAGCAACTGCTGAGCACGCTTTGTATGAAACATGCAAATTTAAGACGATATCTACACAGCACTATGTTTCAGCACCTCCTAACAGCTTCCTTGTTTACACACGCTGTCAGTTTGCAGCCAAATACATGATGCAAACTGTAGTCGAAGGATGCAGTTCCTTAGCCTGAGGGAGCAGGACCTCTCAGTGGTTTAGGATTTGTTTCCAAGAGACTTTCTTTTGCTGATTTCTTTCATTCTTTTCAAAAGGTGTTGCTTTTATTGAGTCCTTCTTTTTTGGTCACTTCTTGTCCTCACTTCTGCAGCCACTTCTGCTCAAACATTATAATTGTTTGACCCGATGTCACATCAGCACATTTCCTGCAGCGTTTGAGTTTAATTTGGTAAATACAAGACTTTGATGTTGACAAAGAGAGAGCTACAAAATGCAGACACAGTATTTCCTCCGACTGTAGTCTCAGCAGACAGTTATGTAATGTGTCTTCAGGAACCGTTTCAATCGAGTTAAGGCTCTCTGTCTGTCTGTCTGTCTGTCTGTCCCCTTCCTGGTAATCATGTCGCTGTTTTTTATTTTCCGTTTCTGAGATCTTTCCTGTAATAAAAGAGTGCGTGACCTAAAAAGGAGTAAACTGGATTTCGATAGTAGAACACAAAATTATGTTTCCTTTTTATTTTGAAAAGTCCGAGCACACATTGAGCATCTGTGCTCCTCCTCTCTAATTTAATCTATCCATTCCCACAGTTTTACAAGTAATACTGCAAGGAAACAAATACTCTGAGACTTCACTGAGGTTTACTCCGGGTTTAGGTGTTTAAAATTTCAACACTTCTTTTCACAACATACTGGAGTCATAATGAGTTTTAGTTATTGAAGGTCTTTATTATTAACTTAAACAGAAGTGGTCGGACCCTCGGCTCAAACTCAGCAAAGACGACAGATCCCAGTCTATGATGTAGAATAAAACAAAACAAATGAAATTTTAAGGCCCAAAACATGTTTAAAATAATAATCTAGCTAAGTGAGCTTTGATATAAATGATTAATAAACAATACTCAAATCAGATCCTGTGAATAAAGTAATATCAGCATCTACTTTCTCTTACTTTCCTTCTGTTCCTGTCTCTTTTCCTCTTTTAGACGGTTTCACATTTTATAAATGGCACAATCGCCTCAAAGCTCACCTTCCTTATTTTTAGACAGAACTATTTCCGTCTCGCTTTTGATTCTGAATATTTCCTCTATCTCAGAGTGGTTTGAAACTGACACTGTATCACAGCCTTGGCATTAAGATAAAGCTCTTTTTACTGTTGTTAGCCCTCTACAGTTACTCTCCAGCACTTCTTGAGAAGTATCTTTACCGAAACACAATATCACTGAGTAGGCAGTCATGAGAGGGAATCATTTTTCTAAACTCTGGTCTTGTCTAGTTTGATTGCTGATGTTTTAGGGCTGATTTCTTTGGAAACGTAAAAACATGATGGGTGCGTTACTTGGAATTTCCTGTTGCATTTAAAGGTTTCAAAGGAAATTTGAAGGAATCCTTGGAGCTTATTTTGGTCTCTTCTTACACTAGTTACTCCCTTTTTTTTAGAGGTTGATAAACAGTCATGGAAATGAAACAGTTAAGTGAAAACAGTACCAATTAAAGTCCGAGCAATAAGGATGTGTTCATTTCCATCTGTCAATCATAAAAGACATGTCAGTTTTACTTTTCTAAAAGAGTATAAAAAGATCGAATGCTCAGGAACTCATGAATTTGTGTTTGAAGCAGGATTTGTTTTCTTTTCCTTCGCTCAGAGTCTCCTCAGACATCTGCTACAGGAAGCAGCCGTGGAGTTTGGTGAAAGCATTGATTGAGAAGAACACCTGGAGCGGCATCGAGGATTACTATAGACACATGGGTGAGTCACATGGTCCACCTTTCCCAGCAAAGCTCTGTGTGCACACCGCCTGTTGAAATCAAAGTGAACCATTCAGTCCAACTTCCCCCTCGAACCCAAGTGAACGAGAGTGAAACTGCGTCAGGGTGCACCTGATTTTCAAAGCCAGAAACAAAGTGTCAACTGTGGAAACCGTGTCTGATTATGTTTACAAGAGTCACATATCGTGTGAGAGTCTCCTCCTCTTTCTCTATTGCACAGAGACGGATGATTGGAGTCTTTTCACTTGATTTTGATTTGACCGATAACACTACCTTGTTCACTTTTTGACAGACAAAGGTTTTCAGACCCGGATATGTTTTTATTTTTCCAGCTAGAGTCCGTTTTAATTTCAGTAGCTCAGTTCAAATTCTCAGTTCTTCTTTACTATAAACTTAGAGCTCCCTCCGCTCCAAAACGTGCATGAAATGTTTTACTCGGATGATAGAGATTCACCATGCACAGTGATATCTGTGCAGTGAAAGGGCGAGGTGAAAATACTTAAAGGTGGGGTATTCAGGAATCCGTTAAAGAAGCATTTTTTTTTGTGGTGTTTATACAAAAAAGCTTTTGATATCAGTGAACAGCTATTAGTTATTGATGACATTTGGAAATATCACAATATCACTGTTCTGTGATGTCTCAGTAGTCAACATTTTATATTCTTTGAGCGCTCCCCTCTTTCTGACTGTAAATAAAGCCGTTCTCCACCTCCCTCATCCTGATTGGTTGTGAGGCAGACGCTGCTCCCCCGTGTCGTTCACGAGCCCAAACAAAGTTAGCGTGCTTCAATATCGGACAGTAGAAACCAACCACAAAGTACAGAAAATTGTCTGAATCCTCCTTTGGCCGCGACTGCCGACACAAGCAAGAAAACAAACTAAATACCGGAGACTCTGGCGGAATAATGAGCGCTTAAAAAGGAGGTAGATCAGCCAGACGAGGGAAGGAATCTAGATGTTAATGATGCCGTCTTACACAAAAGTGATCCTCTTTAAAGGTTTTGGTGGCGTCTTCTTCTCCATCTGTCTGTTACCGATTCATTCAGCTGTATCAGGAACATTTTTTAGCACCAACGTTTTAGCTGTGATTGTGTGGCTCCCAGTCTTTTTCTTGCTTTCTTTAACTCTTGAAATAAAATACATTTAGGTGCCTAATAGATTTTGTTACTTTCTAATATTTCACTTATTCTGCCGTTGGACTTTTGAAACATCTCTTAATACTCATTGGGTACTAAAGAGGGATTATTAGACTTTCTCCAACACAAGCCATTAGACTCTAGTTTAGCCATTTTTAGGACTTAGTGTGACAGACGTATTTATCCCTCAAATGTACTTTCCCAGGGTTGTGTATTTTAATTCCTCCATCTGTTGACTTTTCTCCACACAGAGAGCGAGGTGTGCAAGCTGGAGACACTACTGCAGTCCGAGGTTTCCGTGGTAACTACAGGCGAAGCAGTAGGCGCAGATGCTGCCAAGACTCCACCGTCCTTGCGCCGCCGCAAAAGAACCTGCTCTCGGCGGCAGGGCGAGAAGGATAGAGAGAGGGAAGGAGGAGGCATGGGCGCCGGAGAGCGAGGGGACCGAGGCGTCGGAGAGGAGAGGGACAGGAGGGAAGCAAGTAAGTCAGCAGGGATACACGTGTTGAAATTCTGTGCATGAGTGTCAGAAACTGTTCCTAACCATTACTGCAGTCTGGATCCAGCTTCTGTAGGACACTGCCCTCTAGTGTTTATATGGGGAGTTTTATTAGAGAGGGGAAAATAAGTCCTTATGTGCATTTTAAGTTAGTGTTGTATAAAGTCAAACGAAGAGGAAACAAAATTAAATGGAGATCTTAAAACTAAAATTGTCTAAAATTATTCACTAATTACTGTAATGAGTGTTTGCTGGTTTCTCTTCTCTGTTTATATTTTTAGTGACAAACATGAAAACCCTACATCCTCATTTCAAAGCAAAGTAAAAATGGCAGTAGTGTACAAACTCTGGTTATTAACCCAGACCAATGATCCATCATGTAATGTGCTGATATGGGAAAACGGTGTTCATATAAAAGGATATTAACGCTCTGTCCCCCTCAGGTGCTCAGTATATGAAGCTGGGTGATCGTTCTCGCAGTGGAGGACAAAACAGTATCTCCACCATCCTCCTCATCGTCAGCTTCATGTGAGTTCACGCCTTTTTTTACGTCCCTTTGTTCGACTCTGAACTTCTGCGCTCAGCTTCCCTCTTCTGTCGCATACTTTCTGATTTATTGCACACCTATGAAACAATGAAATGACTGACTTTGACTGTAAATCTTCTGAGTGTTCTGGCTTTTTGCTGTCTTTGTTCTATCCACGTCTGAATGTTCCTCCTTCATTCAGACATGCTGGATATTGATCCTCTGCTTACTAACAGCCTCACTTTTGCCTTTCTTGCTATTTCTCTTCTTTCCCCTTCTTTTTCTGCCATACTTCTTGTGAATAGGATCTGTATCAGGTTCGTATGAGAGGCTTTGATTTCATACCACAGGCTGCACATACAGATAGATAACCTTAAGTTGTGTTGACGTTGCAGGAAAAATCCACCTTTGCGTGTTTTTTTTGTTTGTGTCTCAAACTTTGTGTTGTTTCTATTTAATCCATCCCTCTGCCTACGGACTGGACCAGAGTCCATTTCTGCTCTCTGTCCACACAGCACATAATTGACTCCTTGGGATTCTGCTTGTTTTGAGCCAGCGCTTGTGTTTTCTCTGCTCATCCACTGCAGCTAGTGTGCTCTCGCTGGTGGAAGGTCTCTTTACTCCTTAAACAGCCACAGTTTCCCTTAGTTTGTGTTTGTAAAGAGACACAGAGCAGGTAACAAACATAGACTGGAAATTTTCTGAATAAACTTAACTCACGAATCCAGTCAACCACAAAGAAAATATAACATCTTGTTCAGGAATACAGCGTGCAGCAGGTTTGGTTGCGCTGTATTCTTTTGCAGAGCTGTTGTTTTCATCAAGGTGGATTTTTCCTGACACAAGTTTACACTGTGTTGTTATTCAGTGAATTATTTTGTTCATCCTGAGCCAACAGTTTCTTTTCCTTTGATATCTCACCGATAGTCCTGTTAAGTTGAAGCATTTTCACTCTTGGTTATTTATTCGGGAATATTCATGCCAGTCGTTTTCATTACACGTCCTCTCCTCTCTCTGTCCCCGTCAGTCTGGTGGTGCTGGTGGCTCTCAACATGCTGCTCTTCTACAAGCTGTACGCCCTGGAGAGAGCAGCTCATACACTGGAGACATGGCACTCCTACTCTGTCGCTGACAGGTAAACACCCCGCGCCGTTTTCCATCCAAATATAGACTGGTAATTATAGGGGGTAATCCTTTTGGGATTTAAGGTCTTAAATCTACCGCAGAGTTTTGAAATAAGTGCAGCACATCGACTCAACAAGCAACGATAAAAACATATGATGCTCAAAGTGTGATAATATCATTAATAGATCATGCACAGCCTTGCCTTCGACGCTGAGATATCATCTGTTTATTTTCAGTTACTTACATACTCGCACATGAAACCTGGAATTGTCCTGAATGTCGGCCAAAAAAATGATCACAATATATTTTGTCATATCGTCCGATCTCGATTATTATTACGATTTTTTTTAAACTGCCAGTTTTTAAGCATCTGTACTAAAAACTAAAGAAACTAGAGATTAGTTCAACATTTTATTAACTTACGAAGTAAATGACAAAGAATAAGATAAACTTAGAAAAATATAAAAACATTTTAACTCAACAGAACAACAAATGTAGATAAAAACTAAATAATACAGTGAATTAGTTTACAGTCCTGAGTGTTTTTGCAGGTATGTAAGACCCGAAATAAAAAAATTTCTCCCTCTGGGATAATGAAGACGCCTTAAAATGTAAACATTAGATGATGTAAATGTAGATGATAGGATTGATTGCTGCTTTGGTCTGATGGCTGCACTGCTAGTTGTAGCTAAACTGCTCATGCTAGTCACACCGTCAGCAGTGACAGGCTGTACAGACTCCGCTCACATTTTCATATTTTCCGCATAATCACTCGGGAAGAACTTCTTTAAATGAGTAAACAGATCTGTTGTGTAGCCGGTTTTTGAGAGGACCGACAACCAACATACCTACACATCAGCTTAATTTCTCGACGTCACTTTGGAGATACCTGAACCACCGCCAAACAACTGACGGTGGATAACTTCTTAAAAATAACATCTTCTGAGGATGACTCAAAGTCACGGCTGACATCTATTTTGATGTCCTCAGCTCCGCATTTAGCTCCACATTCGGTCATCTTGTTAACCGCTCCTGTTTACTTCCCCGGCAACTTACAGAAGTGAGCAGGAAAAGCTCGACTCTGATTGGCTGTTGTCACTCACATTTCCTCTATGTTTGATCGAGTAAATATGCTCACAGCTGATCACCGCGATCGAACTGAAATTCATCACGATCATCGATCATGACCATAGAATCTCCCAGTCCTATCTGAATGTTTAGAAAAATGTAAATAAGTTTGTAGTTCTTGTTTCCTTTCCGGTGTCTAACTCTTCTTCGTCCTCCTCTGCTCGTCTCCTCTTCAGTCCGTTGCCTCAGACAGCTGGAGAGTGGGCTCAGGTTTTACAGCTGCAGAGACAGTTTCACCAGGCTCAGCTCAGCAAGTGGCAGCAGATCCTGCAGTCCTCTGTCACGCTCCTTGACCAGGTAAGTGTGTTTGTGCACATGCGATCTCTGCTTGTAGAGTCATTGTCAGGGAGCAGTCAGCTGGAAATCTCACACGTCACACTGTTACGCAATCAAGTGAATCTGACACGACTTCTCTCTCTCACCCATATATTCCATATTTGTCTCTCAGATGAAGCAGTCTTTAGAAAAGCTCCACCGGGGCATCGTGGTCCCAGAGGTGCAGCAGGATCCCCCCGACGACACCACCGCAGAGACTCTGACTGACGCCTGAGCCCCAGCTCTTCTCGTCTCCCTGAATGTCTCAAACCTCTGACCACAGCTTGATAGAAAAGAGGGGACCGGTGGACTAAGATCAGGACTGAGTTTGCTCTTTCCCTCGTTTCCAAAACAGGAGTGGGACACGCAGGGGGGACCACATTACCCACAACTCCTCTTGCCTGACTGACTTGAAGTGGCGATGTTCACCTTTAGCCTCAACTGGTAAAAACTCGACTGAACTCACTCAGACTGGAAGCTTTCAGGACCACAGCAATAATTGACCTACAGCTGCAAGTCATCTGTATATAGTTTATGGGAACAGGCCACTGGTGGGCCGACTGAGACCTCCGCTCTTGAAGAATTATTGAGAAATTTCAAATGGCTGATAGATTAACTACCTTCGTTTTCAGAAATGCCAATTTTATGACTATCACAGGCTCCAGCTCCTCCTCTGACATTTGTCACCCGTGCAATAGGAGGGGGTCGGTGATCCTGGAAAGTGGGAGCTCTTCCTCTCAGTCCTGGGAACAGATAAGATACCCTTTTTCCTCTCGTGAACGCCTGCTGAAGCAAAATAAAACACACGGGGCGCCACCTGCAGTGCGGGGAGGAGAGAGTGTTGACAGGAGCAGGCGACTCTCACTCTTTCTGTCGGGGGGTTTGTTCTTCTTTCGTGTCCGATTTCAGCCCCCCCCCCCACCCCCCCCAAAGACTGTCAGTCCTCCGTGAACGAGGCCGAGGAACGTTCAACACCAGACACTTTGGTTTTCACTCTTAATTTAAGATGTAGATTTTACATCTGAGGATTAACCCTTTCACTCCCCCAGTCCCGTCTGGGTTTTATCTCCTTTGAAACCAGTATATTGAGTCGTCTGTTATGAAAACAAGCTGCGTCTGACTGTTTCACTGACTGTTACAGTATTTATTATCACCATTGACTTTTGATCTGAAGTCCTGTCCTGCTCTTACGAAGTCACACGGCGGGTATTTCGTGCTCTGATTTCATGTTGCGTCGCGGACCAAGAGGAGCTACACGAGAAGGATTACCGTCACAGCAATAATGACAATAGTGATACTAGTAATTTTTGAATGTTTCAAACAAAGTAGGATATAATAATTATAATAATGATGGTGATGACTTGTGTGTGGATGTGTGTAGAGGCAGTGAAAAAAAACAAGCAAAGAAGACGTGTGTGTTCACGAGGAGTCCTCACTGTTACGTTTTCATATTAGCGTTTTTGTTTTTGCAGATTTCTCTTTCATGTTTGGCTTCCAGCTCTTTCCGTAACAGGGTGTCGCCTGAACGGTTCGGGACGTCGCGTAGACTCGAAACAGGTAGAAATAGAAATATCAGAAAAAGTCCAGCTGGGCCAAAATTAGTGGACCAACCAGAATTTAGCATGCCCAGATGAAGAAGAAGGGAATCCTTTTGCAGTATTGTTTTTTTTTTTGTTTGTGTGTGTTTGTAAAATGACTTTGATTGACTCGTTATCTCTTTTTATTCAATGACTTTTTCATTTCTTTATTATTTCGTCATCTGTGTTCGTTGTTGATTTCCGGTCAGCCCTCTCTGTCCACTTGATTCTGACCTTTGAAAACATCTCACCCATCTGCACTCGCTCTGGTTTTTCTTCTTCTTCTTCTTCTTGTCACCACTCAGCACCGCTCTTCCTCACTTTTCCTCTGTTTGCTCTTCCCTTTCACCCCGCTCTCTCACTCTCTCTCTGTTTTGATGAAAATAGTGGCTACAGAAGCATGTGGGCCATGCTGTGCGTGGTCATCCGCAAATGACGAAAGGGGGAAATATTTATTCGAGGAAGGAGGGAGGGAGGGGGGGCAGAAAGAGAGAGTTGCGAACGAGGAGGGGGGATGAGAATGTACTGTAAAGATGTGACTGTACACCACGCCATGGAGAGAAATGAAAAGATTTAAAACATGCAACAACTCCTTTCTCATCTTTGTGTCCGTGTTTCACATTTAGTCAAATCTGCCATCAATTAGAAGTGAAATTATATTTCTTAAAGCTAAAATATGCTTCCAAATTGGTCGTGTATTACAATAGTGGTATCGTAATGGTCTTCAGATGTTAGGCTTTAATAGTGTTGCTGCACTTTAGTCAACAACTTCGTCTTAAGCGCAGACGACAAGGACTCAGCCTTAAGCGTTGGCTGCATTTGGACTTGAAAGATAGAGAGGAGGACTCAAATTTGTTCAGTGATATAGATAAATAAAGTCAATATGCGTGCATGTGTGCTCACCTGCATGCATATTGATGAACCACCAAGTTCAGCTGCAGGGTGACACAAGATGAATCCTGAGTTTTGCGTTCAGATTTTGGAGAAGTTTTCAGAAACTCTAGGAGATAAAAGATCTGCTTTAATTTAATCCAAAAATGGAAATATTCCTGTGACGAGATGGCAGCGTTACTACCCAGCTCGTTAGAGGAAAGAGGAGCAACATAAAAAAACAGATGTACAATAAAGTTTTTTTTACTCCAAAATACGTAAAGTGAAACTCAAAACTTGGCTATCCACTCTGACTGAACAAAATCAAACAACAGAACAGAAACCTAACCTAGTGAGACTAACTAAACTCTGCTAAAGTGGAGATGTTAAGTTCACAAACGAGTCAGTCTTTTGAACGGCTCATTTTAGTGAACGATAGGAACCGGTTTACCGTGGCGAGCCGTTCGTTTGCGGGACGTTCTCATATGCAGATTGCCCAGGCTGCCTTCACATGTCACCTGTGTGCTCCAAACACCAGGTAAGTTCAGATAATTTTACATTTCTATCATATCTTGATTTTTATCAGTTTTCTGTAGCCTGCAAAGTTTTTGTTGTGCTACGAAGTTTTTCTTAGGTGAGGGAAAAAAATTCAAAGCATGAGGATATGTCCCCTCCTTCTGGACTCTGTCATGAGGAATTTTGTAGGGGAATAAAATCCCATTTTTGTAAAGGTGGTAGCAGAAACAGGAATACTCACTACCATCAGGCTACAACTGTGTAGCAACACCTTCTTACCTTCTTACCTTATAGATGAATATTTTCTGATATGATAACAGGCATTTTGAAACCCTCATGTACACAGACAGACACAAAAGCTGTTAAAATACAAAGTTTATATTCATACAGTTCGACCCTCAGCTGTCTTTTAAATTTATAAACATATATGAGCTGTTATTTTGTTCTCTTTGTTCTAGAAACCTCTGAATGAAAACTAATTATAGCTTTTCCTTTGTATCTCATTGTCACATAATGCCTTCAGTAATATGGTTTCTGTTACAGTCAAACTCAGTGTTTACCTTGAATCCAGTTTAATTCTCAAAGTTCATTCTGTAGAGCAGGGGTCAGCAACCTTTTTGACCTGGAATGCCATAATATTTTCCCTTGATAGTCAGAGTGCCTCCACGGCCGTATTAATAATTTTCTTAGTCAATACTACATTTTCACCCAAGTTTTATTGTCCATTTTGTGTACATGTCATGCATATATTTAGAAGAAATTGTCTTTATATCATTCAGAATGCTCCTAGACTGGTAGTCGATATTTCCGTAGAGTTTAAAAATAATTAAAGCTTAATAATTCAGCATCCTACATTATTTCTCACTCATTGGTGACCACTAATGGCCACAAGTTTCTCTTTGTTTTGACATTAAATACCTACTTATGTAGATTAAATTGCTTTAAAATGTTAATATCACTGACACACACAGTTTCCTACTTCTTCACACGTTTACCTGCCACATCAAGAAGAAAAAACAACAGAGACCCTTTCATTTTCCCACAAGTATTTTTATTTCTCTCTCTGTGTTATTCTAATTCCCATTTCTCTTCTCTTTTTTAATTTTGGCAAGCAACATGTCTACACCTACATGTGAAGTAAAAACTGCAGTCTTACTTAGTCGCTGAAAGAAAACACGTGCACACAAAGCAGACCATCATTGTGGGGGGCAGTGTGGTGGATTCATTTTCAACCTGTTGCTTCTTTTGTGCAGAAAAACACGTTTAAATGACGTAAACGGATGCATGTCTAAAACCCCCTTATTAAGTAGTGCGTTACTCGCTTGTTTGGCCTATAAATATATATTTTTTCAGCTTGTATCTCATTAGATACTCAGTGTCTTTTGAAAAGTGATAGTGCAGCCTTCCTCTATCTCAACAGTAAGCATGCGTAATATTCTGTGTTTATTTATCAGTTCATGTGCGTCTCCTTTTCAGTGTCTCAAAATGTATCATAGTCAGTTTTGGTACAAAAGAGATAAACAGTAAACATACCAAATGGCAGTGTTTTGCTGCCATCTAGTGTTCAACCTTCCTTCAGTAACAGTATTTGACACCTCGGTTTTGTATCAAGACCTCTGCTCCTTTCTTTCCTCTCTTTTGGTTTCTACGTCGGGAGGCACACTGGACAGGTTTTGTGGTACGGTCGCCCACGGCAGTAAGATAATAGCAATTTGCCAAGCCCTTAAACTTTACAAAGACACTTAGATGTAACACGTGGGCAGGACAGTTTGTATGCGGACAAGTTTTGCTGGAATTGTCCCCTTTTTGTGGTTGTTTGGATTACCCAGAACAGCTGCATTTTTTTTTTTTTTTTTGGTGTGATACAGACGGGCCAGGCAGTGAAAGATGAATAACAATCTCAAACATCACACAGAGTCTCACTGTTTCTCATCACCCACTTCTGGAGGAAAATGCCCCTCTGTACAACGCATGACGAAGAGCTAATCTACACTAGTATGAGAGCAGCGGTCTGCTCCAAAGGCCTGTCATAATGCTTCAATATCAAATAAAACTCCACAAACACTTAGATTCAGTTATAGTTGTAGAAAATGTTGCTGATATATCACTGTGAGTTATTAGGATCCAGAGAAACAGCTAAAAACGTTGCTGATTAATTAAAAACAAAACAGCTTCCTGGTCAAACACACCTTGCACTCTTTTTCTTAAAGTATGATCTAGCGCTTGCTTGTTCCCTCGTCATTTAAGCCTCAAATCTCTAAATATGTACACCCATCAGCAGTAACATTATGAGCATCTGCTAAACACTGTGTGGGCCCCCCTCCCATCGATTCAGGGCTGTTTTGGCCCTGACCTGACATGGACTCCACTAGACCTCTGCATGTGCGCTGTGGTAACTGGCAACAGTTCACAAGTAACATCTCCTTTTAAGTCCTCTGATAGACACGACGTTGATTAATGTTGGGTTTATGTAAATGTGATAGAGTAAGGTCTAGGTCTGCTCATCTTGTAAAGTGTCTTGAGAAAATGTAGGTTATGAATTGAGGCTACGCTCATAAAGACTGATCAGTGAGATTAAAGGGATGTACCGGCATAAAATTAAGTTAGGGTCGAACACATCATAACACCAAGTTAGACACCCCGTCGAGAGATGAATGTTGCTGACTGCTTGCTTCTCTAGTTATATTAACTTTAGTAATGACCGTCCATAACAGTACACAGCAATCTGAGGAGCCATAAACAAACCTCAACCAAAACGCCACTCTATAGCCACAAATAATGCTCAGAACAGCACCTAACTTCATCAACAGGACATAGCCACCAAACATCTTTTTAACTTTGCCTAATTTCTTTAGCAAAGAGACTAAACACAACTCACCTACTCTCTTCCAGCAGCCGCTTGTCTGTAGCGAGACCTCAGGCCAGTCCATTACGGACTGCTGCTCATTTTCTTTAAGTAATAATCACCATATTAATCATTTCGCCCCGCTGTAGTCCGTACTGGACTGTCTCGAGGTCTCCGTAAAAACAAGCGGCTGCTGGAGGAGAGTAGGTGAGTTGTGTTTAGTCTATTTTCTAAAGAAATCTGGTCAAAGTTAAAAAGATGTTTGGTAGCTGGTTCTATGGTTGGGACCCTATATGTCCTGTTGATGAAGTTAGGTGCTGATCTGATCATTATTTGTGGTTATAGAGTGGCGTTTTGGTTGAGGTTTGTTTATGGCTCCTCAGACCGCTGTGTATTGCTATCCTGTGGTCGTAACTAAAGTTGGTATAACTAGAGAAGTAAGCAGTCGGCAACATTCATCTCTCGAGGGGGTGTCTAACTCAGTGTTACAGTGTGTTTAACCCCAACTTAATTTTACGCTGAAATATCCCTTTAAGATCGAAGTTTTGAGGTGGGGCCTTGATGACTCAGACTTGGCAAACATTTCCACTGATGCTCAGTTGGATTGAGATCTGAGGGTTGTGTTCAAGTCGACACTGATTTGATCTTTACCTGCTTATTTTTATGTTTCATTTGGCAGGGGTTAGGAGTCACCATGAGCACCCCACATCTACAACAGGCCCCATACCCAACAACCCCTGCTGACACCTTTCTGTCAGAGCCAGCACTGATTTTTCCATCATTTGAGCTCAGCTCTTCTGTTTGATCAGACCACAGGGGCCAGCTTTGCTCCCATCATGCATCAGTGAGCCTTCGCCACCCGTGGTCCTGGAGCTGCCAAACTTGTTTCCCCTCCTTGGTCCACTTAGTGGGTACTCACAAGGTTACCACTGGTTGGGCTACTGTCATTGCCGTCTATCTTACACATTTTTCCTGTTAACTTTTGTCAAAATCTGCATGTACATTAAGTATATTTGACATTCAACACACACATCGCTCTTCAAAACTGCTCCAAAAGTGACAGTTCACCCCATATAACCACAAATTCTCAGTCAAAGCCGGTCTTATTAGTCAAACTGTCGAACATTTCTATTGAAGGAAGCGAAAAGTTTCGGTGTTTTGAATCAGAATCTGACTAAAGATATTGCTTGCTCACCATCTATCAGTTAGATATATGTAAAATAATACTGAAGATTTAGACCTTAAGTCTGTGCAGTTACTGCCAATATGATGGTTGTGAAATTGTTTTTTTGTTTTTTTTTGTTTGTTAATTTTGGTCTAAATGATCAAAAATCTGAATATTTTTGGCAATATTAGGAAATATTGCAGGAAACACCATATATTTATATATATCTACAGTATATATTAAGCTTTTTGGCATTAAAGTGGTCCAAATAAAACCTTCAATAAGACAAATAGCTGTTTTTTCTTTTTCTAACAGTATTTGCTCTGGGCTTTTAACTGTGGTGACTTCTCAACAGAAAGGAAAAGTTTGGTTTATTTAGTCGCACTTGAGTTTCAAATATGATAAAATTGGTTCCAAATCTTAATCCGTCAATGATTTGATTCATTATTTATAGTACCACAGCTTTCAAAAATCCACAGAGGAAACACTTACACAGTTTTCGGCTAAAAATCAGATTTATAAAACCTGTTCTGGTCAAACCTTGACCCTTAACGCGCGGCATGAAACAAAATGTTAAAAAAATAAAAAGTCCTAAAAAACCATGGCTGTGACATGACATCAAAAGCACGATGCCGGTCATTTGGAAAAGCTTGTAAGCATGCAGATAGTGGATATACAGAGTTGATAGTATACTCTACATATGTTCAAAGATTATCTGTGCAGACTTTTACACCTATTTACACTGAAACGCTCCCCCCATCTGACGCACTCGTCTGTCCAGTTTCTCAGAACAGGATTCAGTTCAGTCAGTTTGCAGGAAGTCACTGAAATGATGCAGATGTTCCCTGTCTCTGTCATTCCTTTTGTTTTCCATCACGTGACGAGGATGGCGGGAAGTGAGTGACGTCGAGAGGAGAGGGCGTGAAAGTGGACGTGGGATTCTTCAAGGAGGCAGTGGTGAGTTTTTCTCCGACCTGAAGTTAAGTAAACATAAAGCTGGTCAGAGGAGACAGGAGGCCAAAGAACTTTTTGGATACTTCAATTTGAGCCGTCTGGTTGTTAAATGTGAACATGGAGGTATAGTTAGTTAGTTAAAAGAAGCTTAACCACAAAGTACACGTTTGTTTTTTGATTGACTTACATTTTCACAAGTTTCTAATTAAATTTGGTTTATATTTTTGTTTTTAATTCAAAGGTTTTGATCAGTTGGGTTTAGTTTTTATTTCCGGAAAATACTTCGTTTTAGTTTTCGGTGGTAAATCTTGATTTTAGTTTAGTTTCATTGCCCACTGAACTGCATGTGTAGAAGAAACCGATTGTTTTTCTCCTGGTGCTGCTCAAGGGTGCTCTTGTATGTCAAGATGAAAACAATTTTTTTTTTCATTTAATTTTTATTTTCCAATTCAATGACTGGAAAGATGCAGAATGAAGTGAATTTATAATCCCTCCGCCTTGCTTAAAACAAATATCTACTTACATCAGGTGACTGCTATGTAATAAACCTGTATATATGAATCAAATAAAATAAAGAAAAGTAATCAAATAAATAACCTTAAGAAAAGGTACATACGACAGAATAACATGAATAAAACCAAAAAATAGAAAAATAAAACTCTTTCATCACAACATCATTTCTTAAACTGAAAAATGTTTCTGCAGTCCTTTTTTTCTGCTGTCGAAGAATTCCACATTTTTACACCAACAACAGAAATACACATTAGTTTTACATTTGTTTTAACTATTTGCTGTTTAAAATGTAATTTTCTTCCATGATTATCTTCTTCTAAAACTGAAACAAATCTGCAGAGCAACAGTCAACAGTCCACTTCTTGCTCTCAATAAAACCAATAACGTCCCTAATTCGGTCATCTCTTTTAACTTCAACAGACCTGATTTTAAAAGTAACTCATTTGTGATTTTTCTTCTTAGTTTTATTTATTTTACTTTAAACATCTGATTAGCTGTCACGTTTTTTTTAAAGCCTCATTTTTATTTTATTTTAGTTGTTAAAAATGTTTTTGATATTCTAGTTTTCATGATTTTATTAGTTGATATACTTTTCATTTGAGAGAGACGGTTATTAATTTATCTGAAGATCAAATAAATTAGGATTAAAATGTGAACTAGCACTAAATACTACAAGGAGAAATATTGTTTCATGAGCATATTGTATACTGCTGATACAAACATTTACTTTAGAAACAGCACCTGCTTTGCAACACACGAACAATAGGAGGCACTAGAGGAACAAAGTGAGAGTCCAGACCCACCTGTGCTATTCTGCTTCTTGTTCACCTGCACAGTTATCTTTACTTTCCGATGCTATAGCCAGATATTCAGCCCTGAGAGAAAGAGTGTAACAGAAAGGAGAAATTAGACAGAGAAGATCGTAAAATCAGGAAGACACTTTAGAACAAGGAGAAAAAAGGGGGAAATGTCTGTCATCCTGAGAAGAGCAGATACAAACAGATTGAATTTTTGCTTTCCAAACGATGCCAACGAGGAAAAACGAGGGTCAAAACAGTTGGTAGGAGATCAGGACATTTGGATGGCTCAGCAGGATTTGGAAATGAAGCACTGGCACTGAAGAGAAGCTGGTCTGTGTGTGTTTCAAGCGTTACTCACGCGCTCTCCCTCAGAGCTTCCTCTCCTGCTGCTGCGATCTTCCTGTAGCAGTAAATCATTTCAACCACGAGCCAGAGCTGCAGCCCGATGATGGAGACGTACATCATCACCTCCGACAAGATGGATGCCATTCCCCTTGTGACTGTGGCGGCAGAGAAGGAGATAAGGGGAGATACATGGTGTCAGTGTACTCATGGAAATTAAATTGGGTTTGATATGCTTCCTAAGATCTATGAAGCTGCTGAGGCCTTACAATTCCCAGTAACAGTATCATTTGTGACCTCCTGTCCTTAATTATGGGATGGTATCCTTTATGATTTCTTAATTCCAGCAGCAGATGCTTTAAAGTCCCACTCCGATCGTTTATTTTTTACTACTTAAAGTCTTCTCAGTGGTCTTTAAACTGTGATTATGAAGTTTTTAGCCAAAATCACGTAACCTGTGTCATTTTCAAGGGCTTTTCTTCTGCAGAGCTCCAGTAGATCATTAGTAATTTGCCTCTGAGTCGTGGGCGGAGACAGCGCTGCTCTGCACACTCCTCTTCACGCTCCTCTTCACGCTAGCTTGCAGCCTAGGAAATATGCAGCCAGTGTAGTAGAAGAGCGAGAGTCCAAGAGCAGGTAACATAAGAGCTATTCAGGAGCTCTTGGACACCAATGTCTTTGAGAACACGATGAAAGTTAGTATCATTATTATCTTTCTTACGAGCATTGCAATCCGCTAACGCACACGCTTGTTCCGCGATTGTCCTCTCTATTTCTCAAAGTCTGGCTTGCACAGCGGGGCTCAGGGGGCGGGGCTTGGACTTATGATGTAGGAAATCTCACCCGGGATTTCCACCCCATGCGGAACGGCTCCGGTGTGGAACGGTGGCGATTTTCACCGTCCGGCAATTCCTACCGGATCACAAGAATCCGTGAATTCACCTACAATCGTGCGATAACAAGTCTTCTTTAGCCACATCGGCTAACCATATTAGCAATTGATTGTGCCCCTTCAGAGGAGGAAATCTACTTCGAGACGTATAAAATCAGCATCTCGATGGTGTCATCGGGGTGAAATGACGTCTATAAACCTTTTGCATGGTGTGAAATACGATCCGCCTGAAACACAGATGTTTTATTTTGTGTCTGTGCCCGACTTTCTTTCCAGCACGGGTTAATCTCTGCTGAATTTATCATACTCGCAATAGAACACTGCAGCAAACAGAAAGAAGTCGGTGGAAATTGACACAGTAACTTGAATGGTTACGATCAGCTACGATCGGTGGATACGGCCTTTTCGTAGCCGTTCTGGATGTGGTGGAAATTGGGGGTTACTGTGTCTGATCCTGCTGTTTGGGTCTGTGAGAGATTAACAGCGATTTGAAAGCAGAAATACTCAGAGATGCAATTTTACACATAGTTTTCTCATGATATGTCCTGTAGCATCAGAAAAAATTCCATATGAACATGTGAAAAGCAAGAAAAACATGATTTTCATCAGAGTGGGTCTTACAAATAACCTGAGGTGATCTGAGTCTGTTGAACATTAGGCTGTCTCCAAACGACTGAACGTATATCTTAGTGTGAAATCACGAGTCCATACTGTCTAAAACCTTCCTCTCCCCTCTTTGCTCTTACGTTGTGGAACCACGTTCAAGACGACCACCTTGGAGTGGTTGGTGTTATACTCGTAGTCGCTGTACTTCAGGGTGCGGTAGAAGGTGCAGTGGTAGGTTCCCGTGTCGTTGAAGGTCACGTTTAGGATGTAAATGGAGCCATCCTGTAGGTCTTTGGTGCCCTTGCTGCCGTTCCACTCCAGCCGATCCAAGAAACGTGGATCGACGACTTCAGGCTTTTCATCTGCATAGTTATATAACTAGAAGACAAGCAGAGAATGTGTTGTGACATTGAGGGAAGCGACGTGGTTAAACTGGTCAAGAGACTGTCACTTTGTCTCTCTGATTGTGAACATTTCCCCCTCATGTCTCCAGGAAACAGACAGTTGGTCTCCACCTCGGCGCTGCATCGACTCAGCTGCAGCTACAGCTTCACCTCTGCTCTCTCTGGTGAATTGGTGGAAACAGAGTCTGAAGAAGCTAATGGGATCTGGCCCGCTTCATCTACATGCTGTAATGGCCTCTTTGTTTTGCCTGGTGAGCATTCCTTCGGTTAGCAATGCTGTCTACCAGACGACGCATGGGAGGGGGGGCGTCATGAAAAATTCAAGACTCCTCTCTCTCTCTCTCTCTCATGATAAATGCATTGAATCTGTTTCCCGGAAAAGGAGGCAAATTGCCGTGTTGTGATGGATGTGTTTGTTACTTTTTGGTTGTTTTCTTCTGGATCTTGACACAAAAATAACTTGAGCAGCTGCTGTTTGTCAGGATGCGGATAATTTTAACTAAAACTTCTCATTAAGTCACTTTTTAGGATGAGATTATAAGACTTGGACATGAATAGACAAATGCCAAGAGACAGTCAAATACTCTAAAACCCCTGAGCTCTGCAGGTTTAAAAGAGATCAAAATTTCTCAGTTTTAAGGAGAATTGATTATTCACCAGATCAAGTCACTCTCTGGAGTCTGCACTGATTGCATAACAACTTTGTTGTGTAAGCAAAGGTCCAGGGAGCGTCTGCAACCACGAACAAGAACGGACAGATGAAACCGATCAGATATGAATTATTAATAAATACGCTCTCAGATGCTCGTTGATGGACTGTGTCGTGTTTTTTAAGTGGCAGTGTTAAAAAAATTAAGCCAATGCAGAAATTAAACAAACAAAGGAAATCCAATCAGAGTCCATAAAATACCCACAAGTGAACATACAGTCTGGTACCAAAGGGAGAGCTGGTGGTGGCGTTGAAAACTTGGCATGATTGGGCTGATTTGTCAGATGGCTGATTTACGGCTTTGACCCCACCTCTTCGCCAGTGTCTAGATTTGAGTTATTCTGACTCAGCGTTTCTTAACCAAAAAAAGTGACTAATCTCGCGAAGCAGATGGATTGGCCAGATTCCAGGCGTACCCATCTTTCAAAGCTTTGAGATGATAGGCTCGTTCCCGGTCAGAGGGTGACCAAACCAGTCAGCGTTATTTTAGGTGAAAGGGCAATAGCAGTAGACACTTTGCTGCAGCGGCAAGAGGCAACTGCAAGTCTTTAATTAATGTTGGCCTGTAAAAAGAGGAGCTAAAGCAGCAGTTTTATCAGAACTCATGAAACACTCTCATAGGAGGTGTGTCATGAATATTGAGTGGTGAAGAAATGCATATTGGTATTGGTATTGTTTTTCGAGGTATTGTTTACTCATCTATGGATGCCATGGTCATACACAAATGAGGTGTAACTGTGTACGTAAAGCAATGGTTCCCAACCGGTGGGTCCCGACCCAAAAGTGGGTCGCGGACATGTTCTGGATGGGTCGCAAACAACTGGTCAAAAAAGTAAATATTTAATGGGCATCTGATGTTTGAAATGTCTTTTATTTTGAATAAATAGCTTATTTTGTGCAATTTGATATTTAATTAATATTTGATTTTTTTTCAGGGTGGTACAGTGGTGTAGTGGTTCGCACTGTCGCCTCACAGCAAGAAGGTCCTGGGTTCAAATCTGGGGTCAGGGCGTTCTGTGTGAAGTTTGCATGTTCTCTATGTTCTCTCTGTGTTTGTGTGGGTTTACTGCGGGTACTTCGGTTTCCTGCCACATCCCAAAAACATGCAGAAGTGGGGTTTGTTTAATTGCTCATTTTCAAATTGCCCGTAGGTGTGAATGTGAGCGTGGATGGTTGTTTGTCTCTATATGTCAGCCCTGCGATGAACTGGCGACTTATCAAAGGTTGTCCCCTGCCTTCGCCCAAAGATGCTGGGATAGACTCCAGGAACGGGAATAAGTGGTAGAAGATGGATGGATGTGATTTTTTCTATATATGCAACTTCAGTAGTTGTCGTCCTGAGTTCATGTGCTCTGAAATGCACTTTACTCAATAAAACGGGTGTATTTGTGTTAAAGATTTGAGTCTTTAAAGGTTTTTTTATATAAAAAATAAATTTGCTTGGTTTGAATTCTATAAAAGTGGGTCGTGACTTAAGGACCATGGGAAAATGTGGGTCCCAGAGTGAGACCAGCTGAGAACCACTGGCATAAAACCTGAAAACCCAAGTGCCTACAAGCTTTTGGTTCTAAGTTCCTGTCTATGTCCTGTGTCCTGCTTGCTCCTAGAGGTAAGATCAGTTAATTCACAAACTTTATTAAAGTTCCTTTTTAAAAAAACACATCTTTTCTTAACTCACAGGTGAGAAATCGGCGTCATCGAAGGCCTTGAAGTACCATTCCACACGTGCCTCGGCGGGCACCTCGCCCCTCTGCTTGCAGGAGATGCAGCCCAGCTTGAAGCCTTTGTTTACCTCAGCCTCTGTGTCTGACTCCACCTCCACGCAGGCTCCACGGCACAGAGATGCTACAGAGTGAAAAGGATGAGGAACGTTGAGTTAGGAACCATCTGAATCATTTTATCGCCGTTTGTCTATCTGCAGGTCGCAGGCTTCAGAGGTAAGAGCTGTGGGCGGCTTTGTCCTCTTTTTCATGGAGCCATGACTCAAGGGAAAGCTCGATACACGGGCTGAGCTCTGTTTTTCCACTATCTCAGTACTTGCAGGCAAGCTGTCTAAACAGCACGTTACAAAACAATGTCAGTTACTGTTGCTCTTGAATTGTCTTGTGCTTACTTCTAATGATCATTGCATGCGTGTTTTTTTTTCTTTTGTAACGGGCAGAGCTTCCATCTTGCATTTTTTTATTTCCTCTCATCTTTTCAGCTGAAAGATTTTTTTTTTTATTTGATTGATCTGATTTCCACTTTGGAAGTCATTCATATTTTGGTGCTAAATCTGTGAAAGTGAGGGGAAATAAAGAGGTTGCAGTGAGCGATTGTCATTTCTTGCATTCGTCAAATTGTAATTTAGTCTTCATTCATATATAGAAGCGTGAATCTATATATGCCATCATCAACATGACACATACTTCTCATCGGCCAGGAGTTACACACCTGTAACTCCACATGTTTCTTTCTCACACTGCACCATGCAGTTTCCACTGAGGCCTCAGCATGGCTCTCAACCAATGATCTTGTGCAATTCTCAACTTTCACCTCTGGGGATGCTTTTGTTTCGATTCGCAACACCGGGAAGGAGGGAAGGAGATAAGGGAGAGGACAGGAATCACAAGGCTGATCAGGAAGAATCAAAGACGAACTGAAATCATTCAAAGTCTGGTCAGAGGAGCTGCACATCGTCCGTGGCCTCATGTACACAAACATACAACAAAGAGCTACTTTTTACTCCCTGGGATACAAACACTGCAGAACAAAAGAGAGACTTAAAAGAATTTTAAAAATAGAAATGCAACTACAGTGCAGTGAAACATGGAGGGGAGGGAAGAGGGAGAAGGAAGAAAGAGAAAGTTAGCATATGCTTCAGTATTACAGCCATATCTACAAAAGCATGGGGGAAGCAGGGCCTAATGCTGGCTGATGCACAGCAGGGGGAGAGAGAGGAAGAAGGAGAGGAGAAGAGAAAGTTAAGAGCACAATTACAGTCTTCACAGCCCCCAAAGTTGACTCTAAACGGACCCAATGCTAACAGATGAAAACAATAGATGAAAGCGAGCTCAAAAAAACAAACACAAGCGCCACACCCAGCAGGAACATGAGACCGACTAAACCTGAACCTGGACTTGTTTGAACTGATTTCAGTCCATGACTAGTATGACTTGTTTTTGATGTGATCAGGGCAGGAAAGATGAAAGCTGGTTTCAGTCTTTTTTTTTAAGTTTTGATCGTTTTTTGTTTGTCTCAGAAAATGAAATCAGATTTTCTTCGCTTCATTTTGGTCTGATGTTCATCCACAGTCTTGGCAGATGAGCTCTTAACTCCTACATAAACATTTATAGAGTCTCAAATATCTGTTTTTGAATTTTGAATAAATACAAACAAACAGGACATCTGAACGTAGGTTTTAAACTGTGTAAACTTTAGAGGTTGATTTTTATTTCGACTCGGTCTGTCAAACAGTGAGTATTACAACCTTACGTTTAAATCACATTTTAAAATCCTTTTTAAAGTCTGTACTAAAAATGTAAAACAATTCTTACCAGATATCTTAATTTGGGACTCAAACTCATGCAGGGGTCAGTTCACACCCTACAAAAACAGAGCTTTGTCTTGTTTTGTGATACTATTGCTTGCTGATATTAGAATGATTAGTTGCACTATAGGCAGCATTTTAAGCTCAAAACACTGAAGTGATATTTGAGTTGTATTTACATAAAGATAATATCCCTTTAGACTGTCAAGTTACGTGTCATTCAAAAACTCAGAGGGACTATTTTCTTGCAGCAGCTTAACTACGGTAAATCAAAAGGTTCAAAATAGCACACGATCACAAGAAAATACATTAATATTGACTCTGCTGATTTTTGTGCTAGACATATTAAAGGTTTTCCACAACAGATTTATAATCCCACATATACTGTATAATTTCTTTATTGATAAAAATACATGGATAATATTAGACTCACTTTTATTCCTCTTCAGGTAAAAACAGATCTATCCTCTGGAGTTATGCTTGTGTTTCAGGCTTTAATTGTTTGTCAGATTTCCTCGTGATTATATCAAGTACACCATAATCAAAGATAAACTAATAAAATAAATGAATAAATGAACTGCAGGTAAAACCAGAATTTATTTTAGAGCAGCATTTTCACAGACTTGAGTCCTGCTAAAAAGAAAGTTGTGAGGATGACCTGAATAATTAAACTTCTAGAACTATGTCCAGTTAAAGCTAGGGTCTTTGGTTTTCAGGTTTTCTGGGACGTGGGTCTGAAGACGAGCTCCAGATTATCGCAAACAGACCTGAGTCAAACAGCTTCTGCAAAGACTGCTCCTGATCTGCCGAGAGATCAGGTGCAGATTTTCAATTCCTGTTGAAAATACAAATCTGTGGCATTATTGTGCCGTTTCTGTTGGATCTTTGCTCAAATTAGCCCTCTTGTGTGTTACAAATAGGACTTGATTGTTTGTGTTAATTACAGGCTGCTGTGAGCAGCACCAGCTGTAAGTGCAGCAGCTAATCCTCAGCTGCCAATAGAGGTCGATGAAAGTCATTCATCACCTAATGCCCCTGTAAAATCTCTCGGGAAATCAACCAAAAGATGTTTGTCAAAGGAGACAGCTCCACAGTTCTGACCAAATATGAATTTGCAAGAATAGTTTGACTCAAGTCTTTGCAAGATTCAATCATGTTAGCTTCTACTGTGCAGAGAAGACAGAGGCATAAAGAGACAGGAGAGAAAATACAAGAGCGAGACATCACATGCAGAAAACACAGAAGGGTTTGAGATGGCTGGCAAATTGACTGCTGGGAAAAACAAGAGGAGAGAGGAGACACATTACGACAACAACAACAACAACAGAGCACATGTTAGGACAGGAAAGTAATTGAAGAGCATGTCTGCAGACAGGAGAGAGAAATTCAGTGTCAGGACGGAAAGAAAAAAAGACGTGAAAATCAGCAACACACAGACAGAGAGAGGCAATAATCCTGATGGAGGTCGGTGACACAACAAGAGGCGAGATTGTGCAAGGTGAGCGGGGAAGCTGCTGACTGTCCGGAGCTGAGACAGCGAGTAAAGAAGACAGCGAGAAGACAGTGTAAGAGGAGGACACAAATATGCAAGCAGATGCAGAAGACACAGCACATCGAAAATGCAGACTAAACAAGTCCGAGTCACCAAACTGCCTCAGCACTAACAGCAGGAGAACACAAACACACAGGGCATCAAAAATACCAAATCCATTGCATAATCTGTGGATCTGAGCTTTGGGATTATGCAACAGATATTCCAGAAATTGCAGATTAGGAGTTTTTACTTCCCCACACGGATCTGACTGGTTAATCCCTCATATCAGTGTCTGAATACCCCTGAGGCCGACAAAGCAGAGAAACTGCCTCATAGCTCTGGCTGCACAAAAGAACAACCACCCTCTGAGGTTAGCGAGCTTAGCGTGTCGCCGGCAGCTCAAGAGAATACAGAAAGGATCAAGAATATTTGCTGAACAGGCCACATAAGATCAGCGAAATACTGATGAGACGACATCTGTTTCCATGGCTGGGTGACTCCAGACAAACACACACACACACACACACAAACACACACACACACGTCACATACTGTAGACATACACAACCAGGGGAAATGCCAAGCATCTATGACATTTCCCTCGACACGAAGCAAGCGAAGAGACTTTCCACTGCAACAAAGGAAGCATCGAAGCAAACAGCTCTGTGAGAGCCTCTTTCATTTCACCCCACAAAGCCACTCAAGTGATGGCCACATATTTGCCGGAGTAAGACAAGCCGGAGGAATCCCTGTCCTCTTTTTTATTTGCTTTTTTTAAAATCTTCTTTCATTCATTTATAAAATAAGGTTTCACCAAACACCAAAAGGAAACAACAAACACGTTACCTCTTTAGATTTAGGGACATAAAACACGAGGAAAATTTCCTAAAATGAGTCAAAAATCAGAGGTTGCTGTGTCCTTTGAGCTTAAGAGGAAAAATACGAGGTTAACTTAGTCCTCTGCTATATTTTATTCAATACATATTCAACAATATGCTTTCTTTTTCAATAGTGAAAAACAAAACTGTGCAAAACAAATTAAAAACAAAAGTCAGGAGGTAAAGATTTGACAATCCTAACACCAGAGTTCAAAACAATTAGAAAACAAAACAAACTCCTGTCTCCAAGGAGTGACATTTATACACTACTACTTTCTCTCCTGCTGTCTTACGACCATAGACCGTATATACTACGGACAACTTGGTTTTGAAGCCAAATAGCTCTCGGTATTTCCGCGATTTTTCTTCATTTCCTGAAACCAGCGCTGCGCAGTAGCGTTGTACGCATTCAGCAGGAGAGTGGCTGAGAGTCTATCCCAGCATCTTCGGGTGAAGGCAGGGGACACCCCGGACAAGTTGCCAGTTTATCGCAGGGCTGACATATCGAGATGAACAACCATCCACGCTCATACTCAGACCTACGGGCAGTTTGAAAGTGGCCAGTTAACCTAACCCCACTTCTGCGTGTTTTTGGGATGTGGGAGGAAACCGGAGAACCCGGAGTAAACCCACACAGACACAGGGAGAACATGCAAACTCCACACAGAAATGCCGTGACCCGGATTCGAACCCAGGACCTTCTTGCTGTGAGGCGACAGTGCTAACCACTACACCACTATGCCGCCCCATCCAAAACCAACTTTTATTCTTTTATATTTTTGACACTGAATATATTGACATTGGCAAAATGACGTCGGTTATTGTTGTAAATTTCACTATTGGTAAATTTTCAGTTTATCGCCCAGCCCTAATTGATGTTTACTTTAATGTATCCTGATGCTCAAGTTCTTTGTTGCAGCTAAAAGGAGTGAGAGAAAATTTGAAAACCAAACTTTGTAGCAGCGTCTCGCAAAAAAGTGTCACACCTGGAGGCTAAAAGATTTGTTTGACATATTACTGCTTTGTATTCAGCGCAGGGTTTGAGGTTGGATGCACTCTTCTTCTACATCTTAACCTGCCTTTCCATTCGAGCGCAGAGAGGGTTTGTTTATGTAGATATGTCGGTCTAGTCTGCCCTCCTCATTGATCCTCCACCTGGATGAGGCTTGTGTAAGAGAAAATCTATGGTCCAAAGCGTGGCCCTGAAGTATCAGTATCATAACTGTGCCTTCTATTGATTTATCTGTGGCGCTGTCCGTGGTGCTGAAGCAGCAGACAGATTTATGATTGTGCCTTTTTCTCAGTCCTACCTTTCTGTGAGTTACTCCTCTGATCTATAGTAGTCTTGAAACTATAAACTGCACATACGCCACGATACACTTTATGTTAGCCTTTGTAGAGCTGTGTTGTCTTTACCGTTTACCGTTTTACAGAGAAGAGTGAAAGGGTTATAGACGCTCAGACACATTATTTGCTGAAAAACAAATCCTCTGCATACATAATATTTGAAGGGAGTCAGTACTTGTCACTCTTCATCATCTATTTGTCTCCACCAACCTCTGGGAAAGATTATGTACCTTAAAAGCCGCATTTGGTTCACCAGATATGGACTAAAAGTTTGTCTCTTACCTGCCAGTTTGGGAAGTTGCTAACACATTGCCATGACATTGTTCCAAAAATCAATTATCTCCAAATCTCAGAGGACCAAAGCCCTTTCCAACAGCCTGTTTTTCAGAAAGAGAAAATGATTGAACTGAATTAAAACCCTTCTGCCCTGAATACACCGCCTCCTTTCAATGGCTGGCTGGCTCCATTTAGAGAACAGGTGGAAAAGTTTCGATTTAACTCACCAAATACATTCCCCAGACTTGAACACCGGCACCAAAATCAAAAATATTGAAGCTTATCCAACGGGAAATCTTGTTTTGCTTCCCATATGTCATTTTAAACTAACAGGCTGTCAGACAAACGAGCTTCTGGTCATTTTGAAACTGCGTGAACTACACCAACTTTGTTTTTTTTACAATGAGCGATTCCCATTTATTGAATATTTTAGGCTTTTTCAGGTCTGCCTCAGAAAAAATGCAAAGCTGACGGTTAGATGAGAACACTACAAACCCTGAAGCCAAAACACTCAGCCGGTCTACATCACAAAGCTTCCTCTCTCAATACCTTGACAATAATGAATGAAATAACCGTATTAGTGTGACATGTCCCGGTCTTTAATGTTACCATACCACACACTCCCAACACTAATTCAGTTTTTCTTTTTCAGCCTGTGGTCCACTCTGTCCAGACAGAAAGGCGTTATTTAAAAAGATCTCCTCACACACTAAATGCTCTGCTTGTTCTGATTCATAATACGCATATGTCCTTGCCTGCCCTTGTGCTGTTCTGGCACACACATACACACAAACACATGCACAGTTTTGGGAAGCGTTAAATCTGAACTAAGTGTACGAGTGGAGGGAAGAGGTGCGTCATCAGGCCTGATAAAACATGGCAGTAGTGACAGCGCTTAGGAGCTTTATGTCTCTCTTCTTATTGGTCTGTTTGTCTCTGGGGTGTTAAATTTTTTAATTAATCACAAACACGAGAAACTCTTAATCTCTTTACAGCTGAGTATTAAGTCATAAACTGACATATGCACAGATTAGCTAACACAGAGAGCATGTGTTCTCCCTGAGTGTTGTTTATTAACATGCACTTTGTGGCAAATTGGTGATGATAAAGTGTTTATTACTTATTCTGTATGACAATATTATGAGCAACTGTAGGTTTGTTCATGCGAAATTGAGGTTTAATCGAACATTAATGGCTGACTAATAGCTTTTATACTTCTAACATGCATAGTAAGCTGGTTCTTGTTGAATTTATGTAGCTTGTCATAATTTTACCTTACAGCTCTTAGCTATTTAATATCTCAAAACGAAACAGTTAAACGAAATGAAAACAAAATTCCAATCTTTGATTAAAGGGATATTCCGGTGTAAATTTAAGTCATGTTCAAACACACTGTAACACAGAGTTAGTCAGGTTTGCGTGGGCTATCAAGTTTGCACATATTTTTGCACATGCAAACCTTTAATAGATTAGGCCCATGGGGTCCTAGCTGTAGCACTAGCTATCAAACATCTTTATAGCTTTGCCTGGTTTCGCTGGAATATCCCTTTAACATGGTTAGCTAACAGCAGAGGAACACTAATGCACTTAAATTCAAACGTCACAGATTAGCTGTCAGAGATTAGCGGCGCACTCCTGAGTTACATTTGTTTACATTAGCAGAGATTCACAGCGAGTGATTTAACGTAATGTGTAAAGACAGCAGGACCAGATTTCTTTCCGTCTGCAAACATTTCTCCCAAAGATAGATTTACTGCTTTTCCACAGGGGGCGCCAAAAACCAGTTATCCAAAAATCAAAAGTTCCCTACTGCAGCTTTAAATTCTTACTAGAGTGGTAAATAAATTGCTTTTAATTGCACAAGAGTTTAAGTAGTAAATGAATGTGATAACTGAGTTCATTTACAATAAGCATAAATGATTGTGTTAAGGGAAATAAAAATGCACTTCTCAGCTCTTTCTTCTCCTAAACTCAGAGGTGTCTAGCACATTGCTGAATGAGCAGGAACCCAGGTGTGTGTTTTTTTGTACATGCAGACTGCAATTAGGTCAGGGCACATCTCGCTCCAGATTTAAGACTCAGAATTGATGTCGCAATCAGAAAATATCCTCAAATAGAGTCAAAAGTTGAATCTCCTCAGCTCGAGATTCGCGCGGATTCTGACAGCAGCTGCAGTTTGGAGCACAATGAGTGAACGTTAGAGTCTCCACAAACGTCGCAGGGCCATTTAGATGGAGTGCATCAATCAAGGCTCATTGTTAAAACGCCTGGTGTCTGTAAGAGGCAATTTGCACAAATCTGAACACCCAGTATGACTTTGGCAGCCACTGCAAGATTTTTAAAGCAAGCTGAGACAATGACGATGCTAAAAAAAAAACACAAGAGGAAGAAGAGGTGACTTCATCTGTGACATTAAAGATCGAAAAAGTTCCTCGACTCTAACCAAAGGTCAGCCAGAAAAACAATCAAATCTACAAGAAATCCCAGCTGTCTTGGCAAACATCCTTCACTCTGACGAGTTGTAATAGCATCACTATGCAGATATTTACAGCACTGACCCTAACCCAGACCTAATGGTTTTCTAAAAACCCTTCTGCAGCGCATGACTCCAGAATTTATAATTCATTTATGTTCTACTCCTGCTACTTAGAATGATGAGCTTCCCTGTAATGTGATTTGCAGTCTTAGCAGATGCAGCGGTCGAGGTGGAGTGATGGAGTGGACATGACGTCTAAATGGCTCGGGGTGGAAGAAATGGTGTGGTTGTTCAAACGTCCTGTATACAGTGATCTCTACTGACCATGAGAGTGAGCTGGAGACCATTTGGAGACTAAATGACTACGGAAACAAAGGGTCTCTCTGCTGCTGCATTAGTTAATGTTTCCGTCAGATGCATTAGGCTTTACGAGCTGCTGGTGAGGCCTGAGAGCGGCAACACAACCCTGCCGTCTCTCAGGGTAGTGTGTTTAATCTTTTGGCAAAATTGTAAAAAAAAGAAAAGAGCACATGGAGATTTTTTTTTACCCTTAATTTTATACAGGGGTGTCCCGATACGATGTTGATATTGGATATCAATCTGATATCAACAAATATTCGAATATTGGAATTTATTGGCCTCGTCTAAAATCTCTGATATCAGAACTCCGATACAGGCAGTCCACTCCAGACTCTACTCGGGCACCTCTATCTGGTAGCGTCCATGTGATAACAACAACAGTGTGTACTAAAGTACCAAGGAGTAGGAGTGATATCGGCCCTATAGCAGTATTTTTCATTGAAGTCCGAAAAGGCGTTGCAGCTGAGTGCAAAACTTGTCATGCAAAAGTTTGTGCTGATATCAGATCAATATCAGTATCGGACGATACTGATTTTATATTACATTTTTGGAGCTTTTATTAGATAAGACGTCTAAAGAGGACAGGTCGCATGAAGAATGGAGTATGGTTTGCATCAATGGGTTTCAAACCAGCAACTACTATTAAAAGGACCATAGCCTCCATATATAATTACAAGCACATACTGTTTGGCTAAACTAGCAGTGATTATTAATAGGAAGAACATTCCTCCATAATTGTGCACATTGATCCAGGAAATCCAGGAAAATCTCTGAGCTTTGCTGTTCTTTTAATTTGTTGGCGCTGTGTTTTTGATTTTCCACCAGCTGTGCGTTTACTCTTTTTGTTCTGCCGTTATTATCAGATTTTTGCAGCTTGTTCTCAAATTCACAACACCTTTCTGTTGTTGAATGTGCTAAAGATTCGCGCATGTGTTTCTGGATTCTCAGCATGCTTTCTGAGTAGTTGCAGGCTCGGTCTGTCTCAAATTGGCTTTTATCATCAGATAATCAGCATCTGAGGCTTAAATACTGACTGGGTTTGGTTCACAGTTTGACCATCAATTCAGACAGAAATTACTGTTAGAAATCTATGGGCTGGTTGTTATCAGCTACCATTCACAGAAATCTGCATAAATTGATCAGTGAAAATCTAAAACATGCGGATATTTGTGAAAGGTTTTTAGATTGGATATCCCTCAATGTGCTCAGCCCCCTTTGCTCTCTATGCAACCAAATCCTGCCTGTAACTAAGTAGTCAATACTTGATTCAAAAACTAAATCCTTTCAGAGTTATATATGATCCTGCTTGGTTTGAAAAGCACCAAACTCTGAAGGTTTCACCATGCGGATCCAAAGTTTAGAGAAATTATAGCTCCTGCTGGTCCAAAAAATAACAGTTTTTAGTTTGCGATTGTTGATGAGGTCTGTTTTATTATAAATAAGATCAAGCCGCTCAACTCTTTCCTCGTATTTTCTCTCCTTGCAGCTTTCATCAAACTTAATCCAGGAGGAGCTCAGCTGAGAGTGCGGCTGAGGGTGCCAGGTTAGCTCAGTGTTTAGACCGTGAACCCTGTGTGCTGAGGCTACAGCTCTCAAAGCAGCAGCCTGGTTCTGACTCCCACCCTTGGCCATTTGACGCATGTTATCCCTCACCTCCAACCCTTTTCTGACTCTACCTTGTCCGGTCAGTAACAGCAAAACAGCCCAAAAAATAATCAGGGGAAAAAAAAGAGAAAGAGCATCTTGGGTGGAAGTCTTCATCACTGATATTTAACTGAGAGTTTGTTTTCCTTGCTCTTAGATCAACCGCTTTACAGCAGCTTCTTGAATTTAATCTCCTGATTTATTTTTAGTAAATACTAATCCACGTCTGAAAACATAAAAAGCACAAGCTTCTTTTTTTTTTTATGAGCTTCAATCCTTCAATCCTGCTCCACATGTTTATACTCACCTCTGTCCTTAACTAACCCACCGACTCCTCCAACTAAAAAAAACTTGTCTGCAACCTTTCTCATTTTAGTCAATCCACCTCCTGGCTCAACTTTCTGCAGCTCTGCTTGTTTAAACTCCGGACATATTCTCCTGTTTCGATGTAGAGGAATGACCACACGGTGTGTTTGTATGTGCGGTTAGTAGCGCTGTTGTCAGAGGAGGGATGGAGCAGATGGCGGACAGTTAAGTGCTCAGTTAATCTCTTTTTTAATGCATTGCTTCCTGTGAGTGGTCTGTTTAAACTCTCCCTGTTTTCCCTTTCACTTGTATCTGAACAAACACAAAGTTAAAGATGAGTTGTCTTTCTGGGATTCTGGCTCTGATTTCCTCACAGTTATTCTTGCCTAAAAAAGGCCTCCAGTCCTTTTTAGAGCACGCCGACGGATCGTTTAACATTAGTTTGACTTTTGTAAAACAAACCCAGAGGTCATAAATACAGAGACGCAGCTGTGATCGTAAATTCCTACAGACAGGACGGCAAAAGATGATTTCTGTGCAGAGCTGCTGCTCCTCTGGAGGGAGTCTGCAGGCCGACAGTAACTCAGAGGTGATGGATTACAGAGCGAGGCTCGGGGCTGGGGGGAGGAGGGCTCATCTCATTGGAGGGTGTTTTTCATGCTATAAAAGAATGAATGGCAGTAAATGGCTTCTTCTGATGGTGGGAAATTGAGTTGTGATACAGATGCCGGCAGAAGGAGGAGGAGGAGGAGGAGGAGGAGGAGGGGAGTGGAAAAAGCGAAGGGTAACTTGATCTACACATCTTTAAAGAAGCCTTTTCTCCTTGTCAAACACTTCTAATGTTCGTGGAGGTTTAAAAGTTTAAAGGCTGCAGAAGAAGCAGAGAGCGACAATTAATGAAAGATGAATTTGTTTAATCTCATTTATAGATTTATGAGAGCTAGAAAGATTTTGTTTTTACTACTTTCTTGTATTTGTCTTTACTTTCCATTCATAAAGTTTGACACTGTCCTTGTTTTATATTCCCTCTGTCTGTTCATCTGCATTAGAGTTTTTTGTATCAAAGATTTTTGGGCTTTTTGTTTGGGGAAAAAAGTTGGGAACGACATTCATGAGCAGATATTGATACTGTCAATCCTAACTGAGCAGGAAACGGAGTTGTTAACAATTGTTACCTGTTTCATAGTCATCACATTCTGATTGAACCAAACTCTATAACAATGGTAATTCATTCTGGATAGCAAGCTCAATGCTGGTTGCAACCAAATCACACACGTCGTTTCAAGTCAATCAATCAATTTGCATTCTGAATAGTTGGGATAAACAACATGGATCTGTTATGTCATGTTAGACCCTGTCCTGAAATGACAGCAGAGCTGGTGAGAGCATCTTAAAGTTGCTGTCAGGATTTTAATTTGCACCATCATCTGCAACTTTGACATACAAGCTATAAAAATCATCAGACAGCAACATAACATTTTTCTAAATAGTTACCTCAAAGTCACCTCAAACTCTCTCTCCTACTTCCCCACTCCTGCATGTTTTACTTCTTTTTATCCGTCCTTGTCACCGTGAGCCGAACATCTTTCAGTTTCTGTTTTTCAGACATTTCTTAAAGTTGCTATCAGGATTTTAATTTGCACAATCACCTGCAACTTTGACGTACAAGCAATAAAAATCATCATCAGACGCCAACATTATCAGTGATATCGTTTTCTAAACAGTTACCTTAAAGTCACCTCAAACTCTCTCTCCTACTTCTCCACTCCTGCATGTTTTACTTCTTTTTATCCGCTCTTGTCACCGTGAGCTGAACATCTTTCGGTTTCTGTTTTTCAGACTCTTCACCTCCACCGTTCAGAAGTTGGGATGAGCGCTTTTGAAAACCCAAGTTATTTTTGGACCGACCAACTAAGAAACTGTCAACTGTCAAAGCGTGAGTAAATTCATCAGTACTGATAAGTGTTGTTATTCACAGCCCTGAACTGCAAATACACATGAAAACACACTTTCAGAGGAACACAGTGAGAAGAGGATAACTTCGACCACAGCTGCTGTTTGTGTATCAGTGTGTGTGTGATAGTGTGCGCTCTTGACTTAAACACTGCCTCATGGCCTTATAAAAAACCTTGAACATCTTACTGAGCAATCCAGCACAGTAACGGAATAGAAAACACTCATTTACCCACACACACACACGCACACACACACACACACACACACACACACACACACACACACACACACACACACACTGCCTTCAAACTACAGGCAGCAGCGAGAGATGGCAACATCAGACAAGGACAGAAAAACACCTCCAAGTGCACCAACAAACTTTACAGTCAGTGAAAGAGGGGGGTAAGGTGGTGACTTGCATGCATGCCAAGGTGTTGCCATCGGGCCATCGCCATGGCAACAAAAAACCACTGCCCACTCACCTTGAAGTGCCAGGAGAACCAGAGGTAACACCAACACCACCGGCAGCAGCATCAGGTCCTTGACCGCAGGCATCCTGACTGGAGAAAGAAGACTGGTGGTCTTCACACACACACACACACACACGCACCCGCGCACGCAAACACACACACTCACAGTTTAGAATAGGAGACACAAGATTTACACAGCAGCTACTCCAGCTCTAATGACAAAGATGTCCCGCTTTGAAACTCTGAGGCGTGAGAGAGGAGGAGACTCTTTCCTGAGGCTGACTCTGGGTGTGGTCTGCCTTCTTCTTCTTCTTCTCTTCTTCTTCTCCCTTTTTTTTCAGCTAATACAAAAGCCGGACAGGGTTGTGGGTGGGTCTACTGATCTTCTTAAACACCTGAAAAACCCAGAATCGTCAGCAGAAGTTTTCTCGTCTGTGGCCCCTCTCTTCACTCTCTCAGGAGCTGAATCTATTTTTCTGTCTGGCTTCTCTCTGCGGGGTAAGCGTGTCGAGTTTCCACTCCAGGTGTCAGGTTTCGGCCTCTTGTCAATCCAAAAAGAGCCTTTGTTCAACTATTTATACTGCGTGGCACACCCTTTAGACCTGTCTGGCTCCACAATGAGACTGTGCGCCTCAATTTATGCACCTTTCCCCCGATGGAAGACGGATACCTTCAGGCTGGTTTGATGTGAAGTGTCTGATGGATTTGTGCAGAAAGTGGAAGACGCAGATTGGTGAAGAAGCAAAACGCCGGTGGTGATTGTGCGGGAAAGTCTGTTTAAATGTCAAAATAATGCAAGCATGAACACCTCGGGTGACCTGGGCAGAATGAAAGGTCAGAGTTTGGAGTCACAGCGTGAGTAAATGGGAAAATGGAAGCAGGGTGAAGACTCCTCGGGCTCTTTGGTTCTGGAAGAAGTTACAATCCTCTCTTTTCATTATTGCCTCTTAACAGAGTTATTGCTCTCTTTTTGCGCCCCGAGTTGAACTTTCTCTACATCTCCTCAGTTAAACCTTTAGGCGGTGATCCAGGCCAGAGGCTTGTTGCTTTTTGATTTATTCAAGCAAAATCATCTGCTCTGTTTCCACTCCACTTAAGCCATCTGACTGCAGCTGCACAGGTGGCTCTGAAGCTCAGACGGGTCACCCAAACATGACATGAGTCTTTAAGAGGACTAAAAGGCATGCGTTGATCAGAGGATGGGGGGTTTGGGTATTTATAGGCAGCCTGGTCTCTGTGCGTCTGTGGAGGCTGAAAAAAGTGCGTTATTGTTTTGTGCGTTCCTGCTATGACTAACTAATAAAACGCGATTTTTAAGAGGCTGTAATCACATGACACTTGTCCTTAAATACAGACAATCCTAACTATAAAATAATGTGTGGCAGATCCGAGCGCAGCACCTTTAGCGTCCTTTTACCTGCCACCGCTTCAAAATTTCACTCTGGGCTTTTAGAGTCTCTCTGATGTCCTCCAAACATCTCCTCACTGGTGGGTCAGAGGTGGACGGCTTCCATCCCGCGTCAGGCTGTCAGATCCTGGACGTGCCACCTCTCTCACACCGGGGAACCATCCGAGAGGTTTTAGGATCATAACACGTAACCAGAGAGGGAAAAAAGAAGAAGAAAGATAGAAAAACAATTTTAAAAAGCCCCCCGATGTACGCCGAAATCCCCCCCTCCCGGTGAAACTGGCCAAGCCGTCAAACCTGAAAAGACGCGGAGAGACGCGCGCGTGCCCTCACGAAAACAGAAGCCTCCAGAAATGACATGATGTGTCAGGCGCGAGGATGCCGCGCTAATCAGTCTTTGGGATGGGTGAAGGCTGGGGGAGGGAGGTGCATAGGCTACAGGAGGAGAAAGAGGAGGAGGATGGATGGATGGAGAGAGAGAGAGAAGGGAGGGAGGGTGTGATGCATTGCAGCAGAGGGATGGAGACGGTAGAAGAGGAGGAGGAGGAGGAGGGAAGTATAGTGCCGTTGTTATGACAACAGTGAATTTATATGATGTTTTCATCCCTTCCAGAAACCCCACGTGTCTGCACAGAGATCCATGTGGTCGTTAGTATTGCAGAAACTGTATGTATAGGATGTTAAGGCATAGGTTAAAATTTTGGTTCGTCTCCATTCATATAAACACTAAAACACAAACAAATAAAAGAAAATAAACATTATAACTTTTATTATTATTATCATTATTATTGTCATTATTATTATTATTATTATTATTATTATTATTATTATTATTATTATTATTATTTTGATTATTTTTTATCATTGTTATTATTATTGTTGTTGTTGTTGTTGTTGTTTTTAATATTATTATTATTATTATTTAAATTATTATTTTTCTTGCAAATCGTCATTATTACTATATTTATTATTATCATTATTTATTATTATTATTGTTGTTGTTGTAACAATAATTATTATTAGCATTATTATTAGCATCATTATTAGCATCATTATTATTAAAACACTTTCAGATATGCACAAAATTCCTGACAACCTCTGAAATTACTGATGCAAAGGCTGCTTCTTGAGTAACAGTAAATGGTTCGAGGTAAGAGCTTCTACATCGTTAGGGTCATCCGATGATGCAGTTATTGGCCTGTCGTTGATAATAGCTTCTACTTCCCAAAGCACTGTTTGTTGACACGAAGTTTGCTCATGAAGCACAGATTTTAGAATCCTCTTCACCAATTTTTCTTGTCTCTCCCAAATGCCACCAAAATGTGGTCCAGCAGGTGGATTGAGAATCCACTGTATTCCTCTTTGTGTTCGAGCATTTTGTATCTTAGTTTGATCTATTTCCTGTATCGCTGTTATTAGCTCTCTTTCAGCTCCATCTGAATTTGTTCCATTATCAGATCTGATGAGAGCCACTTGTCCTCTTCTACACATGAACTGTTAAACTGCATTTATGCAGGAATCAGTGTCCAGTGTATGAGAGACTTCAATGGAGACTTCTCCTGACCTCTATGGGCCTAAAATTATCCATCCCCACATTTGTGAAAGGTGGTTTTGTCCTTCCTTGAGCTGCGTGTGTGGACACATAATGCTTAGTTTTTCACCTCACCTGAAATACTTCCTGCCTCCGCCCTAATTGCGGGGTCAAGTTGGGGTAAGCTCATGGAAGAACACAGCAGCAAATCATATAGAGAACTCAATGGCAGTGGATTTGGCAACCCTGCAAGAGTGGGTGGATTTGGACATGCTGGTCAGCTCGGCCACTTTGTTGAGAGACTGGTCGGAGCACTGGAGTGGATGGTAGACTATCATCTGTGACAGACTTGGTCAACTTTGCAATACAATTCAGCTACCTTTAAAAAGCTCCGACCCAAACACTTAGGTTAGTGTAAGTGTACGCTCTGTTTGGACATTTTTCAGTGTATGCCAAAAAGTTCATTTGTTTTTTCCCTGTACTTGGACACAACACATACATGGTTTTTCACCTGCAGCGTACTGATCAGCTGATGGGGTCTGCAAGCTTCAATGCCATTTACTGTGGACAATTTAATGATAGACTAGGGCTTATTTTAACCAAGGATTTGTAACATTTAATTTAAAGGAAGGCAGCATATAACATCTGACCGTGCCTGACCCATTCTTTAACATTAACTTTGACTGTGTTATATTATATTGTTTACTCTTTGCATTGACCCACATAAACACAGCAAACACAGCCAGCACTTATTCACATTTAACCCGACCACAGGCCTCAGGTGCAGCGCCTGAATGTGTGTGACTCAGCTCAGAGGGGAATTAGTCCTCTGAATGTGTGTGTGTGTGTGTGTGTGTGTGTGTGTGTGTGTGTGTGTGTGTGTGTGTGTGTGTGTGTGTGTGTGTGTGTGTGTGTGTGTGTGTGTGCATGCTGATCTCTTGGCCATTTCATTACGCCAGCAGTGAGGATTACTGTGTTGATTGCATCTCTGTCCTGGCCTTTGCAAATGCACCACTACCGTGTGCACACATGTGTGTTTATGTGGGTTTGTGTGTAAGTGCGAGTTTGACCTTCGTGTCCCTAATTCCACCAACATCTCTTTTCATCTGTGTAAATATGTGGATTAAATTTAATCAGAGTAACAATAGCAGAGGGGGGAATTGTCAGCCATTAAGAAGTTTGTTTGAATTTATTCAATACATGCTGAAAATTATCTTTAGTGTAGAAAAGCAGCAGAATAAATGCACCATCAGATGATATTTTTAATTATACGTTTATACTTTTTTGACAGGTTTTCACACTGTATTTGACAGAAAAATGATCATATCTGCATTTTATAAAGGTTTTAGTAATGTCAGCAAATACCACATGATTCTACTTCTGATTACTGGAGAAAAAAGAGTTTGTTTTCTGTTTTTAAAGTAGTTACGGTTCGGTCACCTTTGTCTTTGCATGTATAAAGCTTTACTATCTGTAACTGAAATAATAATCCCTGTAATTTTTACACTTTGTGAACCGATACAGTTGCTTTTTTTAAAATACTATACTGATTGACTTTCATTTCACATTATGTTGACAGTTTTTTCATGCAATTGTGTATTACAAAAGTCACCCCCCCCCCCCAAAGAAAAAAAAAAACACACACACACAAACACTAATCTCTTCTAAAACTGAAAGAATGCACAGAACATAACAAAGAAGTACTTTTTACAATCAATAATTCCTTGTTTGGGATAAATTTTAACTTCAGGGGTTTGTCAAGATCTTTGTGCACGTCTGAACATCCTTTTATTTATTAATTTTTTCCTTTTTTGGAACAATCAACAAGCCATTTAACTTTTTTCATTCAGTGTTTTTCATCACGTAGAAGCCCTTCTATATCTCCATTCTCAATATAGCTATCAAATGGTGTCCACATTTCTATTATATTTCGGATTCTCTGAGTTGGATTCCCTTGTATGCTGTTCCCCCTGTAACCACTAGATGGAGACAGAGCGTCAAAAATCATGAATCGTGAGGCGGGGATAAACTATAAACAGAAGCACAAATTTACACTTTTTTGGTGCAGGAGGAAACTGTACATAAAGTTTATGTAACAGAAATCAAAACTTTCATCACAGGGAGTCTCAGATGTTCTCATAGAGAAGAGCAACCCCATCTTAGGACACCAAAACACAGAATCAACACTAGAAGATAGCAGCAAAATGAATGAAACAAGACTACTGACAGTTATTCATCAGTTATAGACATACATTGTGAAAATTTGCCCTAAATTAATCACAAGAGGCAGTAGTCAAAAAAAGGAGTCTTTTTCAGGATATAGGTCACAAAAACGTCCTTGTGGGTGGCCAGATCTTGACACTCTTAGCATCTGCACAAATAGGCTGTAATTAATACCAGCAAGAAGATGATAGGAACCAGAAGGAGTGATCCGTACAAGAACCAGGGCTCTGGAACTGAAAGAAAAAAATAAATAAACAAGCAATCCTGGACTTAGATCAGATGAAATCTAAACAAAAACACCATCTGGCTTTGTGTAGGATTTTTTCTGCACCACATAAAACTGAACGTTTGACACTGTGTAGGAGGGACCCACCAGAGACGGTTGGTGAAGCTGTGATTGAGACATTTTTGTCTTCAGTCACTGAGGAAAAAACAGATCAACACAAACTTTGAGAAAAGTTAAAGGCTGAGGCTGTGGGAGTCTGCGGGACATGTGTGACACAACAAACTGAACTTTCAGAGTGACAGGGCAAAGACAGGATTTGCATCAAGATATTTAAGGCAGCTTTTCATCTACTCCTTATCTGCTGGGTCATATGTTAAAATGTAAAATGAGTTATTGATGGTGAGGACTGAATTTGTTTTTACCAGAATTGAACTGAGAGAGATATTTACCTGGTGGATTGTAATAGAAGCTGCTTTTGGTTATCAGGTTTTGGTTCAGGTGCAGCTGACACTCATACTTTCCCCCGCCCTTCCCACACACGCTCTCTGACAGCGTGACAGGGAGCTGAGCTGCAGCAGCACAGCGTGGATCTCTGTTGACACTTTGGAGCTTGACTCCGTCACGGAAAATGGACAAAACCAAGGCAGGGTCACAGCTCGCTTTTACCTCACAGCGGAGCAAGGAGTCATTCTGATGGGTGAGATTAAAGCTCATGGTGTCTAAAGAGAAAGAAAGATAGATATTTGAGCTGTTACCAAAAGTTAATTCCTGAAAACAAAACATCTCAAACTTTGTATTTACCATAAACCACCAGTAAAGATCCATTCCCCAGCTTCCTGCTTCTCGTCTCTGTGTGGATGGAGAGTTTGCACCGGTACTTCCCGCTGTCAGCCCACTGGACATCCTTCAGCATCATAGACTTATTGGAAGAGTTTGGGTTACTGTCTAGTAGTGCTACACGGCTCCTGTACTCGTCAGAGTCAGGCCACAGCCTTGTACTGGCGGCGTTCATGCGCTCCCAGTACAGAATCGGTGAGGACTTCATCTTCTCACCAGGGGACAAAAGAAGCTGGCACTGCAGCATAACTGCACGGCCCAGAGCAGAGGTTAACACAGGAGGCTGGTCTACTGTGACGAGGGAGCAAACGCCTGAAAAAAACAAAACATATATCAGTGAAGAATGGCATGATGGCGGTTAACCAATTTCATTTCCTGTCACCTGATCTTATAAAGAAATACCCCACCACTGCCTGTGCTGCTTTGAAAACATAATTCAGACAATATTTATACTGCATACTCTGGGTTTATCATCATGAGTGATGTTTAAATTGTAGGAATTTGTAGTTTGGAGGGAAGCTAACTATTTTGTATCGGTCCACACAGCTTATCATAAATCATAGATACTACGATGCAGATTGTTTTTCTTGTTTCCACAGATGTTGCAGGGAATGTGTGGTCACAAGGATTTGAAAAAGGCCCTCATTGTTTGTAGCTTTTTGAGGAAATAAAACAAAACCTGAGAGTTTCACACTCCGCAACCTTTAAAGAAGCAAAAACCCAAAGAAGAAATGAGAATAAAATTAAAACATGTTTCTGTGTTGGGGATTTTTCTGACAGCTTCAGTGATTGTTTTTGTGTTTTAAATTCAGTAAAAGGATCTGTATCAAAGACGGTTTCAGGTTTGGAAGTTCCACTTTCCAGCACATTGGTCACGTTGGTGTGTAGTAGCCGAGAATTTACGGTCAACCTGACAGGAAAAGTCGTCACATAGGGGAGACCGGGGCTTGTTGTTGCACTTTTTACACTCTTAACATATATCTTGAAATCAATGCATCATATATAAACAAAATGTGTACCAGATGAAAGACTGAAGTCTCAGGTAGATATTTCATATTCATGTCATTTTCATATCATGTGTCAGTGCAGAGTTATAAGAAATCAAATAGAGAGTGTGAACATGAGACATGTTGCCCCACCATTGGGTAAGTTGTCTCACTATATGGGGTAAGATGTCACAGTGGATTTTGCAGATAATAAAACGAGGACAAAATTATTTTTACTGTTTTCATTTTTTTTACATAAAAGTGAACATCAAAGTCAGGCACAGAAAATGTTTATCATTGAGCTAAAGAAAAAGTCGTTGAACAAACGTTAACATAAAATATTATGCAACATGCTCTGGGGCTTGGAGATCTGTCTGACTCTGTATTTCGGCTGGGGTGAATGTTTCGCAGTACCGAGCTAAGGTATGGTAGTTGACATTAAAGTCCTTTTTTGTCCTCCAGATTGATTTATTAGCTAGGATCACCTGTCTGACCACCCTCAGCATCACGTCAGGTACTGCACTGCCATGTTTCATGTCTTTTTGCTTTCTCGTCTCCTTTAAACCATTCTTTTTTCCTTTAAAAATAAAGCCAAAATCTCATTACGACAACTGCTGATAAACAGACTCTCTATGTTAATTTTAATCCCTTTTAAACATGTGACAACTAACCCCAAAATGACTGAGACATGTTGCCCCAAATTACCATGTTTGCTGATTAGAGCTCTAGCTTAAAAACATCTTAAAACAGAACAATGACTGAGGTATGACATGATGCCTTAATCTCTCCTCTTACAAGTCCACATGTATCACTGCTAGGATTTTTATCTGAAAGAAGCTCATTTTAAAATATATGAAGTTATTTGTTTTTACTTTGGGTTGTGCAAAACGGTTAACTGGCGCTCATCTCAGCTCACAATGTGCTCTTCTCTTCTCAGACAGGACACGACCCCTGACCATGTAAAGGAAGAAAACTTGTATTCCACTTTTTAGTTGCGCCCTCTGGTGGCAAAGATAATTGCAATGTGACAACAAGCCCCGGTCTCCCCTAACAACAACACTGAGGATACAATTGAACAAAAGCGTTTCCTTTTTGATAAAGTTCATAGTAAGAGCTTGTTCAGGCTCGGGCCAGCTCTTAGTTTCGCTGTTTTAGGTTTAGACTGCTGGGGGTCCGGGAAATTGAGCTCCCTTCTCTCCTCCTCTACCCTCTCTCTTTCTGTGTCATTAACTTTAACTTTAACTCATCGTGTCCCATTAAAGTCTGCAACCACAGTCTTTTCTGGGAGTCCCTGAGCTCAACCACGCTGTAGATTTCTCTGGATCGCTGGCCTGCCGGCTGTCCAGCTTTCTCAACTACACAAATCAGTTTACAGTAGATTTTTTTTTGCCACAGTAATAAAAAGGAGAAATAATCTACTTTCTAAATTTTGTTTGACTGAAACACTATTTGTAAAGCTATATTTTCATCCACAAATCTGAAGATCATCTTGAGGAGTCACCCTCTTGTGATATATCATGGACCATATCAAAAACTCATTGAACAGTTTCAGATCGAACATAAATTCAGAGGTGTCTATATGTAACCCCATGATGGTTGTTCTAAATTCTATAAAGGGTTTCCACACACCTCAGTGTCAAAATCACTGTTCAAGAAAAAAAAAACTTGCCACAATGGATCACTTGTCTTTTAGATTGGTTCAAAGAAATAGCTTTGTCAAGTTAGCCAGCTGAATATTCATTACTAATACTAAGCACACTGTTAAAAGACAGAATGAACACATCAGATCATACTGAGAATATACAAGCCATTACAAACACAGTTAAAAAAATACAGAAAAACACAAGTATATAAAAAAAATCACATCCATACAAATGTTACCTGAGACCGTAAGGCTGAGAAACATCAGTTGTATCCACCATCCCCTTCTTGTACGGATTGAGACATCGTTCATCTCAGACATGTGTAACATGCTTCTCGACCAAATGTATAATGCTGCTTGCTTTGAGTAATAAAGATAGGATATACTCTCACCATGTACCACTTCCTCTTCCTTCCACAGTGGTTAAAGAACCCCCCACCCCAACCTTACAGTTTTTGCATGAAATTGTGAGCACAATATCAAGTTCTTGTCTTTTGGTTTTGGTTTGATCCATTTGCTGCTCTCTCACATTGAAAACCTTTTATTTTCGTTTCTTTTTAAACTCATCTTACAATTATTCTGCTGACTTTCAGTGCGGTCTTTCATGCCGTGCCCCCTCTTATTCTAACCACTATTTTCCAGATGGAGCCAATGAAGTCCATTTGTTTGTAGCCAACGCTGTTCTACACTGACGTACATTTTCCATTTTTCCTACCACACATACAAAAGTAGCTGAAGGGGTGTCATCTACATTTATTTTCAGTCAGGTCGACACCGCTGTAAGGTGTGGATTACACCTTTTATTTCCTTCACACCAACATCACAGAAATATTGAGACCCTCTGCTCTGAACAGGATATGCATTACCACTTGCAGAGGGTGCACATGATCGTACCCTTGCATGTTGTGGAGTTACAGGAAACCCATTTTAAAAATACCAATAATAAGATCCTAATGCCACAAATATCTGGCATTTTTCCTGTTAAGTGAAGGCAGCCTCAATCGGGCCCTAAGCAAAATTAGATTTTGGGGCCCTCTATTTCTGCCAATAATATTGATTGTTGATCATTCACAAACCTACTACAGTACAAATTTAATGCGCCTGACATTTCTTTACATATTTAAGGGGGTGGCCTTGGTAAAAAGATAAATAATACCAATGAATGACCGATAAATGATGTTCAAGGTGCCAAATATATTCTAAAGAACATGGATCACCCACTTCACAACACCTTGATGGACCAAAGCGCCAATGGTGCTGGACGGCTCCTCTCTCTTCGCTGCAGGACAGAAAGATTCAGAAGATCTTTTGTACCAACAGCCATTAGACTTTATAACTCTTGTGTAAATAGTAGATTTTTTTTTGGAGACATATTATGTGATACAACAGACAATTGAATTTCCATTCGGGGATTAATAAAGTTATTCTTATTCTTAAAAATATGGTTTTTAATCACAAAATGTAACACATTCAAGAACAGCCTGGGGTTGATTTTCCCTACATTCTAAGTGATAAAGCATTGTGTTTACTGTAAAAGTGTCATCGGCCGTAAGAATCACAGGCTTACATCTGTAGCAGCAATAAAATGTTTTTAATTAATTTCATTTTTACAATAACATACATTTGATCATACAGAAAGCATCATACATGCAAAAAATTATTTTTTTATTTTCTTGATTGCTCTTGGAGGCCCCCTACTGGCCATTGGGGCCCCTAAGCAGGCCTTAGTTCGGTTTTAAAGTCAAATCAAGGCAAGTTTATTCATTAGGCATTTTACATTAAGTCAGACTAGATCAATATTACCATGAACTGTTTATGCTAATGGAGTCAGACAGTGGGAATATAATTAAAATCACAAATCATGTCTTATAACATCTTTATATTAACTTCATTTGTCTAATTTTAGCCTTTCTTCTTTCTTACTCCCCGTTAGCCTGTTGAAGAACTCCATTACCCATACGGCTTTGTGTTCACGTTCTACGCCATAACGTCATTGGGTAAGCATCAACATGGAGGACATCGTAGCCGTGGAGAAGAGTCCGGTATGAATCAGTGAGATCGTTCCGTGTTGTACATTCATATTCGATTAACTTTCTGTGGTAGGCTTTTTGTAAATCCATATTTTTAGTGTTGCCGTGTGAGGTTGTTCGTCGAATAATTATTGATTAGTTTGCTCCTTTGCTCTGTTGAAACCTGCCTATTCATGCTCTGCCCTGTGCAGTTGCTATGTCATCCCAGTTAGCTAGCTGTTAGCCTTAGCATAACAAGATGTTAAAAAAACATCACAAAGATACGGTTTCTTTCTTATCTTTGATGGACATATCAAGAGTTTTACATGACTTTTGTGCTGTTGTCACCTTTACAGGAAGATATGCCGGCGGTACTGACTTCCAGACCCCAGACGGGTCTTTCTTTCTTGGCCCCAGAACCAGAAGATCTGGAGGATCTTTACAGCAGATACAAGGTTTGTGACTTTCTCATGAATTTGAGTTGAAACATTAACATTTTTAAACTTTATTTGGCAGTGATTATGCATATTTAAGTCTAATCATTCTTGAAAAGATTGTAGAATATATAAAAAAAACATTGATTAAATAGAGATCAAAATTGAGGCGTGGGTTCAAACACCTATTATAACACTGATAAAGGGATATTCCGGCGTAAAATTAATTTACAGGGGTGCCACAGGCTCATGTTGAGGTCTGTCTGTCTGTCTGTATCCATGGTCGCAGTCAGTAACTTTGTTGTTAAAAATGAGTTTTAAGATGCGATTTGAAAGTAGGGGGGATGTTTTAATCTCAAGTGGCAATTCATTCCATAATTTGGGAGCCACAGCCGAGAAATCTCGGTCACCACAGGTTTTTAAACGAGTCTTTGGAACCACAAGTTGGAGATATACTGTGGTGCTGATCCATTTAAAGAATTAAAAACAAACAATAAAATTTTAAAATGAAAATTTTCAGTGGGTTCTACTTAAATTCACACAGAGCCAACTCAGAGTGAAAAACTGAACTGGAAACAGGTTTTGGGTGACTAAGGCCTAATGATGCTCGTGTGGAGTTAAAGCTAGTGGGCGTAGTTTGATCCAACATAATAGTTACAGTAGCTCACTGCTGGTTCTGATAGTTAGGCTGCTGATAGTAAGGCTGTAACTCTGACTTCAGGAGAGGATCTGAGACGGAACAACGTCACTCCACCTTCGTTTACACTTCTGTGTAAATGGTAGCATGTTATTGTAAATGTTTCAGCTGATTTTATATGGAACACCTTCTGTTATTTTGTGTTTGTAGAAGCTGCAGCAAGAGCTGGAGTTCCTTGAGGTGCAAGAGGAGTACATTAAAGATGAACAGAAAAATTTGAAGAAAGAGTTCCTCCATGCCCAGGAGGAGGTGAAGAGGATACAGAGCATCCCACTGGTCATTGGCCAGTTCTTGGAAGCTGTTGACCAGAACACAGCAATTGTTGGCTCCACCACAGGTAACATTTAGCCATGTTTGCAGAGCGTGCGGAGGATGAAATGCTCTGAAAATGTGAATCTTGACTAAAACGAACCTGTGAATATTTTATGCAAACCAAGATTGACCGTATAGATTAAAAAAAAACAGATCATACTAAGCAGGCTATTGACCTGTTTGAATACATGGGTCTCTGTTCCCATTTATTCATTTTTTTCCGAAGCAGCTGTTCTGATAAACAGAGACTGAGAGGCGGTGTACCACTGTAGAGAACATTTTTATGGCTTCATATAAGTTTAGGACACTCTATGTTTGAACCTGGTCAAGGATGGTCCTCGAGGTTTTAGAAGGGCACAGGTGAGGTGTTACCTGTCTTGTGATCTGCGCTAAAAACAATACTATAGGATGCACTGTTCTCTTGGTATTTTATCCACGCTGGTCGCTGGTCACAACTTCATACACTGAGAATATATTTTGCACTGATATCTTTTGTTCTTTTCTAGCATTAAAACTATGAGAGTATATGTATAGAATATACAGCATGCATTAAAAAATACAAAACTACTGCCTGTAAAAATAAATAAATGAGTGGGTAAAGCTGAGAATTAAAATTTGATGAAACGTCAGATGATGCACAGTGGCTGTGTGTTTAAATGCTTTACCATGTAATGTACTGTGTACAGTCAAGTTTGAATTATTCAGTATGTGGTTCATGTTTTAAATGTGTAATGAGTTCAGTTCTTGTGTTCTTTCTTCTCAGGGTCCAACTACTATGTGCGCATCTTGAGCACCATTGACAGAGAGCTGCTGAAGCCCAACGCCTCTGTGGCCTTGCACAAGCACAGCAACGCTCTGGTGGATGTTCTCCCTCCTGAAGCTGACAGCAGCATTATGATGCTCACGTCAGGTACAACACTGAGTCTGCTGCCTCCCAGAGGGTTTCAGACAGTCTGAGGAGGAGCCTCTTATAAAGATAGAAGTAGACCTTGTTGTGTATTAGTGTCACAGATTATTGTCTTCTTAGTTTGTATGGAAGCCCAGAGTTTCACCAAACAATACAGTTCCTCAGCTTACAGAAGCTTTTTTAAAGTAATTCACAAGACTGAAGATCCAGTAAAAAGTTAAATCATGTTTCAAGTGCAAGTCTGTGATAATTGTCTTTTTTTTCTTCCTTTCTTTCTCCTCTCAGACCAAAAGCCTGATGTGATGTACGCTGACATCGGTGGTATGGATATTCAGAAGCAGGAAGTCCGAGAAGCTGTGGAGCTTCCACTCACACACTTTGAGCTTTACAAACAGGTGAGACATTTCAGAGAGATTAAATAATTTTACATCAAAACAAAGATCTTTCTGTTTCTCTCTCTTAAAAATACAGAACCCCCTAGCTGTAGATGCTTAACGCTGGTCTATTACTTTTCCTAGATTGGCATCGACCCACCCAGGGGTGTCCTGATGTACGGACCTCCGGGTTGTGGGAAGACCATGTTGGCCAAGGCCGTGGCACACCACACTACAGGTAAGATCGTCATGTCAGAGACTACAGAGTATGTGTGCTGTGATTTGAAACACCTTGAAATTAGAGGACCTACAAAAGCAAATGATGTTTAAATGTGTGTAACCACTGGAGGGGGTAAGTGTCAGACTAGATGAGTAACAGCATGCTGAAGTTAGTGTTATGTGAAACTTATTTAACATCAAATGTTCACAGTACCAAGTTCTGATGCCTTTTACTGATAAAAGTGAGCAGGGGAGGAATTCTTTGACATCATAGACTGTATATACTATGGACAATTTGGTTCCGCCTCCTGCCAGTATACGGATTAAAGGGAGAGTCGCTGTGATGAGGCTCGGCTCAAACAGTGTATCCCCCGGGTGAGCTACACAATCCTTGAACGGCAGTAAGTTGTATCAAGTGTCAATCAAAGAAAACATGAACCCCCTAATAACTTTAAAAAATGGAGCTGCGCAGAAAAAAGAGGACTTGAGCACAAAACAGTCTTACAGTAACTACATGTCAACATTGCAAGCGGGGGGGAGGGGGGGTTATGTTCTGTTTAATAAATTTCTAAAGTTTGTCCACAGCTCCATAAGCTTTGCTGGTGGAGGCAGGATTTATGACCTATACTGCAGCCCGTCAACAGAGGGTGCTGTTCTCAGAGTGGCTTCAACCAGCAAGGAGGCAGACGCTGTCCATTCTATATACAGTCTATATTTGACGTGCACACAAACTCAGCTCAAGTATCAGTTCAGATGAGAGGAATCAGTTTCTCCACTTGGGGCACCAAACCCTGCACAAACAGAGTTCCTCACAGGATCTATAGATTAGATTCATTGCAACAGGAACAGCTGTGCAGCATGAAGTTCGAAGTGTAAATATCTAGGATGCAAATATACGGTGCAGCTGTAGAGAGTGTCTGTCAATCCTGACGCAGAGCACTACAACATGATCAAATTCAGAGTAATTATGATGTGACTGATTCAAAGATAATAAGAAAAAAATCGACTAGACAAAGGTCTTTATAACGGCCCATGACAGCTATGGTGTCTGCTATTGTCTTCAAACAAGAGGTGAAAGCCAGCAGGACATGAAAAAGCCTGCAAAGCTTTGCTCTTCGATGTAGGAGGGTAGCAGCAACTACAGCCAAACCACGCTGCCATTTTAGGAGAGTTATGAGGTTAACCACATTTGTTTTATTTGACCAGCACGGCATCTTTTTCCAGAATGCATTCAGCTTGTCGCCCATCTCTCTGGTGAAACATGTGGTCTACCCAAACTTTCGGTTTGAAAGCCTCCTTCATGTTTGTTTTGCACAGTTACTAAGTTACTCTTCAATACTCTGGTATACATCTTTGGCAAACAACATCTAGCTACATCCCTGGCATGTGATAACTTTAAAACAAATAGCAAACAGGACCACTAGTAATAAGATGAGAACTTTTTTGTTGTAAATTTTAAACCCTGAAATCTCTGTGAGAAGATAGATTAAAAGACAGGAGGATGAGGTGTTTGTCTGAGAGACTACCTTTACATATACAGAACAAGAGTCAAGATGTATCAGTCTGTACACAGAGAGCGCCAGAGCCAACACAGACTAAAAGTTCCCCAAAGTAGCAGTAAACTTGAATAAACCCTCCCTCCAAAAATTGGGTTGGTCCCTTTTCTATAAAAATCATGATGTAAAATTAATTGCATTTTAATGATGGATGAATTTAAACACTGATGCATATAGATTTCAGTCAAACTGCAACCATTCACAGCTGCAATCGTGTGTGTCCATGTATTGACATAAATTGGTTAATCTTTCCGTCCCTAAGGAGCACAAACATTTATGACAGCATGACTGTGTCCTCTTACAGGCCTTTTCGGATACATTATCAATCTGCAGAAAAGTCTGCAGCTACGAACAGAACATTTCTCCTTATTTCTCATATCTGCAAAAACTAGTATAGATACTCCTTTAATCAGAAATGTGGTCAATCAGGCACAGAGATGTTAACAGAGACTTTTTACCTTTATTTTGACAGTGCAAGAACAATTCCAACTCTGTTATTGAAAAAGTTGATTGTTGTCACATAAAACAGATACTTTGTCTTGTCAAGGATGATTACTAATGATCAAGTGCGGTAATTAAAAAGTAAGAACTCCTGTTCTACGTTTTTGTCTTCAGCGGCGTTCATCCGTGTGGTGGGCTCTGAGTTTGTCCAGAAGTATTTGGGTGAAGGTCCTCGTATGGTGCGCGACGTCTTCAGGCTGGCAAAGGAAAATGCTCCGGCCATCATTTTCATCGATGAGATTGACGCCATCGCCACAAAGCGTTTTGATGCACAGACTGGAGGTACAAACATGTCATACTTGTAGTCTTTACATACTGGAACAGCAACCTGCACAACACTAAATTAAAACCTGAGAAGAGTTCTGGCATTATTTTAAGTCTTTTTTTTAATGATTTTTATTATTCGAGGCTAAAATCTCATTAGTTCATCTCTTTATTAGACCTGTTTTTCCCTAATCAAATCAAAGTGCAGTAAGATTATGATATAAACGTCTCCTCTGACCCTGTATTTTCCCCCTGCAGCTGATCGAGAGGTGCAGAGAATCTTACTGGAGCTCCTAAATCAGATGGACGGCTTTGACCAGAATGTTAATGTCAAGGTGAGTCAATTCCACCCGTGTAAGAAAGCTCTTAACTTCCCCCCTGTGACTGCGCTTTCTCTGTATTTGCTGACTCGTGGTGCCGCTGATGGAGTCTGAGCACCGTCAGCGTGACATAACTGGCCATTTATTCGCTCTGCCATTGTTGCCGTGCCTCATGGCCTTTCATTCGGCTTAGAGAGCACCCAAAAGGTTTATGTTGTCAGTCTTCAAAACCTCAAATGCACATTTTGCCCCTGAGCTAAATGCGAATGCGGCGCACAGAGAGCTTTGGGTATTTCAAGAGAGTGCAAGCTTATTTCCAGGAACTAAGACTGCTCTGTGAAGAATGAATTTCCTGAGGGTTTTTCATGCAGACGCTTCTTTGACAAATCTCTTTTAATGTACAACTGTGGCTTTGCATGGTGTGTCTTGTTGCCCCGACTGTTTTACACAAAGCAAGTGCAACGCTTGCTGCTTTTTTCCTGTCAGACATTTGTTTTCTATCTGCAAACCTCTAATTTCAGAGTGAAGGGTCGCATTTTAGCCCAAACGTTTTTTAATCGGCAACATTTTTCACTTGATGCCTTTCTGGCACGCACCTTTGTTTACTTTTGCAACCCTTTGGAGGTGATCTTAATTACAAGAACATTAAACTGTAACACTCGTTTGATATTGAATTATAGCCTCAACATTCAGTAATTGATTGAAATCTACCGCAGCGAGGCCTAAACTTTCAGGCTGCCAACAACAAAAGGTTCCAAAACCCTTGGCTCGTATCCCACAGGGCATTCAGTCTGAGTTTGGCTCAGTTATTCTGCCTTTAGTGAAACAGAAGCATGTTTTTTTTTTAAGCGCCTCCGATCATGATCTGTTTATGGTTGACCGCTATTCTCACGCATTCTGTTGAAATCCTCTGTAGGTGATCATGGCCACCAACAGAGCCGACACTCTGGACCCGGCTCTGCTGCGTCCTGGTCGTCTGGACCGAAAGATTGAGTTCCCCCTGCCAGACCGCAGGCAGAAACGTCTCATTTTCTCCACCATTACCAGTAAAATGAATCTCTCTGAGGAGGTGGACCTGGAGGACTGTATCCTTGTGATGTAGTGACTGCATGTCTACGCAGTACAACATAATGCACCTTCTATACATACAGGAAGTACAGCTAACAGTTTGTATCATTAAGATCCTTGTTTCCACTGTAGGACAAATCAGCAGGACTTAACAAGATGATTTGCTTTTGATTAGTTTTGCTTCTTGTTGCTGCACGCAGAGGGTTCACTTGTCTGCTATCTTTGTTGTGCAAGTGTTTTCTCCTTCAGGGTTGGTACTTTATAGATGATGAATCAAAAAGGCTCCACTCAGACTGCTCTAAGGGTCATCTCCTTCCTCCAAGCCGTATTACAGTCATTCCAGGCGATGCTTTGCATGCATTTTAATTTTAGACTTGTAAGACTTCATCGTGCTGTTTTGCTGTTCGGCGGAAGAGATGGAGTTTAAAAGAGGAAGTTTTCCAAAAGTTTGGAATGCTACAAATGTTTTGTTACCAGTGTCATCTCGTCCTGGGCGATTTGGCAAAAAAAATTATCACGATATATTTTGTCATATCGTCCGATCTCGATTATTATGACGATTATTTTTTAAAACTGCCAGTTTTAAAGTGTCTGTACTAAAAACTAAAGAAACTAGAGATTAGTTTAACATTTTATTAATGTATAAAGTAAATAACAAAGAAAATTGAATAAGATACACTTAGAAAAATATAAAAAAAAACATTTTAACTCAACAGTACAACAAAAGTAGACAAATGCTAATTAATACAGTGAACTAGTTTACAGTCCTGAGTGTTTTTGCAGGAATGTAAGACCCAAAATAAACAGATTTCTCCCTCAGGGATAATGAAGACGCCTTAAACTGTAAACATTAGATGATGTAGTTGATATGACTGATTGCTGCTTTGGTCTGGTGGCTGCACTGCTAGTTGTGGCGAAACTGCTAATGCTACTCATACTGTCAGCAATGGCAGGCTGTGTAGACTCCGCTCACATTTTCATGCTTTCTGCGTAATAACTCAGGAAGTACTTCTTCAAATGATTAAACAGATCTGTTGTGTTACCTTACATATCGGCTTAATTGCTCGACGTCACTTTGGAGATACCCGAACCACCGCCACAAAACCACGTTGAATAATTTCTCAACAATAACATCTTCAGAGGATGACTCAAAGCCACAGCTGACATCTGTTTTGACGATTTATCTCGAACACAATCATATAATCGCCCAGTTCTAGTGTCATCCATGCAGTAGAGAGGTGCTCTTGTCTGATGAAGCCAGTTTGATCTTTTCTGAAATGTAAATCCACAAACTAAGATATTTCAAAGATCTGGTGGAAATAAGTTAAATACCCCCTCTTTAGTTTAAATCTTAAACTCAAAACAAATGAACTCCCACACTAATCTTTAAAGAAACAGACACCAACATTGGGAACTTCACTCTGCTTTTTCTGTTTTTGTCCTAATTCTTTGATGCACATTTGAGTTTTTCTCCAGACTGACTGCGCCTCCATGTCGGACTTCCTGTTCCTTTTGTGTTACGCTGCGAGCTAAGACTCATTTTCATGTTCACCCCATAAATACGTCATTGTTTATCTTTTATGATGTGAAAATGTAGCTATGCAAACAACAAACATGCAAAAATAACCAAATATCTCAAAAGACAAACTGATAACTGAAGAGTTGTTTTTCCATCGTAAAGGAGTCTACAGCTTGATTCTGCTGCATCACTCAGATAGTTTGTTATATCGGAGCTTAGGCACACAGATGTTTTGCTTGTGCTTCACTTTGCTGAGTCCAGTCAACCTTAACTGATGTGCAGATGTGGCCAGACCAGACAAGATCTCTGGAGCCGACATAAACTCCATCTGCCAAGAGGTGAGACGAGGCTTTAATTATCTGTTTGTTTATACTTTACCCTTGGAGCAGGGAAAATTAAGACAAATGGATATGTAAATAATCTGTGCTTTGCATATTAAATAACTAAGTGCTTGTTTTTCTTCCTCCGGCTGTTTGTGTTCCCCTCAGGCTGGCATGTTGGCTGTGCGTGAGAACAGGTATATCGTCCTGGCCAAAGACTTCGAAAAAGCGTACAAGACCGTTATCAAAAAGGACGAGCAGGAGCATGAGTTCTACAAGTAAAGAGAAAATAAAGCTGGAAAATAGAGGTGTCGAGATACTCAAGTTTAATATTGATTTATGTCAGCGTGTCTGTATCCACAGTGTGTGTGTCTGTTATGGATTCCCTGTCCTTGACCGACATTGATTTTGGACTAAATTAACTCAGTGCAGCACAGGGCCTCATGTCAAGATTAGCCCCGTGTCTCCAGCCTTGAGAAGACACACCACCACACAGTGAAGTGTTTTTTGTACAGACACGCTTCTGGTTCATAAAAATATCTGGCCCTGACTGTAGCTAGAATAGAACATTTGTATCTACGTGTACTCACGTCACAAGATGTTACTTAAAACAATCCATTAAAGATGTTTTCCATAAAAAATGAATGACCATTCTTGCCTTCAAATGTGTGGCTTTTTGAAGAGAATAGGAAGGTGTGAAATCATCCGGCTTGTTTTTCTGTAATGAATCAGCAAGTACAACAAAAGGCAAAGGAGTAAAGAAGATCTGTTAGTGAAGATTGTATGATTTGGTTTTGCAAATGGAAGCAAGAATGAACAAAATAACTGCACTTGGGAAAAACCTTTTGAGTTTTTAATAAGATTAGGGGCCGGCGCTTGGTCTCCTGCACACTCTGAGGTGAAGGTAAGGGTAATCGTTTTCTGTAGGTTGCAGTCTTTAACCTCACCTCAACACGCCACCTTCAAACCGGTCCTCTTAGAGTAAAATTTACTTCTTGCACATAAAAAATGTAATTCAAATCAGTGAATTAACTGAACTTTTACCTTTCAAACTAAACTATATGCCCTCAGCGATGCTCATAAAGCTGGTGCCATCAAAACATCAGACAAGCTCAGTGTTAAAAAATGTAAAAAGACAAATTTATTGACAACCATGAGACAAAAACATCTGTTTTGTAGGCAGTTACACAGAGAAGCCGTACATCAGATAAATAAACTCCTCCGTGGACAGACTTTTGCTCGTGTTCCCATCTTGGAGCTGACTGAGTCGACTCAGGTAGATCCCAGTTATGAGTCGGGGATCCTTGTTAGCGGATAGCTGCCACCTTCGATCCTTCTCAGCAGCTCTCTTTTTCTCTTTCTCTAAATTTGCCCATGAGTTGAACCAGTGCAGGTTGAGATTGCAGCTCTCCCTTTAGACCACAAGTGGGGGGAAGATAGTCTATTTAAACACAATGATCTGCTTCAAACCCAAAATTATAATATCAATATCAGTAGAGTGGTACCCACGTGTGTCTCACTTGCCCTCTGGTTGGGAGGTTGAAAGTGACCTGGTCAAAGTAGTAGGGGCACAGCTGCAGGGTGGCTAATTCTGGTTGGTAAGACAACATGGCAAATATGTGATCCAAGTGGTGGTTTGGTCCAGAGAACTTTCTAGGGAAGAAGAGTCTACACCTGAGAGCTGACACTAACGCATCCATGTTGTTTTGAGCTGGAGAAATAATTGGTATACCAAATAATTGGTATGAAGGCGGTCGGACGGCCATTTGAAAACTGTAAAATAAAAATTAGTGTGATGGCAGCAACAGAATAAAGTCATATTTTTCACGCAAGTGCCCGTAATGTTTCTCTATCAAATGCAATTTTTAGAAAAAAGTATGAATGACTCGATGTGTGTAACAAAGTCATAAAGTAGATTATTTTACGTACCTTATGTACCGTGAAACGTGATCTTCTGTATCAGATGTTGAGTTTTTGTTTACTTTTATATTCTGACCTGTTCCAGAGGATATTTACTTTTTCAAATAATAATAGTGACACTCTTAACAACCTAATCTCAATGATGTAATCACAAATGTATTGCCTCTTGATCAGAAGGTCAGAGGTTCGATCCCAGCTACCACATTTTACCCTGAAGTACTCCCAATTAAATATTATTTAGCATTGTGAGACTGCACGTGGGTTGTATTGTTTTATATTGATGGTTTCCCTTCTGTAGTTTATTAATGTGGGTAAATGTGATGAGTCGTGAAGACTGGAAAGTGTCGTCCACTTACAAGTCCAGTTACTGAAGCGAAAGAAAATAACCTGCGATTGTGAAATAGTGCATTTTCTACGAGTTTAACCTGTTTGCTCTGTCATCTTTGGTGTGTTGTAAGAGTCAGAGTGTTGAAAAATGCGGTCAAGTACCTGTTTGCGTCATTACCACTGAATTTTTAAAATTCTTTGCCTGTCTGTATGCAATGTCAAACTTGTAACTTTTTTCTTGGGAAATTTGGCAAAGAAGGAGGAATCATTACATCTGGATGTCGAGACTAGCTCTTTTTAACTGACTAATTTATGAAGTGAACTTTTGAGGGTGGTCATTATACTGGAAATCCTAATTAAACCAAACTATCAGTTTGGTGCGTTGCTGTCAGGTCATCTCCCGATTGACCTATTACATATCAAAATAACTGACGAGGCTAACAGGATGTACGTTGAACAAGGAAATCATTGTCACTTTTACAGCTCTGTATTATTTGTTTTAATAATAGGAAAGTCCTACTAGTGCATCCATGCTATTTAATCTTAGGCTGAAAGCCAGATGTGTGTACACTGATGGATTCATGTGCTAACATGTTTTATTAAAGGGATATTCCGGCGTAAAATTAATTTAGGGTCAAAAACACTGTAACACCGAGTTAGCCACCCCCTCGAGAGATGAACGTTGCCAACCACTTGCTTCTCTAGTTATACCAACTTTAGTAACGACTGCAGGATAGCAATACACAGTGGTCTGAGAAGCCATAAATAAACCTCAACCAAAACGCCACTCTATAGCCACAAATAATACTCAGAACAGCACCTAACTTCATCAACAGTACATATAGGGTCCCAGCCACAGCACTAGCCACCAAACATATTTTTAACTTTGCCTGATTTCTTTAGCAAAGAGACTAAACACAACTCAACTACCCTCCTCCAGCAGCTGCTTGTTTGTAGCGAGACCTCGGGCCAGTCCATTACAGACTGCAGCGGGGTTACGCAGCTCAAGGAAGAACATTTATGATCATTTCTTTATGGAAATACAATCAAACCAAGATGCTAAGGCAGAAGAACTACTGCGTCTGCAGTGCAAAATGATTAATATGGTGATTATAACTTCAAGGAAATGATAAAGAAATGATGCTGGAAGAGAGTAGTTGAGTTGTGTTTATTTGCTAAAGAAATTAGGCAAAGTCAAAAAGATGTTTGGTGGCTAGAGCTATGGCTGAGACCCTATATGAACTGTTGATAAAGTTAGGTGGTGTTCTGATCATTATTTGTGGCTATAGAGTGGTGTTTTGGTTGAGGTTTGTTTATGGCCCCTCAGACCGCTGTGTATTGCTATCCTGCGATCGTTATTAAAGTTGGTATAACTAGAGAAGCAACATTCATTTCTCAAGGGGGTGTGTAACTTAGTGTTAGGTGTGTTTGACCCTTAATTGATTTTATGCCGTAATATCCCTTTAAAGTCCAGTTTCAGTTGGATTAAGGCAGTAAATTATTATTTTTTTAACAAATGTAATGACTGCGATCATGGAGACAGACAGAAAGCCCTCAGCATGAGCCTGTGGCACCCCTGTTAAAAGTCTCTGGATCCGCCCCTGGTGGTTGACTATCTTGAACAGAACTACTGACATTTTAACCTCATTTTGTGGTGCAACAGCTAAAACTTCAGTCTTAAACTTCAGTCTTAACGCTTATTCAGCGTTACTTGAGCTCAATTCGGATGTTTAATACGCACGTAATTGTGATGTGGGGTTTCCATTGAAGGGGAGGGGAAAGTGCTGTGCGACACTGACTCTGCTCATTCGCTCTCAGAGACTCCAGCACACCACACCGTCTGTACAGCATCAACTTCCAAACATATCGTTAACCCGGAGGAGGGAGGGTATTGTTGTGGACACCGACGACTTCCAGCTACTTGACAGGCCGAGGGATTTAAGCAGCCTCTCCGGTAAGGGAAAAACCTCTACATTATAACGCTAACTAACACTGTAAAAGAGAGCCCAGTGTTTATATGTGTATGGCTGCTACCTAGCTAGGTGGCTAACTAAAGAACGTCGGTTAACCCGCAGTGGCTAGCTCGGCTTTCTGTTGCTCGTCCTTCGCGGTTACAGTCGGATGTTTGGTGCGAACAGTTTCCTCGGTAGAGTTTAAAAGGATTAAAAGCTTTAAAGTTTAGTTCATTATCTCTTAATTTGAGTCAACGTTTTAACGCTTAACACAGCAGCTGGAAGATGGTGAAAAACTCTGTTAACTAGCTCAATTTTAAAAGTATTAACCGTTTGTTGGTGGCGTTGAACATTGTCGAGAATAACCGTTTGTTATTTTTAAATTTCGCTTCACACTGCGGCTGATTTGACAGTTTCACACGTTAATTTTAATCTTAACAGACAGCAGCATAAGTTTACCAAGCTGAACAGCCGACATTGAGTTTCGTTGAGCTGGTGTTAGTGCTCCCAGCAGACGGTTTACACAACTTTAAACTCAACCATGTACAAGTTCTCTTTAGCTCCGAAACAGTTTATGAGTCGCTGCTTTACTCAAAAAAACAAACAAACAAACAAACAAAAAAAAAACTGCACGATCAAAAGTTTTAATCACTTCACTTGTGACAGGAAAGGCAACAGTCCCGTCTGTTGAAAGGTTAGTACCCGTGAAGGTCTCAAAGCAGTGACATGATCACATCAGAGAGGGTTAAAAATACTCATTGATTGCATCATTTCATGCCACTTTCTCCTTGTTTCCCCCCCTGAAAAATATCTACGCCTGTATTCTTCTCTTATACTTCCATGTTTACCCACCTCTGCAGAACAAAAGGCTCTGCACAGCGGCCCCCTCCCCCTAAACTGTCAGATTGATTGAATCCATACTTGAGGTATGAGAGGAGCAGTGCAGCAGATAGATTTAAGGACCACTCTTTAGTTTGTCCCAAAAGCTTAATCAAGAGTAGGGCTGTAACGATATGAACATTTAACATCATGATCATCGTGGCCAAAATTATCACGGCATTGTTGAAATATGTTTAAAATGTTTAAAAAGTACTTATACATCATTTAACAAAGTTTTATTTTGAAAAAACAATCAGAATAACACGCAGAATTAACTTTTCCGTAACCTTAAATATCAGAGGAGCCATAAGCTTAAAAAATTAATGATGGTGCCTTAAAAGAGCCAGAGATAATCAACACTAGTACTAGTAATAAAGTACAAAGTAATGTGCCTGTGGCATAAACATGAACATAATAAAAAATAAGTAAAATTTAAATAAAATAACATTCCTTATTGTGCAAATTGTAATCATCTTCAGCGCTCAAAAAGATCTACTCTTACAAATATAAAACAGCAACACGACTATATGAAACAAAACAACCACATGTTAACAAATGTGTGGTGCAGGTGTTTTAAAATAACGTAAAATATGTAAACAAATCAAATGAACCACACCGATTGTCCGTTTTGTTAAAAAAAAAGATATAAATTTACTTAATAATTTTTTTATTAACAAATAAACTGCACATTAGCACACAGCAAAATAAGTAAGACTTCTATGTATTAAAAGAAAATTTAATTAAAAGAAGAAAAAAAAACTGGATCGGCATCATTCATCCGATATCCGATCCAAATATCGGATTGGTGCATCCCTAATGAAAACTAAAATAATCATTCACTCTAACTTAATCTGCTGGGTGGCATTAATAGTGTCCTTGTCCGTAAAGCCAACTACACTCGCCCTTCTGACTAATCTTGGGATTTCTGACAATTGAAATGTGACTAAAAGATGACTTAAACTGTCCAGATTAGACTTTTCCAACTGTGACTTCTAGGGAGATAAAGACCTGTCTACCTCCTGGTGACCTTTAGGGCGTCATGCACATGTGTATCATATCTTGGTCGCATTATTGCAGCTCTTCGTATCTTGATGTTGATTAGTCTTCTCTGCGTCACTCATGCAGTTGCACATTCACTGACGCGGTAGGAAAGAAATGATAACATCACTCCAGTGCTGTCTTGTCTTTACCGGTGTCTTGCCAGTTTAAGATTTTAATCATTTCATATTATTTTATTTACATGGGACAGTGCCTTCATAATTAGCCGAGCTGTTGAGCTCCCGGTCAGAGCAGAAGGTCAACACACCAGATGCTTTTGGATGTTCAACGCTGACAGAGCTTTTGCAGTAGCTGCTTCCAGACTCTGCCTCTCCATCCTTTGAAACCTGTAAATCTTTGCTTGAGACCACCATAGTACAACTCTACTTTGCTGTTGTTTTAAATGTGCTTAACATTAAACGTTGACTCAACTAGAATTAAGGCTGAGAAAGGAAGCAGAACAGGACTTCAATATAATTTAACATTCAGTTGTGAAGAAAATATATTTTTCAAAAAGTTCCTCTCACTGCTGGTAGGAAAGCATACGACAAAAGAAGTCAGTTAATATCAATAATAGAATTGTCTTTTATTCATGTAGCCGTCAAATAAAACGTGATAGATTGTCTTTTACAGAAAAATGGCTCGTCATTGAAAAGGAGTGAATGAATCTGACCTGTAAAGTTTGTGTGTAAAGTAACAACTAAGTTAGCTGGAGGCACAACTAACTCTGGACTATCTGTGTTTTTCAGTTGTACTGTTTCTGTCTGTGTCAGAGATTCAAAGTTTTTCCGAGCAAACACATATTTGGATTAATAATTTCGAGTTATTGGAACATTGATATGAATTGTGACAGAGTAATCCAGAATATTCAGACATAAACTCTATGTGTAAGATCTCGGGCTTATAAAGCAGCTCCTTACACTCATATCTGAATTTTAAAGTACATACAATTTTGGTTTGATATGATTGAAGACATAGCTTATGTTCTTGTTTTCTCTCATGCGAAATGAATATATCTAAGGGCCCAGTCAGTCTCAGTTCTTTGCATTTGTACCCTGCTTTTAATACCCAGGGTTACAAGACATGTGGTGCTGGCTTCTTCATGTCTATCCTGTCTGACTTGTTGCTCCAGTTTTGTTGTACATTCGTGGTCTCATGGGGGTTTCCTTGTCTCCATGGTTGTCAATGCTTAGTTTGCAGTGCAGGTTTCTGTGTTTGTCTCTGGTGAGGTGGTTAAAGCTAAGGGGTAAAGATTATTCTATGGAAACGGCATGAGCAACCAGAGGAAAGAGGAGGGATGCTTTCCCCCTCCCCTTCCTCTCCCTCTCCTCAGCAGTCTGTCCCAGCAGAGCCCTACTCAAGGGAACAGCCACAGAGACGTGTACCAGCTGCATCCACGATGAATGGCAAGGGCTCTGGATGGGTTGCCATGACAGGAGCACTGGCACGCGTTGTTATGCAGACACCTCTTTTCTGGGGGCATGTTTGCACGTTATTTCATTGCTGGTCTTTCTTGGTTGGTGCTTGAGAGGAAAGGTCTGCTATTGTGCACAGAATCTGAATAATGCTTTTTCTTAAGCTTGCTGTATTTTCTTGCAGTGCTGGTTGTGAGTGTACAGAATATCTTCTGAATGTCTCGGTAGTCTAGTGAAGAAAAATGATGCGGTTGTGTAAGAGCTGTTTTGCGGTCTGCTGGGCACATCTGTCCAGATCAGTTTCACTCCTATGTGCAGTTTTAAACACTCGTATCCAAACAGTTTCCTGTAGATTTGCACTCACTTTAAGAGTTTGGAGGAATTATAGAATTATATAGATAATGCGGCTAATAAAAATTCAGCCCTTGCCTTTCAAGGCTATTGAGGAGTTTCCTGCATTGTAGTGCAATTAAATAATTGATAACTTTAAAGATGATTGTACTACTACTACAGGAGTTGCGTATCTGGCAAGTTTAGTGGACAAGATGCAGCTACAAAGTGGATGAAAATAAATGTGTCCTGGAAGTGAATTAGGAAAAGAAACTTTGCAGACTCTTCGACATTGTTCTGAATACAAATAATAAAAGTGTGAAATTAAATCCTCATGAAAAGATTGTGGAGAGTAAAGGTCCTCACACCGGGACCGTTTTTATTTATCCGGACGTCAATATTTCTTTTGGAACCTGTATCCTGTCAATGCATCAGCGATGTTTTCCTGTCATGCGATATTACGGCGTTTATTTTTTCGTATCATGGTCAATTTTTTTTAAAGTTTCGCATACTGTGTGTTCACTTCTGACCAACTTGTGGAGAGTCATAGCGTCGGATTTCTCATTAGACGATAGTTTGTGTGCTTTAACAGTTTGCTAAACGTTCTAGCCAATCAGAGGCGAAGGAGGCGGGACTTTCCTCGGCAGAAGTCTTTCCCGGGATGCGTCTTTTCCCCTGGAAAGTCGCGGAATCGCATCAGCTTGATGTGTACAGTCAGGCGCGTCAAAATTCGCCTCTGAATATTTCGTACTTTCGCGTTCTATATTCGCGTCGGCCCCGGTGTGTAAGGACCTCAAGGCAGGATTTGATCTGTTACAGACTCAATAGGCAGGTTATACCCTTTGATGAAAAACATGTTTAATGAGTTGAAATCTACCTTAAGACTTTAATCCGATTGTCAAACAGACAAGGTCCGGATAGTTATGACTTATATCCTTTTATGACAATCGAGTAGCTGATCTCACAATGTGTGTATTCTTAGTTCTACTGCATAGTTTAGATAGAGAGGCGGGATTGTGTTTGTTCACTGTGGCAGATCTGCTGGAAAGGAGTCTTGCCAGGGATTAATTTTCTATTTTTTGAATGTGGGTTTTCATTTTTAATGCAAAGCCCACCAATCGATGTGCGCTCTTTGCCCATAGAATTAGAAATGTCCTTTCCAGACCCAATCGGTGCACACATTTTCAACTGTGGTGTTATTTCAACACCACAAAGAATTTGATCCTGTTAGCAGGGTTGAACAGCTGCCTGAAAATCAACCCACTTATTTCAGGTTAATCTGGGGGGGAAAGTGTACACTTGGATTCTGGACTTTGTACTCCAGATATGCCCTGAGGCTGACAGGATGCCAAGCAGTTCTCTGAAAGCATTTGGTACGATCAATTTAACTCATGTAAGGTCACAATGATCAAAACAACACACAAACTACAGGATGCTGCCTGGCTGGCAGAGATTTCCCTGGAAAAAGTCAGAACTTACAGCCTGGAATCTTCATCTGGAAATACTTAAGTCAAATGTATTCCCTCTGAACAGGCTGTTCTGGTGCATCAAAATAACCTTAAATGTCTGAAGTGGCCCTGGAGGTTATTTTTTTTTTCTTATTGGTGATTAAAAGGTATTGTGTTTGGCTTTTCCTAAAATAAAGATAAACAATGAGGAGATTAACTAAGAGGATTACACTGTTTTTTTTTTGTCGCATAAATTCTTATTCACCGTATTTTTCACACTACAAGGCGCACTTAAAATCCTTAAATTTTCTCAAAAATCCTCAGTGCGCCTTATAATCAGGTGCGCCTTATGTATGAAATCTGGTTGTGCTCACTGACCTCGAACCGATTTTTGTGTGGTACACAGCGCTCAAAAATCTGTCAGAATGTTTTATTACGACTTCGGTAAGCTACGAAGCCGCACAGCCTGATGACTTGTCGGAGCACTTTGTTTGGCTTAATGCGCTTTATAATCCGGTGCGCTTTATGTATGAAAATAGACTCGAATAGACGCGTTCATTGATGGTGCACCTTATAAACAGGTGTGCCTTATAGTACGAAAAATATGGTACTGCCTATTAATTTTTGATGCATGTTATTATCACTGATTATCTTCTCAATAATAAACATTTAACCGATAGTTTCCCTCTCAATAGAACCCCATAGTTAAATAATAGTTTGTCATTTTGATGCCTCTGTATCACTTAAATGGTCAAAAGGTTAATATAGAGTAACCAAGTACAACAACAATATAGTATAGTCTTATTAAATGTAAATTACAACGTGTACTCTGAAAATCCCCTTTCAGGGTGTGAATAAATACTTTCTTTGAAATGGCTCAGCTGGATTGTAAAGTTGTAAAACCCGGTTTGTTCAGTTTGGGGCGCTTTGGGTTTGTCGATAGTTTGGATGCAGACTGTTTACAGAGAACAATTCTGACATTTAGTCTCAACTTTGACATATTAAAAATGTTGATGGGTCACTGTTGGCTTGAAGTCAGATCTTACTAAAAAGAAAATGAGCACCTATGTTAATCTCCTTTTATTAAGAACCTCTGTCTGCCGTGAACACCAAATGGCACGTGGTTGTTTTACAGGCCAAACAGGAAACAGAATCATTAACCTGAATATTTCAGGACTTTTATTGCTGTCATAATAATTAAAGTCCAAACCAGATACAGAGGGCTTTTGTTTTATAGTGAAGGCTCTACATAGCATCCCTGGCTGGTCAACCCCGTAGAGACATATTTTGCAAAGCTGGTCTTGTAAAGCTTTACTGGGCATGTTAAATATGAAATAGTTCAACATGTGTGCTGTGGATTGTGTCTTTTTACTCACTCTGCCTGCAGTACACAGCGTAGGATTTCCAATCACAAGCAGAAAAAGATTGTGAGTTTTTTAATCTTGGCTTTATATTTTTTACCTTTAAAGCTGGCACGAATATGAAACTTCAAGTGAGATGTTGCTTTCAGAGCAGTCTCTGTTGTGCCCTCATTGACTGGCAGCAGCCACTCAGGATAGAGTTGTTGCCAACCACAAAGACGATTATGCTTTGAACCCAGGAAAACAACACAAAACCTTAGCAGTATCTGAGGGGTGTCGATTTGGCTCGGCTAAAAGCGTGGCCCCATGCACAAAGGCTGTAGTCCTCATCTCATTGGCTGCTGTTACACCTCCCGGCTCTGACCCTTTGCTGCATGCCCTCCCCTACTGTATAACACACACTCTCTGTTTCTCTTCAGATGTCCTATCTGATTAAAAAAAAAAATAAAAGCCAGTAAAATAACTGGGAAAAATTTTGCAACTTAGAGGTTAGGAACATTGTTGAAGATTTTGTTATTGTTGTCCAACTCCTGCCTTTTCTGCTCTATTTGAGCAGCCACTGGTGATCTTGACCTCATCAAAACTAATCCACAGGTATTTAAATTTGACTGGTTAGCTAATTTTTACCTTAGAAGCAAATCCACATTTGTGAAATCAGTTGCGGTGTGTGCCACACTCAAGTTAAGTCTACAATCCATGTTTAGTATCACATTTTATCTTAGACTTAAGTCAGAAGATAATACTTTATTGAGGGTATGTCGGGTTGTTGCAGCAATACATACATGATTAGCAAGAAAGGATACAGTGAGAGTGTGAGTAGAAAACATAGAAATCCAAATGAGTAAAGATAAGATGAAAAATAAACATGTGTTTTATGCAAACGTATGAGAAAATGAGAATTATACAGAGCAGAAAGGACATGTTATACAGTAAGTGACGGAGCAAAGTGACAGTTATGGGTTAAAGTAAAATAGCAACACGTTCACATTAGGGCAATGCAAATTGTTTTATGAAGTTTAGAATATAAAGATATAATCAGTTCACAATGTACCAGGATAGTTTCAGGTCAGAGTAGGAGTAAGGAGTGTACGGTACAGAGTAGATAATCTATTGGAATACACATGGTTGTATAGATATATGTCAATATGGAAAGAGAATAGTAGAAGCTGGTACTCTATATAATAACAGTAGAAGTTGCATTAGTATTATGTGATATAATAATATAATATAATATAATACCATGCCTCCTGGAGCTTTTTTTATAATAGCTAGATACATGATATTAAGAGAGATGATGATTCCTAAGTCCATGCTGCAGTCTTCTGCTTTGAGAGCTTTAAGTGAATCTTAGTGCAAAAGTGAGTGGGATTTGATGGACCTGCCCCCCCTCTCTAACAGTAGTCGGGGTTTAGCAGGCTTATCAGGGAGGTCACACATTGAAGACTAGAGAGCACTCACTCATCCTCGATGGACCAACTCATATAGATCTGACGACACACTCTGGCAGATGTGAGAGCTTCATCCTTTAATGCAGAGTCCTGCTATGTGCTTCAGTGGGGTTAAAGATTAAGGTCTTTAACTGACCACACTGTCTGGTCTGGAGGATTCTGGCTTTTCACTCATTATTCTTCTACTTTTCAAAGATACACAGGGCACACTCATGAGTTTGTATGTTTTTGCATTTGAGTAAACTGTGGCCCTTTTTTGTTTTCACAGGGGCTGGTCAATATGTGATTATTCATGGGGATGCATTGTAATCCTGGTAACAGCAGATAGCCTAATAATTATTTATTAGTATTGGCAGATATAAGAATTTCTGCAGGTAAATATGGTCAATAATGTGACGTATCGCACATGTGATGACAGCTGCTTATTTAGGCCCCAAGTGATATTTCCTGATATTGTTTGTTTTCCTCTGTTGAGACGTCACTGAGTTGATACACCAAGAGGAGCTGGTAATCAGTAGGGATGGGCCACATCCCTGTGCTCTGCCCATTTGATGTGAGCCAGCTGGGCCTGAATGTCTGGCTAGAATAACAGCTGAATGTAAAAACAAAACATTGAAAGACTGTTGACTGACAGACTGGTTAACTGCTGATATTACGTGTTTACATTGAGCCTTTTAAACACAGTATTTAAAGCAGATAACGATGCTCGGAGTGATCTAATAATGTTTTATCATGTAATCTGTCAAGCAGATTGTGTTTTTTCCCTGCATGGTATGAAACTCAGCAAAGCCTGCAGCATCGTTAGCAGAGGATACAGCTGAGCAGACATCTGGCCGCACAGAAATGAGTTCACAATGCAAATTAAAATGATGATGTTCGAATGAAATTCCTGTTTTAGACATATTTTTGGTTTTGCAGAATTTGCGCACAACCCAATCGTAAAATGTGTATTATTAAAACAGTCCCAGTAGTGGGTTATTTGTCTAGCTTTATGGAGTATTTCATGTTTGTTTTTTTACTGCTGATCAAATCTAGTCAAAGAAAACAGAGCATCATGATGAGGCAGTAGAAAAAAAGTGAGAAGTAAGAGGAAAGTGACTTAGAAGATGTTTCGACCGATAGAGACTCGTGTGATTGGGAAAGCCGCTCCTGCTGTCTCCCTCACTGCTCTGTGACTCGGTCTGGCTGCCTGTTGATCTCCCTCCGGAGCTGCTGCGGCTGTCAGTGGACTTCGCATGAGCTCTCTGTTGTCCCTCAAGGATTTGAACAGCAGTGCTGACCGTAAGCTATAGTCCCTAGATGATGAGCTAAATATATAACTCCCACACCCCCATCTCCTTTTATGTTCTCGCCGTCTCTTCATTCGAACTCCACGCTAACCCTCTCTTGCATTCATTCGTGTGTGTTCAAGCGTGCCTGTGAAGTCGGACATGTCATATATATGTAATATTGATGGCCCTGGGCAGAAAGAAAATGCCCCGTTTGTCGGCTGTTATATGCCATCATTGTTTAATGCACAATTTGCACAGCATGGTAAGAAAATAATAGTAAAAGTAGAGAGCAGGGCAGACTTGTTTTGTGGGGTTTTGCCTCTTTTAAAATTCTGAATGTAGACGGGAAGGATATCTGTGCAGGAGAGACAATGAAGTCATAAGAACATAGTGTAACCACACTGTTGGCTGCTTTTCCCATTCCCCCTCCAGCTCCTCTTAGTTTGCTTTGTCCTCCCTCTCTGGTTCTCTCGTTCTCATCCTCGGCCTTTTAGCTCACACAGAAGGATTCGTCTAAATCTAGTCGCTGGGTCTCTTTTACGTGCGTGTTAAGTCAGTGCCTAATCTTTGTTGAAGGAGGTGCCTGCTGCCAAGTTCTGTCACTGTATTAGCCAGCTCAAGCACAATATGGCCCTGGAGCACTAAACCAAACTAGAGCTATCAGTTCTCCCTCTTTTGTGAAGACTTTTCTGTATCTTATTACCTGAATGTGAAGCTGAAATATGAGCAAAGAGGAAGGATGTCTCATAGAAAGTTTGGATTCAGTCCTTGAGGGTTTTCTCTCTGTGTGCCAGTTACACGTGTAACTACTCAAACCTGAAAACCAGGTTTGTCTAATCAGACATGTTTAGTCCTTGCAGGCTGAAAGGTTTTAATCATCTGTATTAATGGAGTGAGACTAAAAGACCAGGAACCGGCCCCTAACTAAGTCTCCCTCATTACTTTGAATAAAGATTACTGTTTTCCAGGTCGCTCGCTATTGTGTGTCCAGGATGGAGTTGGATTTCTGAGCTGTGGGATTAACCTCTGGTCTTTATAGCATGATCTTTACAAACCATATCCATAATCTGTGGGGTTATTAAAGGGGCCCGGCAAAGTGAGAGGGGTCATACTCCCATCTGCTTCCAGTCCCACATGCAGATGAAAATCATCTGCAGCGGGAAGCGGAGGCTTTCCTCTCCCTCTTTATCCATCAGAGAAAAACCTTTATTGTGTACTTGAACTGAAAATCCCCAGTCGGCCTGTGAAGAAAACGACAGAAATAGGCTGCAGTTCAGCAACCGTGAGAATGTCAGGTATCATTAATATATCTTTAGACTCTTTGTCATTTAGAGGTTGAAGCTTCTTTTTGTCACTCATGAAATATTTAATGATCAGTCATCATCTTTACAGAGAAAACAAGGGAGTGTGATGATGCAGCTCGACTATTCTTATCCACAACCGCTTGTCGTTAACAATCTGCTCACTACTTTCACTTATAAATGAGATCATAGTCCTTTTAAAGCCTCAATGTTATTTTTTTTTAAGAAAAGCCAAGCATCATTTCCCAGAACTCTTCAAGGTGACTCTTCATTTACAGGCATTAAAAACAAAGGAAAGCTTTAAACCTTTAGTATAGGAAACTGAAACCAGCACTGTTATGTATTTTGTTTGAAAAAATCACAAAAATTGTTAACAAAATGGTTGGAATTGGTGTCTTTCCATTGAGTTATAAACATATCCTTGCAGCTCTCATTTTATTCAAAGGGTCTTTTATTAAATAAAATGGTATGCAGCACTAATTCCATAAAAAACAGAGCATAGCCGGATCTGAGATGGTCAAAAAAAAGGGTTTGAAAATATGCAACATGACCAGGAGCAAGCATTTTTAATTTTGCGCCATCTTTCTTCAGAGCGCTCCTCCTTTCTTCTCTCTCGTGTCTCTTTTCGTCCTAACAAGCTGTCAGTAACATACTGTTTTTTTTTCTTTGCACCGTTAGGTTTGACTGACAGACTTAGCACAAGAAAAAGGCAAGTACAAGAGCTCTGCCTCTGAGATCTAATGTGCTCTGCCCTCATTTGAGTGCTTGTAATGTTTCCCCTGTGTAATTAGCGTAACAGGCTCTGAGGGCTGAATATGTCCACACGAGTCTGATCATTCAGTAGGAATGAACCGAACAGCAGGGTTTATTAGGCGCACAACAGATTATTCTTGTTAACTTGCCTTATTTTTTTGGCTCGAGTCGAGCTGCAACCATTTTTCGAGGTGCAAAAAACAGTAAAGAGCAGCAAATGAGACATCCATCAATCCCTCTGTCTTTTTGAAATGATTTCATTAACATCAAACCAAGTCAAATCTGCAGAGAGTGGGTTGAAAATGAGTACAAGATGTTTCCTATGCTGCCGGCTTTTAGGAATAAAATCTGCACTGTAAAGAGTAGTGCTGGTCGAGGTTGGCAGCTGCTGTAGCTGTCTCAAACTGTTTTCTCTCTCTCTATTTGTCTCCTTCAATCTCTTCACCAGTCTTGTAGCATGCAGCGGGATTAGGATTAGTGGTCTGAGACTGGCTACTTTAACAAGCACTAATTGAATTGCCACTAAGGTTGTGTTGGATACTACAGCTGACGGCTCCAGAGTTTTGGTCAGGGTTAAGCCAAAGGCTACAAACATCACAACATCAACGGGCTGCTGTTTTCAGAGGTTTGCATCCACACTGTGCTGCACGGTTTTCTGTCTGCCATCCACTGTGGGCAGCAGGCCTGTCTTTGGGGAAGCTTCTGCACTTGAGCCCACGCTGGGCCTGATTAGTCGAGGCTTTCCAACTGTGCTGTTGGGTCTCCATGTAAACAAACACAATCCATTTGTTGAGCCCGTACAGCGCACAATTAGTCATTGTTAGCATGGGAAAGTCATTCTGCTGTAAGTACAAAATCGCTGATGTAAACAGTTTGAACCAAAGGTTGTCAGTCCATGCAACTGACCCTGCCCCTCTTCTGTGTCTTTCAGCGCTGCGACTGGTCCAGTTCCTGTCCATCCAGTGAGTCCAGTGGCTGTGAGCCCAGCGAGCTGTTTGAGCTGTCTCATAGCTGAGGATTGCATCATTATGGAACAATAGAAGCGAGGATCAAAACTCTCCCTCCTCCTCCTCCTTCCTCCTCCACCTCCTCTCCCCACTCTTTTTCCTCTCAGCCTGACCCTCCCCCTAACAAACACACACGGTCACCCACAGACTCATGCAAACCTCTCTGACCGCTCCTCCCACGCTGGTCATGGTCCACTCCCCCTGTCTCTCCAGTGTGTCAGACGGTGGCTGCTGTGTGTAATCCTGTGTAGAGTGTGGGCCCTATACGGCTGCGTATGCTCCCTTTTGTGATGGCTGCTGTTGTTGTAGCAGAGGCCTCCCTCAGGAGAGACCATGAGGGAGAACAGAAGGCAGTGTAAAACTCACAAAGGGAGGAAAGGAGAGCGAGTGAGGGACACTGACGCTGCCGTTTCTTTGACTGGAGGAGAATGAGCTTCACAGGGCAACACATGGAAGTCAATGGGGGTGAGACCACATGATGCAGGACTGGCATTGCCACCCCTGTTTAACCACATATCGGTTATCCAGCCATCTACTTTGGAGATATCTGCCACATGGTGATCTGCAACAAGTAATGAAGTAAAATAGAGAAAAAGAAACAAGACTTTGTTTTTTTTTGTTTTTTTGGATGAAATTCTTTCCACTTTTTGGTGTTTTTTTCAATATCAGCCTGCCAAAAGTGCCTTCTTTGTGTAACTTTTGCCATTTTTGAAACTTATCCTGCTTTCTATACCCATACTCCAGATTGCCACAGATTATAGTGATATCACATTCAACATTTGTTGCCATATTTCCAACGTGTAACGGAGAATCTGTGACATTGTATGTAGTTGTTGACAGCCGCTACCACAGCCTCATTTGAAAACACAGCTGACAATCATCACCTTCCTGATTTCTTAGTACTTTTGGGTTTTCTTACCAAACCTGGCAACAATAACAGAGTCAGATTATCCCACACCAGCCAGACTGCCTGCACTGCCTCCTCCTTTCTTGTGACGACGCAGAGCCATCGCCATGGTCAGCATCCACTCCAAATGGCGCTACTTTTTCATGTTCCTGGGCATCCAACTGGTGGTCATGGCGCTGCTGTCCCGAGAGGGATACCAGAAGCGAGTCAGCTACTTCATCCGCATCTTCCGCAAACCAGATACCACTCTTCAGTCAGGTCGCAACCACACCGCAGCTGGCATTCCCGGAGGCGACGTTTATGCCAACCTCTCCCACCTATCCAAAACTCATAGCCATGCTAACGACATGCCCTACTGTCCCAAGACATCCCCTCTAATAGGTGAGTGGGCTTACCTGCTACAGTGTCAGTCTTTGTACCTGGTTTATCATACTGCTTAACGTGTGTAAATTTGTTGCTACATTAACGAAATATCAACAACTTACCTGATAATTTCCCAGTTTTCCATTGTTGTGAGTCATCAATCAAGTCAAGCTTTATTATTGTCAATTAGTGCTGGACATACACAGGGATAAAAAGAAAATCAATGTCCTGTCAGCCCTACAGTGCAAATAATCGAAAAGATGTAGTATTAGACAAAAGAAAAATAATAATATATCCATACATATCTACAGATTTGTCTTATATGTCGATGTAAATAGACCTAAACACTAGGGTTGGGACGATATGCTTTTCTCCTGATTTGATTCTTCTACAATTATTTTAGATGCCGATTCGATTTAAATTGCGATTCTACGATATTGTCTATTTTCTTGATTTTAAAGGTCCTTTCACACCAGGAGCGTTTTTTTCATGCGATTATTTCGGACGTCAATATTTTTTTCGAACTCATATCCTGTCAATACAAGCGTTCACATCAGCAACGTTTTCCCGTCCTGCGATATTGCGGCATTTATTTTTTCGGATTGCAGTCGATTTTTCTAAAGTTTTGCATACTGTGTGTCCACTTCTGACCAATCAGATTGCATGTTGTTGCGACAGCTGATTCACCAGTATATCAGACATGGCCGACCAGCTGATTGTTTACGTGTCGGAGAACTGAGTACTTTTTGATAAAAGACACAAATATTACAAAGATAACGACCTGAAGGATAGTTTGTGTGCTTTAACAGTTTGCTGTTTTAACCTTCATCTGTGCTAAGTAACTTTAGCTCGTAAGCTAACCTGTTCAGATACAACATACCATATGTATTTTCACTGTCTCAAACTCAATCGCGTTGCTGTCACAGCACCATTAGGTCTCGGTTGTTACCTTACGTTTATGGATTATAGTTTAATGTGCTTATCTGGTACTGGCCCCGACTCAGTACATGCTGAGGCAGACAGACATCTCAACACTAGAGTCTAATCAGAACTGAAAAACACTCAGTCTGCTGTTGTGTCAGTCTTCTCGCTTCCACCCGGGACGCGTCTTTTTCCCCCTGGAAAGTCGCAAAATCGCATCAGACTTGATGTGTATAGTCAGACGCATCAAAATTCACCTCAGAATATTTCGTAATTTGTGTATATTTGTGTTGTTTCTCGTGTGTAAGGACCTTAAGTCAGTTTTTAAGATTTATTCTTAAATTTGAAAAAAATAATTGTTTAGATAAAAAAAAATCGATTTTAAAAAATGTAAAACTGGTGGGTGCAAATGTCAGTATTGCATTGAACAGGCGATAATTTGAACAGTAGGCGGGTCAATATTGTCCTTTCAGTTTTCCTGTAACTTGCTAAGAGCAACGAGTCACATTATCATGGGACAGTTTACAGAGGTGGTGTTCTGCTTTGTCATAAACTCTGATAAAGGGAATAAACTCAAATCCTTCGGTACATCTCTGCGATCGAGAAGTACAGGCTGCTAACTGTGAGAGTTGTGAAACTCGTGGAGCTTATGCTTTTTAGTCACCCCTCCCTTAAAAACAATCTTAAATGCAGAAGTGAAAAAGAGTCCCCGCAATTTGCACAATGAAGCATGACCATTTCACTGAAGTGCTGAATATTTCAGTCCTCATCCCCTCAGCTTTGTTTTTAGCCAGCCTTTGGCAGCCGTGTCAAAGCGAAAGCTGGCAGCTGAGAGCAAGAGTATTCTTTGAAACGCTCATCAAAAGAGAATTTGTAAAGGTCATTGGGGTTTTCCAGGTTATTGGTTTGAAAGATGGCTGAAACCTTTCTGAGTTTCTTCTGAAACTGTTTAAAAAAAAATAAAAAAGGACTGGTATTGCAGACGTCAGTGTGAGAGCTCAACAGGACTGATGGAGGAAGCACCTTTTTAGATTTTAGCCTCAGAAAACCGCACATCAGAAGCCGAGTAGAAATCCCAGTTTTGTGAGGTACACAGTGTTAACTTCAGCTTAAATGGGCCCACTGGGGTATAAAATAATATTCAGCATACTGCAGGAGCTTTAAAAATAGCTGCCTAATGCTGCCCACTCATCAGAGTGAGGCTAATGGATTGTGTGCTGGAGTGATTGTTCAAAATCTGTCAGAAGCGTCAGTAGTCATGTTCCATCCTGATTCAGAGCAGATCATAGTTTTAATTTACAGTTATCGGATCACTCAGACAATAAGACATGAAGGAGATCCTGAAAATGATTCTCTGTCATCATTTATAGTTTTTACAGAAGAAAAAAAACCCCAACAACCTGTGAACTGAAATATTCTGCTTTTGCTTTCAACCACAAATCTTTCAATGCCATCTCATCTCACTTTGTTTGATGACAACTGAGCAAACTCCGCTCACAAAGAAACTGAGGTGTGCCTGTAGGCTTAACAGAAATTAAATGCCGTAAGTGGATAGCTTAACTTTTCCTCCCTCTGTTTGTCTTCGTCCTGTCACACACTAGTTACACATTACCCAGACATTTGTATCCTGCTCAATGTTTGTCGAATTTACGTGGGATAAACTGTGTAAGCTGGCTTAGTTTTCTGGTTTCAAGGCTCTGCCCTCTGCTCCTTTGTTCCCACATCTCTCAGTTATTTTACACGGTGTGCTGATAGCTGAGCCACAAGGCATTGACTTTCTTTCCTTGAAAAACAGGATGGTCAGAGGTAACTAAAGTACTGGTGAATATTTGATCTGAGGGTGAGGGGTGAACAGAAACCACCTGAAGGTTCACTCAGACTGCTTTGAGGAGAAGGGAGGGACTGAATCTGTGTGATTTCTGAAAAGGATTACTAAATCCTGTAACAGGATGCTTGGCATGTGTATTATGAGGGCCTAAAGAGCTGCAACTATGCATTATTTATTCTATGGTCTGATCCCCTGATATTTGCTTTGATTAATTATTTAAACAGGGAAATTTGTTCTGAATAAAAAAAATCTAAACTTGTCCAACCAAGTGTCCAAAGGTGTGTTCCAAATCGCATACTTCCAGTGCTAAATACTTAAAATTTTGAGTATACTCAATGCAAAATGGAAAAAAGTATGGATAGTATATGAAAATTGAGTATGCAAAAGTACCCGGATGAGGTACTCAAATCGGTCAAGATTTTGAGTATGCGACTGTGGACACTCACCCGCACTCATTTCATCTGTGGCTGTGGACGGCTGTGGTGCCGGTGGGTCGGCGATAGTTGACCTGGGAGCTTTGTACAGATGTAAGCAATAAGTTGCCTTTTGCACGTTCTTTCCACCAAGCACTGCCAGCATTTATTTTGAGTATATTTGTGGTGTAAACTTGGTAACCTGTTTGTCTTTTGCTGCAAATGTTATTGCGAATGCTAGTTAGCAAGTTAGCTAGTTAGCTAGTAGCTGCCGGGTTCCGAAGCGTTACCCGTGGGGTAAAAATGAGCGATGAAAGTTCATTTTGTTGCTGATTTTACCTCAAAAGTGGATGAACGAGCGCAGGAAAAAGGTGGCGGTAATTAGCTGATGCAGAGCTAGCCGGTGACAAATTGGTGTAGTAGAAGAAGAAATGGTGTCGTCATTTCCGGTGAGTGCGCCGCGCGGCAGTATTTGTGACAACGCTGCACCCTTGAAACTCAAGCACTATGCGATTGAGTACATAGTATGCTTAGAATACTCAATTTGAAAAATCTAAGTATTTAGTATGGAAGTATGGGATTTGGGACACACCACAAGTCTCTAATGTGCAGAAGTCGTTTTCATTGTTACATAAGGTGTGTCCCAAATCGCATACTTTACTAAATACTAAATTGAGTATACGAAGCATGCTATGTACTCAATCACGCAGTGTGCAAGTTTCAAGGGTGCAGTGCTATCCCAAATCGCATACTGCCACGCGGCGCACTCACCGGAAATTACAGACGAACAAAAACTAAAGAAATAATGACATGATGTGCTGCAGACAAACCTCTGTGGCTGATACTGCCTCTATTCACAGGCTAGCTAGCCTCGTTGGTTGTATAGTCCATGACCAGGCTCTGCTGGCCCGCCGGGTATTTTTTATTTGCCACGGGTAACGCTTCGGAACCCGGCGGCTACTAGCTAACTACCATTAGCATTCACGATACCGTTCGCAGTTAAAGACAAAAAACAGGTTACACCACGAATATTCTCAAAACGGTAAACACTGGCAGTGCTTGGTGGAAAGAACGTGCAAAAGGCAACTTACTGCTTACATCTGTACAAAGCTCCCAGGTCAACCATCGCCGACCCACTGGCACCACAGCCGTCCACATCCACAGATGAAATGAGTGCGGGCGAGTGTCCACAGTCGCATACTCAAAATCTTGACCGATTTGAGTACCTCATCCGGGTACTTTTTCATACTCATTTTTCGCATACTATCCATACTTTTTTTCCATTTTGAGTTGAGCATACTCAAAATTTTAAGTATGTAGTATGGAAGTATGCGATTTGGAACACACCTATAGTGCACGAAAAATAAGTATTGGACAAAAATTGGAAGGTCATCGAACTCTGAGACCTGGTTACAGTATTTACCTTTGGAGAGTAAATCATCCCTGACTTAAAGAGGATGTCTTTGTGTCACCTGTTGTACAGTGACCACATATTTTTCTTTTTAGATTTTGTCTCGTTTTTGATTTTGTCTCTTCTTGGTAATTCCCAGTTTGTGGTGAATGAGGTTGCTTTTTACTGAGCGACAGTAAAGAGGTACTTTGCCGTTTCCTGTCTGTTTCAAAGCCTGGAAAGCCTTCTGTTTGTGGGTTTGCATTTCAGACCGGGACAGAACCTTGTCCAGAAGTGATCTATTTGGTTATATTTACATTACTAATACATTATCGCTCCCAAAGAATCAGTGTTTCTCATCAGAGGGTTAACTTCAAACACTGAGTTTCATTTCCAAGCTTGATGCTACATTCAAATCATGAGCTCTCATTCAGTAACCACATTATTTGCCTTTGCTCTATCTAAAACATCTCGTTTCCGACTGACAATGACAGCATCTAATTTCCGCTTGTAGGTGGGCCGATCCACGTCAGCTTCCCATCAGGGCTCACTCTGGCAGATGTTCAGAAGAAAAATCCCATGGTGGTTCGAGGAGGTCGTTACAGGCCGCCTGACTGTGAGGCCAGACACCGGACCGCCATCATCATTCCCCACAGACACAGAGAACACCACCTCAAGTTCCTCCTCTACTACCTACATCCTTTTCTGCAGCGACAACAGCTGCACTACGGGATTTACGTCATTCACCAGGTGAAACACAAACACACCAGAGGAAGAATAAAGAGGTTGTGGTGGATGTATCTACTCGTTATATTTAAAATTTGCATGTGAATCAGTTGGTCTGAGTGCAGGGTGTAACTGTTGTTGTAATCCTCAAGGCTTCAGGCTAGGAGGAGAACGCCCTCTAGTGTTCTGACTCTGCATCTGCAGGTTATAGAACAAAATGCCCAAGTGGCTTTCAGGGTTTAATCTGCTTAGCTGCAGCTGTTTCAGTTAATTCACATTAACTCCTCAGCACTTTATCTCTTACACCTCTTGTGCCTGTCCTATTGTCGAGTCTTACTTTCTGTCTCCGCTCAGAGAACTGTGAGGATGCTTCACATGCTGCAGTGTGTTACTTTTTTAGGATGGATCAGGGAATTAACGTCTGAATAAGGCATGAAAAATATGATGCAACGTCGCGGTAGAGATGAGCACTGAGTCTATATATATCATTGACTTGTGAGTCATAACATGTGGTTTTCTATACTGTGAATCAGGACACTGTTTTCTGTCTGTAAACTGAAAAGCAGAAATGATTTCCTGCTGCCAGCGAAGGATTGACGTGTTTATCCTTTATGTCCTTAAAATAATTTCCCCTGTAACGATTGAATAACCTTCCAGCAGAGTTCCTCATACAGGCGTGAATTTAGATGTTTAATATTCACAACTCAGACTATTGGACCTAATTAATTGCTTTATAAATAAGATGAATAGAATCATTCTGTCAATCTGTCATGAAACAATGGTTCTAAGTCATGCCATTCACTTTTACATCTTTAAATTGCAGCTGAAGAAACTCATTGGTTTTGGTACTTGAAGTTTAAGTTGCGCTTCAGAAGTTGGATTATAGATAGACTGAGGAGGTGCAGTAAGTGTTTCCAGACTCCCTCACTTTGCAGGGACCCTCTGGCACATATCCTGATCAGTTGATTCTGAGCGGAATTTTCCTTTAGTTTTGAACTTTTTTTGGTTTTACATCAGAGCTGCTGACTGAAACACTCGACAACATGCAGCGATTTGGGACCGTTACATAATTGACTCTTGTTTCTTTTATGTAATTAACAATTAATGCGCACATTTAGGTGTGAAGAAGAAAATCATAGGCTCATGAAAAAAGAAAAAAAGATGGCTTCTGGAGATGTTGCATTCACTCAAAAAGGAAAAGAAATCTCGTTTTTCTGGATAGCGGACTCTCTGTTTTGACTCAGTGTCTGTGTTTCCCCTGCAGGCTGGAAATTACACTTTTAACAGAGCCAAGCTGATGAATGTTGGTTTTCGAGAAGCCATGAGGGAGGAGGAATGGGACTGTCTCTTCTTTCACGACGTGGATCTCATTCCTGAGGACGATCGTAACACCTACATCTGTGACTCCAACCCCAAACACGCAGCCATCGCCATGGACAAGTTTGGCTACAAGTATGTCGCTCCTCGTCTGTAAAAGCTCACTCAAGTGTTTACTCTTCACACAAACTAGATCCCTGGCGTTAAGACTTCCTGAAGCCTTTTTATTCTACATTTTATAAACCTTTGAACAAGTTCAGACTCAACCCAAAACAACCATCAAGGAGACCGTTTCACCTTTGTCTAGCATCCTTCATTAGTGGTACACGCTTTCAAGAGAAGGCTTAGCAGAAAGATCTGACAAACACACCAGCTCAAGTTTAACTCCTGTCAGTGGTTTGAAATACTCACCCACGTTTCTGTTATCTTTCATCCTCTTCAGGCTTCCGTACAAAATGTACTTTGGAGGAGTGTCAGCTCTGACGCCACTGCACTACCTCAAAATGAACGGTTTCCCCAACAACTACTGGGGCTGGGGTGGAGAGGATGATGATATTGGAGTCAGGTAAGAAAGGCTGATTAGACCAACTCAGAACAGGGAACGGGGAAATTGATCTTGGGTGTTATTGTCACTCAGACCTGCATTCATATTTCAGACATAATGACATTTTTGTCTCCTTTTTGTCCCCCTCTTAGAGTGTCTTTAGCAGGGATGTATATCACTCGTCCATCCCTGAAGGTCGGCCGATACAAGATGATAAAACACAAGCTGGACAAAGGAAACGATGTGAATCCAAAGAGGTAAAGACAGTGATGTGTTTGGTTTAATTTGGAAGATTAAAGCAGATCTGGATTAATTTTCAGTGCAGAGACGATCATTTCGAGTGTGTTAAGGTTAAAAACTCTGTACTTCATGACCAGGACATTTATTTGGACATTTGTCAAGATCACAACACTTGACCTGTTATGAGCAGCATTCGATCGGTGCATGTGGACACTTTTTGTAAGCTGGCAGAGTAGTAATTAATCAGTTTACAAAGTTTTGTCGTTGTCCGGGTCACAGGGGCAGTAGCTTTAGGAGGGAAGCCCAGACGGCTCTCACCCCAGCCACTTTGAAGGTCTCCCCCTGGTAGGACATTTTCTGGAACACCTCTAACAGGAGGCGTCCAGAGGGCATCCTAACCAGATGCCCGAGCCACCTCAGCTGACTCCTCTCGACGTGGAGGAGCAGCGGTTCTACTCTGAGCGCCTCCCGAGTGTCCGAGCTCCTTACCCTATCTCTAAGGCTGAGCCCGGCCACCCTGCGAAGGAAACCCATTTCGGACGCTTGTTCTTTCGGTCATTACCCAAAAATCATGGCCATAGGTGAGGGTCGGCATGTAGATCAACCGGTAAATCGAGGGTTTCACCTTACGGCTCAGCTCTTTCTTCACCCCGATTGATCGGTCCGCATCACTGCTGACGCCGCTCCGATCCGCCTAGTTTACAAAGTTTTGATTTACGTGAATAAGCTCAATATACATCCCAGTACAGACCTCATCACTGCACCCTGTTCAAAGATTTCTTGTTGAACGAAAAGAAACACTAAAAAGAGGATCTGTATTTTTAAATTTGGTTACACCTGCATCTTCATGATAGTGGCTGATGGTGCTCATGGGAAATGTAGTCCGCATCATGTGAAAAGCTGTACCAATCTCATCCAGAAGAGGTCACCAGAGTCAACACAACATGGTCATTCCTTACAGTGTCATTACACCTGCAATTTTGAAGAACGCGATCGCACATTGTGCATTTTTCTGACATTGTTTGAGTCGAGTAAAATGTGGGCAGCTTTAGTGGCTCATCACTCTCTCTCTGTATTTTGTGTTTAAAGGTTCAACATGCTGGCAAAGACACGTACCACCTGGAAGTTGGACGGGATGAACACAGCTGAATATGAGACAATCTCACGGGAGTACCTGCCTCTCTACACCAACATCACTGTCAACATCGGCACGGAGGCCGGTCTGCACCCACCTCCTCCTACTCGTCCTCCACCTGCCAAAGCTGAGGGCAAACCGGAGGTGAAAGTATCTGCCAAAGCTGAAGGCAAACCTGCTGAAGTCCAGGCAAAAGGCCCAGCTAAACTTATAGAAGGCCCCTCGGTAATTTAACCCAACATGAGAGACCACTAATCATGTTCCAGTTTGTGGAATGATATTGTTCCTCCTCGGTGGCCTGTCTTCTTCTTTTTTTTTCTGCTCATTTTGGCTGTTTTGACGGTTTTCTTTTTGGATGAATCAACATCATGCTGTGTACAGAAATCGGCGCACTCATGTGAGTGGTTCACATGATGGAACTAAAGACCTGAAGGATCTGACCCTTGGGTGACGGCTCTCCACGTCGGTTCCTGTTGCATCACTTATTTTTCTTCCAGGGAGCCACGGTGAAGAGTGAAGAGTAAAAGTTGGACTCTATGAGTTTATATGTCTACAGCGCTGTGGTCGCTGCTTAAACCTTGTGATGCCTTAGAATCTTGATCTGATTTAAACGTTTTTCGTTGCTTCACTCGTACTTTACATTGATTTTGATGGAGCAGTAGCTGCAGGTTCCAGCAGCCACACTGTGCCATGTGTAGTCTTTTTTTTTTTCTTCTCAACGCCAATGAATCTATGAATGAAGGAGAAGAGTGTGTGAAGCTGCTACAAAGAGTGAAGGAACTCGACAGATTTGTGTATAACTGTTGATATTATCACTGCTTCTAATAATAGCGCACATATCTTATCTGTCCCTGAATATCTGGAGTCTCATTTAAAATGGGTTCCAACACTGAGATGCTGGTATATATCTGTTTTGTTAGTATATAAAGAAGATAGACTCAATCTTCCTGTTTCAACTGTACACATAAATGAGCCTTTCATCCTCTTCTTGATGAATAAGGATGAGGGAGCGGTTTCAGTCCTGTCCGTCAGCGGCCAAGATACAGTCCATCTGTGTAGCGTTTGTTTCTGAGCTTTAGTTCTCAGCGAATCGAATATCTTCGACATCTGTTTTCTTTTTCTTTATCGGGTGCTTTTGCCTTTATGAGACAGAGCAGGTCTTGGTGACGGTGATCAGCCCTCTGCCTTCACATGAGCTCACGGTTCACATCAAAATGGAGTCTTGTCTTGTTTATCTGTTATTTTTATGGAATATACTGATCATGTACAACGCACTATATATTATCCATGTAAATCTGTCTATTAAGAGTGCTGGCTTGCTCCCTTGACATCTTATATGCAGTTAATCTTCACAACAGACATTATTTTTGGTATGGTCTCGTTATGATCTTCACAAAGCAGCAGAAATGAAGATGAGGAAGTAACAAGAGTAACAAGATCAGTCCTGGACCTGGTTCAACTTGAGAGGGCTGCTTTGAGGAGCAAAATATGTCCAGGTCGACAAACCCGTTCGTTTGTAGCTCCAGCCGAAAGCACAACACAAAAATCTGGTCCTTGATGTGCCGATACAGACGTACAATTTCTTACTCCACGTCATTATTGTGAAAAATCCCGTTCTGCCGTTCCTCCCCGACTTTTGCCCGTATACTGCATGTTGACTCTCCTCCCTCCCTTTCCGATCTCTGCTCTTTCTGACAGATTTGATTGTTTACACAGAAAGAAAAAGTATCCCTTTACCCTGTGAGAGCGTCCATACCGACAGATGAACAGTTTGAAACCAAAGACAACTGCATAGAAAGCTGTGATGATGAATAAATAATGTGTGTTTGTGTGTGTGTGTGTGTGTGTGTGAGCTGTCTGCTCCATCGCAATGAATTATTCCTGCATTTTAATGGGCCCATCTTTTTCTTCTATCAATATTTGTAGCCTCTTTTAAACTATCATGTATTCACAGTACAGCTCTTCGTAGTAGAGGGACATGGTTTTTCTTTTTTAGGTTTACTACAACCTCTTTTTTTAATCAGTATCTTTGTTTTTTTCCAACTGACAAGGACATGCCAAGGTCAGAAAGTGACTGCCTGTGATTTTGTCCAAGACTATATACTGTATGATCATTTTGATGTGAATCAATATTCAAATCCTATGGCCTTAGAAACACACACACAATACTAGTATTTACCTAGTTAACCTTCATATCAGATGTAGTATGCATGGCAAAAAAACACTATTAGTAAGGGAATGTAATGAGCACAACCTGGAGATTATACATATCAATGCTCACCCAGGAAACATTAAGCATGCTGCAGTGTTGTGAACCTGGACCTGTTATTGTGACTTCACATTTGAGTTTTTATTCTACTGTACAGAGTCCGACAGGAGACACATCTTTATTTTTATGAATATGTTCAAAGGAAGCTTAGATACCAGGGTCACAATGTACAGTCTCCATCATTTACAGCCTAACTCCTTTTTTTGTGTGCATTTAATTTGACTCCATTCTGATGTGGAATAGCTCAGCAGCAATAGGAAGCAGTCACCGCAGTGTAGTACAGGAGCAACCAAGGGCAAAGTGATTTAAGTTCTTTTTGCTCTCTTTATGAATTCTGCACAGTCCAGAGTGGCCTTAAATTCATTATTAATAAACTGATTATCCAAAACAAATGTGACCTTCTTCTTTTGTTGTCTTTATGATTCTAGATTTTCTCTCACGTTCTTAGAGATGGTTTTTGGAAAAAATACACATATTTAAAAACATTTGGGATTTTTTTTCTGTACTTGAAAAGAAAGTCTTCATTCTCAGTGGAATCTTATGAGTTACTTGCTGAAGGGCAGCTCAGCAGACCAAGTCTGTCGGTGTAAATGTAAACTGTGTTTAGATATTTAGGGGCCGAGCAGACGCTTTCTTAGACTAAAAAAAAAGACATTTTTTTATACTACATTATGACATTTTAATTGTAATATGGAACGATATTTCTTTCACACTAAAATATGACATTTTTTTATCATTCTATACTAAGAGATTTCCCTTCATACTAAAATATGAATTCATGTTAAAATATGACATTTCTCACATACTATTCCATGATATTTTTATCATACTTTATTATTTTTCTTTTACTAGAATATGAAATTTTAATCATACTACACTATGACTTTTTTTTCAGACTAAAGTGTAAAAATGTTTATCTATGACATTCTAATCATACTAAAATATGACTATTTTCACACTAAAAAAGGGGATTTTGAACATTTTATACTATGATTTTTTTTTATTTTCAAATATGATTTTCTTTTCATACTAAAATTTTAAATTTTTAACATACTATACTATGACATTTATTTTCATAAGGAAATATGAAATCCTTCTGAAATATGACATTTTAACATACTATACTATGACATTTTTATCATACTATACTTTGACATTATTTCATACTAAAATACGTTTTTTTTTAAAATTCTAAGATATGACATTTTCAACAAACTATACGATGACATTTCTGTCATACTATTCTGGGACATTCAAATCATACTAAAATATGATTTTTTTCACACTAAAATATGTAGTTTTTTATCATACTATACTATGACATTTGTTTCATTGCCAGACATGAATTTTTTTTTCATACTTGAATTAGAAATTTTTAACATACTATACTATGACATTTTTTATACTGAAATTTGAAATTTATATTAAACTATACTATGACATTTTTATCATACTATACTATTACATTTTTTTCATGCTATACTACGACATTTCTTTCACTCTAAAATATGAAACATTTTATCATACTATACTATGACAGTTATTGTCATACTAAAATATAAATTCATTCTGAAATATGACATTTTAACATACTATACTATGACATTTTTATCATACTATACTCTGACATTATTTCATACTAAAATACATTTTTTTAAAAATTCTAAGATATGAAATTTTCAACAAATTTTACTATGCGTTTCTGTCATACTATTCTAGGACATTCAAATCATACTAAAATATGATTTTTTTCACACTAAAATATGTAGTTTTTTATCATACTATACTATGACATTTGTTACATTAGCAGACATGAATTTTTTTTTCATACTTGAATTAGATACTATTACATTTTTATCATACTATACTACAACATTTCTTTCACACTAAAATATGAAACATTTTATCATACTATACTATCACAGTTATTGTTATACTAAAATATAAATTCATTCTGAAATATGACATTTTAACATACTATACTATGAAATTTTTATCATACTATATACTCTGACATTATTTAATACTAAAATACATTTTTTTTTAATTCTAAGATATGACATTTTCAACAAACTATACTATATGTTTCTGTCATACTATTCTAGGGCATTCAAGTCATACTAAAATATGATTTTTTTCACACTAAAATATGTAGTTTTTTTATCATACTATACTATGACATTTTTTTCATTACCAGACATGAATTTTTTTTTCATGCTTGCATTTGAAATCTTTTACATACTATACTATGACATTTTTTATAGTAAAATTTGAAATTTATATTTAACTATACTATTACATTTTTATCATACTATACTATTACATTTTTACATTACAAATGGTACTATGACATTTCTGTAAAACTATACTATGAAATTTTATCATACTAAAATATGATTTTTTTCACGCTGAAATATATATATTTTTTATCAGACTATACTATGACTTTTTTTTTCATCCCCAAATATGAATTTTTTTTCATACTTGAATTAGAAAATTTTTAACATACTATACTATGACATTTTTTATAGTAAAATTTGAAATTTATATTTAACTATACTATTACATTTTTATCATACTATACTATTACATTCTTACATTACAAATGGTACTATGACATTTCTGTAAAACTATACTATGAAATTTTATCATACTAAAATATGATTTTTTTCACGCTGAAATATATATATTTTTTATCAGACTATACTATGACTTTTGTTTTCATCCCCAAATATGATTTTTTTTTCATACTTGAATTAGAAAATTTTTAACATACTATACTATGACAATTTTTTATACTGAAATTTGAAATTTATATTAAACTATACTATGACATTTTTATCATACTATACTATTACATTTTTATCATACTATACTACGACATTTCTTTCACACTAAAATATGAAACATTTTATCATACTATACTATGACAGTTATTGTCATACTAAAATATAAATTCATTCTGAAATATGACATTTTTAACATACTATACGATTACATTTCTTTCATACTATACTACAAAATTTCTTTCACACTAAAATATGAAACTTTTTATCATACTATACTATGACATATTCTTATACTAAAATATGATTTTTCTAAATTCTAAGATATGACATTTTTATCATACTATACTGTCATTTAATCATTCTAAAATATGATTTTTTCACACTTTAATATGACATTTTTATCATACTATACTGTGACATGTTTTTTCACTCTCAAATATGAATTTTTCTTCATACCAAAATTTTTAATTTTCAACATACTATACTATTACATTTCTTTTCATACTAAAATATAATTTTTTTCATTCTCAAATAAGACATTTTTCACATACCATACTATGACATTTTTTCATATTTAAATGTGAAATTTTTACCATACTATACCATGACATTTTATCATGTTATACTTTGAACTATAATATTTTTATCATACTTTACTATGATATTTTTATAATACTTTCTATGACTTAACTATGATATTTTTAACATAGTATACTTAGCCCTTTTTTAAAATACTTTTGTTACAACCCAGCTCATGAAGGGAAAGGATGCCACATAAAACCCATGGATCGTGTTGTAGAAATTGTTATTTAATTGCCAAAAGAAATAATGAAGCGCTGTTTAACAAAAGTTCGAGGCGAGGAACAGTGGAATGTGGAGTACGGCTCAAAGAAACAAGGAAACACAAAGGGCGACTCTAAACTAGAGTGAAAAAAAAGGTCACTTACCTAAATTAACTCAACACAATTGAATTGCCTCCATACCAAATGTCATGCAGAATTTCCAACAAAATAATCTAGTGAGCTCGAGTGTCTGCCTACAAAGCGCTCCAACCAGCAGCCTCTTGAACATGCCACTCCTCCTCGATTGGTCCTGCGGACTTGGCCCATTACCCAATCAACAGCTGGTTCCTGCAGAAACACACACACACACACACACACACACACACACACACACACACACACACACACACACACACACACACACACACTACCAAACAAGGTAAAATTACTTTTTTTTCTACTATACTATGATATTTTAAAATACTATACTATGATATTTTTGTCATACTTAAGTATGATTTTTTTTATACTATACTATGATATTTTTTATTTGAATATACAATGATATTTTTATCACCACAACTATGACATTTTCTTAACATACTATACCATGCCATTTTTTTCACACTATAATATACTTTTTTCATACTAGAATTGATTTTTTTTTCATATTATACTATGACATTTCTATCATACTATACTATGGCAATTTTATCGTACTATACTATGATATTTTCATCATACTTATGATTCTTTGACATACTATACAATGACATTTTTTTCATACTATAATTTTTTTGGCATACTATACTGACATTTTTTTCATAATTTTATATATTTTTTTCATACTATACATTGACATTTTTGTAATACTGAACAATGATATTTTTATCATACTATACTATGTCATTTTATTATACTTAACTTTAGATTTTTTTGACATACTATAGTGTGCCTTTTTTACTATACTATACTGTGATATTTTTTATCTTACTATACTATGGTCTTTGAATCAAACTATACTGACTTTTTTTATACTATAATAATATATATTTATTCTACTATCACACTTTTAACTGTACTATACTATCACACTTTTAACTGTACTATGCTATGGCATTTTAATCAAACTGTTCTATGATATTTCACACTCTTTATTTTAATCATACTTTAAGTATGAGGCCATCATGAGGGACAAGCTGGAGCTCTCGGGAGTGGACCAACACCTCACAAGTTGGATTGTGGATTACCTCACCAACCATCCAAAGTATGTGAGGACCTGGGACTGTGTGTCAGAGACTGCCCTCTGTTGTATAGGGGCCCCCCAGGGAACGATACTCTCTACACCGCAGATTTCCACCTGTCACCCACCTGCCATCTGCAGAAGTTCTCTAATGACTTTGCCATCATCTGCCTCATACTGACGGGGACGACCAGGCATACCCCCACTATTTATATCTATGCTCTAGTCTACACGAAACACTTTTTCTCACTTGTAAAACCCTAAAATCAAGGACATTACTGGGGAATAATTAGAAATGCAATTTTGTTCTTAGTTTTCTCATATTATGTCCTGTAGCATCAGAAAAATGCCATATGAACATGTAGACAACAAGAAAATATGATTTTCTCCTGAGTGGGTCTTTAAACTGTAGACTTGAACAGTGCCATCCTGTGGTAGTCTGTCGACAAGGTCTGGGGGCAGACCAAGAGAGCTGGATAATGACAATAAAGCAAAAAAATAACAGCATGAAGTATCCCAAAGAAACAAAAGTCCACCCCTGAAACTAAGACACGTTAGCAAATTTATTTATTTACAAAAATATACACATGATGTTCACAGTTGTACAAAAAAAATCATTAAAAAGTGTTCACAGATGGCTGTTCATGATTTTAGATTTTTATGTCTTGGCAAGGTACAAAGAGGCTCCTATTAGATCCCAAACAAGCTAAAACCATCACAAGATGTCTTCTTATTACAGTATCAAACTGGAAGGTTGCTTTTCAAAAAAATTAACAGGATTTTAGCCCTAAAATCAGGTGACATCTGAAGCTTTCTGCCACTTCACTTCGAGGCTAGCTAGCCGTGTATTTTTTATGCAGTTTCTGTAAAGAAACCAAAAGTTTGGTGACTCTGAGCTCAATTTTAAACTGTAAGTATTTGTTTGAGGGGGTGAAGCTCCTGCCAAACAGCAAATCCATTTATTTCTACTTGCTGTTGAACTTGACATCATTGAATTTGACAATCTTCCCGTCCCGAGTCACCACCTCCTTCTGCTCCCATCTTCCCACCTCCCCGTCTTTCTCCTCAAAGCGTCGCACCACCACCCTCCCGGTCGTAGGCAGGTTGCAGGGCAGGTCCTTGGCAGCCTCTCGGTACAGCTGCATTTTCATCAAGTCTTTGGTGAGGTCAGCACTGCCTGACGGGACCAGAGCTAAGTTCCTTCCCCTGTCCTCTCTTCTCTGAGGGGAAGGGGATAGGTGAGGTGATGGTTGTTGATGGAGGATCTTCAGGTCTGGTCTGGGTGAACGCTCCCAGTTCAGTGGCGATGGAGCCCTGTTCATTGGTGAATGGTCTCTGAGAAATGGTGATGGAGCTCTGTGATTGGGTGATTTATCTCTTTTTAAGGGTGACAGATCTCTGTTCATTGGAGATCGACCTCTATCTAATGGCGATGGAGACTGATTTCTGGCTTTCATCTTGGGGGAAGCTGGCTTCAAGTGCTCTTTTTTAATCGGAGCATTAAAGACGATCCCAGCACCTCCAGCCCTTCTTATGTCACTTATGACCCCACCCATGGAGGCCCTTAAAGAAGGGTCGGGCTCCACCATCCTGCACACAGTGCGGCAGTATGGCTCATTGGGAATAGTCTCCTTAATCTTTTCAGGACAGACGCTGGGTGTGTAGAGGCGGACCCTGGCACAGAGCTCTGCGATGATCTTCCCCATGGCCCACACATCTGAGCGCTGATCCCGCTGGCTGCCCCTCCTCAGTACCTCAGGGGCTGAGTACGCCTCGTTCCCCATGTCAATAGCAGAGTTAAGGCCAAAACGGAAGAACTTGGCCAGACCCAGGTCGATGATGACGGCTCTGTTGGTGTTGTGCTCCACCTGGAGGAGAAATATTATTTAGTTTTGATTCCATCTATGAGACAATTCAAGTCAACTTTCTATACCGGGACTGCAGTTTACAGTATGAGCAGAGCAGCTCTCACCATGATGTTTTCAGGCTTGAGGTCTTGATGGACAATATCTTTTGAATGGAGGTGAAACAGCCCTTCACACATGCCGATTATGATGGTGCCTTTGACTTCTGTAGTCAACTGAAAAACAAAAGATTTGGGATTAAGTTAATCCTGACTGGATAAGATGTCATCCTTCTTATAAAAACAGGTGTCAACAATGGTTATGATGAACTGCCTGTTATTACAGTCACAATAATGTTTACTCATTCTGGTTTTACAGAGCACCATAAAGCTGTGTTAAATGTAGTGCCACATTTTAAATCATATGCCTGATTGTTGTCTTTGCAGCTTCACCTGTATTACGGATTTTGCGGCTTTGAAGATGGTGGTCTCCAAGTCCTCTCCAAAGATAAACTCGAGAGGTATAATCCATTTTCCGTCATTGAGAGTTATGTTGCCCAGGAGTTTCACTATGTTGGGATGATTTGCTTTGCTGCCAGAAAGAGAAGAAGAGGAGTTGATTAGAATAAACACCAACAAAATAATCTTTAGTCAAAGTAACTCTTGTGAAAATTCACAGCGGATAGTTCATCAGCATATTTCTGGACACATTTGACCCACTGACCTAAATTAAAGGTCTTTGTTAGTCTTTGCACATCATCATGGTGTTGTTGTCTCCTCCACTTATCATTGTGGTGTATCAAATGGATCATTTCTGGTTGTAGGTTTATTTTTTTATGTATACTACTATAACATCACTGTAGGATATCGTATCATGTTTTAGGGTAATGTATTCTAGCATAATCACTTTACAACAACCTGTATCGTACGTTTCATATCCTAGTGTATCTTATTTTTTCATATCCTTTCACAAACTGGTGTATCGTAATGTACTGTATCATATCGTAAATTGGCGTATCCTATTGTAGCTTAAACTGGTGTATTGTATCATATTGTGAACTGGTGTATCGCATCATAAACTGTGTCTCAATGTTTTGTAGAATATCATAGCTTATCATAACCTACATTGTATCATATTACAACATTTTCATATTTAACTGTATCAGATCATACTGGATCATTTTGTTTCCTTTATAGTCATAACTAACTGTATTGTATCATATTGTGTTGTATTGTAACATGTTGTGTATCTTCATACTATATCTCTATCCTTTTGTATCATTTCACACTGGCCCCGTTTACATGGGTCCAAAAATCCTTTTTACAATCAGATTGAAAGCTCAATCAGATTCAAAATGTCTCATATAAACACTTTAGCCAATCTGATTCACCCGGATCTGATTGTATTTCGGGTCGGATTGTAAGAGGTAGTCTCTGCCGATTGATAATCCGCTCCACGCTCCATATATACGGCTGAGTGGAGAGATTGGGTTTACAGAGAAGCTTGTTCTGGGGCCATGCAAACGCAGATTGAACGTGGAACTCTTTACTTAAAGTTCATGTATACAGATGTAATCAGATTCACTTAATCCGATTGATTTCAATCAGACTGAGGAAAACTATCCATATAAACGGGGCTACTGTCTCAAACTGTATGGTGCTGAATTACATCGTCGTATTATGTTGTTTTTTGTTTGGGGTCATATCGCATCACACCACATCTTACTGCGCTGTGTCATTTCAAGGGTCGCTTTATTGTCACGTTTCCTTTCGTGTCATATCACGCTGTATTAAACAGCGTTGTGTCATATTGCTGAGTGCTTTATCATTTGGCTGTTGTTTTTCTTTCATATTACATCCTTGTGTTCTGCATCATATCATACTGAAATGTATCACATTAGACCACATTGTATGAGTTGATATACTAGTTTACCTGTTCATACTGAAAACGGCTTCACATCAACATTTTCATAAGACATATTCTCATATTTCTGCCATGGCTGTCGTTGACTTTTTGTTTCACCATGTTGGATATCAGAAAAGAAGCTCTTTTTAAACTCTTCTTTAAATCTAAACTTACTTGTACACTTCACACTCTCGTTCCAGGTCCTTCCTACTGATGAGCTCCTGGGGGACTTTCTTTATGGCTGCCCACGTATCATTGTACTTCTGCTTGTACACCTTCCCAAAGCAGCCCTGCGCCAGAGTGCTGGTCGAATACGCCATCTAGTGAACAAAGAGGAACGTTATAATAATAGTAGGACTTAAATTAGATGAAGTCACCTGCAGAAGAATCCCATTTCTTACAGGTAAAACCCTCAATGTTTGCGTAAAGTTCACATTAAAGGAGTGGAAATATCTGTCGAGTAGATTTTTAGTTTGGTCATGACTTCACAGGTGGGGATTCCCCTCCTAGTCATCCTGCTTGTGAGAGTTAACAATAGTGCACGAGTGACTTCTAACCACCTCATAAATGACAATCACTGTTATTAAGAGGAGCTGACTCACGATAATCTGATTTCCTGTACGCAGTGTGAATCATTGTATAAATTCCAGTTTAAGGTCAATAAAACCTCTTGACTGCTTCCAAAGAAAAGCAAAGATTTATAGCAACACTTAACCTTTTACTTTGTATTATAAAAGATGTGAGCAGATATTGAAGTTGGCACGTTTTCAGACAGCTGTTAGCTTAAAGGTGCCGTGTGTCAAAATGGGAATATTAAGCAATATCTATCAGGTTCTGGACTGAAGCGACAGAAGTTTTTGAGGAGAAAAGATGTAATCCAACCCTGAAAACAACAACAACCGTTTATACAGATTCTTTTAGGGACAACACTGTGAGTATGAGTGTGAATAAAGTAAAATTCTATGAAATGTACCTTTAACTCTGACATGATCCAATATTAATATTTTTCTCAAAGTTGAACCAGTGAAGTTGATCCTACTTTTCATGTTTTTTTTTTAACTGTAAAGGAATAAACTCTTATTTTGATTTTACTGAGAGGAGTGAAACCAAACTGTTGTTCTTCTGATGTGTTTTCTTTTCTCATGCTGACAGCTGTTTACTTATCATGTTACGGTTGGCAGAAGGTGATTAAACTGATATCACGCATCTGATCGAGGTATTTTTGCTTGACAGAACTGGGTAAGCTGGAATAAGAAGGTGGTTTCTTCCATGTAAAAACATCTACATGCCAATCATAAAGATCAATTATCTTTGTACCCCTATAAAACTCTGCTGGTGACACTTTCTGTAACCTTTACTCAGAGACGGTTAATCATTTATTATGGACCTGTGAGCACATTCGTGGTCTGTGGCAGGACATCTGTCCGTTTATGCTTGGCAACATCAGTGAAAAAAAAAGAAGTTTTGTTTGGCCATGTTGTTTTATTGTTCGCCAAGTTAGTGTTTGTAAATGTGAGGTTAAAAAAACAAACCTTCTTTCTCTGCCTCTGATAAAGACACAGAGCTTTACCAAAATCATTTACTTAGATCTCCATTAGCTTTGGCAAAGGCCATTGCTATTCTTCCTGGAGTCTACACTCACAATTAGCGCTCCATCGCAGTGCAAAGACACAAAAAACATCACGCCACAAACACAAAGACAACGTCAATATCCACAACAACTCGCCTACAAGACGAAAACAAAATAACTAAACTAGAACAATACAAACAACATACACATATGACTGGACCTTATTCATTTTCATGGTGTAGTTATAGTTCTGAAGTAATCAGATGTTCAAATATTAACACATTCAACATAATTGAATTAATTCACAGAAACAATACCGAACACTTAAGCAGACTTCAGATATTTCAAGTAAGTCAGACAAACACTGATTGATTTTACAAAGTAGCTTCACCTAAATAAGGAGCTGTCTGACTAATAAATGTTCTTTTACTTGATCCTTAAATCTGTATTTGTTTTGTTCTTGATCCTGCAGCAAAAAAAAAGCTGCTAAACCTTTTAAGAGATGCACTAATTTTTAATTTATGCGGATTTTCCTTCGGTTGGTTTCTTTAAATTCTGTGCATACCTTTGTTAAATGTATATAACAATGAAGAATAAAAAGAATCAGAAAAAAACTTTGGATAAAACACACCAGAGAAACTTCTTTGTGCTTTCTTTTCATTGCATTTAAATATTAAGACAAAAACATGAAACCACTTTCCTGAATCTGTAAATATATTCTTTAAACTTTAGAGCAACCAGACAAACTATGCAACCTCTGCATGTTGCATGAAGGTGAAATTTGCAGAAAATTTTGTTCTCGGTTTTGCAAGAAAAGAATCCTATAAAGCACATGCAGCTTCGTTTTCATCAAACTTTGACATTTTGTTTGTAATTTGGTGGTAAATTTGATCCAAAGTTTACTGTTGCTCTACTTTCCTCTGTGTGAATTAAATCCTGAATTTATCTGCAAAGATTTTGAGCTTCACAAACCGCAGGGCTACTGTGCCGAATTGTTTATACGCATGTCTTTCACCGAGCCTCTTTTCGGCTTTAAGGAACCTGTCAGCTTGTCGGCGGAAACGAACAGATTTGGATGTTTGCGGCGTTCTCAGTAAAGGAGTGCCACTTCTGTTGAACGTGACTAATGATTCCCTGTGAAACCAAAAATGACACAGCATGACATTATCCCTGACCTGTTATTAAGTTTCAGTTATTAGAATAATTTTGAATCACTTAACATACCAGAGATGCAGCGTGGGCGTAAAAGTCTGAAACCAGGATATCCTGAATCCCTGAGACACCTTCAAAAACACCTCCATGAATAATCTCAACCAGCACCAGCGCTGCTCCCCAATAAATGAACCATAACTGGAACTGTTGTGTAAATAAAAGCTCCCATGTGCTGACCTAAACGGACGTGTTCTTGTTTGAAGATTTTTGTCTGAATATAACCTCCAGTCAGCGATCTGCAGCCTGTTTTACACACATACTCTTAGAGCTGCGGCGTGTTGTATAACAGGATGACTGAAAAGCCGACTAACTGGTAAGTCCACAAGGGGAGAAAAGTTTCTTTGCTTTGGCTGGAGCGCAAAATTTGCTGCTCCTATTGTGAGTACATAAAGGTTAACTCACCCCTGTGTTTAATTAAGCTACTAATACTTAACAGTCGGTATTCAATTCATCTGACAACCACCAAAACTCACAAAGAAGAGGCTTAAGCTGCAGAAAAGATAAAAACAGGGGAACACATGCTCACTGGAGCGCTTGTCTGAATAAATAAGGGCATTATTACAACAAAGTGTTTCTCAGTTTCCTTCCCAGAGCGCAGAAATCCCGGATTCAAACAACATACCGACCAGCTTTAAGACTGACAGAATAAAGGTTACAGTCTTCAAATGTTTCACTTCTTGATAAACTTCATCAAAAGCAGATCGATCTGTGTAGTTTAGAGGAAAAAACTGAAGGCGCCTACCTTTCTGCTGTAGAGAGAAAGCCGCTTCGTCAGGTCTGAACACGAGTTGACATAGTTGTTCCTCTTTATACCCGCTCCACGCCTTCCTCCTGTATCTGATCCATGGCCTGAAGGGGAACAGGCACACCTGAGCCTGAGATCAGGAGTGAGTAACGCACTAAAAGCTAAAGCTTACAGTTTGGGAACCAATGAAAACCCAACAATGATGGGGAGGAGAGGATATTCCCAATCTGACATTCATGTGGAAAAAAACAGGAGTATCACCCGTGACTCAATCTGTGACAGATCAGGTAATGTAGAAAATGTAGAAAAAACAGATTTTTTTTTTACAGCAACAATTCAATAAAATCATTATGAACCGAGGCGAACATGGATCTCTTTTGTTTTATTCTAATTTAAATTATGTGTATCTCTTCTTCAAGTAGAAATCATGATTTTTAAACTGTTTGAAAAGCAAAAACACTGTCCTGCTGTAACTCTGAGCATGCGGTTAGTGATGCAACTACAGCAGGGGTGTCAAACTCAACCACAGCAAGGGCCATAATCTGGATTTAGGTCTAACCTGAGGGCCAAAGAGGGTCAACATTTCACCAAAACTGTCAACCTCCTTTTCAAAAAATATATAAGAAAAACAGCAACGATTATAGATCATTTGGAAATTCAAAAAAGATAAAAAGATACGTTTATAGGCAATCTGAGATAGAAAAATTTACTTTATTTTAATTTTTTTATTCTATTTTAATTATATTAGTTCAAAAGATCAGAGCATGATATTAAAAATAGAAAAATAATGCTTTTAAAGAGCAAATACACGAGGAGAACGTTAAAATCAGGTATAAAAAGTCAAAATATGATTTAAAACTTAAAATTGGAATCTAAAGTATAAAAATAAGTCTAAATACTGAGTTGAACAAAATCAAAGCATGAAATAAAAAATCCAACCATGTTTGACTTGTAATCTTGAAATGCAAAATTGAAAACATGAAATAAAACATCAAATATTTTTTCCCCACATTCTTGACTATTTATCAAATCTTCCTTACTCTTTAATTTCCTAGATTTCTGTGGCTTAATAAGAGCATTTTAAATAAAGGTGCTAAAGTTTACATTATCATACTGGAGGAAATCTGCAGACTTCATACTGGTGGGCCAATAATAATACAAATATGATCTGATCTTGTGGGCCAGATATAATTGTTCCACAGGCCAGATTTGGCCCCCGGGCCTTGAGTTTGACATCTGTGAACTACAGCAATAAAGTTCCCTCAGTTTCAGTGATAAGCAAATTCCCTCTATCTGTCTGTGTGTTATCAACTCTGAATCATCATGTCCTGATAAAGTCACGAGACTCGGTCACGTATTTGTTTGTTTGTTTGTTTGTTTGTCTGTGAACAACTTTACAGAGAAAGTAACAGACAGATTGACCTGAAATTTTCACCAGAGGTGTGTCTCAGCCCCAGGAGGATCCCATTACATTTTGGTGGTGATCCGGATCGCCTTCTGGATCCAGGAATTTTTTAAAGGATTCTTTATCATTGTGAGATAGGGCAAATTTTGGAATTTTTGCATTTAACTCTATAAAAATGTCCAGAGTCTTTAGTAAAAAATGACACAAAGGGATCTCAATGAGTTTTATGAGGTGTCAAAGGTTGATCCTGATCCAGACAAAATTCTGGATACTGTGATCCAGAACACACAAAAATCAGGGTGTTGTTGGAATTTTCAATGCTGAAAGATAACCAATGGGCGGCATAGTGGTGTAGTGGTTAGCACTGTCGCCTCACAATAAGAAGGTCCTGGATTTGAATCCTGGTCAGGGCATTTCTTGTTTTAGGAACATTATGAACAGTGAACATACCAGTTTAAACACAAATAAAAGTTAATAAAAGACACGTAACAGTAAAAGTTTTGGTGTGAATCACAATATAAGGGGGGACATGAGCTGCTTGGCGGAGGTCTGCGCTCTCTGAGTGCTTTTCTAGTTTATTATCATCCATGGCTGATGACAGGATGGTGATGGAGCCTGTTTGTTGTGTACTACCGCTAGATGAACACCAGGTGTCAGAGTGTGACTGTGGCGAGTGTCCAAGCGTCACATCTGCCTTTGACTTTTTTCTGAATCGATCCCAAATCAATGTGGCAGAGAGCACTTTTTAGTCTCACAACTGAGCAAGAACGAATGAGTTTGCTAAAAACACAAAAACACAGAAGAGGAGACGCTGAAGCAGCACTTTTGGTGTCTGTCACTTAGATTCAGTTCATGATTTGGTGACAGACGCATATCAAGTGAAAACCGCAAAAGTAAATGAGTGAAATAAGGCACTGAAGTTGAGCATTCAGGACAATTTTTGATGATGATCTCAAAAAAATAAAATAAAATAAAATAAAATAAATAAATAAAATAAAATAATTAACCCGGAACTTCTTTCCTGACCTCTGGCTCTCATCATGCCGGCACATGCTGATCAATTAGCTAACACGTGGAGAAGATTACCACAAAAAACAAACATGCAGCCTTTTCAATCTCACATGCTACGTGATCTAGTCTATCATTCTACCTCTGTGTTGTATATCTGCATACGTGTGTTTCTACATGCGTGGTTTCTGTCTCCTTTCATCTTCCTGTATGAATGGTTAGCATTTTTAGCATTCACACGAAAAGGGGGTGACGCAGCAACATCATTTCCTGCTCAGTCACTGAGCCAAATTTCAGCTCAAAACGGTTCTCCTCGTTTGCTGTCGCTTATACCGACCAAGATGACCGTGCCTGTGGAACTTTTGGAGCTGAAAAGTAAGTTTCAAATCTGTCACATGACATGAGCAGCTAGAGAGGTTTTGGCAAGCTTTGTTAGGCAGAGGATTCCCCCGGCTGCATTTTGTTGAGGTGTAGGCGTTAGACGTGAGTTTTGTCAGCCGGAGAGATTCTCCTCAAGAAATGCTTGAGAGTATTTGTAGTTTTACTCTTTGTTTTGCACTTTAAGGTGGCCAAGGAGGATACAGCCAGGAAAGTGGGTATGTCTTTTTCTTTTACATCCATTTTATGAGATTTATCTGCGAGTCTCCCCCCTCTCATGTCAAGTACTGCTTCAGTTACATTCATCCAACTTTTCTGATTTATATCTTTCCTAATCTGTCTCTCTGTAAATACCGGCATGCTACATCGTGTTTTATTGCTGTTACAGTGAGGCTGGTCTCTCTTCCAACATGAAACACACTCACTGAGGACTACAACGACAGCCCTCTGCCCATGGTGGGAAAATGCAGCAGCGTTAAAACAATCCCTAAAGAGGAACCAGCTGTCCTTGAGCGTACTAAAAGGATGGAAGAGCTTCTCTCAAAACTGACATGGGCTGAGGAAAACTACCCTCAACCTCAAAAGCCCCAAAGAAACGAATCTGCCGTCACCACTGCACCAAAAGCGAGACCAGTGTCTCATTGCCCAGATGAGGAAGTGGTCAAGACTTCATGGGAAGACGCCATTTTTGATAAGGCGCCATGTGCTGCCTCAAACCCCGGCCACATGGCTGAAGATATGGATCTGAAAAGGCGATTAAAACCAAATTCTCCACCACGGCGTCCTCTCAAACAAAGAAACAACAACCGGCGTGTGAAAAGATCTGCTGCTGCTGTCAGAAAATGTAAGTCAGTAAGATTTCATGCAAATCTTGTTGTACACGTGAAAAAAGAGGATACACATATATATAGCATCCATGTAGCAGAAGGGCCTGTTAGATCTATGCCATTCAACCTTATCACAATTATGTAAAGAGTGTCACTACAGTTTTTTTTATGATAAAGTGTTAACCCTCGGGGCATCTTGGGGACAAAAGTGGCCATTTTGGGTGTTTTTTTTTTGTTTTTCTCTCAGTAACCCGGTCAGTTTAAAGGCTAGCTGTATGAAATTTTGGCATTTTTTTTTTTTCATATTTATTTCCTTAATTCCAAAAGCCTGTGTACTGGAAGTGTTTAGAGTAGGAGATTTGCATCACACCGACACCTGTTACCCTTGTTGACTCCCATTATGACCACATATTTGTCATACGCTATAATCCTAACATATTTCAATGCCATTTCTATTTATACCTAATAGATCTAAGCTTTTACCTTCAAAATTTAGGGAAAATGTGTTTTAGGTGTAATGACCCGCTTTAACCACCAGAGGCCATTACATAAAGTTTTGGGGAAATTTCAGTGAAGGCCTGGGTTTCTTACCTCGCAAAATGCATAGAAATAACACAGCTAAACACCATAAATTGGCCTTGGTCTATTAGCAGCGATATAAAATAGTGGTTTGAATATGAATGAGGAAAAAAAAAAAAGCATCAAGAGAGCCCTTTTGACCTGGGATTTTTGATTTTCCTCTAAAGGGTCCATCTGTAAGGGAATAATCAGCCCTCCTGACTCTCAAATGAATCCTCAAAATTCAACTCAGAAACATGCTTCTCATTCTCCTCAGAGTACTGCAAGACACACACACACACACACACACACACACACACACACACACACACACACACACACACACACACACACACACACACAGTCAGTTTTTACGCACCTGCAAAAACATGCTATTTACATATCCGACAGGAATGCGGAGGCTTCCTTTTGCCCTCGAAAAAAATCAAATTTCAAACACAACTTGACTGCTCATTTCTCCAAAAGACAACCATGAAGCGTCATCTAAACCTGAAGCAGGCAGTTGGTGCATGTGTACAGTAACCTGAGGGGAGTGAGGTGACTGCTTCTGAGGAGAACATGAGCAGTGAAGATTCACCTTGGAGCCAGGACAGGGATGTGCACATGATAATACAGGGGCAGGGGCTCAATTTTTTTCCAGTCTGTTTTACTTTATGGAAATTAATGTTAAATTAAAAAAACAAAGTATTAATAGAAAGGTAATGACTGTCCTGTGTAGGTGACAGTGATATGCAATAGCCATTTCTTTTGTGTCAACAATCTATTGTCAATATGACATGATCAAGATGGTAATATTTCAAACACAGATTACCTACATGCTGAAATTACTATCTATCTATCTATCTATCTATCTATCTATCTACCTGTCTGTCTGGCTGTCTGTCTGTCTGTCTGTCTGTCTATCTATCTATCTATCTATAAACTTTATTTCAGACCCAATAAGTCCATATCATACAAAATTATTATTATTATTATTATTATTATTATTATTATTATTATTATTATTAACTTGTTAGCCCACACAATAGTAGCAAAGTCACAATAAACTTTATATCTAAACCTGGAACCTGTACTTCAGACCTGTAGTGAGGAAAATGTGATCCTCCATAAACACGAAGCATTTGTCTATTTTGTACAGGATTTCCTGTCTGGCATGCTCTGCTCTGTGCTGAATTGATGCACCGTGCTCTCTCTCTGGCAGCTCTGTGACAGAGTGGAGCCGCCAGAGACAGAGAAGTGGCAGGCTCATCTCACACAAAAACCCGTATTACAAGAAAATGGGTAAGGTAGAATACCGTGGAGTTTTTGTACCACCGTTTTGTTTTTTTACATCCCTAACAGGAATTAATTAATGTTATAAAAAAAAACAAAAAAAAAAAAACGAGGGCACCTTTTAATACAAGGCAAAAAGGGCAGGGGCTCAAGCACCCCTAGGGCTCTATGTGTGTGCATGAGCCAGGAGGATTCAGGACAGGGATAATGCAATTTGAGAAGGGGAAACAAAGAGGAGAAGGAGAGGTTTGAATCTCTCATGTGCCAAAAATTATTATGCACTAAAATCAATATCTTGATCAAAAATCTTTATCAAAAATATTTAACTTTGCACCTCATTTCTGGAAATATTGCATATTTTGTGTTTTTCCCATTAAAAAAATCAGGGGTTCTTACGACAAAAGACACTAAAAACCTAAAAAAATATAAAAAAATTATAATAAACTTAATATCTATGGATAGGTCTGGAGTTGTTGACAAGATATAATGCTTTAAAGTAAAAAAAAAAAAGAATGTATAAGGTTTTTAATGCACTGTTATACCGGCCACTTGTGGCCACAAGTGTCAGTAAATTTTAAGGGGTGCACAAGGGTTAAACTGACATGATTTTAAGGTTGTAAGTTATTACTTTCATAATGGAGGACACATTTTGATTTGATTTGTCCATATTTTCAGGGTTCCTGCTCTTTTTGATGGCATCACATGTTCCTGTCTCTGAGGGACTACCAGGTACGTGGTGTACACAGTAGGGATGGGTGATGTGGGCCAAAAAAATTTAGCACGATAAGATTTGCTATTCTGGCGATAATGATAAAAGTCCTGATATAGTAATATATTAAAAATATTATAATTCCAATCTATATTTTTTAATTCATTTAGTCTTGAGAACACCATTGTGCATCATCAAATAAGATATTTGACCACAAGTTTGAGTGGAAGGTTATGGAGAAAACTAATGACATCAAACACGTCTGACGTCTGAAATGTGAAAACATTTTCAACATTTACTGAAAACTCTTATTGCACGGAGTGAACAGCAGCAGATCCACTCTCCGGTGTCACGCAGACCTGATTGCGCTCGTCCCTCATGTGGAGCCTCGTTCAGTAACGAGCTGCTCAGAAACGTCCTCTTTATTATCTTCGGCCATGTTTGTTTGTTATTCTGCTCTGTGTGGGCTGTGGTTGCGAGTCCGTCGCTCGCGCTTATTGTCATCAAATTGCATTTCTCTTATTTAACATTAGTTGGCTGTGCAGTGTTTTCTGAGGCTGCGTGGTGACATGTTGTTTCAAAATCACTGCAGTGTAAACACACAGCTGAAATGGAACAAAAATAATGCTGCCTCACTCATTGATACACTGACCTTTTAGATAAGGCCGACCTTCGATTTATTTGATTTCAGACTCGGGCTTTGTGACTTTGATGTTTTTGACTCGGTAACATCATGTGTTTGTGTAAAACAAGAAGAACAGCAGACAGATGTAGAACTTGTAAGTTAAAGACAGTCTGTGATCTTTAACTTTTGGTCATTCACAGCACTTCTCACTGTTATGGACAAGGAAATTCACACAGTTTTCATATCAAACGGGCCTCAAGTTTCCCTGAAGTTTTGCTTTTACTCTGCATGACTAAAAATTCTGTTTTTATTCTATTTTTCTTATTTTATCTGCCAAATGCTCAATCTGCAGAATAGCAAAGGTACTGTTTATTTAAGACGGCCCGTCTGTTGAGTCAAACTGCAGTGATTTCATAATTCAGTGTCCCGAAGACGCTAACTTTTCACATCTTTTGCTGATCAATGTTTTTTTCTAGGTTCGACCGAAATGAAGTGTTATAACTGCACGGACTTGACCAGGTGCTCAAGTACCGACACAATATATGACAAAGAAAAAAACCATAAGCTGTACGAAAGGGATCAAGGCAAACCGCTCCCAGACTGCAATGGTACCACTACACCTACTGGCAATAACATCTGTGCAGTGTGCAACAACACATCCACCATCCTCATCTACTGCCCGAAGAATGTTACAAGCTTGGATGTGGAGGGTGGTGGTGTCCATATTGAGAACATCTCCTCTGTCTGTAAGTATAACAGAATGAATTTAACACGATTCTGTTTTTGGACATGTCCCAAAGACCACCGCAATGTGATTTAACGATGACATAACTTTGAGTCCTGCTCCCACTGAGTCCATCAGGGTTTAGGGCTTTCTTACCATCGAGAGTGTGGGGGAACTCTTCCCGATCTTGAACCCCTTCTGTTTGTGGACATCTCTGCAGACAGGGAATTACCCATAGTTCATAGTATTCCAAGGAGAAGCCTGCAAGTATGGGGGAAAAAAAGAGTGCCATGAGACGTAAATTTAAAAATAGATTTAAATAAGGAGGCCTCAACACTGACAGTTAGAAAATGAGTTTGTAAGTATAAATAGAAAAAGAATCTCTGTAGCCACAAATTAAATACACCTTTAAACAATGTCAGTGTCTAAAACATGAAGACAGATCGAAGGTTGTAGGTTTTCCCTCTTCTTCTAAATTTATATACTGTAGACTTCACTTACAAGCTCTTCACTTGTACTGTAAAGATAATATTTAGATTTGATTATATTAGATACAACTTTATTTTGGTAAGGTTCCTTCAAGAAAATTCAAAGTATAATAATAATTATCAATAAATATTATACATCATATTATATTATATTATAATTAATATGTGTGTTTGACAGGTCCACAGCAGCAGACCCCTGGCCATGGACACGGGGTAATCGCTGTAGCCGTTGGTAAGTATTACACAAAAACAGTGAATGTCAGTTTATGGTAACAGTAATACACGTGATAAGCTTTAGTGACGCCTGATTGATTGTTGTCTTGTCACAACATCAAATTTTCTGTTTTCATTTTCAGTCGTCCCTTTGATTTTGCTTGTGGTGGTCGGGGTGCTCCTGTACTGCGTAAGTGTGACTCACTTCTTGGCATCCATCAAAATAACATGAGTCATTGGAGCAGTATAATTTCTAACCACATATATTCTGGGATTATTGTTTGTTTGTAGACAGTAAGTCAAATTAAAACTTATTTTTGTATTCTTGACTTTCAGTGCTACCAGAAGAAGAGGTATTTATTCTCTCATTTGATATATTCCATTTCTATATTGCCATTATTTTTCTATTTCTATAGTTAAAAAAAACTTTTCTGAGACAAAATCATGAATGCTTTTTACTTGAATCTTGGTCATGGCAGTATTACACAGTAGTTTCAAAAATATTTACTGCATTATCATATTAAACAGATATCAGAGGCCTTTAAGTGTGCTGTGAATATTTTCTACCACAGTACCTTTACAGGAAACACTAAATTCATGTTTTTCTTTTTTTTTAGGGCAGCACAAAATGCAGAGGTCATTTGATCAGCGGTTCACCGATACATCTATCCTCTTCATAGGATTTTTCTTTTAACTGTCAGTCAATGCATTATCATACAGTTATTATTCATTACACTGTGAAAGTTGTCAGTGTTGACATAAATATTTTAATAAATTTTATCATGGAGATACATAGCTGTTTATTTTAGTCTGCTTTGTAACCTATGAAAAACTCCTCACAGCAGCTTTAAACAGGGCACACATGAAAAGATGAAAGTGTTGATCCTGATTATCCAGTGGTCCTTTAAGAAGCAAGCATCTTCTTTTACTCAGTTTGGGTAACGTCTCCTTTAAAAGCACATTGATTAAAAAAAAAGTTTTTTTTTAAAGAGATATTAGTGCTAAAAGGATTTTGTGCAGTTTACAAATGGGTGTTATCATTTATATGTCTGTAATAATAATTTGTTTTGATAATCAAAGCTGCAGAATCGCCCAATAAATCTTAAAGTCACCATTGTCATGCTTGTTTGGGTGGTTCAATGCATTTTTGCTCATTATTCTTCCATATATTTTGATTCAAGGGTTTTAAATGCATAAAGGTTAGGTTTTCACAGTGGGTGGAGTGTGATCTCAGTTATGTTGACACTGTTCCATTCTTGTTCCTCTGATATTCACGCCTGCATTTCTCTTTTACCAAAAGAAACAGAAGCACACTTGAGCTCCCACAACCAGGTTACGTATTTACAAACAACACTTTGACAGAGGTATGAAAGTGTGGGCGTACCATCAGTGAGCAAAACGATAGTTTAAGAATACATTTCTTTATCTGTCAATATTTTCTGTGTTACATGACTTCTTTTAATAAACACAGACCAACTCTGTTATTGTCTCTATCATCTCCTGAAAGACATTACTCCTATAAGGAGGTTTACTTTGCAAGTTCAAGTGAACTCTCCACCTTCCAAAGTCAGTTTATCTGCAGCAACGCTAACAGGGACCAAAACAGGAAAATGCACAAGCTGAGTTGTTTATCCTACAAGAATAAGAGAAAACATGAAATGAAGGAGGTAAATAAGAAGTCCCATGAAGGCTGGTTACAGGCAATCGTGTTTACAGTTGATCTCTTGTCAAGAAGGCAAAGAAGGCACCCACAGGGTTTAAATATGGTCTCTGTTGCCACCCTGTGGTGTAAGCTTTGTCCTTAATGGCTCCAAGATGGATTCACATCACAGAGCTCTGACTGTGAAAATGATGCAGTAAAATGCTCCGAAAAGGGAGTTTGTAACATACCAATCGGTCAGGATCTAGATAGAAAATCTCCTCCTAATGAAGCAACAGTCTCCCATGAGGAATCTATCTGTGCTGCAGCCATTTCCTGAGAAGATGAAGAAACGAAACTCAGGGATGGATAAAGTGAACGTGCTAGAAAACCACAACACTCTGAGAAGACAGGAGATGCCGGCAGTTTGAGTTTGGTGTCTGTCACTCGGGTTAATCTTTTCGGTTAGACACAAAAAAAGTTACATTCTTTATGTATGAAAGCTTCACATGACGGACTCAGTCAGCAAGGGCTGTTTTTAATTTCACTTTTGGTTTCTTCAGGTCATGGTTTATGCTGATCTATAGCTATATATGTGCTACAACAGAACTTAGACTTATTGATGTATTTATTAAGGAAAACTCTTATTGTAAAGGGTTGGAAATGCTAAATCAGTCTTTCCTTGGTCACGCCTCCACCTCTGAGTCAGAATGAGGAGGTCCTTAATGAGTTCAAATGGGAGGAGATCCAGCTCCATGTCATTTTCTTGATAACTCTTCTCCTTGCAGCCATATTTTCTCTGCCTTTTTGGACTGAAGCCACACTACCAATGAAAAGATACTTCTATTCACAGCCGCTGGGTAAGTTTCATAATTTTTAATTCCACTGCATCACGAGAGCAGCAGAAGAGATACGGGTGATCTGCATGTTTCATCATTCATTTATTCAGCTTTACAAGTCAGTCGGTTTCCATCTTTAAACTCGACTATTGTGGAGGTTAAAGCTCTTTAAAAAATTAGTTACAGCAGTAACCAAGTTGTGATTCTTTCAACGTCTTGAAACCCTGCCACCTCATATGTGGACATGATGTTTTTGGTCTTCCTCTGCTGTAATGATACATTCTGATAAACTCAGACCCGTTGGCCGGTGTGTCTACTGCCAAACACGAGCCTCTCATATGAGGAAACTGGGACTCAAAGCGAGACCTGGATCAAACCAGTACAGCCATTTTGTTTACCGCCTGATTCCATATCTAAACTGGTTACAGTAGTTAAAGGATTATTGGCATTTTTTGCATAAGAATGGTTGTGTGTTAAAATTTCATCAAACAGGTGTAAAATCATAAGAATAATTCACTCCATTTAGATTTTATGTGCTGAGGGATAATTAAGGGATTTCTCTTGTGTGTGCTCTTATAGCGCTGACCAGCTGCCTGGTGTATGTGTGAAAGTGGCCTAGACCCTTGTGCCATAGAGGGCTCAGCTCGCAACTCCTGTGCTACAGATAAGCATAGGGGGTACGTCTTCAAGAGCAGCGGACTGTTTTAAGCTTGAGCCTGTTGATTTCTTTATCATTTCCTTGAAGTAATAATCACCATATTAATCATTTTGCACTGAAGACGCGGTAGTTCTTCTGTCTTGGCATCTCTGATTGCATATCCGTGAAGAAATATTCATAAATGTTGTTCCTTGAGCTGTGTAACCCCGCTGTAGTCCGTAATGGACTGGCCTGAGTTGTGTTTAGTCTCTTTGCTAAAGAAATGAGTCAAAGTTAAAAAGATTTTTGGTGTCTAGTACTATGGCTGTGACCCTATATGTCCTGTTGATGAAGTTAGGTGCTGTTCTGAGCATTATTTGTGGCTATAGAGTGGCGTTTTGGTTGAGGTTTGTTTATGGCTCCTCAGACCGCTGTGTATTGCTATCGTGCGGTAGTTACCAAAGTTGGTATAACTAGAGAAGCAAGCGGTCGGCAACATCCATCTCTTGAGGGGGTGGCTAACTCGGTGTTATGGTGTGTTTGACCCTAAATTAATTGTACGCCGGAATATCCCTTTAAGACAACTTTCTTAAGTCTTCTTGAGGTTGCCCTCCGTTCTTTTTTTAAGAATTATCTTCCTCACCGATGAGCATATTAGTAATATTCAGATATCTTTAATTCAGCTCAATTATTATTATTTTCTTCTTTCCCTTGCAGCTTTAATTGGACTGAATTTCATTTGGCGCTTGCTTTCAGTCTACATTCTGTCCAAAATCTCTGTGGCTTTGAAATTTTCACCTTTTATTTTTAAATTACAGAAAAATAAAAACACTTTTTCAGAACATCCATCCATATGAAGTGATGATGCAACTACTAGTAGTAGTTGCACGGGCTACTGCTTCAGTGTATTACTGATCTTACTCATATTCAGTTCACACATCACTGTATAACTTTGCACAGGAATGCCCACACATGCACACATCACATTGACACAGATGCAACAAACACAACAATAAATAGGGGAGATTAGGGTAAGATGAGCCAGTTTTAAATCAATAGCTATCATAGTTTTGTCTCTAACTACTGTATCTGCATATATTTCAAGATGTTATTCATCCCTGCAAACCAACAGAACGAGTGTAAACAGAACTGTCTTGATAATATAGCATGCTAAAAAAAAGTGGTCTCCTATGGTCAACTTACCCCGTGTATGGGGTAAGTGGACTCACCTTTTCTCTCCCTAATAACAGTCACATCTTCACATTCATGCTTATTTTTATCTACGATACGCTATTCAACTGGTACAATAATTATTTTTTATTATTATTTCATATAACTGCTAAAAAGCTGTTTTTTAAAAAGCCATTTTAACGTGAGAATGTCTTTAAGTGATTGAGAACATTCACAGATCTGTATTTTTGAAAAGAAAAAGTAAAACATTCCAACAATCTGAACTGAAACTCTGATCCTCTCATCAGACTCCTTTACTTTCTCAGTAACCCCAGAACCACTATTATGACTTTATGGGCTTTTGGTGGACTTGAATGCGAGGTTACATGATCTTTTTTGGTCTGAACACAATTCTAATAAAACTTATGACAGACTAAATTCACTTTACAGAGTGAAAAATGTTCTTTTGTAAATAAATGTCTAATCCCTTCACTCATGTGCTTCTAACCTTCACAGACTCCATGAATTGATGCCCATTTCCTAAATATTTGGTCACATGATCAATTTCTTTTACCATTTCAAAGCAACAGGGGGTGGCTCAACTTACCCCACTCTCCCCTACATGTGCTTCGTGCACGCTACGCACACACACGAACTCCCAAACACGCACTAGTTTTCCCATTAACTACAGCAGGTGTATCACAGTTTAGTTAGAGCAAACATGGACGTGAAATCAGAACATTTCTCTCTGACCTTAGTGGACACAGCTGCTCTTTGTTACCATGCTGGTAGGTCTACCGGAGGGTCGATATCCTGTTTTAATCCAGAATTGCAGGAGCGAAAGTCGACAAAGTGAAGTCAAGGCAGGTTTTCCGTCTGCAACCTGTAGGTAAACGGATTCAAGGTTAAACGGATTCAACTTAGTTTTACTCATAGACTGTATATACTAAGGACAACTTGGTTCCGCCTACCGCCTGTATACGGATTTGAAGCCAAAAAGCTCTCGGGCTGTGTCCGAAATGGCCTACTACTCCTACTACTCCTACTAAACCCGCCTCTGAATTGAGTAGGCAGTGCGTTCACACTGTACAGTATGCGAATTTTGTGTATGCGAGAAATGCCCGGATGTATACTCAATCGGCTTCGATTTCTGAGAGTGCAACGGAGCTTGCTTCACGTACTGCTTCTGCCCCACAATGCATTGCGCACCTCAACTGGTAATATGGCCCTCCTTCCCGAGGCTGAAAAGAAATGGCATGTGATTGCAATAATATATATATATAGATAAACAGTATTTAGTCAGTATACATTACACAATTTTTATCATTTTATCATATTTTGATCTTTTTACCAGATTTATTTGTATTTTAAATTAGGATTATAGGTAATGTTTTTAACTATTCGTATAAATTGACTTTATTTATTTAAGTGTCTATTAAAGATGTATTTATTACATCAAGTTTGAGCATCTTCTCATCTCTGAATGCATCATCAAAGTGGTTGCTCATATTAAGCACAGACCTCTGAATAATAAAAATTATTATTGGTCGAGAGCACATGATTCAGAATATACAAACGGGGGAGTTTCCAGTTGAAAATCTATGTGAGCTTTACTAATTCTTACTTGTGGTTGAAAATCTGATGGTTTCTGAAATTATCATTGTACATGAAAAGAATGTAGTCGGGAAATTATGAATTTGCCAAGGAATAACCGAACGAGGTCATAATAATTATGTTGTGTGTTGGTCATTTTGCAGCCCTCTGCTGCTCATCACACGCCTAGCAGGTGGTGTATAGCATTATCACCATGGATACACAGATGTTTGTGTGATTTTTTTCATCCACTGCCGCCCGGTTTGTGTCGTGTAGATGTTGATTATGAAAACACTTCGCAATAATTTGGAAACGTGAAGGGGGAGCTGCTGCTGCCCGGTGTTTACGGTAAATAGACGCAAACACCGACCAAGTGGACGCTTCGGTCTCCGAAAACGCCGAGACAAATTTACAAACAGCCACTATTTCAAACAACTGGGCTCATAATCGTGATGTAAACACTTACTTTCTCGCTAGAAAAATTATTATTATTGAATGAATTTATATAATTTGTCCGGAATGCAGTCGTTCTGTGTAGCTTGTGGTAGGACTATTTAAATTTTCCCGGCGCTGCGTCCGGCCGGCACGAAATGCATTCTGGGGTATTTAGTATGTATGTGTGTAAACGCTCGGGCAGCCGCGGCATACTCAAATCATCTTTGAGTAGTCAGTAGGCAGTAGCTACTGCTTGAGTAGGTAAGTAGATAGTAGGCAGTATGCCATTTCGGACACAGCCTCGGTATTTCCGAGATTTTTCTTCATTTCCTGAAACCAGCTGCGCGGTAGCGATGCGCGCATTCGGCCGCGCAGTCGCCGAGAGTCGCTGTGATGACGCTCGGCTCAAACAGCGTATCCCCCGGGAGAGCAACGCAATCTCTGAACGCCCATAGGCTGTACCAAGTGTCAATCATAGAAAACATGAACCCCCTAATAACTTTTAAAAACGGAGCTTCACAGAAAAAAGAGGACTGGAGCTCAAACCAGTCTGACTGTAACTACATGTCAACATCACAACCGGGGGGGGGGGGGGGATTTGTGTTCTGTGAAATAAATTTCTAAAGTTTGTCCACAGCTCCAAAAGCTTTACTGGCGGAGGTGGGATTTATGACCTATACTGCAGCCCATCAACAGAGGGTGCTGTTCTCGGAGTGGCTTCACCCAGCGAGGAGGCAGATGGCGTCCATTCTATATACAGTCTGTGGTTTTACTCCTCACATATTTTCTGGGAGCTACAGAGTCCACTGAGTATATAAAAAAAAGTAAAATACTGCTCAATCTGGTGTAGTCGGCAGCTATTTGACCAAAGTAACCATTAACGAGTTATTTAAAATTCGTCACTGGTAATAATGTTATCATTTTTTTAAGTGACTGCTTACACTTCTTATTAACGCAAACATTGGTGAATTTGCGGTCACTAATCTGCTGATCGATCACGGTATTCTGGTTCGGCTCCTTTCTATTGTGTTGATGGGAGGGAATGCGCATGTGCAAGTTAGTAACGGGAGTCAGTGGAGGCCTGAGGGAAACACGTGATCGATCAGTAAATTTAGAAAAAAAAAACTCCAAATCTACATTTTACTGGAGCTAATAATTTTTTTAATTGGTAAAAATATCGACCACATAAAAAAAAAAAAAACTTAACCTCAAATTTAACCGTAATCCACCGTTCTCTACATGGAGAACAACCCTATTGCCCCCTATTGACCAACCGCCAATGGTATTTCTATACCCATAGGACACAGAGCTGTAGACTTTCTAATGGAGGAAACATTTTAATCTGCTTTATCTTTATTTCCAGGGTTCCTCCTTTGTTTGGTGGAATTTACTGTCCTCATCGCTCAGGGCCTCTCTGGTATGCAGTTACAAAATTGCTCAATGTGCAAAGTTGTCTTGCATCTTTGTCTGTATTTGGTTTAACTGTGTTGAAAAGGAGCTTGGAAGACATGTAGGTGTTTCCATCAATGGTTTTTACTCTGCTTTGTTCACAGTGAAGTGTTTTACGTGCACGGATGCAAAAAGATGCCCAAACTTGAGCTCCATATACGGCCCAAAAAATTATCTTCTATATGGCAGGGATCCCAACCAAATGTTCTCAGCATGCTCTGCTCCCTTCCCACCAGCTCTTAATAAGAGCTGTGCTGTGTGCAGTGAGACGACTAAGATCCAAATCTACTGCCCAGAGGATGTTGGAGACCTAGAGGTAGAAGATAACCTTGGACTCATCCAGAACATCTCTGTCTGTTAGTACCACTTCAATTAATTTACTAAGATTCTCTGCTGTTTTTGGACAGGTCTTGATCGAGAGACATCTTAAAATCTGAGTTAGATAATAACTATAAACACCAGGGCTAAGTATAAATTAGTGTTAATTTTGACAGCTGTTTTAGTTTAAGTTTTAGCCCTAAGATGAAAATAGTTTTGACATTTTTTCATTTTATAGTTTTAGCCCACAAAAACAAACACCTCCCCCAGAAATATTAACTTTCCAAAGAGAGCAGTATTAACCTGTCTCATTACACATTCAGAAACTGTTGAATCTATGTAAACACATGTTGTTGTTCAAAAATACTAACCGAAGAGACAGTTCATTTTTTAAAAAGTGCCCGTTTTGATATACAGTCATAGATATACTGTAGCAATGCTTCTTAGCAACACAGCAATTCCTACATTCACCACAAGCCACCTTCTTATAGGGACAGCATCAGCTGGTAACAGTTTCTATTGTGGTTCTGTCCATGTCTACAGTCAATCCCAGTTTACAGCAGGTTAAATAAATCATTGCAGATTATATATCTGTCTTTCCAGGATGTGCCCAATACGAGTGAATACAAGTGCATAAGAATCGTTAACTTTACTCTGTAGCTATTGTCCACACAAAGCCAGATGATACGTTAACTAGCGACACATGAGCTGTAAGACAAAGTGTCGGAATAGTGGTAATAGAAGTATATCTATTCAGTTAAATCCTCAATCTACCTATAATTGACCCTTACTGATTACACTGATAAGTTGTGTAAACAGTAAACGTAACTGTGCATTTGTGCATTTCAACATCAGGTTCAGTGGTCCACTCCCACACCTCTGGCTATGGAAATCTTGCATTGATCCCAACATTGGTGCGTATCTCACACATGCAGTAATTTACAATTTACCGGTGACAGTCATGTCAGAAGGTTTTCAAATGACTCTCTTCTAGGAATCATTGCTTTTCTTTTTCAGGTCTCACTCTTGCTGCTGTGGTGTCAGGGCTGCTGATCTGTCGGAGTGTGACTTTGTATTGTCACCAACCAAAGTAAACTCAAACACATCTAAAACTCACACAAAGTTCCTTCATGAGTCAGATGCGTACAGTACCTAAACTATCCTGTAGAAGCGGTAGTTGCAGTCTGCCTTTATGTATTTCCTGTTTTGATTACCAGTATCCGTTTTATCAAGTCTCACATTAAACACAATCTAAAGGTGTACTAGTTTGCAAGTTCCATTAATTAATTCCACAAATCTAAGACGCACATGAATTGACTGTTAACTTTTTAACACAACATCTTCACATTTCAATAGGAACTAGGACTGACGGTTATCAACATAATGCATAATCTATATTAAAATGACCTCAGAATATTGAATGCTGCCACATAGATGCGCATAAGAAGTTACCTCCTGTGTTTGGTTTAATAATTGGACTTACATTGAAAAGCTCAAATAAACAGACTCACACAGTTTGCATGAAAATCATAGGAAACCATCAGTATCCCAGTCTGAAGGCCATCATCTGAGACCCATCTCATGTCCCCTATTCTGAATTCCAGCTCCTTTCTTCAGGAGGACAATACAGGGTTTCCATGGGCAGATACAACTGTCATTAACACTCCTTTGTCCCCCCCAGCCTATCAAAGCCTTTGACGTCACCTAGACATGTGTCATGTAATTTATATGCATTTTATTGGGAGACAGATTTTACAGTGATGTAAGTTTTCGAAAATGTGTGAATTCACTGTTGTTTGTTGTATTAGAGCACTGTGGAGTCTAAGGCATATTTTCTTACTAGGACAATAAAGCCTGTCTAAATTTTTAGATTGGTATCAGCTGACGCTAAGGTACAAACCTTAAAGGTAATTTTAAAATGTTATCTGTGAGTTATTGTCTTCATTGATCAACTCCTGTTTTGGTCCAACACTGTTAATAATTGAGTCTTTGTGCCATATTATTAAATTAACAAAATAAAAAGTGTCTTATGATTTAAGTCTGGAGGATGTTGTTCTACTCAGTTTGAATAGCTATATAGTCATTAAAAAAAGTTATTGATAATATTCCAAAATGTCAATTAAACTGTCATGTTTTTTTGTGTGTGTGCGTGTGTGTGTGTGCAAAGTTGACATTTGACTTTTGTGTCCAACAGCTGTGTGAAATAAAACAAAGGTTTAAACATTATAACATCTCCACTTAGATTCTCAGAAACATAATTTAAAAGGTGGCACGGTGGAAAAGATTTAACTTGTGAAAGTCTTAGTCGAACTTTTTTGGGGCTATATATGAGTCACCTTGACCTTGCATGACTGAATGTGAAAGTACTCTCGGTGTAGGCTCTATAGGAAACATCGCAGTATTTGAAGCCGTCAGATTTATCCTTACTGTACGTACTGAAAAAATATCACCACTCCGTTTGAAACCTTGTGATCGTTACAATAATTGTAACTTTCATGAACTAAAGTGAGAGTATTTCCATGGAATTTCTACCATAATATGAGTACCAGGGTGCTACTTTGGTAAAAATATTATGGTATTTGTGATCACGCCATAGCACGTGTATGATGCCATAACACTATGATACACTATGAACTATTTCACTTCATGCACAAGTGCCATTTTACTGTCAAAACATCAAGGTCAAAATTTTTATGGGCCTCTATTTTATGTAACTCAAAACTTCCACTCTAATACCCCTTAAATGCTGTATAAATATGGTTATTTTGAATGTTTCTTATAAATTTTAAAATTATGTACCACAGAGGATAGAAAATTCCTCATCTGGTTGTTGAGAAATATGACCCCTGGAGGTAATAGGAACTGTAAAACGCAGTATCATAAAGACATAAACAGGGTTGTTTTTCTGAGTATGTAAAAACTGAGTCAAAAAGAACTTGGTTCTCAAGGAACAGGTGTGCTACGAAGATGAGCCAGCTTTATATAAAATGATAAATATCTGTAGATTTGAGTATTTAACAGTAAATAAAGGGGTTCAAATTTGCACAATTACAAATGTACATTATATCTTTGGCATCCATGCGTCATACAACAGCAAACTGTAACAGTGACAACTAAACCTCATTATTTAAATAGTTCAAATACTTTATTTCCTACAATGACCCACCTTTATTCTTACATTCAAAGGAAGATTACAGATACATGCGCTATTTTCACTGTTTTCTCCTAGCAGAAACTGTGTCATACTCGGTAACTTGTTACTCAGACATGTTGGCCTGCATTTATCTCTCACCCATGGACACACAGACACACTTCGGTCACCACAGACGGGTTGAACATTAACAAACAAAGCTTTGATAGCGGTATCGGTGCTTGGATCGTACCATCTTGCGGGTGAGCAAAACAATACATTTTGGCTAATTTTCCAAACCATCTCACAAAAACATGTCGACAAAGTTAAGCTTTTTTTGATTTCGGGCATTTTGTGCTTTCACCCAGGCTGAGAGGTCAAATTCGCGGTCGACGAACTTTCAGGGGACCTAAAACTTGTCTACACCCCCGCCTTTAGCTTCCTGTTTCTGAACGCTCACCTGTTTGCTTCGCGGCTGACGTGGGGCGTTCAGGTACTCCCCTCGCAAAGAAAGACACAAAATGGAGCAGGAACTACCTGGCTGAGGAAAAGTGGCAACGCCCGCGCTCAGTGTTATGCATTTTTTGTTTCATTTTCTCTTTTTTTGATATAACTATTTAGATAGGTCGACTGGCACTCGGAAGAAAAGGAATAAACATGTTTTGGACGTTTATCATCGCCGCTTTAATGGCGACAGGTAAGTTAGCCGTTTTTTTTTCCAAACAGGGTGGGCCCTCTTCCGTGAGAAGTCTGTTGTTAGATACTACCGCCGTGACATTAAACACCATACTGGAGATTTTTACGGTTGGACAACTCATTTTCTTTTAATATAGATATTTATACTCATGTCAGATAATGTTAATCAGCTTACTTTTTTTGTATTTTAAAACTAAAAGCATTTAAGAACATTATTGTACCAGGTTAACAACCAGTTGTCTTTTTCCCAGTGATACATATTTAATAAAGACACCAGGTGTCTTATTATTTTGCTAAACAAGGTCATATATTTCCCAAAAGAGGTAAACAAATTATCCCTTTATTGCCATATTTGATACGTACTTTTATGGTACTTCTATCAAATCAATATGATCAACAAATTACTTAAAAAAAACACCTTAATACAGTCCGATAAACGATAAAAATGTCCTCTTGTGGTTTATCAGTTTCCAAAACCATCCAGTGTATGTAATATAATGTAATGGGTTTAACACAAATATAAAGCAGAGACCTCGTGGTTTGCAAAGCCCGTAGAAAACACCGAAAAGTTCTTTAATACTGAACAACAGTTCAGGGTTACAGGGAGGGATGAGGGGGAAGTTTGACTCAAAGCAGGCACACACTTTCAGAGGGTGGGGGATACTTCAGAGAGACACCTTCAGTGAAACTCATAACAGCACCAGAAAAGGTATGATGACATAAATAACTACCACTCATAAATATATACAGTAACAGAGCGCTACGCTTTCCCAGGCAATTGCAAAAATGTATTGAGCCAAACAAAAAATACCTAAAGTACAAGTCTTTATTGTGTTTTCAAAGCTTGGTTTAGACTGCTCAGCTGTTCTCAAAGCATGTAACTCATGCATACCTGTTGAAATTACCTGTCTGTGATGGTCAGGTCACAAACCAGAGCCCGTCTGAGGTGAGTCATTACATACACCCACTCGGTGATACCAGCAGTGGGGAAATGTTTATGATAGCCCACGCCCTCTGAAGATAATCCAGCCTTACTTAAAACTGTTACCTAATATGACTATCGTTCTTATTGTATTCTTAGTCATAACTTTGATTTCATACTCAGTCTTCATTTTTTTTCTCATTCCTCTGTAGAGTCCACCCTGGCCATCTCGGTCCAGACCCCAACAAAGAGGCACATTGTCATCCTCTTCCAACCCGTCACCCTCACCTGTGCCTACCAGACAACAGCCACACAGCCTCCTGTTGTCACATGGAGGTACAAATCATATTGCCGGGACCCCATCCAAGCAGCGTTGAATCCCAGCAGTGCAGAGAACATCCTTTCCCAGAACAACCCCAACTACGACCCCAACATCGAGTGCGCTGACAGCCAGAGGACGGTGCGAATAGTGGCCTCGAAGCAAGGCAATGCAGTCACCCTGGGATCGTACTACCAGGGCCGCAAGATCAGTGTCCTCAACAGTGAGTTTATTAAAGACTAGACCTTCTTATACATCTGTATTGCATTTCAGTATTATAATGCCCACACCATACATGGGCCCTGCACAATCTCCAGGCAAATTCTGGACAATCAGGTCCCAAAATTTTGACCTTTGAGGAGTTTTCTGACATTTTAATGCTTCCCCAAAACAGTGTGGTGGAAACGGTGTGCTGTTTAAGCTCAAATGTAAAGTCGTCCATCCTGTAAACAGGGGCATTCAAATGGAAGACCTCAGTTTACTTCCAACCTGCGGTTCTTTGCGTACAGTAATCTCTTCCTCTTCCCAGCTTTTCACTCTATTCACCATCCTCTCTAGGAAGAGGCTCGAAATTCAAATTATAAGCTAAAAAATTAAAGTGGCAGTGGCTTTTCAAACATGATGACCACCATAGACTGCTTTTGAAAAACTGAGCGACATCAGGATACAGAAACATCTCATTTCAAATTACACAAGCATTAAAACTGTAAAACACATGTACAAAAATGATGTTCATGTCCAACCAGAGTGATTGTGCTAACCGCCTTCTTTCCTCAGCGACATCTTAGAACACTCTGAGGACATTGAACATACCACGACAAAATGATGGGTATGTCTAGACTAGACGAGAGGAAATGATTACACTCTCTTTAAACATAAGTCAGGAACAATGTATGGTTCAGACTGTAAAGGAAAGCAATGATTGAACTATGCCACAGACTGACATTTATAGTACTTTTAGTTAAATGAACTTCCTTTCAGCTACCCACTGCTGCTGGGAAGAACCTCTGTACTATAAGAGATGTCTTTAAATGAAGAATTAGTTGGAAGTGTGCTGTCATAACAGCTGAGGGGTCGGCTTAGTACCGAGAAACAAAAACTAGAAACCTTCTGAATTAGTGGGTTGATGATGGGGCCTTTTTGTTGGAACACTATTGAATTTCCTTTCAGCTACCCACTTGCTGCTGCGAAAAAACCTCGATACCATAACAGGAAACGAGGAATTACTTTGAAGTGTGCTGTCATTACACCTCTGCGCAGAACTGCAGCGGGCTCTTATGGTTTTCCTGTCCTCTGTATTTGTACCTTTCCTAAGAACTGTCTGCCAAGTCTGCTCATAAAGAGCTGATGCATAGTTTCAACCAAGATTAAATTTATGAATCAATATGGCCTGAGTCAAATCAGTACGTATCTACACATTAAGGAAGAAACTCTAAATCTAAAATGTTATGTACTGATGCTGACGATGACATTTATTTTTCTCATGAGGTTTTATCATCAACAAAGAATATTAGCACCCAAACATATATAATTCAGATTTGCAGTCAGCAAATACAAGATTTAAAAGAAAAGGCCAGATGATGAAGTCAGTTAAAAAACAAATTAATCAATATCTCTTCTTATGTCCGAACTTTTACACTCAGATTTGCTGCAAAATGAACTAGCCAAAATGAAATAGATAAAGACGTATCTGTCTACCATACCCTCAACATAAACATACAGGAGTAACCTCTCAATCTGGTGTGTGTGGTGGAAAATTTCTGAGCTTAATTGAAAATGCAAAAAGGTCAGATTATGGAGGACACGGTTCTAAGCTGCAGATTGTTTCGTGTTTGTGGTGTCAATGACAAGATTTCCAAAAAGTTCATCTCAAGTGTCAACCTCGCTTTGCCATACAACCTGTTAATCAGAATATCCTGCACTACAAAAAAGGATCTTAATCTCATAATAATGTTGTAATCTGAGCAGTGTAAGGAACATGACTAAAGATTAAAACGTACATTATCTCATGCTTAACATTAAATATTTACCTCCTCACTAAGAGGAAAGCCAGCACAGCTAAACAAAGCTTAGGGAAATGGCTGAGACCCGTGGGCCAAAAAAACACATGCAAGTTGCAAATCTACTGAAATACTATCAACACATTTATCCAGGGATGAGAATTGAGCAAGTGCATTAGCTGAGATAAAACAGATTAGTGACTCCTCCAAAGGTTTACTCTAAATATTTGAGGTTTAATGACAAAGGTGTGATCACTCAGAGGTGCAGATAAAAGCTGCATGAATAAAAAGACCGTACAAAGAACACGGACTGCATCATAATTTAGGCTGGAGAAACTGTTATCTGTCAGAAAGAAGCATAAAGTGTTTTACAGACATCCCTTAGATCAGGGGTGGGCAATTCATTTTTACATGGGGCCACATGGGAAACCTAAACTGTGTTGGAAGGCTGAACCAACAATAACTTCAACTTCAAACCAGTGGGTTTACACGTACAGAAAAGCAAGCCCAAATAAGCAACTACTAGTTAAAAACAAGCCTCCAAAGAAGCGCACCCGCCACTCACGAGTTTTACAAGCGACTTCTGAGAGAAAAAGGCTTAAAGTCTTTTATAATAAGCAAACTTAGCAACCTCTAAGACGTCTGTGAATATTTTGCGTATGTTTAAACTTGTCTCTGTTCACAGATCTAGGATGTACGCACGTGCGTCCAAATGGAAATAAAACAACGGCTAGGTTTTCAAGATAAAAGTGACACACTTCTATAGCATGTTGATGAGTTGAGTGACGGACCTCAAGAAGGGCCCGGCAGGGAAGTCCAAAGGGCTGTAAAATGCCCAGGTCTGCCTTAGATTAACTGGTGCTAATCTAAAGGAATGAAATGATTTTCTTGGACTTGTTTTAGATTTTAGGGGGACATGTTGAGTAGAAAACAAGATTTAGGCGGGAATTTTACAATCGAAGTTGCACTGGAGGGCAAATATTCAACTTTGAATGGTACACGGACATTTCCCGAACTTATTCATGTGTTTCCTGTCATTAAAGCTTTAGTTCAACATGCACATATAAATAAAGTGGATTGGATCACTAGACAAGTCCAAGTAAACAGATATTTAATGGGGTACAATCTGGGTGAATCTGTTTTATAATCTGCAGGTAAAAAGCAGTTATTTTGAGGTTGTCAACCAGACTTTGAACCCTGGGATTTTTAATTTTTCCCCAGATGCAGACCTGAACATCGCACAGACAGCATGGGGCGACAGCGGTGTCTATGTCTGCTCTGTGATCTCTTCTCAGGACCTTTCAGGAAACGGTGAAGACTACACCGAGCTAATTGTTCTTGGTGAGTAACCCGGTCATGCTCATATGCTCAACTTGCTTCCTATTTCTCTCTGCTTCCCTTTCCTGCTTTTTCATCTTGTCTCTTACACACATCCTTAGGGTTTCTCATAAGGGGAAGTGGTCGATCTAGACTTTTTAGGGCAGGTTTTGATTATCTGGTGCGTTTGGGCAAAGAAAATACTTCCACCAGCTCTAAGGGATATTATAAGCTAACTAGTTTTAGGCCCATTCAGATCAACAACACTTAAAAGTAATTGTGGCTTTATCTTTCTTTCACAGAGAGAAAGTCAGATACTACTGACCTCCTGCCTGAGATTGACTTACTGGTTATGGAAGGTAGTACAAGCCACTTTATAGAGTTCAGCCATTGTATGTTTCATAAACAAGGTGCAGACTTACACAGCAACCTCAGATGCATTGCTTCAGTGCAGAAGGGTTTTATTTCTCTATTAAACAATCTGAATGGAAAGATTCTCCACCCAACAACCAGCCGCTCATTTACAGCATGTAGGCAAACATCCTGCTCTGAGCAAACACGACCACAGCGTTATTCTACACACATACTTCACCCACACTCATCTTTCTCTATTTTACTCTCCATTTTATATACTGTTGTTTCTCTCCTTCTCTCTAACATGGCAATGCTTTATATTCAGCTGTTGTGTTTTTACTTTGTGGCATGTGTGCCTGAACTGACTTGCTGAGTGAAAGAAAGCCCCGGGCACAAAGATGAACCGGTTTTACCAGTTTGACATAACCTTAAAAGAGACTCCAAACTCCCCTGTAGCCAACATGTTTTCATGTTCCCAATGCTCAGTAACAGTGACGTAATCTGAGTGAAGCCCACATGTTTAAACAGAGTTTTTGGATTGATTATAAACAACTGTAGCTACAGCGTCTTCTGGGACCGGACTCTGCAGCTGAGCTCTACACGCAGCACGCAATATGAATTCACAGACACGAACCCTACTTCTCACTCCTTCACATATTTTTTGTTGTGGTTTCTAGATATTCAGAAATGTGTCAGTTTTAGAGTGAATCTGCGTTGGTGCTGTAGTGGAAAAGCTGACTCAAACTGACTGTCAATCAACTTTGAAACCGAAAAAGAAATGGAGTTGAAGCGGGCAAAAAGCCCCTTGATAAACAGCTCTAATGTGGATATGTGCTCACCAGTCTGATAAATAGACCTGTTAGAGCCCAATACGTAACAAAGACCCGAAATGTTATTAAAAAAATGTAATAAAGCCAGAAATGTAATAACTTAATAATAATAATTTAACAAAAGTGTTGATCCGATTTGTAATAAAAATGATGGGTAACGCTTTCTTTTACACTTATTACCAGGTAATTAACAGGTAATTACCTAGTAACAACATGAAATTATCTGGTAATTACATGTTAACCACTAAGTCAATACTGTCTAGTTACCAGGTAAGTAACCTTCCATCATCATACAAATTTGAAGCCGAATTGCTCTGGTATTTCCAGGATTTTCTCTGCTTCATTGTAGCATTGTACGCATTCAGCGGGTGAGTCGCTGTGATAATGCTCGGCTCAAACGCAATCTTTGCACGCCCATAGGCTGTATCGAGTGTCAATCATAGAAAATAAGAACCCCAAATAGCTTTTGAAAATGGAGCTGCACAGAAAAAAGAAAAACCAGACAGTGTTGACTTAGTAGTTATCATGTAATTACCAGATAATTTCATGTTGTTATTATTAGGTAACTACCTGTTAATTACCTGGTAATAAGTGTACCATTAAAGAAAGCGTTACCTAATGATGTAATAAAACCCAAAATGTAACAAGTTTCTACATTTCGGGCTCGGCATTTTGTTACATTATCGACCAGTTATTACATTTTGGGATTTATTACAGTTTTTTAAATTACATTTTGGGTCATTGTTACATATCAGGCTCTAACGAGGCTACACCTCTAATATTGCAAATCAATGCATAACTTAATATCTCAAAATGTCAACAAGTTGTACAAGAATTCACCTGCTGTACTGTCGGAACAAATGAGTCATGCAGACTGAAGCAGTTTTTTGTACCAGTGTGGTATATGTGCTAAAAAAAATAATAAGTGATATTTTTGGGCATCTTAGCTTTTATTAGACAAGACTGCTGAAAAGATTTGGGAAATGTGGGGATTGGAGACTTAGTGAACCCAGCCAGGGACTGCTGCTGTACAGCCTCTGTATATTAGGCCTTAACATGTTTAGCTTATAACATGTCAATGAACACCCATGACTCCATAGTTATGTGGTTGTTAATGGGGTTTCCTTGGCTTTTTAGATCTACCCTCTAGTGGTAACTTGAGGATACTGCAACTTTTGCTCTTAAAGGCTTAAACATACAGGATGCGTATTTGGAGCGTGGCAGCAGCGTTGTGTATCAAGCAACACATAGGTTCCCATTCTAATCAATGCAGAGAAGCATACAGGATGTCGCTCAACTCCGTCGCAGCATCGTATCAAGAGCAGCCCTGCTAAAGATACGCGCCGAGTCTATTTTTGGTATCGATACCATCAAGCCAGCCAAACACTTTAAAAAGTGTCCTCGTGTACAGGAGTCTTTATGAATGAGTAAAAGTAGAAAAAGTGAAAGTTAGCTGTTTGAAAATAATCTCTTTTTTTTGGATGAAGACAAATACTTTGACCATCCCATTTTGTCTCTACACAGACTGGCTCCTGGTTGTTCTGGTGGTCTTCGGCTTCCTACTGCTGCTGCTCCTGATCGGGATCTGCTGGTGTCAGTGCTGTCCACACACCTGCTGCTGCTACATCAGCTGCCCTTGCTGCCCTGACCGCTGCTGCTGCCCACGAGCACGTAAGTACCAAATGAAAAACTCCGCACTCAAACCTACAGTCCTTTTCCCCCCACCATGCTGTTCTGTGATGACCCGAAGCTTCATTGAGGATTGTAAATCACTGAGTTTAGAGCTCAGTCAAAAAGAAAAGTGGCAGATTTTGTTATCAGTACTTCACCATTTTGTATCCTGTTCTGTGTGGCTTTTTTAAAAGAGGGTAAAATACTGTCAGAAAATACCGTTTATATACTTTTTAGATGGTACGACTGGAATTAGCAGTGAGGCCTCTTTATGAACCAGAGAAGTAAATGAGACTAACAACAACAAGATTGATGATTTCCATGTGTATGCCATTCTCAATAAAACTTAGTTTAGCTTAGTGTTAAAGCAGGAATCGAGGCCAACAGCTAGCTGACTCTAAACAGGGAACATATGCTCATTACTTCACTTACACTGAAAGAAAGTGTCTACATGTTTTATTTGTTAACTTGAATTCCTACAAAACTTCAGTATAAAGACGGAGTTGTTTTTATTTGTTGTTTGTCTGATCTGGTGCAGTCACTAACCTTCTGCAGTGTGTGTGTGTGTTTTTCATCCAATTCTTACAAGTAATGACTTCAACTTCAGCTAATGAAGTACAAGGTGTTTCTGCATCAGCTAACAGCACTTTTGTTTTTGTTTGTTTGGTTCCTTTTCAGTGTACGAAGCAGGAAAAGCAGTGAAGAAAGGTGTGCCCAGCCAGTATGCTACCACCCTTTATGCTCCCAGTATGTATGCTCAACCACCATACACTGGCCCGCTCGCCAACCAGCCTGCTATACCCCTTCTCCCTCTGCCCAACGGAGTTGGCGGGGTACCTCCTCCTAACGGTTATGGACGTGAATATGACGTTGCCAGCTCCAGTGAGTCAAACAGTTTCTGAAAGTTCTTACTCACATACAGAAAAAGAGTCTCAGTGACATCCTGCTCGGTCTTTGTCGTGTTTTGATGAGCTTTGTTGGTTTCGCAGTTGGACAGGGCTCCCAGGTGCCTCTGCTGCAAGACCCAGATGGCGGAGACCACAGTAAGTGAAAGAGGAAGGAAAAACAGACCGCAGCATTAGATTTTTTGCAGCTGTAAGGCCTCTTCCTTTTTTTCTTTTCTTCCCCTTCAGGCTGAATAAAAGCCACATAAAAGAGTACGTGTGATACTTGGCCAGTTCATACTCTGAGGACTGCTGTGATAAACTCCATACTGTTCAAACCAAGTTACTAAAGCAGTTATGTGGAACGACATGAGTGCTGACACAGTATAAATAAACATCAGGGAGACTTTGCTGAAACACATCTGCCGGTACTTCTTAATCACACTGGTCAACAGACTCTTGACTAACGGGACACAAGCTTCACTTTATTCAGACTGAAAAGATGGTTTGCTGAGTGACAGTCCCGGTCCATGTTTAGGTTTGTGGAGTTCCTGTATTTTTGTTTATGACCTCAACTTCAGCCTGTCAGCGAATCGTTGTTCCCTGAACTCACTTCATAAACCCGCACTGAAACCTGCTGTTGGTCTCTCGGCTTTCATGCCCCAGTCTAAGTCTCACTCTTACTCATATATCTCTTCTCCACCACCCACCGAAAAACGTATCTGAACTTGTTTCTCGCTGCCAGGCCGCTCATCCCCTCAGGTCCAAAACATTTAGATTTACTTTCTGTTCCTCACTTTCTCTGAAGGACCCAGGGGACAGGGCTTTCTGAGTAATACCTGTAAACTCCCAAGTGCTCTGCCAACTCTCTGAAGAATACGTTAAAAATGTTCCTGTTCAGGCGCATATGCTTAACCTTTCTTTTTGAATTCTCAATAAGCACATGTGTCTCGTACCCGAGTACTGTCTCTTCATTTCTGCTGCTTTTAGTTTGATGTTATTTCAATACCTGTATTATTATTTTCTACGTGTCGCACTGTGTGACTGTGCTAGATAGATAAACACATCGCCTCACTGTCTGCATGATCCAAAATCTGACTTCTTGTCTTCTTCTCACCAGCTCGCAGTGGATATCGTATCCAGGTGGACCCTGACGGGAACGCCACACGCGCTATTTACTACATGGAGAAGGAGCTGTCCAAACTGGACCCGTCTAGACCTGCAAATTACAACCGCTGTGAGTGACTGATCACCTCCTGTTTCTAATCGAGTCTCTGTTAACATGCCTCAGACCTGCTCGTGTGCAGTTTGTCCACGTCGTTCCTTGTAAAGTCAGATTAATTCATTTAATGACACTTTACAGAGGAGGAGATGTTAGATAACTGAGGATACAGTTTTGGATCTTTTCAAGAACTTAATACTTTTTTAAAATCAATATAGACAAAATATGGTGTGAAAGAGCACACAAAGGCATTTACGCACAGATGGGAATGTAAAATGAAGGTATTGATCTACCTTTGGGGGAAAGTAGCTCGTTGCAACAGCTCCAGTGCGAGAAAAGGGTTGTGAGGTGAAAGATAAAAACATGCAAAAGACATGGACAGATGTAAAAGAGAATAATAATAATCAATAATATTAAAAAAAAACACTAATGAGTAGTTGGTTATGGCAAAGTATAATGGCGCCGGATTATTTAGACACAGAGTGTAGCACATTGAGATAAAGTGAAATACTGCATATGTAAAAAATCTAAATTTCTTCATCTCCTATTCAATTTTTATTCCTTTTGAAAAATGTTATTTCTGTATATGTGAAGTAAAAGGTTACAGGATCAAAGTGAGCCTGTTTCTAGTAAAATCCACACTTGTTAACACGAGTAGAGCAGTGTGAAAACGGACTATTAAAACGGGCGGTCTAGGAAGACATTAGACACCGTGTTCATGAGTGATTTCGCTCGACTTTAATTCAGGTTTCCACTTTGAAACTTGACCCTTAAATCTATGAAGCTCTATTCTTTCAAGCACAGCAAATATATACACATCTTTTTTTTTCAGGACAACCTCAGCTGTCAGTTTATGGAGCAAAGATTATGTAAAATGAATGTGACAGTAGATTCAGAACCATCAAATAAACCAAAAAACAAAAACAGACAATACCAACAGTACTTTGCTCAAAACACATAAATCTACAGTGACCAACCCTTTTCTCACCTGCTCATCATTCTTTTAAGTCTTGGCTATCAGGAGAAGAAATATTGGGATTGGAACAAACACACAGCAGAAACTATTTACATAGTTACACTAATTCTTCCAGGTGTTTTTTACTATTTACAGTTGTTTACGCTGCTCCTTGAAGCAGTTCCTGTCTGGGATGAGACAGAGGGTCACATCATACTGCTCAGAATCTCTTCTCTGCTTGTTTCCAAGCATTGAGGACCATTATTTCTGATTTTGCAGACAAACAGGGAACTTTCTTGTCTCTTGTTGATGTTTGGTTACCTCTTATTGGACACAATAGAAGAAAAATATGAAACCGTGTAATTGGTCGAAAGTTTGATAGAAAAAGACGTCATCAAAACAGCTTGTCAAACCCGGAAGACATTAGCGTCATTTAGCGATAGCGATCTTTTTTTATCACAACAATCTGATAAATAATCCAGTTTTCACCGGTATATCACTGCAGATTTACCATCAAACGTCTCTGATCAAACACCTGTTTTTGTGGCTGGATTGTAAACCTCGTGGCAGGTGTAGAAATGACTGGAAACCCTCGATAGATCACCAAAAGGGTAAGCTTTTGAACACTTTTTACCCCGTAGAAATACAGAAGAATGAGTCATATTTTGGTTTTCTCGCCAATAAAGTTTTAACAGAAATTCAACATTTAACATTATTGGCAAGAAACCCCAAATATGACTCCTTATCTTCAAACCACATAGACAGCTGCGAACTCTTGCTCGTGTTCCTTATCTTAACAGGATGCGCAGTTTCATCTGTGGTTTGGTTTGGTTTGGAGTGCTCTACCCTGAATCTTACAGAGGTAAAACAATGAGTTCCAGTAATCTCACTCACTATCTCACTTTTACCCCGTAGAGATACACGCATAGTTCCTGAGAAACTGTAAACAATATTAATGGTGTCACATGGGAGTGGAGTTCTAAGTGTTAAATATCAGAAGGCAGTAAGTTCATGACTGCAGACAGGAGCAGGCTGGTGAGGAAGGCTGTCCTGTGGACCCTGTAGAGGAGGTGTGGGTCAGGAGGATGATGGCTAAGCTGTCATCTGTCATGAACAATCTCTCTCACCCCCTTCAGAGCACTGTAACAGCACTGGTCAGCTTCTTCACCCACGGTGTGACAAAGAGATACCACCGGTCCTTTCCGCCTCCTGCAGTCTGACTGTTTAACCAGGCCTGCTCCCAGTCGTCCAGTTTTTTAGCACAACCAACAGACAATAACTCAATGCTTACCTCCATGTGCAATATTGACAGGCTAGATATTTATCAAAGTTGCAAATACCTCCTTTTTTCCCAGGTACATTAACTCAAATATGTGCAACAATAACATTTCCAACTCTTTTTTGTTCACTGAGTAGAACCGTTTATTGTTGTTGCTTAATTTTTTTCTTTTTTTTTGTATATAACATTTTCTGTATCTGGTCAAAGTAAACTTTTTTATCGTTATCTGTGCACTGTGTGAAAAATGACTGTACTTATTCTTCTATGTTTGCTGTGCTGATCTTTCGCTGCTGTTAACACCGCAAATTTCCCCACTGTGGGACAAATACAGGTTTATCTCATCTAATCTTATCTGTTACTGGAACTCGTGGTTTTACCTCTGTAAGATTCAGGGTAGAGCACTCCAAACCAAACCAAACTACAGATGAAACTGCGCATCCTGTTAAGATAAGGAACACGAGCAAGAGTTCGCAGCTGTCTATGTGGTTTGAAGATAAGGAGTCATATTTGCTGTTTCTTGCCAATAATGTTAAATGTTGAATTTCTGTTAAAACTTAATTGGCAAGAAAACCCAAATATGACTCATTCTTCTATGTCTCTACGGGGTAAACAGTGTTCAAAAGCTTACCCTTTTGGTGATCTATCGAGGGTTTCCAGACATTTCTACACCTGCTGCAGGGTTTACAATCCAGCCACAAAAACAGGTGTTTGATCAGAGACGTTTGATGGTAAATCTGCAGTGATATACCGGTGAAAACAGGATTATTTATCAGATTGTTGTGATAAAAAAAGATCGCTATCACTAAATGCCGCTAATGTCTTCCGGGTTTAACAAGCTGTTTTGATGACGTCTTTTCTATCAAACTTTCGACCAATTACACGGTTTCATATTCTTCTTCTATTGTGTCCAATAAGAGGCAACCAAAGATCAACAAGAGACATGAAAGTTCCCTGCTTGTCTGCAAAATCAGAAATAATGGTCCTCAATGCTTGGAAACAAGCAGAGAAGAGATTCTGAGCAGTATGATGTGACCCTCTGTCTCATCTTAGACAGGAACTGCTTCAAGGAGCGACATAAACATCTGTAAACAGTAAAAAACACCTGGAAGAATGAGTGTAAATATGTCAATAGTTTCTGTTGTGTGTTTGTTCCAATCCCAATATTTCTTCTCCTGATAGCCAAGACATGAGAGAATGATGTGCAGGTGAGAAAAGGCTTGGTCACTGTAGATTTTTATGTAAAGTACTGTTGGTATTAATGTCTGTTTTTGTTTTTTGGTTGACTTTGATGGTTTTGAATCTACTGTCACTTTCATTTTACATAATCTTTGCTCCATAAACTGACAGCTGAGGTTGTCCTGAAAATAAGATGTGTATATATTTGCTGTGCTTGAAAGGATGGAGTTGCAAAAAGAGCAAAATATAGCTGGGAGTTCTAAGGGTCAAGTTTCAAAGAGGGACCCTGAATTAAAGTCGAGCGAAATCACTGATGAACACGGAGTCTGAAGTCTTACCAGACCGTCAGTTTGCCTGTTGTTCACCTGGAAAGCATTTGTGTCCCTCTGTTCTTACCATCCCTCCCTCAGTGGATAACATGAGTGAAGTCAGCTCCCTGCACGATGGCTTGGACCCTCGGGGTCGTGGAGGTCGATCCCAGCCACCAGCCCTAGCTACAGTTTATGACCGCGATGAAGCCATGAGCACCATCAGCAGCGTCTCGCAGCAAGGACGCCGTGATGACTACCCGCGCCGCGGCGGAGGGTACATGGGGGAGCGTGCACGTGCCCGCTCCATGGACAACCTGGATGATATTGGACGGCGCTACGGCCGAGATGACTATCCTCCGCACCGACGTCCAGATGAGCCAAGAGGCAGGAGAGGGTGAGTACTACTCCCTGACAGCACTGATCACACCTTTGAGCACAACACCTGACCAGCATTTCCACGGTAACGCTTTTTCCAATCGTCAGTGAAGACAAACCAGAGCTGCAGGAGCTTCTTTAAGAGTTAGCGAGCTTGAAGTGAGGTCACATTCGAGCTTTAGTACTTGACTAGTCAGAAACTCTTCTCAGCAGCTGATCTTTTCCCCGCCCTCTGTCCCCTCAGGTCAGATGACGGGTGGAGCAGCAGCGCTCGCAGTGGCCATGACCGCGACTTTGACGACCGCAGCCGACGTGACTACTCCCCCGATGATCGCCGAAGAGGAGACAGAGGAGGCTACGGCGGCCTCCCGGGGAGACGCAGTCGGAGCCGCGATGATCTGATGGACCTGGAAAGGGATCGGGACAGGCGACCCGGAGGCGGTGCCAGGGGCGGACGAGACGATTACGATGACAGCTTCCTGCGGGAAGCAATGGAGAGGAAGAAGCTGGGTGAGCAGCAGAGGGCTCGTAGCCGGGATCGACTGGACAGCGAGAGTGACCGCTCAGATCGGGGTAGGGCGCCGCGTGGGCCTCCGCCGCTTCCTATGAGCCCGCCATCAGGGTTTCCTGGGCGCCGTGATGACTACCCACCCCCTCCACCTCCACCTTACAGTGATGATGAAAGTTTGACGTCATCTAAGAAGAGCAACCTCCGGAAGGTGAGTGACAGCTGAAATGAGTAACACGGTAATTCCCGGGGTTACTCTGAGTTTAAGTCAAAACAGAAATCAGGTCATAATATGAGTAAGAAAAATGTAATCGCTTCATGGCGAGGATTCTCTAAATGACCAAAGACATTAAGATGGCGAGCTGAAAATGTTTCGGTATTACTGTAGAACTTTATTTAAAGACAGACCTGACCATCTTTTCAACTTTCTTTAGTAGCTTTCTGGTCTCGGACAAAAACACTGTCTGGAAATGATGAAAATTGTAGCTTCAGTGAACGACCACGAGGAAGAAGCTGTTTTTCCTCGATTTTAATTATCAACAAATCTCATGAAAAACACGCTAACAAACAGTAAATCCAAGCTACCAACAGGGGATGCATGTCGCTCAATTATTCATAATCCTTAAACGTTTGTGCAAAAGAAAAAACATGATTAGCCACTGAGTTGCACCAGCTATCATGTTTTTGTAAATACCTCGCAGCTCCCCTGAAACTTAACGAACTTAAAGCTCAAAGCTGCTGTGAGGAAATTTTGGTTAATGTGAATTCTGGCATGAGTGGGATCCCTTTTCTCACTCATCCTTGTAAAAGCCTCTTCCTCTTTGTCCGGTACACTAAATGAATGACTCACGGTGAGTTCACTACAAGAAGAGGAAAGGAAAGCTGTTTCTTCAGCCTGCTGTCAGTCACCTGGTCTGATACGTTCCCCCTTAAGGTCGTTTCAGGTCACAAAAAATCCCTTTTAGAGAAATCATCACCCTGTTGGCTGTTTGTCTCCAGTAACAGGTTCAGTCTATTTCTCTATTAGTTAAAAACTCCTCAGAATGCAGATAAAGAAGCTGATAAATGAGAACTTAAAATAAATAATAAATAAATAGCATTATCAGTCTTAAATACCGTCACTAAATGTTAAATGAGGATTTGAAATCAATTTTTTTGAACTCACCTGATATGTTCAAATTATAAAAGTGCAGAGCTGACATCGAGTAATCACAATCCATCTCCCTTCCATTAACTCTTGTTCAGCTCAAAAACATGAACTTTTGTGGCAGGCGAGGTGCGACACATAAAAAATATCTAATAATTATTATTATTATTCATTTTATTTGTATAGCGCTTTTCATGATACTCAAAGACACTTTACATTAAGCACACAATTTGAATATAGCAATAAAATAAATATAAATAAATAAAATAGTCACATGTTAAAAGCAGTTTTAAAAAGGTGGGTTTTCAGAAGGGATTTGAAGGAGGGCAAGTCAGTGCAGGATCTGATATGGACGGGGAGAGAGTTCCAGAGGGAGAGTGCGGCAATGGAAAAGGCCCTGTCCCCCAAGGTTCGATGAGTCGTTCGGAGGGGTGAGGACAGAAGGTTGGCATTGGAGGAGCGGAGGTTGCGGGGGGAATTGTGGCGGTGGAGCAGGTGCTGATGTATTTTTTAGTCCTACTTGATCGAGGAACACATTTTGATTTAACAGAATTTATGTCCTTTCCCTGCTTTTATTCTTCAAGTCGATGTTTACTCTTTTGTTTACAGAACGGAGCCGTGAGTCGGGAGAGCCTGGTGGTGTAAAGACGGACCGGGACGAGAGCGACGTGTCCAGTCCTGCAGCTTTTTATGAATCCCTGAGAGGAAACGACTGTAAATTTGACACCAAACTGTTAATTACTGAGCTGATTTTTAAGTTGAATTATTTACACTAAGCTTGTAACTGATGCTGAATGTGTTTGACATCTTTTTTCATAGGGAGGAGGTGCACAGATGAGGTGCCTTTTCATGTGTAAAAAACATTGTGGCTGCCACAAGTGCCTTAAATCTGTACAGAGTTTTAGTTTTAGATTTTAAAGTCAAGATGATAAATCTCTCTCTGTGAAGGTTTTTAGATCTTGACGAGTAAATGTGTCTTAATTTGCTCTATCTGTAATGTTTTTTTATCATACCTTTTTATAGTTTTAGTCAGTGTGTAGATTCGTCTGGGTCTCTGGATTTTTCTAGCTTTCTATTTGTGAAACATTTTTTTATACATATAAGTAAAAGTTTGTACATCTAAATTGAAACTGATTTGAACTTTGCTCTTAGATGTGTAAGAGTGTGCTCAGTGTTTTAGCCTCGTTTGTGTTTGAGAATACGTATTCCAGTTTGCTTTTTTTTAATACAAATAATTTCAATTTTAACCAGCTTTATATTGTACAGTTTACCACAACCTCAATATGCAAATGTTTATTGTGCTGTCATGAAAACGAATTTTACAATAAAGATCTCTATTGTCAGACCTTTTTATGTTCTTGCAGAGTTTGACCACTAGAGGGTGCCACTAAGTTAGGTAGTAATCATATTGGACAGGATGTGACTCGACAGTGATGGGAAACATAACCTGCATTTGTCTGGTCTTTGGAAACATCATATTTATAAAATGTTCAAGACAGAATTACTTTATTTTTTTTCATTGATTAAAAAAAAGATTTGATAGTAAGAGGAAAGTTTTTGTTGCTTTCAGATTTAGGTAAAAAAATTAGAATCTCTACTTAATTAGAAGTTGGAGAAAAATTCACGCCTAAGTTTGCTGTCTGCATTTGAAGCTGGTTTTGGGTACAGAAAGAGGACGGATGGTGTCATTATACTGCTTTAAACATGAAAAACACTGCTATATGCAAATAATGAAAAAGAGATCGAGTGATAACCTTTACCTCACAGGACTGTTAAACTAAATCAAAGTTTCACAATGCAACTTAAAGCCTCACTGAAACTCTCTGAACATGTAGAGACTGAAAAGTCCTGATTTATTTTACAGAAATAAGGGAGGGGAGAGTCCATGTTGGGCCTACAGCACTTTACTCTGCTGTACTGGATTACCCCAGCTCTGCATGCATCCAGAATGGATGAGTTTGAACATAATTTCTGATATCGGATGAACTTTACATTTAACCAGCACTGAAACAACAGCTAACAGAGCTCCAATGTTGTGATAAAGTAGAACTTCAGTTACATCCAGGCCTATCGTCCGGTAAGCACACAAGTTATAACTTCCTTATTAGTGGTGTTAACTTGTTGTTTCCCAGAAGTTATTTATTAATAGCGCTTTTTTTTTTTACCTTCTCCCTTCACTCTTTATGTTCTTTTTGAATCCCTGAGTACTTTTTTAACCATGTTTTTAGAGTATTTTCATGATCTTTTATTCATGTTATAGATGTTTTGTAATTGGATATCAAACTGGATGTTATCATCTTGCTGCAGAGCAGATCTATCTGGGGTGAAAACGACACGGACCTTAACCTTTCTCAACTGTCAGCCTGTTCAGAGACAATCAGACATGAGAGTCGACACTAATAAATACATAATAAAAACATAAAACTCATAAAACATCATGCCTGCGTCACTGGTAAAGTTGAATCTTACATCTCCATGGTAAAACAACTAAGTAACAAACTAGCTGGTTCAACCTCAGGCTCAGAGCAGATTTTACACTCTGAATGAAGACAGCTTATACAGAGATGGTGGAACTTTTTTTCATAGAAAGGAAAAAGTTAACTTCACACTACAGTGACCACATGACATTAAAAGCCAAAGGTCAAAGTCAAGTGTTTTTCAAATGCAGAGACCCATGCTGGGAATCACGAGCGCCCACTCTTTTGTTTTTTTAGGTTTCCTTTCATGCTCTGCCTCATCGTTTGTCTTCACAGCTCTGAGGTTTCTGAGCGATGACACAGGATGTGGTGAAGTAACCAAGTCCAGTGCTAAAAAAAAAAAAACTCTTCATAACCACATGTAATACCGCATGTGGCTAAAGATGCTGCATTCATGCCCTACAGTAGGAGTGTTTTTTAAATCTATTGTGATAAAATGGAAATCTCAGGTCCTCAAGTCTTCCACTGTGATTTAAGCTTCTCTCACAAAGAGTTTGAAAACGTAATCAAATCAGGAAGGAAGAGAGCACTTCTGCTTTTCTGATGTTTGTTTTCTGTGTTTTGTACTCAGACTGGGAGTTTTCTGGAAATACCAAACTTTCTGTGGTTGCATGAAGACTTTTTTAATGTAACGATGAAAGGAAAACAAAGACCCTGCTGCTCGAATGATGACGAATTTCACACTATTTTACCTTCATAAGGAAGTCCTCTGACTGTACTCAATGGTTTTGTAGCTCGTAAAGAGGCGTTTGTATTAATTTCAGTTTGTTTCATAACCACTTAAAAACACCCTACAGGAGCTTTTATTTAATTGTATTTTTCTGTGGACACTTAACACCATTTCTGTTTCTGTGTAACACCCTGACACACTCCCAGTTTTCTTCTGGTCTTAATTTAGGCACAAGTTCCCATTTAAGTACACAACCATTCAAATCTCTTCACATACATTTTCTGATAATTATAACAATTTATTTTGCACTCCGAGACATGACTGACTGCTGCACTTTTTCCTTTCTCCTTTAGGGGGCTCTCCAGGGATTATTATTGAACTTCTATGAATCTGTGAGCTCACAAGATCCAGATTCAAAGAAAGAGAAACAATCACCACTCATGCAGCAGTGAAGGAGACATTCATAAAAAAAAGTTTTGGTATTTCTCTCAGGGCCTCCAGCAACACACACACACACACACACACACACACACACACACACACACACACACACACACACAACCTGCACAGTAGGGCTGGGCGTTAAACCGAAAATTTACAAATACTGAAATTTACAACAATAACCAACGTCATTTTGCCCATATCACTGTATTTGGTGTCAAAAAAATGAATTAATGAAAGTTGGTTTTGGATGTGTGTAGGTAGGCTATGGTCTCATGTCCCTTTAAAATGCTGTCCTACGTCAGAGACATGACTCCACCCCATCCAGTCCATAACAAAGAGCGAAAGACAGGTGAGGAGATAGAGGACGGTTCAAAAGTTGTAGCAGCTGAAGTAGACGTCATTATCGGGGGTGAACCGCTCAATATATCATGATATTGATTTGAGGCCATATCACCCAGCCCTACTGCACAGGCTCAGCCTTTCTCTCACAAACCGCCAAGTATCAGACAGTCTTTCAGAAAAAGACTGATGACTTAAGTTGGTAAAAACTTGTTTTGAAGGGTTAAATTAAGAGGAAAAACACAAAATCAGAGTCAAAGTGAAAAACGGTCATAGTGGTAAAGATACAGTCAGTGACGTGTTGGTCAGTTATTATTTATAATACTGTCAAGAGATTAAAAACTTCCATTTACAAAATTAGTTGTTTGTTTTGAGGGATCGAGGAAGTCTGACATGGTGAGGCTGAGTTTGGCTAAAAGGTCAAAGGTAAAGCCTGATTTTCAGTTTACTCCGCGGTATTTTGCCGTGTTAACTCGAGTTATATTTAGTTGACCTGTCTTTTATTATTATCTTGGTTTGTAATTTTTTTCTGCCTTGGAGAGAGACATTAAAAAGTACATCCTGTTTTTGTTGAATAAGTCTTTAACACCCTTGATAATGTACTATTTGTATTTTGACACTTTAAATTAATTTAGATAAAAAGTCAAGCTTTCTACTGATTTGAATATTTAACTAGAGGCATAAGCGTTTATTTCAGTCTGTTTTTTTAATAACTTTATCCGAAGATGGAAAAGAAAAATCAAAGAAAAAAAAATATATAAAGTGTCAGTGATGAAGTTAGAAAAACTGTAAAAGGATATTTTTGTTTGTTAAATGATGGCTCGACTGTACCAATCACACTTTAAAAAAACAGACTTATCCTTTAATTTTTATGAGTAAAATATGCATGAATATCAAACAGGAAAGCCCCCCCACTCACTATCACAGGTTCAGTTTGCCAAAGACCCAATCTGCTGACAGAGAGAGAGAAAGAGGAGGGAGAAGGGAGAGACAGCAAACGCTGCAAACGAAGGACAGGAGTCGACTCTGTGAGCTCCTCACTGGCTTCAGATCAGCTGATAAGGTAAGAGCTCCTCTTCTCTCTGATCTGTAGTTATTATTTCACACTGACAGTGCTGCTTGGTTTGACCTCTGAGTCATTTCTTTCACTGTTTTCTGCGGCTTAAATCCCTATCGTTTCTTTGCTGCTGAACTAAGAGTTGCATATTGTGCTGTAAAGTTGGTTATATTAAAGGGAAGATTCGTCTCAGCCATCTGATGCATACTTGAAGAAAACAGCTTTTTTTCACAGCTTTATTATCATATTCTATCTTAATGTATTTCTACAAAATAATCTGCTTTTACTTGTGTTTGAATCATGCATTACGAATTCATTTAAAGACTAGGGATTCAAGATTTTGATTTTGATTTGTTGTTGTAAAGAGAAAAGACAAATGTCGTTTTGTCATATCCATGTTACAGAGATGAATTCTCACCTCATTATAATGCCCAACACCTCTGGTCATCGCCATCATTATTTCTCTCAGTCTGTTTTGCATTCAGGCTGTCACTGGCCTGTCGATTCAACGCCACCGGACAAACTTAGATACAGTGGTTTTCAAACAAAGATAAACTATTCAAGCTGCACAGGGAAAGCCTTTGAGAGGCATTTTCATGACAAAGTTTTCAACGATCTTGTTGCCAAATTCTGTGACCTGCATATGAAACGTTTGCAATGACATGTGGAAGACAATATGGCGACTCAGGGCCAAATAGGTCAAATTAGAGATTAGTTTAACCTTTGGGAATAAAAATCCCACGGTCAGGTCGAGGGTCAGCAGCATGTCGGAGTATGAAGTCGTGCAGTAGGTCAATAATTCCACATTACACAATACATTTGAATTTTGACCACATTTGGAGGACAGATGGCCGATAATACACAACTTTTCAAATTAACTGGACGGTGTCATCAGCATCACTACATGAATCACTACATACTATAATAAATTAAGATATAAATACTGTACAATACAATGTTTTATCTGGTTTGGACCATAGAGAAGGTAAAAATTCAACCAGATGAAGACTTTCCAATGTGAATGTTTTAAAATTATGGGAACATTTTCTTCTTACAAGTAAAAATAAATAACCTAGTAACTTTACCTGAGCAGAAATTGCACTGAAAAGCAACAAATTGACCATTTTCCCAGTAATTTACACAGAAATCAAACTAAATGACTTGTTTAAAGAAAAGAAAACTCAAAGATAACAGTCTAATCTGAGAATGTATTTACCTCAGCCAAACACAGGCTCACAGAGTCTGCAGGTAACTGATGAACAATTGGTTTGTGGAGCTAGCACCACTAGCCTTTAGCACTCCTTGAATGTTAACATCCACATGCCAGTGCTGGTTACACATTTCTGTAACAGACACCA